CACTCCCGCAGAGAAGTTCCCCGTCAGGGCTGTGGACATAGTTAATCCGGGAATACAATGACGATTCATCGCACCTGACATACATTAATAAATATTAACAATATGAAATTTCAACTCATTGTTTAGGGTTTGTTTAATTTTTCTACACATACGATTCTGCGAACTTCAAAAAGCATCGGGAATAACACCATGAAAAAAATGCTACTCGCTACTGCGCTGGCCCTGCTTATTACAGGATGTGCTCAACAGACGTTTACTGTTGGAAACAAACCGACAGCAGTAACACCAAAGGAAACCATCACCCATCACTTCTTCGTTTCGGGAATTGGACAGGAGAAAACTGTTGATGCAGCCAAAATTTGTGGCGGCGCAGAAAATGTTGTTAAAACAGAAACCCAGCAAACATTCGTAAATGGATTGCTCGGTTTTATTACTTTAGGCATTTATACTCCGCTGGAAGCGCGTGTGTATTGCTCACAATAATTGCATGAGTTGCCCATCGATATGGGCAGCTCTATCTGCACTGCTCATTAATATACTTCTGGGTTCCTTCCAGTTGTTTTTGCATAGTGATCAGCCTCTCTCTGAGGGTGAAATAATCCCGTTCAGCGGTGTCTGCCAGTCGGGGGGAGGCTGCATTATCCACGCCGGAGGCGGTGGTGGCTTCACGCACTGACTGACAGACTGCTTTGATGTGCAACCGACGACGACCAGCGGCAACATCATCACGCAGAGCATCATTTTCAGCTTTCGCATTAGCTAACTCCTTCGTGTATTTTGCATCGAGCGCAGCAACATCACGCTGGCGCATCTGCATGTCAGTAATTGCCGCGTTCGCCAGCTTCAGTTCTCTGGCATTTTTGTCGCGCTGGGCTTTGTAGGTAATGGCGTTATCACGGTAATGATTAACAGCCCATGACAGGCAGACGATGATGCAGATAACCAGAGCGGAGATAATCGCGGTGACTCTGCTCATACATCAATCTCTCTGACCGTTCCGCCCGCTTCTTTGAATTTTTGCAATCAGGCTGTCAGCCTTATGCTCGAACTGACCATAACCAGCGCCCGGCAGTGAAGCCCAGATATTGCTGCAACGGTCGATTGCCTGACGGATATCACCACGATCAATCATAGGTAAAGCGCCACGCTCCTTAATCTGCTGCAATGCCACAGCGTCCTGACTTTTCGGAGAGAAGTCTTTCAGGCCAAGCTGCTTGCGGTAGGCATCCCACCAACGGGAAAGAAGCTGGTAGCGTCCGGCGCCTGTTGATTTGAGTTTTGGGTTTAGCGTGACAAGTTTGCAAAGATCGAGTTTCCGCTAGTCGCGTGCTTTCCATGGCCAGAATTCTTCAAATCAAACAGTTCTCCCTCTAATCTTGATATTTCCTCCTCGCGCGTTTTCATGTGGCTCTCCAAACTTCTAACGTGCTCCATTGCCATTTCGTATTCTTCTTTTGACTGTAATCCGTCTTTTTTCAGCTCGAGGTTCTCTTCCAAAAGAGTGGAAGCGGTTTCCTTGCACTTTTGCAATTCTTCGCTTAATTTGATCATTTCCGCTTCGACAAATGAGCTGGTTTCGTCGCTTTCCGGGTACTCGGATCGATTGGCGAAGTCGCGGTTCTGAAAGACTGCTAGAGTGAGAAAAACGAATTGAAAAACTTACGCATTTTTCGAGTTTATCGTTTTCGTCAAGGAGCTCTTCAATGATTCCACTCTTTTCTAGAATGATCGCATTTTTGGCATCTAGTTCGACTTGCAGCTCATGGATCTGCCCGCTTAATTCCTTCTCTCGTGCTTCCGATCTCCCATTTGATACGGGCGACTTCTTTCCGTGGCTGTTCAGTTCTTGCTCCATCTCCTCGATCATCTCGTCTTTTTGACGAATCATTCGTTTGAACCGCTCAACATCCTAAGCAATAACGTTTCAGAAATTGGCCGATTAAAGCGGAACTCACTGCTTGAAGTTGCAACTTCTCTTCGTCGTCCACCATTATGACAGGGCTAGTAGTCGGATTACTGAAAACTAATTCATTCCGAATTAATAGTTCATAAAGTTCACGCAAAAGTTTGAACGCATTTCGTAGACAATTTAATACGCTGAAGCAGTTAATTGATGAATTAATTGTTTGACATAGTTTTGTGCCTTTTTTTTCGTTTTCCATGAATGCATTCGCGATTTCTGATTTTCTGAACGTTGAAAGACAAATAAAAAGAGCAAACAAATTCAAATCTCATATTTTTCGCGGCCGATGCGAATATTGCGATGGGGCGCACTTGCATGGTCATTCGACGTCTTTTTCTCCGACTTCGACCACTTCGACCTGCAGAAGGTGTCGAAACTTGAGAATGACATCCAACAAGGCTGTAACGCCATTTATCGGCTCGGGAGTAAAGCAAGATCTTCATGTACTGTACGATAAATTTATTGCCGTCGGATCAATAAAGTAAGTTTGACAATGAATTCGGTAATGCTTGAAATTCGATGAACATTTCAGAATTCGAGATTTCGCCGATGTTTTTCGAGAAATGCGGTTCGAAACGTTGCTTCATTATCGTCTCAGCCCAGCTGAATACGTCGAAGTAAGGACTCTCCGGAATTCCTCTCCCAACTATCTTATTTTCAGTTTGCCGAATATTTGCTTCAAAACGCAGCTCTATATTTTGGCAAGGAGAATGAAATTCACGCAACGAGGTCATTCGCAGTCAGTGGTCTTTAATTTTTCTGAAATACTTTATACTTTGAGATTTAGGAACGAATTTTCGGAATATACACCTGCTACGCCATCTACAGCCTCCAGCCGACTGATCATGTCTGCCAAGTACGTATCTCAGCAAAAACGCTAATTTCAGATTTATGCTTTTCAGATACCCGTAACACAGTCACAAATGAGAGAATTGATGGAGTTCGAAAAGATTCTAAACTCTGAAAGAGCGTTGGAACCACTGGCGGCCCTCAAAAATCTCATCCTGAAAAAAGCATTCAGATTGACGCTTTTCCAATCGACGGTAAGGAAAAACGATATTTCAACTTTAAACTGCTTTTTTCAGTATGATCCTACAACTCATAAGCGTTACTTAGCAGAAGAAGAAATGCCCGACTTCGGAAGACAACCTGTAGTAGGAAATGAATGAAACGTGATTCTAATTACAATTTTCTCGTGTTCCAGGTGCCATTTGCAAGAGTCAAAGCAATTTTGAAGCATCAGAATATCGGAGAACTGACGTACATTCATAATATGTACATTCAAGCAAAGGCAAACCTCGGAATGACGGATATCAAGATGGTTGACCGAGTCGATCCGATGAAAGAGATTCAGAAGCATTTGGAAAAGCACGAAAAGGAGTTGAAGGACGTGCAGAAGGGAGTCACGACAACGAGCGCTGCTCCTGAAGAAGAATTGGAAGTATCAGCCGGAACGAGTCGATCCGAACTCAGGAGTCGCGCGTATACGGCAGGAATGAAGCACACTCGACAGAGACGATATCTGGATCCAAACATGGAAGGTAAGATTTTGGGTGGTAGTGTGTCTTGAAACGTATGTTCATCTTCAGAGAACTTCAAGCAGCTCACTTTCGGTCAAATTGCCCAACAATGTCTGGAAGAAGAACGGCAGAACCGAGGTAACTTCGTATTTATCTCTTTTTGTGATGAAATCAAGTTCCAGCCCGAGCACTCGACAACCGAAACGGAAAAGAGCGGCAGTTAAAACTGAGGATGCGCCAATGGATGATCATGAAATTGCGGAGCAAGTGCTTCGAGACGAATATGCTTCCAGAGTGAAACCAGAACTTCCTGGTAAGGATTAAATCGCATCTGGCCATAGTAAACTGATTTTCAGAAACGTCAGACGAAACGATCGGAGAGAAGAAAAGCAAGCATGGAACATCCGGAGTGGCAAAGATCCGAGCGCCAAAGAAGAAAGCTGCCGAACAGGTGGAAGCCAAATCAGACCGTAATCAGGCCGGCGCTGATCCGTAAGTTTTTTGTTTCCGCCAATTCACCTGAAAATGCTTGTTTTTTATAAGTTCTTCGTCCGATTCGCCACGGAAGAGGAAGCAAGGAAACAAGGATACGAAGCCCAGAATCAGTGACGAATGGGCGAACAAACTGAACAAGTGGAGTGGCCAGGTCAAAGCGACGGACAAGCAGCTCAAAAAATTGACAAGTCGAATCAAAATCGAAGAAGTCGACGAAGACTAACCCAATTTATATATTTTGTCTTGCGAATAACATTTTAATACTTTATTTTTCGTTCCAACCCGATTGTTTATGGGTCAATTAATACCGATAATATCTCAGTTCTCCTCTCACTCGATGCTACGGAGCGTCGTACATTCTATTAAAAAACCAATGCCTCCAAGCTAATCTCTCAGAACAGAAACCTTGTGTGTGTCTTGGGAATCCCCTTCTGTTTCGGTACAAGTTCAAATTATCGCCAATGATAAATGACCGCTAAACGGAGACAGAAATGGCCTGATATCGTGCAATCCACGCCAATTTCATCCCTCTTATCAGCGGTTCTACCGACGTAGCCAGCCAGGCCGATTCGAGGAGAAAGAAGCAAAGGGCACTTTTTGATAAAATAACGATAACAGCGTTAACGAGAAACGAATTCGAGTCGAAATGAGAGAAGTGACGGAGGTGGAAATGAAAGGGAAAACGGCTTTTCACGAAAAAAGACATTCTGTATTTTGTAAGATAACTACCTGGGTTTTTCGAAAATGCGATCCCCATTCAAGGTCGAGATTCCATTCCTCAGTGATTCACATTAACGTTAATTAACCAACAATTAGTTCTTTAATGCAACTGTTTCAATAAAACCAGTACCCGACAAAGAACTGCATCATTGTCTCTTTCCCCACCAAAAAGATGTATAGTTAGCTAGCACGTTCGTTCAGACCACAAGAAAGTTCGCTCCATTGAAAACAGCCGTTTATCGCCCAACGTGGCTTTCTCGTTTATGCAAAAGAGACGGAGGCCGTCAAAGGCCGCCTGATGTCATCGGGGAAAACCGTGGCGCCACGAACATAAGATCTGTGCAGAGTACGTGAGCGAATCGTGTACACGCTCTTGTCTGCCCACCTCCCACCGTATCCACCGTCGTTTTTTTTCGGAGATAGAGAACATTTCGCGGACATTGATAGTTCTATGACTCTTTTCTCTTCATTTACTAACCGTTTCCCCTCGAAGCCCCGCCCCCTCGTCGTTCGCATAAAACCGTTGGAAGCGGATCGTTTTTGAATTGAGACGAGCAATTTTCAGTCGGCGAATCTCATCAACTTTCGGGTTTGCGCACCAGCACGAATAGAACTCAAAGGAGCGGAGCAATGACTAACACTGGCGAAGCGCACGTTGTCGAATCTCAGGACACCATGAAGAAGATCGAATCGTTGTCGACGATGCCCTATTGGTGAGTCATTCTATTTTCTGTAAGCGCGTTTATACGTCAAATGCCAAAATCAAACTTTTGGGAAGTTCTCTGATAGATACCATTACTATTGTCCTTTTTCTTATCACATCTGGCCTGCATGTCTACTTGCCTCACTCCGTTTGCCGTGATCACAAAGTGATCTCATATCAGTACCGAATGTTGGTCAAATGCTATTCGGAATGTAATTCACGCGACTTGCGATGTGTTCCGAACCCAGTTTGAGTTTTTTGAAGCAGTTATTTCGGTAGACGTCTGTTTCGAATGATAGAAGCGAATAAGGAAAATTTGTGGATTGGGTTAGAAATTATCTAAAGCATTCCGATTCTTGAATTGTTCCTTTCGAAACATCCATCGGTACAATCCAAGTTAGGCGCTTCTGATGCGTACTAAGTGTAGCTGGTCTCTCAATCCGTGTTCTTATCATGACTAATTCACAGTACACAACGTGGGTGTTATCATTCCGATAATCAGTCCACCTCCGACACACAGTTCCATTGCCTGCACTCGAAGAAGATCGCAAACTGATCTATCAAATTTACATCTTCCGCCTGTTTTTGAGAGGAAAGATGTGTATCTTGAATTGGGGAGAACAAAAGAAAACGGAGGAAGAAGATTTCCAGAAGATTCGGAAGATTTCCTGTTTATCAAGGAAATCCGTGTGCCTTTTTGTTCTCAGAATATAGTGGAGGATATAGAATGAAGTTAACATGAAGAATCCTGAAAAGTGCAAAGTTGAAACGGTGAACTGTTCTCATGTTGTCATAGATCAGATGATTGAAGAGTAACAGTGTAATCGGACAAAGGGCATCCCGAAGTACTATTACGTGTTCGTCTCTTCCGTACCCTTCTCACTATGTTCTTCTAGATTCTTATCGTCGGATCACATGATCCAGATAAACTCCGCCCGTTTCTCCTGTTCCTGTTTTTAATCATTCATAGACCACCCATAGAATCATTCCAAACTTTCCCCGTATTCACCTAGACATGGTTGCCTTTAATAAGACGTAAAAAGCCTAGGGAAAGCCTGAAAGTGACTAAATCCTTTAAGTTTCAGTGGTATCGACACTGATGATACTGCCGTTGTCGAAGAAAAACAGGTCGTCGAGACCGGAAGAAGCTGGTCGCCAAAGTAAGTTTTATAAGACTTTGGAAAAGTATCACATCTTATGACTCTCAGGCATTACGAGCTTCTCCACGAACGCATCGAGCGTCTGATTGAGGAGAAACAGCACTTCTTCTCTCTTGAATTCTTCCCTCCTCGCTTCGTGAATGGAGTTCCGAACTTTCTGGAACGTGTGGAGAGACTCTCGGAAGGAGGATCCGTGTTTGTCGATATGACGTGGCACATGGGAAGTGACCCTGCCAACATAGACAAAGTCACTTCCTCCTCTTCGATCGCCGCTTCAATGCTCGACTACTGCGGAGTGGACACGATGCTGCACATGACCTGCGTTCAATACGAGAAAGAAATAACTCTGAAACACTTGGAGCAGGCCAAAGCGATGGGATTGAGAAGTATTCTCGCGCTGAGAGGAGATATCCCAGCAGGCGTAAGTTCCGATTCACTGTGCGTCTCATTTTATGCAAAATTTCAGACTGACATCGCCGACACCAATCAATTCCGTGCTCTCGACATGATCCGCTGGATTCGTGAAGAGTACGGAAACTACTTTTCGGTCGCTTGCGCCGGATACCCTCTTGGGCATCCACAGGCTCCTTCCTACAAGGCGGATCTCTTGTACCTGAAGGCTAAATGCGACGCCGGAGCCAACTTCATCATTACTCAGCTGTTTTTCGAACCCGAAACCTTTGAGAATTTCGTCCGTGACTGTCGTGAGATCGGAATCACGAAGCCAATTATTCCTGGAATCATGCCTATTATGGGATACGAATCCATCAAGAGAATCGCGAATCTCTCGCAACTCGAGATTCCTCAGCACATTCTCGACGATCTCGAGCCCATCAAGCACGACGACGACGCCGTTCAAAAGTACGGAACCGAGAAGTGTATCCAGATGTGTCGGAGACTTCTCGACAACGGAACCGCCCCCTCTATTCACCTGTACACGATGAACCGTGAGGGAAGCATTCGCGAGATTCTGAAGGCTCTCGGTCTGTGGAAGTTGGAGGGAGACCGTGTGTTCCCATGGAAGAACCGCTCGCAGCACCCGATCCGCTGTCTCGAGAGCGTCCGTCCGATCTACTGGAGCTTCCGTCCTCGCAGTTACATCACCAGAACTCGCGATTGGGATCAGTTCCCCAACGGAAGATGGGGGAACAGCTCTTCGCCCGCTTTCGGAGGCGTCGGCAGCTATTATCTGTCCAATCTGACCGTGGGTCGCTGGTTTTTTACTCCATAATCTATGCTCATTCTTTTTACAGACACTCCGCAATCCAGAAGACCGTCTCGCCATGTTCGGATCCACCATCGATAGCTTCGAAGACGTGAAGCGTGTCTTCATCAACTACATCACTCAGTCAGCAAACGCCAGCGGAATCAAAGTCACCGTCCTTCCGTGGACCGAAGCGGAAACCGGAGTGCAGCCAGAGACCTCCCTGATCCGAGACCAACTCGTGTGGTGCAATGAAAACGGCATTCTCACAGTCAACAGTCAGCCATCTGTGAACGGAGCGCCGTCGACGGATCCACTCGTCGGATGGGGAAAACCAGGAGGTTACTGCTATCAGAAGGCCTACCTCGAGTGCTTCATGACTGCCGAACTGTCCGAGATGCTCATTCAAATCATCGAGAGAGACTTCCCAATCAGAGTCAACTATCACGCTATTGACAAGGATGTAAGGAGTTTCATCTCAAATGATCTGAGCAGAAAGTCTTTTTTCAGAGCTCTTTCGACAAAACGAACAGCGAGGAAACCACTCCGATCGCTGTCACTTGGGGAGTCTTCCCGGGATCGGAGATCGCCCAACCAACAGTCGTCGACCCACTCTCCTTCCGTGCTTGGAGAGACGAGGCATATCAGATGTGGATGGCTCAATGGTAAGAACCTCTTCTGTTTGATCGAGATGAATGCAAATGCACGATTTCAGGGGAGACTTCTACCCGAGAGAGTCCAAGTCGTACGGAGTGATCAAGACAATTCACGACGAGTTCCGTCTCGTCACTCTCGTCGACAACGACTTCCAGAAGCCGTCCGTTCTCTTCGACGTCCTCCAGAGAGCACTAGAAAAGCTCCGCGCGAAGAGTGGTAACTAAATTATCTCTTGATTCCACCCTCTCGCAATTCCACATCGATATCTTTTCCGTTGATGAATTCCAGCATGGACAAGGGCACCTTCCCCGTATTACCCCTCATTCACAGTACTCTCTTCCGAAGTTTTAGTTTTTCTTTCCCGATTTCAAATCGTTTATTGTTTTTGAATAAATTAGTAATTTATAAACGGACTTCGTTGTTATTGAAAATATAAACAAGCTCTAAATATCGCGTGCCCACCCCTTGACACTCGCGCCCTTCCGTGCCCCTGATACGTGGCACTTTCCATCTGTGTCTTCTCTTCCCCAATTCCACCTATTCCCGTCTTTACTGGTGAGTTCTGGATCATTCAATCATGAAAGTGACGAATATCACATCTGAGGACGGAGTCAAAGACTTCGAAACTGTGGACATTGAACCGGAGGAGACCGAGTACCTCGAGGTGAACCGGCCGTCCCGTTTTCAGAATGAACCCTCCGTTTTCAGCTTCCGGCCGATGCGAAGCATGTCGACCTGACACGTCATCGCCTCAAGGAAATCGGAGATTACTCGTGGCTGACGGAGGTCGAGTTCTTCTCGTTCCGTTGGAATCTCCTGAAGAAGATCGAGAATCTGGACAAGCTGACGACGTTGAAGCATCTGGAGTTCTATGACAATCTGATCACCAAAGTGGAGAACCTGGACACCCTCGTCAACTTGGAAATCCTGGATCTCTCCTTCAATCGCATCTCGAAGATCGAGAATCTGGAGAAGTTGACCAAGCTGAAGCAGCTCTTTTTTGTTCACAACAAAATAGAGAAGATCGAAGGATTGGAGGCGTTGACGGAGTTGGAGTACCTCGAGTTGGGAGACAATCGGATCGCGAAGATTGAGAATCTGGAGAACAATCTCAAGTTGGACAGACTCTTCCTCGGCGTCAACCAGATCCGCCGCATCGAGAACGTCGGCCATCTGAAGCAGTTGACTGTGCTCAGTGTGCCCTCCAACGCGATCACTACCGTCGATGTAAGAATTATTGAAAATGTTCTCATTCGCAATCCCTTTTTGCAGAACGTCTCCGAGCTGACCAATCTGAAAGAGCTCTACTTGGCTCAAAACGGAATCAAGTACTTCTGCGGACTGGGCGAGAATCTGCCGCTCGAGGTTCTCGACATGAACCAGAATCGTCTGGAAAAGGTGGAGAACGTCCGCCAACTGACTGCTCTAACTGACTTCTGGGCCAGAGGAAACAAGGTTAACAACTTCAATCGGTTTACAACTCAGTGAGGATTCTTTACAGCTGTCGGATTGGAGTATCCTCGACGAACTGGTCGATCTTCCGCAGCTCAGCATCGTCTATTTGGACGGAAATCCGTTCGCCGAAGCGGACACTTACCGCGGAAAAGTTGTCCGTCTCCTTCCGCAGATCGATCGCCTGGACGGAAGTCAGTGCCGCGATGTAAGATTATTCCGGCACTTTCCATCTAGCGAACATGATCTGTTCAGAAATCGATGCTTCGTGCTCCGAAGACCGATAATGTGACTGCCGAGGTGGAATTCGAGAAATCGGAAGACAACGAGAAGACCGAGGCGATTTGAGAGCAAGTGATGACTTCTAGGCGCAAGCTCTCACTGATTATACTTGTAGCATTTGTATTTTTATGAATAAACACTTTTATAAATCGAATCCGCTTTGTTTTCGCGCCGACGAGCTTCTTACGGTGACTTGGCCGATACTGTGAATCGGAGGAATTCTAAGAACTTTTTCTTTTTTGATTCTGTCAACTTTTAATTCCTGAATCTATAAATTAGAATATCAGAAAAGGGACGTGAAAAGCACTCCGCTGTCAATCGTATCTGCAGCCGACACCCGGCACTCTGCATAAGAGAAAACGAAGCCCTCGAGTTCTTTCAATCAGTTTTCTGTATTTCAATTCGAAGCGTATTTCAGTTCAATGTCTCTCGTGAGACATGCGCACCGCTTTGGATTCCGGCCCACTTCGAAGACGTAAGACTATGTGAACAACAAAATTCATGCTACGATTAATCGATTAATCGATGAATCGCGATTCGACAGTTCATTCAGCATCGTTGGAATTTGAAAATTTGCAGTCAATTTCAAATTGCTACGACACTCCGCCGTGACGCCGCGAACAGTTTAGCGCGTAAATCGACATTTTATTTTCGAACGAAAGCGAGCTCATTCTGCTCAACGACCGTTCACTCTCCGTGATTGTCCAGCGTTACTGCTTCCGAAAAGTTAGTGAAACGTGTTTTTATAATGCTTTTTTTAAATGTTTTTACTCATTCAATTACGTCTCCCGCTCCTTCTTTCCGTTATTTAGGCCAAAAAGAGCACAATTTGTATTATTGACTTTTTGCACATCTTTCTTCTTTCAATTTTGATGTTGGCTTCAGTAGAAAAATATTTCACTTGTAGAAATGGCTGACGACGACGATTTCCAAGATATGGACAATGACGATTTCGTCGATGACAACGAGATGGAAGACGTAATCGAGGAGGATCCGCAACGTCCGGACGCGGATGACGAAGACGACGATAACGTCGACGAGAACTTCGAACTGTTCGATCAGGGAAAGGCCGTCCCGACGAGCGAGCACGTCACAACTCCGTTCATGACCAAGTACGAGCGTGCCCGTGTTCTCGGAACCCGTGCTCTGCAAATCGCCATGGGAGCTCCAGTTATGGTGGAGTTGGAAGGAGAGACTGATCCGCTCGAGATCGCCAGAAAAGAAATGAAGCAACGTCGCATTCCGATCATCATCCGCCGTTATCTTCCAGACGGATCCTACGAAGACTGGCCGACCGAACAACTTCAACTCGCTGATTGGTAGACGGAGAATCTGATTCTCACGCTCTATTTGTTAACTTTCTTCCTTATAATCATTCACTGCTCTCCGATCTTCATCATATTTTTTTGTTTTCTCCAAATCTTTCTCCTCTCTTCCGTTCGTTCGTTTTATTACGCGCTCTTTTGACTCCATTTTGTGAGAGTAAATCAATAAAATTTTAGATCGGCGAGCGTCGTTTGGGTGTCATAATGGTCTCCTCTCAGAAGTTCACCGATGTCCAAATTGACCAGTTCGGAGAAGCACTCAACGACGTCAAGTAAGACCGATCGAATGAAATCCAAATGAAAGGAGAATTTGCAGACGGCCACTCAAGGCTCGTTTCCGTGCACTCTTCATCCTCAGGAATACTGGTTGCGATCGATCGGTCGAATGGATAGGAAAATGTCTGAATGACGAATCGGCTCTCCTAAAGCACGAATTGGCTTACTGCCTGGGTCAAATGCAGAACAAGAGTGCCATCCCGACACTTGTGAATGTTTTGGAGGACGAAAAGCAAGGTGAAGCGAAATATCAATAGAATATGGTAACGAAAAACGCATTTGCAGAACCAATGGTCCGCCACGAAGCCGGAGAAGCTCTCGGAGCGATCGCCGATCCGTCGGTCAAGGAAATTCTACAGAAATACGCACATGATCCGTGCCCAGAAGTCTCCGAAACTTGCCAGATTGCTCTGGAGCGAGTGGAATGGGTTGAAAAGAGCGGAAAAGATACGAACAGTCCGTATGACAGTGTCGGTAAGAACACATAATACCTCGAGTCTATGGATTGAATGCTTTTAGATCCGACTCCGTCCGCCTCCACTTCCGATGTCAAAGAGCTGGCGGCGACGCTCACGAATGCTTCACTACCTCTCTTCGAGAGATATCGTGCTATGTTCAGCCTGCGAAACATAAATTCGGACGAATCGATCAAAGCGCTGGCGCAAGGACTCTACTGCGAGGAAAGTGCTCTGTTCCGGCACGAAGTCGCCTACGTGCTCGGTCAAGTCCAGTCTCCCGTGGCCATTCAGGAACTGAAGGACAGACTTCTGCTGCCGACCGAGAACAGTATGGTCCGTCATGAATGCGCCGAAGCTCTCGGAGCCATTGCCAACGAAGAGTGCACTGCTATTCTGAAGCAGTACGTCAATGACGAGGAGCGTGTGGTTCGTGAAAGTTGCGAAGTCGCGCTGGACATGGCTGAGTACGAAAACAGTGATGACCTGCAATACGCCAAAATCTGAACTCTTATTTGCTCCGTTGTTTTCTCACTTGTTATGTCATACCTATTCCCCGTTTCTTGTTCAATTCATAAATTTATTGTTTGTTGCTCGCTCACACTTATTTTTCATGATTTTCGTTGTTTTCGACATGTATTTGTTGACCTTCATTTTATTTTTCAATATATTTCGTTTCAGGATGAAGCCGTGCACAGAGATAGTGTGTCGACTGGCGCGAAGCGTCCCTTCTCGCAATCTGAGCGTCACTGGATCCAGAACTTTCAGTTCAGAAGCGAAAGCTCAGCCGAGTTTCTCACTGTCGGAAGCAGGAACTCTTTACGAGATGGAAGTGCCGGCTGCAAAGCAATTGAACATGGCAAAAACCCTGCCCCAACCACTCAGAAGACAAATGGATACGCTCGGAGAAATAGTTACTTTGGTATGGAAACGGGAAAGTTCTCACGTTCCGATCGCGGATTTACAGATTCGAGATCCGATGGTCGAAGTGGCGAACTGCATGCGAGTGGTCGACAAAAGCCTTCCGACACTTCGTCTCGTGCTGTGGGGAGCATTCGGAACGGGCAAGACGGTCACTTTGAATCAAGCAGTCCATCACGCGTACAAAAATAACTGGGCGATTGTGCATCACATGCACGCGATGGCTTTGACCCGTTCCGTGAACGAAATCGAGATGTCTTCGTATGTGCCTGGTCGCATCAACGATCCGACAAGTGCAATTGAGATCCTGCAGAACTTCAAGCAACAGAATCAGCACATTTGGAAGACTCTCGGAGGACTACTCACTGAAAGAGATTACGAATGGTCGAAGAGCGAGCGAACAGCGAAAGACAAACCGATCACTGAAATCATTGAAATGGGAATTTCCGCTCCGTTCCTTGCCAGTGATTGCGTCGGGGCACTGTTCAGAGAACTAAGAAGACACGCGAAAGCGGGCAGCCTCAAGGTGCTCGTGGCCATCGACGACGCGAACTCATTGTGGGGAAAGACGTTGGTGAAAAGAGCCGACAGGACTTACGCGCCCGCTTCTGACCTCACTTTGGTCGTGCATTTCCGGAGAATGATTGCAAATGACTGGACGAACGGATGCGTTCTGATGGTAGCCGATAAGAAGGAAGTGGTGGACGCGAGAGACGAGCTAGCCGTTCCCAGACATACCCCGCTGGAATTGTTCGGAGAGGAAGGATTCGAGTATGTGGAGGTGAGTGAAAAGGGGGAAACGAAGACAAAGAGCAGTCGATTGCAGCCATTCGTGCCAATTGAAACAGCGAATTACACGGAAAAGGAGGCAGATGCGATATATAACTACTATGTGGACAAGAACTGGTTGACAACTAAAGCAGGCGAGAGAGTGCCCCCGCCAATCATAATCGTTTCTCTCCTTGCAGCTCGCACCGAGGACGGAAGGAAGCAATTGATGCACCTCAGCGCGTTCAATCCCTTCTATTACGAACGACTCTGCGCATTCAACTGAATGTCATTTATACGGTTTTTTAAAGAATATTTTTGTTCCTTTTTGCTTCTGTAGGTTTCCAATAGGATTTTGTTATATATAGAACATAAACTTATCGTTTTCTGCTATGTTAAAGGAAAATCAATCAAAATTCCTGTCTGCTTTCAGGTGTTTACTATCTGGTTTTTTATTTTAATTTGTTTTGCTTGCACTCAATAGATTTAGATCTCAATGCTGAAGCTAAAACCAAGGTTTTCCGCATTGACGAGAGTTTCGGAACTCAGACTTGCGTCGCAGTGGGTCAAAGCAAGGTTCGTTTGATCTCTCGATTTATCCACTTTTTCTATTTTCAGCAATTCGGCGGCACCAGAAGACGTGAATGTGGAAAAATTGTTCGTCGAGACGGATGTACAGAAACTGTTGATGGATTTGACCGAAATCGATCTGGAGAACAAAGTGTTCCGTCCAAGAAGAACTTCCATTCAGCAGAGATCTCACTTCGCTCTCATGACTGATGAGCGTCTCGAGAAGGTATTTGTTTTTTTCATCTACAATCTATACGTATATCTAAATGTTCCGTATTTCAGACTCGAGAAAGAATGCGTGAAGAAGCCCGTCGTTTCCTTCAATTTGTGCCCGTCAAAGAGCCCCGACAGGAGAGCGTTCAAGTGCTATCAAAAGACGTCGAATTGCAAGACTTTGATACGAGCAAGTTCGTCTTCACAGACATCACATTCGACGCCACTGATCAGGACCGTACTGTCGTTGTTCGCGAGCCGGATGGAACATTGCGAACTGCAAATCCGGAGGAGCACGACAGAATGAACAGAACGTTCTATCAGAAGCCGAATCGTCCTGTCAACCCGCCGCCACTCTTCACCGACCCTTATCTGCAAGACGCCCTAGATAAGAACGAGCATGAGTTCGTTCTCGACTGGGCCTGTTGGTTCTACGAGCCAGACGATCCGTCGTACATCCGTCTCAGCCAGCTTGTCTTCGATCGCATCAACGAATCGAACAAGTTCCGCGTGATCACTTCTACTCGGCACTTCGGTCCCTTCGCCTTCTATTTGGCGTTGAATGATAACATTCCGCGACTTCTCAATTATTTCGGAGGACTGGGTCGATTGGCCGACTCTGCCAATCTCATCAGACTTCAGAAGACCGTTCGTCCGGATTGGAGAGTCACAATTGCCCAGGGAGACTCCGATGAGAAGATTGTGAAGGACTTTTTGAAGCAGAACAATCGATTCCGTGAGAAACTTGCTGATTTGATCGCCTTCATAAACACAGGAAAGCTGAAGACAGAACGGGAGACGGAGCAGCCGGTTGGAGTGCGAGAGAAGGTCGTTCCTCGTGTCGACAAGAGGCGGGCACGCATTACTTCAGCTAATATTCGAGGAGCAGACGGGCCACTTGGAGAATTGAGTGAAGAGTATTCCGTGAAAGTGGTGAAGAGCGAAGGCAGCGGAGCGGAAGGTGCGGAAAGAAAAGAAGAGGGACGCGGAAGAGGAAGATGGAGGAGTCGAGAGCAGAAGCAAGAGCAGAAGGACGAAGAGGATGGGCAGGAGAAGGAGTGACGGAGACTCCGTTGTTTTGTAATTATTAGGTTCCTAGCAATCGATTGTTCTTGTTTTTCTATATCTCTTTTTCGTTACTCGGAGAGTAACTTACTCTTCATGAATTTTATAGTTTCCTTCCTCTCTATATTTACTGTCGTTTAATTTGGTTGAACTGCCAATTCATATGTATCTATTGTTTTAAAAAATTTCAGAATTATCAACTTGCTTTCAGGGTGGCCATGACCAAGAATACCTTTAACAGGAAGAATGCGAAGAACGCGAAAAATGTGAACGTCGCTGCGCAGAAAGTAATCGATAACTTGTTGCCGTGAGTTCTATTGAGGCAATTTCAAAGACCGAAACGGCATTACAGTTTGGAAAAGAAGGAGGCTCCGAAGGTCGAAAAGCTGTACCAGATAGGTAATCAAGTGGACCTCGACTGGCAACCGTCGTTCTCGGCGGTCGTCAAGATGCTTCTCTCGATCCGAATCGCTTCCGCTCTCTGGGGAATCATCAACGATTGCGACGAAGTGTACAACTACTGGGAGCCATTGCACATGTTCCTCTATAAAGAAGGATTCCAAACATGGGAGTACTCTCCGATTTATGCCATCCGTTCCTACTTGTACATCTATATCCACTACGTCCCTGCAAGCGTGTTCGCCTATCTCTTCGAAGATGCCAAAATTGTCGTGTTCACGATGGTTCGGTTGTTTATCGGAGTGTTCTGTCTTTTCGGAGAATATTACGCCTACGAAGCCATCTGCAAAAAGTGAGTCGAATTCTTTCGGACTTCTCCCAAGGTCCTCTTATCAGAATCAACGTGTCTACGGGGCGATTCTTTATCATGTTCACCATGTTCTCTCCCGGAATGTTCATGGCCAGTACCGCCTTCCTTCCGTCTTCCTTTGCCATGACATTTGGATTCTACATGCTCGGAGCGATCCTCAATGAGAACTGGTAAGTATTTCGACTTCAGTGTCTCACCTTACTCATCTTTTCAGGCCTTTCGGTATCTTCTGCGTCGCCTTTTCCACTTTGGTCGGCTGGCCGTTTGTGGCACTGCTAAGTCTTCCATTGATATTGCAAATGCTCTTGATAAACAGAAAGTTCTTATCCTTCTTCGGATGGTCTGTTTTCATCGGTATTTGCATCATAGTCGTTCAAATGCTCGTGGATTCTTATTATTTCGGAAAAACTGTTGTGGTGAGTGGGAAGGGTGGCTGCTCCCGCTATTGAAATAATCTTCAGGCTCCATACAACATCTTCGCGTACAATATTCTTTCTGGTCCTGGCTCCCAACTGTATGGAACTGCGCCTCGGTCCTACTACATCAAGAATATGTTCCTGAACTGGAATGTCGCCTCAATTCTCTGCTGGTTCAGCTTGCCGCTCTCTGCCAAACATTTTGCGCGGTCCGTCACCAGTCCGACGGGACAATTCTCGTGGACGGGTCTAATCCGTTAGTTTTCCTGCAAACAAGCAAAAAAGTATCCTTCTATCTGTTCAGGAGGCTGCATGACATCCCCGAAATCTTATAAGCTTGGTCCTATTGCCTTTTACGCCGCGACCGCCTCCATCTGGTTTGTCGGGTTCCTATGTGAATCCCACAAAGAAGAGCGATTCATGTTTCCGATTTACCCGCACGTTGCCTTCTTGGCCGCAATCGCTTGCGATGCGTTCGATAGGCTTTATCTGAGGGGACCGAAAGACGAGGGACGCGAAGCGAAGTACATAACCCTCGTCCTCATCGTGTTCATCCTCTTCGGAGGTTCGAGAGTCTATTCTAATTATAAGAACTATGGAGCACATGTCGACATTTACAAGTCGCTTCATGATGAGTTAGCCGCCCACGAATCTTTTGACAGATTCCACGTGAGCTTCCCCTCCACTCTATTCCGTTCTTAATCCTGCTGATTTCAGAATCCGATCAGAGTGTGCGTCGGAAAGGAATGGCATCGTTTCCCTTCGTCGTTCTTCATCCCGCACAGTGTCAAAGACGCCAAATTCAACGAGCGAAGAGTCGAATACAGTTTCCTGCAGAGTGAATTCCGTGGAATTCTGCCCAAACCGTTCAGAAAAGCGCACAGCGTCGTGGACATTACGAGACACATCCCGAGCGAAATGAACGATCTGAACCAAGAAGAGCCATCGCGATATGTGGATCTGGATTCGTGCGATTACGTCATTGATGCGGACTTGGGAGGTGGCACTGAAAGAGAACCGAGCTACAATGCCATGGTAAACCGATTGATGTACTTCAATTCAATTTTTACATTTTCAGCCGGATAAACTGATGTCGGTTGTGTCCATGAAGTTCATTGATGCCGAGAAATCGAGACATTTCGTTTGCCGCGCCTTCTACCTTCCGATCTTTTGCGAATATGTGAATGCGTGGACAACCTACACCGTTTACCGCAAAGTGATAAACTAATTGTGTTTCATTCTCCATTTGTACATGTACATCTTCCATTCCATTTCTTTCTCGTTCCAAAAACTTCCCTTCTCTTTCCCGTTTTCCCTACAATTCGGTTATCTTTTGTCCATATTTCGGGTTACATTGGCCTTTCTTCCAGTTGATTTATATGCAATTTTGTAATTATCTGTGAAAACTCATTGCCTATCGACATCTATCAAGTTTTTTCTTCACTTATAACGGTCGTTGAAACCGTTGCCATTTCCTGTACGCTAAAAGTCAAGATCTAAAATCAACGCGTTTTTCTAGAAATGTCACAACCAGAAGAGGAGAATGTGGAAGATGTGCAGAGAGCTCGAAAGGAGACGATGGCTCTGCGGAAGCAGATAAACGAACTAATGCGACTCGGGACGACACTGGCTCGAGAGTCGGAAGGCCTTCCCAAAGCGGGCGCTGACTTCGAACTCTACAATTCGTATCCGACGTTCAACACTTTCATGAAACGATCCGAAGAACGACTGAATGCTCTGTAAGTGATAATATTCCATGACGGCTGCTCAAGTGTACGTTCAGAATAAGCAAATTGACCAAGTCGATTGGATGTGCAATGCGAGTGCCGGATGTCGGATCTTCCGTTGAGCATTATACCCAGTGCGTGATTGAAGCACAGGACAACATCGCCGAACGGGCTTCCACTCTTCTCGAAACGCTCAAAAAGTCGGAAAAAGACGAAGTCGTAAAAGTACCCCAATTCATTATGAAAGCGGCGCCAACGAATAGAAAGACAGAAGCAGAGATAGCGGCGGCGATGAAAACGTTCTCAGCCAACATCGGAACCGTTTTGGCAGAGAAGTTCAGGGAACGAAGAGAGGAGGCCGCGCAGATGATAGTCCACGAAAAGCCGCAAAAGACGTACGGCATAGGAGCGGACAATTCGGTGGCGCCGTTCTCGACGAAGATGAGAGTGAAGCATCACGCAATTCGGAAACGGACGGGCATTGTGATAGTGGACGACGATGAGTCGGGCAGAAGAGAATGGAGCAGTATTGTGACGGAAACCGAGGATGAGCATCCATACGTGGCTGAGTACGCCCACTTCACCGTCGCCGAGAAACAACTCAAATCGGCTACGCCAAAGAAGTACAAACCTTTGAAAGACACTGAACTGACGATGGTCGATACCAAAGAGAGGTTGGAGGCGTTGAAAGACACTCTCAATTCTGTCGAGGAGTTCGCTGTCGATGTAGAGCACAACGAGATGAGATCCTACTTGGGACTGACGTGTCTCATACAGATTTCCACCAGAGACCAGGACTTTATCGTCGATCCATTCCCCATTTGGGATCACGTCGGAATTCTCAACGAACCATTCGCCAATCCGAAAATTTTGAAGGTTCTCCACGGATCTGACAACGATGTTCTCTGGCTACAACGTGATTTCGGTGTGCACATTGTCAACCTGTTCGACACTTACGTTGCGATGAAGAGATTGAAGTATCCCAAGTTTAGTCTCGCCTACCTCGTGCTCCGATTCGCTGACGTCGTCCTCGACAAGCAGTATCAGCTGGCGGACTGGAGAGCCAGACCGCTTCGGAATGCAATGCTGAACTACGCGAGAGAAGACACTCACTACCTGCTGTACCTGTACGATATGCTCAGAGAGGAACTACTTCGTCAAGAAGAAAAGGAATTGGCAGAGGTGTACTCGGAGTGCACTGATCTGTGCATGCGAGTATACAAGAAGCCAGTGTTCAATCCGAAGGGGTACATGACTGATCTTAAGTTCCGATTCACGCTGAACAGTCGGCAAGATTACGCACTGACTCATCTGTACCGATGGCGGGATCTCATCGCGAGAGCTGAAGACGAGAGCCCGCAGTTCGTGCTGCCCAATCATATGCTGCTCGCCCTCTCGGAGACTCTTCCCAGAGACGTTGGGGGTATTTACGCGTGTTGTAATCCATTGCCTCACTTTGTGAAGCAGCGGACTGGAGATATATTCAAGTGAGTTCACTGGTTCAGTTCATTGGCAACCATTACTGTCCAGAATTATCGTGGAGGCGAGAGAAGTGAAGTTGGAGAAGCTGGAACCGACTGCGAAGGAGGTGAATGACGTGCAGGAGGCGCGCGGAGTGATGAACGACACTATGGATCATATAACTTCCATTCTGAGATCGAAAATTGACTTCTCGCACACGAGGTACGACGAAGAGAGAGGAGAAATTGACATCAACAAAGGCGAAGAAAGTGAAGATGTGAAAGTGAAAGAGTACCAAGACTCACTGCTTTCCGTGCTTCAGCCGACGACGGTTGAGGTGAACGAGGAGAAGATGGTTGTAGTTGAGAAGGGAAAGAAGGCCGACAGAAGAAAGATTGCGAGACTTCTGAATGAATTGGATTCATTCGTGACGCCGTTCGAATGTTATCAAATGATGCTGATCGCGAAACAGAAGCAGGAAGAAGAGGATCGGAAAGAGGCGGAGAGAAAGAGATTGGAAGAGGGAGACGCACCGAAAAAGATGTTCTCGCATCACGATCCCACGGTTAACAGAAATCCAGAATATGATGAAAAGGTAAGAGGATAAAGATGGTTATAGCATTAGTGTTGATAACTTCAGCTGCTGAACGTAGACACGATCAAGGTTGGATCAGGAAAGGATACATCGGCACAACCAGATACCGAACCGCCCATCTTCGATTCATCTCGTTTTACGGACGACCAGTTGATGTCTAAGAAGGCGATGAAGAGGAAGAGACAGATGGCGCGAAGGAATATAGACGTGTCCGTTGTGCTAGGAGAGGGCAGTTCGGAGTCGAAGAAGCAGAAAACGGACGAAGAAAAACAGGAGGCCGTCCAAGAAGTCGACTATAAACAAGAAGACAGTACTGCTTTCGGTGAGCAGGAAGATTGGGTCCCAATAAAATATTCGCATTTCCAGAGAAACCAATCAGAGACAACAACGCCGATTTCGATCCATTCCATCAGAAGTACCGTCTGAAGAATAAGTCGAAGAAGAATATGACGATGAAAAAGTCGTCGAACCGCCAGGGAACGATCAACTACAAAAAATAAGGGTCGCCCGCTCACGCTTACATTTTCCATTGTTACTTTCGATTTTTTGTTGTGTTTTCAAAATGAATTGTTTTCCTTCCATTTTATCAAATCCCAGCTGTTTCTAACAGGTGAACGCGTGACCAGTATAATATTTTGTTAGTTTCACTAACGACTTTAGTCGCAAATTAACTTTCAGATGGCAGGCCGATTACGCGAAATGCGATGCGAGTTGTCGTTTCTGAAAAACTCTGACGGATCCGCATGCTTCTCGCAGGGATCCACGTGCGTCTGGGCGTCGTGCAGCGGCCCCGGAGACGTGCACGCTTCGAAAGCGAACGAAGAAGCGATGACACTCGATGTCAGTTATAGAGCCAACTGCGGAGATAATAAATTCAGCCCGGTAAGAATCGGAATACTTTCAGAATGAAATCCATCGTGTTTTAAGCTGAACAGCATAATCCAATCGACTCTTTCGAAGGCCATCAATCTGGAGTTGTTCCCGCACACCACGATCGCAGTCACTATTCATGGGATCCAAGACGATGGAAGCATCGGAGCGGTCGCATTGAACGGAGCATGCTTCGCACTTCTTGACAACGGAATGCCCTTCGAGTAAGAGAGACTTGGCATTTCAGTTACATTTCATTCGACCATTTAAGAACTGTTTTCTGCGGAGTCTTGGTGGTCCGAGTGAAAGACGAATTGGTCATCGATCCGACTGCGAAGCAGGAAGCAGCTTCCACCGGACAAGTGCTCTTTTCAGTGTGCAGAGGATCCGACGGACATCCGGAAGTGTGCTCGATGGACGCCGTTGGTCCGTGGGATTATATCCAGTTGGAGGCAGCCTGGTGCCTCGCACAGCCCTCCGCCACCGCCATCTTTAAGTTCTACAGAAGTGTGATGCAGAGAAAACACTCGGTTGACGAGCAATGAGTGCTTTTTGGTTCTTTCGTTGTTGAAATTTTTGTCATTGTTTATGAATGAACTGTAAAAATAACCTTTAAAAAAGAGAAACTTTTCAAAGCGAAGACTTCTGAACAAAGTTGGCGTAGACGCCCCCAAGGGCAAGAAGTTGCTGGTGAGTTCCCTGCTCGATCACCGTTCCGTCCTTCACAACGGCAATCGCATCCGCCCCTCTGATGGTGGAGAGGCGATGTGCAATCACCACGCAAGTACGCCCTTCCCGCGCATTCTCGAGTGCCTCTTGTACCAGCTGCAACGTGGATTACTGTACTATTCCTACCGTACACCCACAGTACTTTCTCGCTTTCCGCGTCCAGCGCACTCGTCGCTTCGTCCAACAAAAAGGATCTTGGGTCGTCTGACGACGGCTCTCGCTATCGCTATCCGCTGTTTCTGGCCTCCGGACAGTTTGCTCCTCCCTCTCCAACCACTGTATCGTATCCCTGACAAATACTTTTTTGTTTCGGTAGAAACCTTTGCCTCAAACCTCTGGCATTTTAGTGATGAACTCGTGAGCATGAGCCAGTTTCGCCGCTTCGATCACTTCTTCCTCAGCGATCGCGTCAAGACCGTATCCAATGTTTTCTCGAATGGAATAGTTGAAAAGAGTGGGTTGCTGTCCAACGAGAGCCATTTGCGACCTCAGGAACTTCAGATTCAGCTCACTTGCGCCCTCTTTATCGAAGCGGACGGTTCCGGCGATCGGATCGTAGAACCTCTCGAGCAACTGAATGGTCGTGCTCTTTCCGCTTCCACTGGCTCCCACGAGTGCCGTCGTTTTGCCACGTGGAATGTTCAACGAGAAGCCGTTAAGCACCATGTTCCGTCTCGCGACTGGGTATCCGAAGTAGACGTTCATCAGAGAGACATCTCCTTTCAGCACGAGCTTCTTTCCCTCGTCGAGCTCGATTCTCGGCTTATCTCGCAGCATTCGGAAGAGTAATGCAGCTGAAACACGAGCTCTCACGTATTCAGGAAGGTACGTTCCGAACGCGAGAAGGGAAGTGGAGGCGGAGTTGAGAGACTCGATCACTCTGCAAAACTGACCAATCAGATGGAATACAAGCTCTGTGGACTGACTGGAATATCGTGAACGGACTGCAGATGCGATTGGTCACCAGAAAGACGCCGTATCTGTAGCCGATGGCAAAGTTGAAGAAGGTGTAGCTGACGGTGAGTGCGTAGGAGAACGACTGCACAATGCCACGTTGCAGGTTCCTTCTGTGGATCGGCCGCATTCCGTTCTCGAACATGGCCACGAACTGCTTTTCTCTCGTCAGATATTGCACTGTTCTGTACTGTTCGATGGCTTCAATCGCTAATCTGGACGGTTCTTCTGCCTTCACCGCATCCCGTTCGCCCCTCTTTTTCAAGTACTGACTGATGATTGCTTGCAGAGAAATCAATGTTCCACAGGTTAGAATGCCTATCGGAGCCATCGCAGGACCGTACGAGAAGGCGATTCCGATGCCGCACAGAATGGAAGAGATCCCCTGGAACACATCAGCGAGTCTCTGATCGATTGCCGCTCGGATGTTCGGAGCGTCGACGGCCAATCGGGTGGTGAGACGGCCGGTCGCGTGTTCCGGACGATCGAAGTACTCTCCATCCTAGAGAAAGAATGAAAGAAGGACTGAAGAGTGTCTTACTTGTCTGAGAATGTTTGTGAACAGCCGAATCCTCATTCTCTTCGTCACTCTCTCGCCAACATAACCCAAGAGACATCCAGCGGCCATGGTGACTCCGGCCGACGCGAAACCCAGAATTGTGAAGTACAATGCATTTATCTCCGAGTTGTGAGTCTTGTCTTCATCTGATCCCGTTGACAATATCTGAAATCAACTCTGTGCATCTGATTTCTTGTTTGATTCTCTCACTTTGAACATTCGACCGTAAAGGATAGAGAATATCGGATAGTTGCACCCACGGAGAATCGAAAGAAAAATGGCGAGGGAGAGAAGGATCCATTCGGGTCTCGCGTAGTGCAGGATCTCCAGGAAACCAGACTCGTCAGCTGACTCTTCTTCCGTCTGAAACCCTCTCGAATACATACTGTTTTCCAGTTCGAACCTGTAGTTGGGAGACATCTGAGTACATCATTTCCGTGGTCAGAGAGAAGGCCTTCGAAAGTCGTTTACTGATTTGCCGTCGTGAATTCTCCTGATCGGATGTTTGCATTTTCGAAGCGAGTTCCTCAACAGATTCTGAGTTTTCGTTCTCCTCTCCACTTTCACTCAGCTCCTGAGTCTTGACCATTTGCGCGTAGAATCCGTCCTTCTCGATCAGTTCCTCATGACTTCCCACTTCCACGACGTTCCCGTTGTCGAACACGTAGATACGGTCACAGTTTCGAATCGTCGAGAGTCTGTGGGCGATTGTGATCGTCGTCCTTCCCTGTTTCGCATTCTCCAACGCCGTCTGCACAAGTGATTCACTCTCAGTGTCCAGAGCGCTAGTGGCCTCGTCGAGGATCAGAATGGACGGTCTGAAAGTGGAATGGAAAAGAGGGAAATGAGGAGGGAAAGAAAGGAAGGGAATGCGTACTTTCTGGCAAGTGTTCGTGCGATTGCCAGTCGTTGTCTCTGACCTCCTGACAATTGAACTCCGCCGTTTCCGAGCATCGTTTTATAGCCCTGAACACAAAATTATTCAATGAACTCATTTGCGTGGCAATTTACATTTGGTAGCTGTGAGATGAACTCGTGAGCATTTGCCTGACGACAACAATATTCCATTTCTTCGTCGTCAATATCCGGGGCTCCCAGTCGAATGTTGTTCTCTACCTAAACTGCATAAATATTATCGGCTTCAACCTCTGTAAGTATCTAACCGTATCTGCGAAAAGAAGCGGTTCCTGGCTCACAATCCCAACGATCGTCCTCAAGTGTGCAATGTTCAGACGTTCAATGTTCGTTCCGTCAATAGAAATCTGAACAATCAAAGTAAAAGCCGAAGGGGAAATTGATGAACTTTTCCGTCGTTGAGTTCGTAAAAGTGCATCAAAAGAGAGGCGAGCGTGCTTTTTCCGCATCCAGAATGGCCGACTAGTGCAATGTTTTCTCCGGAATTCGCATGGACGTTCACTCCTTTCAAAACTTGCACCTCTGGACGTGTCGGATACTTGAAGCGCACATTCTCGAACTTCACATTCCCTCTCACTTTCCAAAGCAATTCACCTTTGCTGGAGGTGCTGTCAATTGGTACAATCTGGAATGAGTTGTAAGTGGAACAAAACTGACTCCACTCACCCGATCGATGATTTCGAAGATGGGAGCGGCGGCGCTGTGGCAAGAGAGGAATACCGGAATCTGTGGAGAAGCCTGTGCGAGAGCGTATATTGCTCCGGAGACGGCCCAGAAGACGGTGAATATAGTGCCGGGAGTGATGGATCCGCTCACGACCATCCGAGTTCCGAACCAGAAAGAAAGGGCCATCGCGGTGAAGAGGGCAAAAGTGACGAAGGCGACTCCGAACGTGGTGAGGTAGGCACGACGAAGCCCCCAGTGCATGCCTTCCGAGAGAACGAAGAGTATCTCTCGATTTCTTTGTTCTGCCCGTTGAACGATACGACCGTCCGGATGCCGCTGATCACTTCTTCAGCCGTACTACCTGCTTCCGAATAGGCTTTTCGTTCTTTCGGAGTCACTTTTGACATCATCTGAAGACATTTCTGTTGAGACAGAATCTGAGCATCTCACCTTATAAGAAAACAGAATGGGTCCTAGGAATACGGGGGTGACGGACAACATCACAAGTGTCATTTGCCAACTGAATGGACTTCATGCTAAATTATTGAGACGTTTTAATGAAACCTGAAATGGAATGCAATAGTGAGACCACAGACGAACGTGGCGAAATAAGACACGAGGGCTCCGAACTTGTCTCCGATCGCATCGCGAACTCTCTCCAATCCACTAAAAGTCTCTCATGATCATTATTGGTGTTTTCCGATCGCTCACTCGCTCATTCTGGTCGCCAATTCTCCACTGTCGTGCACATCGAACCAGCCCCAGTTCTGACTGAAATATGCATGTATTGGAATAAGACCACTTGTGGTTACCGCAATAAATATCCAAAGTAAGCATGTCTCAGTTTATGAATTTGCCTTTCACAGAAAGTATGCCAACAACACATCTGTGACAAAACAGTTTTCTTTTCTTTTTCTGCAAAAACGTACAGAAAGGAATGCAAGAAGGAGCAGAATGCAGCCGAATATAAAGTACATTCTGATCGCTTTCATGGCATTATCGTGGAATTTATTGCCGTCAAAGTTTCCGGATGTCCATGATTCCTGTCCTGGATGGAAATTGATACATCCTAAACTTCCCTTAATTATTTTCCTACCACTGATAAGTGTGTCCGTGAGATCTCTAAATATGACACTGTTCAATGATCCACTGCAACCTTGTAGTAACGCAAAGACAAATCCGAATGTGAGTAGGATAAAGTCGGTTCTGTTGGCATATCGGAACTGAAAAATGAAAAGAGATAGGTTCCGCTGAGATTTGAACTCGGGTCGCAGGATTCAAAGTCCTGAGTGCTATGCCATGCACAGGCAAACGGGAGTGGGTAAAATCAGGCCCACCGGCGGGGCGGCGAGGCTGAGTTTGGTACATCGTTCGGCATGAGCGTTTGGCCCACATGAGACCCTCAGTTTACCCACGGGCGGCCCAAAATCGGGCAGGGGCTTCGCTTGCTCGGTATTCTGGGTACTCCTGGTATTTTGATGGTCCCCTTGGAAAAACAAGAGTCTACACTAATACCATAGTACACCTGCCTGGCATTATTTGAAACTTTTGCTGTCCCGCCTCCTCTACCTTAGTGATCGTCACCTTAAGAGGCGTGGTCGCGGTGAAGCACGGCCGAGTGGGCGGGATTTCACTGTCACTATATAAACCGTTATTGCAATGCAAGAAGTCAGCTCTTCCTCTCTTCCTCTCTCTCTGAAGCCCGCCGGCTAATTAGTCAACGTACCTTTTCTAAATAACTGCAGTTCTCTATTTTTCTTTCTCCCTTCGGAAGTAAACCTGAAATTCTAAAAACTCACCACACAGTTCCACTTCAGGCCGAGAAAGCCTTCCTTTGGTCGTTCAGTTTCCATTCAATTGGGCCCACTCGAATACTTGGTAGGTAAGTAAGTACCGTTTATCCGCGAATCGCTTCATATTGAATGTGAGCCAAATAAGGGTCTGATTTCGGCCTTCCCGCCCGTTTGCCCACGCCTCGCTCTCATTTCACCCACGCCGGTTTGCCTGTGTGGAACCGTCGGTGGCGGGCATAAGGGCGCGCGCGATAAGCCACTCACCAGAGAGAGGAAACTGAACTTTGAAGTGGCCGCAGAAGCCGTAGTGAGGGGGGTAACTTTGTACGTCCGCACATGTTTCTCGTCCATTTGAAGTGAATGTGAAACTGAATGGATGTTATCATTGATCACTATGGTTTTATTGTTGTTCACTGTTTTTTTTCACCTTACTCCTTATCAGCTAAGCTGCCGACGTAGAATAGGAGACAGTAAAAATGAAATAAAAGCAAACGAGAATGGGACGAACATTTACCTTTTTGTCAACGTCGCTAATTGTTTTTCAGGAATTTCGAATAATAGATGAGAAGACGTGTTGCCCTTCATGAAAAGATTCCATCTTTTGCACCAGAAGCCACACCCACTTATCAAGTGAAAACACATTGAGCGTTCTGTTGTTTTGGTGGCTCGGCTGAGTGATAAAAATGATAAAAATAACATTTATTTAAAAGCCTTCACAACACTTCATTGATGATCAGTTTTTCAGGAATGGAATGACGATGTCCGGAGAGATCATGACGGAATCGCGAGCCTCTTTCTGAAAGTTTCCGTTTCATTCTTCCTGTTCTCCCTTTAGTTCAGTACCTTCAATCTGTGAATCTCCTCCTTCCAATCAATTTGGCGATTTCTCCGACCGCTTCCACGAACAGTGTCTTCGCTTTTCCCACATTCTCCGCGAAGACCTCCATGACGGAAGACGCCGTCACGTGCTCATCTCCGTCCTTCCAGCAGTCGTAATCAGTGACAAGAGCCGTCGACGCGTATGGGATTCCGAGCTCCTTGGCGAGAATGCACTGAAAGAGTGTTCGGATGATTCTTGTGAATTCGTGGAATATCTACCTCTGGCATCATGGTCATGTTGACGAGACTGGCTCCCCACGATCTGAACACCGTGCTCTCGGCCTTGTCGAAAAGCGAGGGCCTTCGATGCAGACTCCGAATCCCGTTCTGTGGTGGACCAGTTGGCACCGTTCGGCAGTCGAGATCAGCACCTGAACACATCTTCAATTCATTGACGCCATTCTCCAATTCCCACTTGTCTCAGTTTCTCATTGTAGGTCGGATGGGCCTGAATGTGGCACACTCCCGGCGCGTCAACGTAGCTACCATCGAAGAAAGTTCCCTTGCGACCGTTGGTTCTGAAATATAGTTCAATTTGCTTACATCCGAGTAGCCACCGCGGACCTATCGAAAACGGAATCCGGGAAGAGCAAGTGTCCGGGCTCGACGTGCTCTTGCAGAGATCCGCACGCAGTCGAAGCGATGATGACGTCGACGCCTGGAAAAACAGAGATTCGAAGGATGTTCTCCGGCGAATCTCAGTGAAAAAAGGACCTCTTGAGTAAAGCGCCCACAGGTTGGCTCGATAGTTGACATTTCCGGGCATAATGTCGTGCTTGCGGCCGTGGCGAGCCAGAAGGACACACTCGACTCCATTGATGGTTCCTGCAGACATTACCTCTCTGCCAAAACAGAGCTTTTCATACCTTCAACCAAATCATCGCTGGGCTTTCCGAACGGAGTTTCAACAGAGACGGTGCTCGTATTCTGGAGAATCTTCGGGTCTTCGAGCCCGCTTCCGCCGATAATTCCGACCTTTACCATGTTTGAAATTCGCTGAAAAATGGGAAAATTGAGAGAAACCCGTAGAAAATGATCGAATAAGTGAAAAGGTGCAAAAAGTGCTCTATGTTATCGTCGGAAACAGCGATAAGATAACCAACTCACGACACACTGCGTGCTCCATTCCGAAAATCAATAGAAACCAAACGAGGCGGCGTTTTTTTAGAACGTTCTAGAAAGACGGGCACCACGCGCGGGAAAAGAGAGAGAGAGAGAAAACGGCGGAGAAAAAGGGTAACGACGACATTGATTCAAATTGTAAATTTGAGAAAAAGGAAAAGAAGAAGAAGAAGACGTCGTGTGTACATTACACTGATGGAAAACATGCAATATTTAACGACGTGCTAATTCTTCTGCTGCACACACTCCATTGTGTGGCTTCGTTGACGAGAGGAATTAATGGATTACACAATGCATTAGTAACATTTATTAGCAACAGAAAGATATTGAGACATCAGGCGCCGGCGCAGGAGTACCCAAGATTCGAGAATCTCCAGTATGCCTCATCCTGAAAAAAAACGGTTTGAGCACCGGAGGATCTCAGTCCACTCACCAGTGCCCACGTGGACCAATAACCTCCCAAGAACACATTATGCACGCTAGTGCTGTTATTGTTTTCAGTCATGACGACAGCCAGCTTAATCGAGAGGTTCGCTTCCTTGTAATCAGTCAGCTCCGACGCTGTGACTCTCGATACCTTGTACTTCTTCCTCATTTCATCAGCCCATCCGACAAAATCTTCTGAAAACGGACACTCTCGCGATGCGTCAGAAGGATGATTCAACTGACGGAATGAAATAAAGTTCCCCTTCGTACAGTCGTTTCCCTTGAAGTGCTGCGAGTTGAACAGTTCGATGAACGCTTGATGGGTGTCCCATTTCATTCCCGCGTCGAACAATTGGGTCCAGCGACGGGCAGCCAGGGACATCTTTTCAAGTGCAGCGTCGTATTTCGCCATTCTGAAATGCTCAATCAATTCTATCTGTGTCTCTCCAAATGTGTCAAACTTTGTCAAGCTCTCCGTGCAATTCTGGCGAACCGTCGTGATTCTCCATTCTTTGAAGCTCTCAAAGTACTCAACATCAGGATGTGCGTACTGAAATCAAATATCTCTTCCATAATATCAGTCCTATTACCTTGCGAATAAGGAAACGGTAGCTTTCTCGGATATAACTTCTCTCGGATCCGTGGTATCTGAAGGCAAAGTCAACAATTGCGTCTTTCCCGTTTTTCGTAATCCAATATGTATGATTCTGGAGCAAATTAGCAATATGTTCTGAAAATTTCACAGTTACAAACCTGGTAAACCTGAATTTTTCCGTATCGTTTGTTCCAGTAATCAACGAATTGGCCTGCAGATATAAAAAGTTATGGTAATTAGCGAAGTGATCATAATACTTGGGTTCATTTGTCCGACGTCACATGCATTGATATCGGCATCAGGACTCAGGTACTCGTACATCGATTCGTAGGCGGACTTGTATCGGAGGGCTTCGTTCAGAAATATGTCATCGACCAACCTCAAACGATACCGTAATCTCTTTGGACCGGCCCAACACTCACTTTGTTCTCAAATGCTTCAGAAAAGTATCCAAAGAAAGAGCGGGCTCGAGTGGCGGCTCGCTGGGAATGCTCTTGCAGTCGGAGATCATGTTCAGAGTGTTTACCATGAAATGTCCTTTCCGCGTGTTGAAGGAAGCCGACATGATCCACGTGTCATATCCCTTTACGCCTCCCCTAACTTCAGTTCGATAGACTAGTTCGGTGGTGACATCCGTGTCCGACCAGCCGGTCATTTTTGTGCCTTTCAACTGGAATACCTGTACTCAAGCAACGTTTTCCGGTCCCCACTCACTCCGACTTCCACGTAGTAACTGTTCAAATAAGACATCCACTTGTAAAACTGCTTCATGTTCAGTTTGTAAGAGGACTCCATGCACGTCTCGATGTACGCGTCCGAGTCCACCAGATCCATCAGTTTGTCCCAATCTTCCAACTTCTTCCACGCCAGAAATCTCATGAATCTCTCGTTGAATCGGGCCATCATTTCTTGTGCGGTTCTCGGCGGATCTGCCGGATCGGCAATCCGCCGAGCATCGGGATCACTTCCACTGCGACCGTCGAAAAAGTCTTCGAAGTCACTCGCAGAGGAACTTTCCTCTCGTTCGATGAAGATGGAGTGAATGGGGGAAACTGCGAGCAGGACGGGAAGAAAGAGAAAGAGGCGCATTAGGAGGAAGCGTCCGAAAGGAATGAACGAGGAGGAAGAGGGGAAACATGAAGCCGAGCTTCGATGATTCGATTAGCGAGTTTTATTGAAACGTCTTATGGCTTGACGGAAGAGAAGGATTACGGTACTCTCTGGTGTGAAAAAGATCAACAGAGCAAAACTGTTTATTATTGAGGAAGCGTTGATTCATTTCTCTTCGAAGTCCTCACACTCGAAAGTCATTTTGGTCAGCCGAATGTTGTGGAACTTTGGATCCTGAACTTTCCCGAATCAATGCTGTCCATTCAGTCCCCACTTGCCATATATCCCGCGAATCCGACATCCATATCTTCCTGCCCTTGAACGTCTTTCACTCTGCTCAACACAAACTTTATCAAGAAATCGTAGTTGGTCATATTGCGAATTTTGACTTCCTGCACGTAGCATTTTGCGTATTGGGCCGTTACGGACTCCATGTGCTCCTTGATTTCACCTGAATATCAAAACGGTTTACCACGGTCTGCATGATGAACAACAGACTGTAATTCCTCTTTTTCGGAGAGATACAAGTCCTCCAAGAAGTGGCATTCGGGTCGAAAAGATCAAGGAATGACTGATAAACATCCCAGTTTTCTCCGTTAATCATTCCACAGAACCTCTTGTTCACTTCCATCATGTGATTAGACCCAGTGACGATGGTAAGATATTGAGTCACGTCAATTGTGCACTTCTTTGTCACCCAATACACCATCCATTTCCAAAACGAATCGTTCAATTCGGCGAAGAAGTCTCTTGCCTGTAAGCCACCCGAATTCAGAATTTCACGATGGAGAAATTGTCTGAAGGCAGGAAGCTCACCTTCTTCACTCGGAATACGTACGTATCTCGGAATTCAGATGTGTTCGCGGCCGTCCATGTCACCGAGAAGGTTATCTCGAAATGCTGATCGAATTTCACGTGGCTGTACTCATGATCCTGATGAAAAGGAGGTTTCAGATAGGAACATCGCGAATGCAACCTACTTTATATTTCCGAATATGATGATATCTAGTAGCGAGGTACTGTATGAATTCCCCTAAACGGTATTAGAGTGTCAGATTCCGAGGCACTGGTCTCACTGATGTTCATCATTGGCTCGTCGCAAACCACTGTGATGGCGTCGTCTGTGAACAGATCCCCGAATTCCTCAAAGTCCTGAAGTGTCTGCTCCCTCCCGTCTGGCAAAAACAGATCGGTTTCCAGTCTGAACTCTTCCTTTTCCTCATTTCCCATTCCCGTCTTCTCACTTTCTCCTCACTCGTTCAATGAATGCATCCACTTCCTCAATTGGCTCCGTCGGCTCGCGGAGAGGAACTCCGAAGCAGCCCTTTTGGAAGACTATCTCATAAATGTTGTACTTCTGCTTGTGTTTATCAAATGACGCCTTATATGTCCACTTTCCGAGATTGTACTTGCCATCGGCAGTGGAAGCGTTGTACCGTAACAGTCCCGACAGGAATCCATCAGTTTTTAGCGTTATTTGCGATCGGATGTCCTAAAACGACTTGAAGCAAGAGTTCCTTTGAAAAATAAGAAACTAACATGGAAGTGCTGATAATAACCGGCCATGTAGGCGATCAAATGGTGGAACTGTCCCTCAGTCAGGTTGCGGTCGATTCCCGCGGCGAAGCAACTGTATATCTTGACGTCAGGATGGAAGTAAGACACCAGATCATCGTAAGAAGAACGCTTTCTGCCATCCAACATGCCCACCAGATTGTCTCTGAATAATGTCTGCATATCATCCGGAGTCGTCGGAGAAGATCCATCGATCAGATCTCGAGGACTATCGTAGAGGTACGAGGACACGTCGAGGTAGTCATAGTGGTCATACTGAGAATGGACAATAGAAGACGCGAAGAGAAGGATGATTGGGAGTAGAGCCCGCATTTCTCCGTATGGGAAAGAGGGCGGAGGACAAACGGGGAGTGCGTCTGATTCGATTAAGTTTATGACATTGGAAATACGAATATTTTATTGATACAGTAACAACTTTATATCCAACTAGAAGACACGGTTAGCAGGTTCATCTTTGTGCTACTTCTTCGATTTCTGAACTTTTTCGGGATAAACCACTGCTTGACTCGGTTGCGGAACGGCCGATTGATGGCGACTGTGGAGATGGAAGTGATGGTTCCGTGCAGAGTTATTATTATTGTGGACAGATTGACGAGGACTGAAAACACAGAAATTGGATGGATGGATTGATGGACGGTTTGCCGGTTTACTTTGATTTCTGTAAGAGAGCATGAACGAGAAGAAAGTGTATCCCATTGGAATGACGATTACTGACAGATGGGTCAGAAGCTGAACCGAGAAATAATGAAATGGATAAGAAAAAGTGGATGTTTCTACCTGAAGCCATGCGGTGAGGAAGAACTTCCTCTGAAGTTTCCTCGTCGCCTGTGACATCGTTCCTTTCTTCATTGTGTAAAGGAAATAGAAACTGGAGCATCCGAAGAAAACCACTTGCGCAAGAATCAAAAGGGAAAAGAGGAGTACTGTAGTGATCAGAAGAGGCACGGAAACGGGTTTGAAAGAGAATGCAGACGTGTGATACTCAGGAATTGGACAAGTGAAAAACTGAAATGAATTGGATTGGGAGGACCTCAAAGAGACGTACTCACTTTCAGATAGCCTATTTTGGCAGTTGTCTGATCTTCCAACTTGAGAAAAGACGATATTAAAAGGGTAAAGCTGATGACGAACATGCAAGAATGATACAGTTTCCGATTTCCGATTTTGAAGCGGAAGCACGGGGGAGCGATAGCGTTGAAGCGGTTCTCAAAGATCATAATGACGGCTGAGCCAAGACCTGAATGTGTTCGTTCTTTCGATTCGTTCGCTAATGTGCAACTAACCAACAAGAATGACGACAAGCATTATAAGCTGCACTTGAACCCAAAGACCGATCATACTGAACAGTCCGACCGGAAGGACCACTATTGTTGGGATGAAGAAGTAGGGGACTACGAAGAGCGAGTACATCAGATCCAAGGCTCTCGTCCTGAACATCTTTCTCTTCAACACCTTCCTTTCACTGTTCAGCTCACCAACATGCCAGATTCATCAGATACCACTTCATTTCTTTCATTTGAACGGGCGTATGGAATATCAATAAGTACATGCTGTAGCTGGTGATGGTCATTTCGAATGCAGTCAGGGAGAAGCAGAGATTCCGGAAGAATGTCGGGTTTTCGAGGGAATAAGGACCTGGCTGGCAGTCCATTTCAGTGGGAATCAGATGATAATCATGAGAAGGAGCAGTGTATGAAGGCAGAAAACATTGGGGGAGGATGGGCGATTCGAAGCGGAAAATCAGTTCGTCAGTTGTTTGGTTCTCAGAAGAGAGTTTCCAAATGTAGCCTACTCGGGGAGGTATTCGGAGATTGTCGTGTTCTTGAAGTTAGTACATATACGGAAGTTGCTTATTCGAGTTTCAGTCGTTTCAACTGAAAATGAAGAGTACTGTAGTCATGTTCATAGCTACCGTACCTCTTCTTGATTCAAGAATCCACGAATAGTTGGCAAGTGCAGGGCATCACTCATGTTCTTGTCAAACCGATCCTTGCTCCTGAATCTATCCGTTCTCATCTCCGGCTCCTGGCAATGCTCACCTCTGAGCAGAAATCAAATCATTCTTCTTCAGCGCGTCTTCCCGTTCGATGATCAGTTCTTTGAGGCCCCATTCGCGTGCTTTCAGGTCTTTGATACTTTCGTCGATCGCAGACGCATGAGCATATCTGAAAGATCATTGATTCGAAAACGAGAAAAAAGGGGGCGATGGAATACTTTTCATCCCAAATGGATTCCTCTCTCTTCTTCTCCAGAAGTCGTGTCATATTGTTGAATTCGGACATTCGGGAGCCGAAATACACTTCCTTCCTCGGCACTTTCCTCTTGTTTCCCTTCTCGTCAATTCCCAAAATCTCGTCCCAAATCTGTTTTTTCGACCTCAAAATCGTTCTTGTTTACACATCTGTCTGTGGCTGCTCATCTTCATTTTTTGGTTGGTTTTCAGATGACGAGACAACGAGAATACGTACAAAATAAGATGAAAAAGGAAGGGATGAACTTAATAATCGGAGGAAGGATGCAAGCGAACACGAAAAGGGGAATGAATTGGGCGAAGAAAGATGGGCTTCGGCATCCGGCTACCTTTCTGAAAGGGGCGGAGACACGGACGACTGCGGTTTTGAAGAGGATGACGATGTTGACGAGCCCTGGAATGGTTACGGTTTGAAGAGGGGAAAGTTCGGGAAGAAGTGGCCCACCTGAATCGATTTCTCACTGTTTGTGTCGACCGACATGGAATCTCTGACTGTTGAGGAAGAAGACGGTGCCTGTGGATTCTGAACTCATTCCATTTCAGGTGATATCACTCTAATTCCACTTACTTTCATGGCGGCCTCCTTCTTTCTCAGTCTGTTCAGCATTTCCTTCGAGAAGAGAATCTCCTCATCTTCCGAATCTGTATCGTACAATCCAACGATTGACTTTGTTTCTCGCATTTTCTGGAAAAGCAAATGTGCATTCGAGCATGAGAAAATAGAGTTTTTGAAGGGAAATGGGGAGGGAGAAAGCGACGGAGAGAGGGAGAGGGAGATTGAGCAAGTGAGAGAAGGAAAAAACGAGTGAAAGGTCTCCTTGGAAACCGATAATTCTCTCCTTTTGTTATTTTTCCGGCCTCTGAGAAACAGAAAAGAGAACAATGATATAAAAAGTTCCAAAACTTCTGGGAGACCGAATGGGCGGCAACCGTACTGACTCACAGGTAAATAAGAAGTAACAGAATGGAAAGACAGAGCAAATAGAAAAAGAGATGGCACTGGGAGTCCATCATCTGATCCGATCTGTCAGGAAGAGCATTCGAAGAACTGGGATAATCCGTCTGGGACCGACTAATACTCATAAACTTGCTCACGATGAACCAACTGCAAAAGCTGAGCTGCAAAATGAAATAAAGTCAATCGGAAAAGGGAGAGAGGGAGAGAGACAACTATACTTTGTTATGCGATTTAATAAAATGGGGGAGGCGTGTTTACGTGAATGTCTGCGTCAGAAGGTGTCTCTCGATGACTAACCAAACATGTACGGAAAAGAGAAAATGGAAACAACAAAGAAAGAGAGAGAGAGAGAGAGAAAGAGAGAGAGAAAGAGAACGAGAGAGAGAGAGAAAGAGAAAGAGAAAGAGCCACGGGAAAGGAACAACTCTTTTCTTATTCCCTTTTTATTGTTCTAAAGTTAATTGAAAAGTTCTGTTCATCATAGAACCTTGTGAGTTCCCTATTTTCTGTTCAAAAAACTGTCAAAAACAGACGGAGATTGCAAGGATGAGCTGGATAAACAGCACTGCACAAATAACGGAAACAATTCGAATGCAGAGAGTAATCGAGAATCATTTCAGCGTGAAACTGACCGGTTTGGCCTTCAACGGCAGCAGAATTCCCTCGTCGAGTTCGACAAAACTCATCTTTTTCTCTTGTGATTCGGCCTTCGGACGGCTGTCAAACGGGAGAATTTCACCTGAAAACGTGTGGCAAAGGTCATTCGGAACGAACCGGGAGAGGGGGAGAGGGTAATTAGGGAGTGGGGAATGACACTCGACCCTTTTTCTCAAAGTTCTCAGATACAGTGTTGAAAACCTCACGTTTCTTCTCCTGCTCAGAGGACTCGCCCAAATGATCGAGTAGATCGAAAACTCCAATGCTTCGTTTCGTTTCCATTCTCAGCGTTTTCTTCGCCTTTTTCTTGTTGAAAAATGATAGGAAACGGACGAGCATCGACATTGAATAATGTGTATTCGAATGTTATTTTTTTTCGCAAAAAAACAACAAAAGAGAAACAAAATCAAAATTTCCCGGGCTTTATGCGATTGCGAACTCTGACTTTCGGAATTTCGCATCGAAAATGAGTCTTTTTTGGTTATGCAATTGATTGTCGCTTTCATGGATGAGCGGGGGAGGAATGGGGAATGCTGACCTGCTCCGCTGATAATCACTGATAGAATGGACACTTGACGGTGGAGGTTGACGTCCGAATCGACGAATCCGTGCACTGAGATTCTGGAAATTCATAATATCTGAGGGATTTAGAGAGTATATCTGATTTCCGTGCAAAAAAGTTGGAAAGCGACGGGATAATCGAGCGGAAATCGGAAATCGACGCGCAATTGAAATTCATGGAAAAAAAGGGGAAATGCGAGAGCTTTTCGACCTCGAAAGTCATGCGAATGGGCCTTTGCAAATGGAAATGTTCGAGAATGTCAGAAGAGAGAGAGAGAGAGAGAGAATCGAATGCTCTGGAAGGGAAGAAAGAGAAAGAGGAGAGCGTGCCATCTCATTTGTGAATTATCTAATCGCAACTACAATCTGCCGCACAAGACACAAATCGAGCGCCTGACATTTTCAGATAATTTCAACCAATTTTCACTTTCCCTGCATATTGGCTTCAATCTTCAAGCTCATTCTAACAGAAACAGGAGAGAATGAGTGCGTGGACACCTGAATATTCAAGAGACGGAGAGTGAGAAATTTGAGCTGAAAACAAAGAAATGCGTGTTGTTATGGAGAAAAGAGCCCAGAGGACAGAATAATTGGTGTGTCTGGAAATGAAAAGGAGGTCATTCGACGGGAGACTCCGCCCCCGGGAAGCGTAGCCTCGACTACAAACTTCTCTTCATTTCGTGGCGCGAGCCAAACAGTTTGTGGGTCGTAAACAGACACGGCAGCTCTCAGTAGTACATACTTTCGAGAGTCAAACCGAGAAAGCACGGGGAAAAGACATGGGTAAATAGAAAAATGACGATGGACACTGGGTGCCAACAGCCGTTTGAAAAGAGAGAAAAGAGCCCAGGCGCAGTTCAGAGAACCACGGTCTTTTTGTTTGCCATCGAATTGCCGAGTCGACGACGATTTTAGTGGATTATGACATGGATTCAGCTCTTTTTTTGAGCACAAAAAGTTATGACTTGTGTTAGATGAAGATGGGCATCTGTTTTCTTTGAAAGTGTTGATGTGTGAGATGAAACTGCTAACGGTGGCGCTGATCTTCATTACTCTTTTTCTTGTGCACAAACCTCACAAACTTAGCCGGTGAATTGAAGAACACAGTCGCTCGCGGGTGCTTCTCACCGTACGCCACGTGGAAATCAGCACGAAACTTCAATTCCTGGCGGACAGAATAGTCAGCATTGTAGGATTTACCACGAGAATTGCGGAAGTGATTGGAAGGAATTCCGAGCGAAACTGTGAGAGAAGAAGCTGAAAAGGGTTGGATCGTACTGAAAAGTTCGTTCAGTACGAGGGAAATCTTTGTGAATTGTCAGCTGCACACTGCTCACGAGCGATTCCTCTTCCAGCTCCAGGACCATCGATTGAGGGTATGAGTGATTTCTGGAACGATTGAAAGAGAAGAAGGACAACTAGTTGGAGGACTGACTTGGCAGATATCCAGTTAACATTTGACACTTCTGATTCTTCGTCTGAGTCATCTAGAACATCGTGGGAAGTTTTTGAAATGACAGTGTACGGGAGAGGCATCGGCAGGCAAGAATGGACCTTTCGGGAGGGAGTGGCCACCAGTGGGACTTTAAAAAGGATCTGAATAATTCAGGGACTGGAGTCATAGAGACGAAAATAATGAATCCGGAACTTTGAGAAAAGTGAATGAGCTGGTTGAGCTGAACCAAGTCCAATTTGTCGAGCGTTACATCGTGTGGTTTGAAGGCAAGTTTGATAACTCAATGAAGATTGCAAAGAACCGAAACGACTACCGATTATCAGCTTCCGACCTTTTTGTCACAAAGTGACAAAATGTACTTTTTTTTCGGGTTTCGGCGCAAAACCCTCTTCTCACTTCTTGCAACCTTTCCAATCCAGTAGATTTCTCGCTTCTCCAACTTGTCTATGAATCTGCTGTTTTCGAGACGACGAGCAGCTTCACGGTCGGCTGCTTCTCTTCACTCATTCTCATGGATCTCCTCGTTGCAGCACTCGAAGTCTTGGAGATCGGCTCTTCTCCTCTTTTTCTCGTCTGAAAACACAGTTAGTTGATGAAGAGCCACATCGGAATCCGGTAGGATACCTTCTGTGTTCCTCATGAGCGGGGCAAACTTCGTCTTTCACGTGACCGAACATTTTGATTGCTCAATCTGCTCTCTAACCCATTACTAACCGAACTGCTCACTCTGTCCAGATTCAGGTTTTTTTCGACACAGACGGATCAGAGAGAATCGTGTTCACTTGTCGCCCTGGCCCTTCTCTTTCTCGCCCTATCACGCAGACATGCAACCATCCTCTCACTTTCACCCCATCTTCCCTTCTGTTTCCATTATTTTCAGACTATTTTAACGCAAATTAATGTCACCAAGTCAGAAATGTTATTTTCATACCTATCTCAACAGCAACGGACACTCCAGAATCTAAGAGAATCGTTCTGTTCCCGGCAGTCACCGGCGCCACCTCGCCGTTTTTGTCTTATCGGGCAGAGAGCAAATCTCCCAGTCTCTTCCGCTCCTCGTTTTTCCCTTTCTTTCTGTCTACCTTGTTCTCAAAGACGTTTAAAAAGTCTGTTTTACATCTTCAGGTTGTTTCAGCATATAGAAAAACGTAGGTTCTTTCTCGGCAGTCCACTGCGCCGATCGGGCACACTTCTAATCATGTCTTCCCACTCTCCCTGGACGGCCGGCAGCTCTCCCGTTTCCTCCCCTTCCGCTCTTTCGAGGTTTCTCTCCTGCTTTCAAACACTTTCAGGCTCTCTCTCTCAGGTCATTTTCAGTCTATTCGTGCATAAACGGACGCTCGAGAATCGGGCAGACTTCTGAACATGTCCGTCCACTCACCCGCGTTCGCCGCGTTCTTCTCGCAGTCGACGGCAGGCAGCTCTCCCCTTCCCCTCCCGTTCCGCTCTTTCGAGCTTTTTCTTCTGCTCTCAGACTCTTACAGACTGTCATTTCGGTCATGGAATAGAATAGTTATATTCACTTTTCAGCAGTCAACCATACCGTCGCAATCGTCCATTTCTCTTCCTCAGCTGTCCGAAGAGCGTTCCATCTCAATCATAAAACCACTGCATAATGATAAAGAGTAGATAGGAAAAGCCAAAATTTATTCAGAAGCATTTCGTATAATATCATTATACCCTCTCGGTTACTTTTACACAAAAATCCAGTTATCAGCTCGTGGTTACATCTAGATTTTGCTACACCCATGCTGCATCCCTGCCACAATTGCCGCACGCTTGCCGTTTTTGCTGCTCCCGTAAACGCCTTGATTTATTGATATGTGGGCGTTGCCTGATGCTTCTGAAAATCGGATATGACAGATAGAACAACAGTTTCTGAGCATAACTTTTTGATTAAGATATAGCCCGAACATGACCGTTTGGATTCTGAGATCCGAAGAGGAATTGTTCAGATAAACTTCTTGAATATGCACTTTTTGGTGCAATCACAATTGTCCCTTTCCCTTTTCGTCTCTGTTTGAACGCTCATTTCTGAGCTTTCCTACCCACAATTTCTGCGAGCAAAATCAGTATCCCGTGCCGATTCTCTCGTGCTCAGTCGACTGACGCACGAGACTCCGGTAGCAGAGCCGTCGGAAACCCATAATTTGAGCACCTAATAATTATTTCAACATTTGGTTGTTTTCACCGAAATTCCCGCCGTTGAAAGCTCAGAAATTCCATCAATATTTTGTGTTTTCCCTTCTCAATCCCTTTTTCACGGTACATTCGCATAATTAGCTCCATATCCATTGTCTCCAAAACATGGATAAACTGAAGAAGCGATGGCTCATCCCGTTTTCGCAGCAACTCGTTTCTTTCTTTCTCTTTAGCCATATAATTGTGGTAATTTGAGAAAAACTCTTACATTTGTGCGCCGCCGCCGTGTTGACGTCGTCCGTTTGTTGTCAGAATAGAATAGTACGTCGAGACGCCGTCGACTTCACGCCCTCGCGAGGTAGTCTTCCCTTTTCTGCTAATCACAATCCATTTGTTATAAAATGACGGACAAGCCACGCTTCTGCAACTTTTATTATCCCTTTTCCCAGAAAAATATCTTCTCCAGAAGATATGTGAAGGCCAAACGAAATCAAAACATTTTAGGAAAAGTTGTGGGCTACGGAAGTGTTCTCACCGGACGACGCTTTCTTCACGAATCCAATTCGGCATGCTTGCTTGTTTTTCCACCTTCCATCGCCTCCTGTTCTTCTCCGCATCAAAATATCAGTCGACTCTCGCCATTCGGCTGAAAACGTTTGCTGTTTTCCAGTGCCACTCTGAAATCATCGCGTGTTTACAACGGGGCACAACAGTCTCCTGAACCGCTTTTATCAGTGGACGAATCGCGGGAACCGATTATCGAATTCTAAAAATAGGCGGTACGATCTGTCCGTCCTTTCCTTTTCCTTTCCCCTTTTCCTTGCTATCTGTCCTTTTCGCTCGGGGCAATGGACCGTTGGGAATTGGCTTTCGGATGCTCTTCACAGCAAAAAGCTCTTTTTCAAAGCCAAACAAATAATTTCGAGCTCCGTCTGTCCGCCGCTTCTTCGTGACCCTCCGTGCGTCCAATAACACAACCATAACTCTTTTCTTTGATCGCCCCATCGAATGTGATGAATTGAGGTGCCAGCCCGACCGAGTTGCAGCTGTCTTTTGCCGCTCGTCCCCCCTTCCCGCGCCGTTCGTTTTCTAATCGGAGTCGGGTGCTTTTCCACCCTCAAATCCGTCCAAAACTCGCAAATTTTAATCCGCTCACTCTCTCTCTCTCTCTCTCTCTCTCTCTCTCCTTGTGTTTCTCTCTTCCGTTCTGTTTTCAGCTAACTAATGTGTTCTGCTGTTCCCTTATGAGATTCCCCGCTCATTAGTGTCTCCAGAGTCTTGCCTCTTTCATCCCATTTCTCTCTCTCTCTCTCTCTCTCTCTCTCTCACTTTCGTTTTCTCATTATGAATGCATTGAAGGACACATGCTCCGGTCTCTTTTTCGAAACGTTTTCCAGCCTTTTGGCGGCGCTGTCAACCCGACCTTTTTTGACGGATTGTCACTTCCTGCGCCACGTGTTCTTTGGTGAAATTGAAAAGGGAAAACTGACGGCACCGGATGAAAAACTAATCCCGATCACCCCCCAGAATGATCGGTATACTCTTCCCGTTCTGCAGGAGTTTTTAAATTAACAAGAAAAAGATAAGCGTGTAGTCTTTACGAGACGACAAATATATCGCATGTGGCATGGAGCACTGCAAAGCTTTGTAAAGTTATGAATTTCAGTTCTACAGTGATAGTCAATTCGCCAAAACTGATCTATATGTTGCAATTCTCGCGGAGTTAGTATTAATTTTTATAACTTTAGGAACAGGAAAGTATGCTTTGTGGAAAAGCAACATCTTCTCCCTTTTCGTGCTCTTCGCATTCCCATTCATGCTTTAACCTTTCTCCCCAAAAAAGTTTTTAATTTGTGCTCGTTGAGTCTCTCTCAAGTGCAACCATTGTGCGTTGTCTGAAGTTCTCTGAACTGCCGAACCAACTCGGCAGCCCGCCGGACGCCACGACCCAATTGTCTCCTAATGTCCGCACACAAACGCGTAATCGTTTTGGCTTCTTTCGCGTTTGGGCTCATCGCGTGTGTTTCAAAACAGAGAGAACCCGAGTTCTCGGCCATATCGCGTATCTTTTGATGAAAGGCTTCCCTCCTCATCGCTCTTTTTCTTCTTTTTCTTTTGCTGCCCTCTAATGGCACGGTTATTTTTTCTTGGGGGTCGCGCGCAGGTTTCTAGTCCCTGGCTTCCGCGGCCATCGCTGTTCATCTACTTGGCCAAAACCGGCTTTTCGGATTTTTCTCAAAAACTGGAGCATACAATTCTTAATCACAAACGTACTTTTTTTCTTCAGTTTTCTTCAGTTCTTTGAAAAAAGAAAACAGCAAAAAAAGTTGCTCCCGACCGGTTTACTTTTGGTACCAAAACATGGCCGAACGGCAGCCGGTTATCCACGAAGGCTCAGATGCAGCGTTCCAGGGACTTTAGATGCGTGCCGCCGGAGAAATACAGATTCATTTTATTCATTGTCACAGTGAATGCGTCCATTATGATCGAAAGTAACAAAGAGCAACAAGAAACTCGCAAAAATATCTATAGGTCACTGAAAAAATAGCTTTTTTCGAAAAATGGCTGCCCGTGCGTGCTTTTTGTGTCTCTTTGTTAGTTTACATCACAATGAACTCATCCCCAAAAAATCAAATGAAATGAATCGGTATTCGCCCGACGGCACGCATCTGAAGTTTTGGCGTCCAGAAAAAGGCTTGGAGAGCGCGTCGCCGTCCGCCGCCCACGCGCTTCTTGACTGTTCTGAGACTTTAGATACGTGCTGTCGGACGAATACCGATTCATTTTGCTTCATTTTTTGGGAATGAGTTCATTATGATGTAAACTACCAAATAGACACAAAAAGCACGCACTAGCTGTCATATTTCGAAAAAAAAACAGTTTTGACAGTGACCCCTAGACATTTCTGAAAGTTTCTCTTGCTGCTTGCGAGTTTCAATCATAATTAACTCATTCTTAAAAAATTATTAAAAATGAATCAATATTCCTCGAACAGCACGAAAAAAAGGCTTGTGAAGCGTGCCGCCGGCCGGCGAAATAAGCAGCCGACAGTACACGGGACGAGGGCCGAACTTTCTTCCTCTCTCCACTACTGCCCCCAGAAAAAATCACCATTAATGGTTCACTCACTTAATTTTCTGTCACCAGTCGTCAGAAATCCAATTTCGGTTGAGCCGCCTCTTTTACATGCTCTCCGTTCCGTTCTCGTTCTTTTCTTCCCTCCAAACCCGATTTAATTCAATTCTTTTTAATTTGACAGGTTGCTCGGATAGATCTGCAGTCTGGTTGATGACAAACTGACACGAAGTTCCCATTACTCTGTGAGTTTTTCTTTTCGAAAAACAAAGACTTTGCCCAGATCGAAAGTGTCTCAAAAACATGAGTTCAATGGAGCGTGATCTGTTACCAATCTGACCCAAAAGTAGGAAACGGGTCCCACCTGTTGGAGTTCGTTCGGGAAAACGAAACATGTCGGAGGTCCCCTGAGAGTTCTGCCCACACGTATTCTCGCGATTACTTCCGGATCCTTCCTGGTCCCTTCAAACAAAAATCTCCTTACTCTTCTCTCATTCCACTCGACCGCTTTATCTTTTGGCTGTAATTCCAGCAGCTGTTTCTGAAGTGTTCCGTCAACAACATCCACAACAAGATTAGAAGAAAGAGAGGCACCATTCCGACTGATTTGCATATTGGCCATCAAAATTTCGGTCATGTCGTGTGCGTCGTCGCTCGTAAAGCAGTCATTCACACATAATATCAGAACACTTCTTCTTCTCAAATTCGCAACTCGATTCTTTCTTTTTCTCTTCGGTTTTGTTTTTTTTTCGCACAGATACTCCTTCTTCTTACTCTTTTCCTTTTTCCTCTACTCCTCTGCTCTTCTCCCCCTCCCCCGTTGTTGTGCTCGAATTCGTCGTCGTGAATGATATTTTTTCTGCTTCACAGAATTTTCTCACATGGCGAGTGGACCGGCCGGGCGACGGCTCCGCTGCACTTTTGACCCTCTTCCATTTCCGCCCTCCTGCTTTTTGGCCCTTCAAGTGTTTATCAGTCGGACGGTCGTCTTTTTTCCTGTTGTTTTGTCCCCTTCTGTCCAGAATCGGGCAGAAACCAGGCGGCTAATTGGATTGGTTAGGTCCTTTCCTCCTCGGACTTTCTCCTCACTGATCCGGTTCTTCCTCTTCTTCTTCTGAGTTAGCTGTCGGATTGGAAATCACATCAAATCAACCAAATTCCTCAAAAAACAATAAATAAAAATTGAAGATCAAATACCTTTTCGATACCATTCCAGTTTTTGTCGGGCTCGTCCCTTTTTGTTTTTCTTTGCTCGTTTTCTGCCAGAAATGCGTTTGCAAATCGCCTCACATTCTCATCCACAAGCACATTCCGAGTGGCTCAAAAACTCTCGAAAGAGCATAACTGGCCAATCTACGCCGTCGATGATTGTCTCGCTCTCCGCCAAAAAAGCGGAGAGAAAAAAGATAAGCATCATAAAATGGCGTCGCCGGGCGGCGAATGAGAGGCTAGAAGAAAGCCATGAAAATGCGAGAAATCAGTGTTATTTTATCGAAACTCGCCGTGCTGCAGCTGACTCTCCTTCTCTAATCCCTGTCCGATTCGACCTGCTCTCTACGCTCTTTTCGGCTGGTCCACTCGTCGTTTCCTTCCCACTCTCGGCGACAAGAACGAGCCTGCAGGAAGAGGAAAAAGAAGAAGCATAAGAAGAAGGAGAAGGAGAAGAAGGAGGCTTCCACTCCCGCAGCCCGCCCCGCCCGTCCCTTTCGCCACTCGCCTTCGAACGATAATAATGATGGGAAGAGGGACGACGACCCCCGTGCGGTACCCATCATTATTCGTCTAATCTCGCACTGATTCCCTCACTATTAAAGTCTTTGTGTCATCAGGTGACCACCGGAGACCCTTCCTCCCGGGTCATCGCACACAAATTCAGTCAGTGAGAAAAAACGCGAAATTTGAAAAGGTTTGCATGTTTCTGGCTGTCTCCTCGTCTTTCCCCTTTCCTTTTCCGTCGAGACAACAATCGACGAGTTATTGTCCGCTTCGTCGTCGTCGTCGTCGCCGTCGTCGCAATGCTGACGCTATTCTGTCTGTACTTCAACATTCACCCCATCTCGATCCTGTTCTTCCTACTCGTCGCTCAGCTCGTCGTCATTCACTCATTTCTGCCACCAGATCGGTGCGACGATCCTTCGGCCGTTCTCGCCGTCCTGCTCGCCCTCCTCATGCCCATCTTCTCCATCAAACGGTTCGTTTCATGTTTTTCTTTAATCTGCCGGGGAGGGGGGTGTCAGCTGTTCTAATGAGGTCAGGAGTTGCTCTCGTACGTGAGCTTCCGCGAAGAGGCGCCTGGTCCCGCCGGCAGAGATCAATCTGTCCACCTACCAGAATAAGTTATTCTGATCTCAAAATGTCCACGGATCTGACCAGGTGAGGGCGTCAAAAGAACGGGTTCATTGCGATCGCTGATCTTTGGGACATCGTTGCACAGACTATAACGAACGAGCAACGGAAAAAGAGAGAGAGAGAGAGAGAGAGAGAGGGGCTCTCGGGGGTCAGTCATGAAACTCCCATGTTGCACCTGTCGCCCACAAAACACTTGTTTGTGTTGCTTGCCGTGCGAGAACTGCCCTCTAAATCACGTGTCCCACATGACCATTTCCGAAAACTCGGACTGTTTTTTGAGAGTGTGCGGCTTCTGGATGCCGTCCCGATGGTTCCCCATTTCTAATTTATATCTGTTCACGTTTTATTCATTTTCAGGAACGAAGACGGAATGAACGGGGTGGCCCGTCGGAAGCAGTTCAAACTGCGTCCGTGGCAGTCCACTGCGCTCCCTTTACGGCACGATCCCTACAGTTGGTGAGTCATTTTTGTCCGTTTTCATTTCAGAAGGTCAACTTGTGATTGCTCTAAAAATTTGAAGGGGAATGTGCGAGTGCGGCAGTGTGAGAGTCGCAAACTCCTCAAATAGAAAAGAAAAACAGAAAATTAGCCGTTCCTAACGTTAGTCGTGCTGTGAAGAATAACTTATCTTTCGAAGGGAAAAATCGTGAGTACTGTAGGTTACTACGGTAGAAATGGGAACGGGGGCCTGCGTTTTTCGACTGTCCTGGCCGAAATGCTCTAGGTTGATCTAATCAGAATCAATTATTGTCTCCGCGTTCGCAATCTCAATCTCATCTGCGAGCACCAAAACAACATCCTTGTGCCAACTCGGTTAGTACTGCTTGTTTTCTGCGGAGATGACGACTCTTTTCGGCCGCCAAAGCAGCCTGCACAAACACAATTTTTTCACGTTCATCTGAAAGTAGAAATCATCGTGTTCGACCCTTTCTATCTCCTCTCTGCCCTCCCTCGCTCCCAATCTTTTGAATTTGCATATGAAAGCGACGTCACCAGTCTTTCTCTCCTTTCCCGTCATTTCCCAGTCTTTCATATTCCATTCGATTCCGTTTTTTTCCCGCTGCATTATGGTAACGCGATATGTGTGCCAGCCATTCGCCTCGTGACAGAGACCTCACGCATTTTATTCTGAAACGTCTTCTTCCTCGTTCCTCCAAGCACCCACTTTTCTCTAATCTACCACAAAGTGTTCCTCGTTTGTGCGGTCGAATCAGCCGATGATGGAAGCCGGGAGGAACTTGTTTGACGCGAAAAACTCTCCGTCCGGTGCACAATTCCACAGCATAAATATTCGATGTCCGATATCGGAAACTTCCGTTTCTCATTCGCTTCCTCATCATTGCTCCGCTTTTGATTCCGATTCTCAATTCTCTGCGCCGATTCGGAAAATGACGTGATGCTCTTCAAACAGTGCTGAAATGGCCGCTTCTGCCAGCGCCCCGTCATTTCTCTCTCTTTTTCCGAACCGAGGGCGAAGAAAACTGGGCATATCCGGTCTAATCGTCATCACTCGGTGCTCTGCTTCTCTGCCCGTCTCGAATCTGTTAAAAGCGGGTCCTTCCGCCGTCTCTTTTTGTGCCCTTTCCCCCAAAATGAGCCCATGTTCCAGTGGGCTCCGATTGACACGCAAGTCTTTTTTTGGAGTCCTCTGTGAGTTGATTCGCCCTGATTGTGCTCCATTCCGAAATGCATGCTCTCGGCTCTCGAGGTGACGCGCCAACAAGTTGAAATACGAAACGGGCGGTGCACTCTTGATTCGCATCCTATCTGCCGACTAATCATTCATTCGTTTCCCGCTTCCTCGCCTTACGTCTGCTCTTTTTTTGCTGATTTCTCCATTTCCTACATCTTGACTCTTCTCTCTTTTTAGGCTTAGTTTCTTCCTTTTCCCTCTTCTCCGTTTCTTCCCTTACTCTCCTTCTCCTTCTCTCTTGTTGTTCTTTCTCATCCATCGAATTCGGTTACTCCTTCAGAAGGATTATCCAATTTTATCAAGTTTAGTGCCCAAACTTCCTGGGGGATCTTCACCGTAGCCACCATCTTTTCAATTTCCATCGTGCAAAACAGCTGGGTCGTAAAATCGGAGACGCGTTTCCCGTGCGGCTTCTCCGCTACTATTCAGTATAGCTCCAGGAGCCTTCCAGTGCCGATCCCGACCTGTTTCGACCGGAGGAGATCAGCTCCCTTCCCGAAATTCGATAGGTCCCTCCCTCGCTCTCTTGCTGCATAATGTCCACATTACAAAGGAATCTTGGGCGCTGTCGTCCCTCTTTTATTATTTATTTATAAGAGCCGGCAGTCTCCTCGTTTGCTCCAATCCCTCTAATTGACACGTTTCTGCCGTTTTCGAAGTTCACAGCTGTGCAAAATAGACGTCAGCCAGTCAGTCGCCACTCTCGCTCATCCAGTTAGTCTGTTTGAAGCGAACGTACAGGCACACACACAAATATTTACAATTTCTCCTTTCCTCCCTTCTTTCCTTTTCAGACATTTCGCACGCAGTGAGAACTCGAACTATACCCATACATTTTCGAATATTCCATACTTGGCACATGACAATGCGATGTTGTTCGGTAGTCGTTTTCTATTTAAATAATCGTCGTTTTTCTACGTAGTTATCAGCGATTAAAGGTTTTTCGATCGATCCCCTCCACTTTTCGAATCCGTTCAGGCACTCACAGAGGAAGTTCCGGACCCTTTGACGGACGAATGGGAAGTAGAAAGGGGCACTCATTCGAGAATGGAATATGCGCGTCAGATGGGCTCTCAGGGTCTCTCCGCATGCCTCCAAACTGCTCCGTCTCATGCACTTTCTCTCGATTATCTTGCTGAAATACCCAGTTGATTTCCTCGAAAACTCTCATTTCTTATTCCTTCCATTGTCATTTCTCAAAAGAATTTGTTTGTAGTAGTTTCAGCCCTTCTCTAAAATTCACTTTTATTTCTGTGACTCTCAAATAATGTAGGCGTATTTATTTGCTTTCCGAAAACCAGAGGGAAAGAATTATAAATTCTGAAGTCGCATGGCTGCAATTGGCTCTCAGAGCAAAGCGGGCCTTTCATGAAACAAGGGCAGTGGGTAGGCGGCTGAATGGGCGAAGGCCAGTACCTTTCGGTCTCTCCCTCTCCCGCCTAACTTATCTCAACTCATTTCCAAACCGCATATGTGCTCAGGCGCTGCTCTTCCATCCGAAATGGTTTATTTGGGATGCAGTCATTCGGCGCTTCTCCATGCCCATTATTGCCTTTTCGAGTGGCTCCATCTACCGTCCTCCCCTTCCGTCGTCGTGCCAAGAGGGCTGTAATGAAGGCTTCGATGACTCGCATTCCGTCCGCCGCTCGTCTAGAATTCATCACTCTCCCGACGCCCTACATAGTTATGTTTTGTATGACACCTCGTGATAAAACAAGTTCTAGTCTCCCACTTCCTGCCCCTCTACGACCGTCCTCTCGTGTACTAATATCGTTCTCTCTTCGTGAGGTCGAGTTAGTCCTCGTTCTTTTGCTTATCACAATTCGTCCCTTGAGGTATACTCAATGATATACTCCCCTATTCCCTTGGATTGTCTGGACCCGAATACAATCTTTGTTTTTTCATGAGATTCACTCCTACATTCACTTCCATACTCCAAAAACAGGAGCTAATTCGATCTTGCTGTGGTTACGGTACTTTCTAGTCAGGCTGAAAAGTTGTGAAGGAAGGAAGCAGATGGAGCACACCTCGAACCTCTCTCTCTCTCTCTCCTTCCGTTCTCTTTCTTTCAGCCAACACCTTCCTCCTCTCTCGCTCGCTTCTTCTCCTTCTTCTTCACTTTCACTTCGTTCTCTTCCTACAGTATCCCTGCAGAGTAGTTCGTGCCCCCGGTCCCTCCAGAAGACGCCAGCCGGCCTCCATCGTCTTCAAACTGCCGACCACCGCCTACGACTCGAGCCGCGGCGTCTCGTTCCAAATCCACGACGACGACATGACGTCCAGAAGACACACCGTGTGGTTCGTGCCAGGATCCAGGAGGTAAATCATGAGAACGTCGTTCGATTTTGCATGACTAATCACTGGGGAGTCTAGACACCTCTCTGAAACATGAGTGTTCTTGTAGTGGACGGAGATTTATGAGTGTGTTTGTAGAGTTGCTATGGAGATCGAGCTGACTTTACCTCAGCTCACCATTTGTTCTTCTTTTGCTCATCCCGGCTTCTCGCTCTGTTTCCCTACTCCAATTTCCTCTTTCTACCGTATCCTTCTTCCCTTCTTGTTTCATTCCCAAAGCCTACAGTAAGCCGCTAACTGTGCGATAGAGCGCACTTTCTAATACTGAGAAACAATGATTCCTTAATGACATGGCGTTGACGGCGCATTTGCGAGAGATTGAGAGAGAAAGAAGGCAATAGCGAGTAAATATAAACAAAATAAGATTCCAGAGTTGTGCAGAGAGTGGAGATTTTCGTGCGTATGTCTTCAATGTGTGCGTGTGTTTGAGTGATTGTGTAAAAACGGGCAGTCGAAAAATGTAGTAAGGAGAAGAAGAAGAAGAAGAAGAAAAAGATGAGGGAGGGGAGTGCCAGAGGCTTTTCGAAAGAGGAGGGACCACTGATGAGAGACGCAGTGATATGCAACAAAAATGGGGAGGGGGAAGGGACCCGGTTAGTCTGTGGAGGGCGTGGCGCATGTGCGGGCAAGAGACTCACGAAACTGGAGACGTAGACGGATAGAGCGGATTGATGGCTAGGCGCGAGCGCTGCCGACGACGAAGAAGACGAGTTGGGGCAGCAGCAGAAGCAGCGGAGCAGAGCACAGAGTCGCGGGTTGTCGTGTCCTGCCAGGGGCCACTCTGCTCTGCTCTTGTTGTCGTTCGTCATATCAAATGCCACGAAGACGCGGCTCGTCGTCGTCGTCGTCGGCGGCAGGTGGTGGCGGCAGTGGCGGAGGCTTCGGCCTTTCGAGTCTCCGACGCGAACTCCACCTCCACAACTTCTTCCGCACCTCGTCGCCGTCGGCGTCGTCGTCGGCAACGAGAACGCCTTCCGCCGCATTGCCGCCGCGAACAGCACCTACTAGTATTCCGGGCAGTAATCACAAGTTGACCTCGTCCTCTTCCTATCATCCGCCACGCGAGCTTACCGTCTCGACGTTCAGCGCCGGCTCGGCAACTGCAGCTGACGGACTCGGAAGCGCCCATCTGACGCCGTCGTTGTCGTCGTCAGTACACGCGAGAAGGGAATCGTTCCTCTACCGCGCCAGTGATGATCTTCGCGAAGCCTCGTCGTTGCGGCCAGTCAGTCGGGCGTCGTCGATCGCGTCTAACGAGCACGGGTACGTTTCCACTTTTTCTCATATTCCCATCATCGCCTCTACCGAAATACTGCTAGTCGCTAACGCTGAATCACGCCTTCTTCTGACCGGCATGCACTGACTCTTTCGCTAAGTTCCGATCGCCTCTATCCCTGATTTGTTATCCATTTTTTCCTGTTCGTTCACCCCACACTTCCGATTCAGTTTAATCCAAAAAGGAAGTGCTTCGCTGTATGATCTTCCGGCTGATTCTCCCCTCCCTCTCCCTCTCTCTTTCTATTCACCACCATCATCCCATTTGTATTCTATACAACACAAAAATGTGTTTTCCTATCATTTGCATATGAGTTTGTGTCGAGTGGTGAAAGGGGTCTTGTTGCATGCAACAAAAAAGCGAACATTGTGTTGTCGTCGTGCCAATGTCTGCCAATAACTAGACGGACCGGGGGAGATGCTGCCACCGACAGCTTTCTGGAATTTCTCAAAGTGTATCATGGCTATTGTCTTCCAGTTGCTGCTGACACCTTACGGGCTCTCGGAGCTTCTCCTTCTGCTTCCTCTTCTTCTCCTTCTGCTTCTCTACTCATCAGCCAACACGAAAGCCAAATTATCGTGTTGTTATTTCTGAGAATCAAAGAAAGAATTGTGAGGAGAAGGAGGGCGAGAAGCAGAAGGAGAAGAAGAAGAAGAAGGAGAAAAAGAAGAGAAGTTGTGACGGCGATTGTGTGCGCGAGTAGAAGACGAGGAGAGCAGCACATGTTTGAGGTGTGACCGATATGAGCCCCCTGAGGGTGGCGGCGCAAGTAAGAGAGTCCGGGCCGCTTCGACACAAAACAACTCTCGCCCGCACATGGCCGAATCGCATTTGTGTTGAAGAGTTGAGTTGTTGCCACGTCATGCTATCAAAGATGCAATCAAGTGGGTCCGCGAGTTGCAATAGCTTCCCTACGTCACGCCTGGCCCCAAAATGTGTAATAATCCCGTGGTGCTCTCCCGACGGATGCTATTTTCTCACAGGCGCCGCAACGCCACGGCCCCATAAATGTTGCGACGACGATGACCGATGTCGCAAGTGAGAGCGAGAGTGCGGGAGTTGGGAGTGGTGGCGGCTCGTCGGAGCTTGGAGAGAAGATAAAGCGGTGCTCCGGTCGTCGATGGCTTTCTGGCTGCCACCTCGAATTTTCATCAAATGGCGGGAGGGACTAGACGATCGGAGAAGCACTTGAGTGGTATGTCAAACAGCTCAACGTCTTCTGAAGCATCATCATCAACGTCGTCTGCCACCGAGCTCTCTTGTCTTCATCCTGTCATCAACCGCCTCATCGGAGCTCTCGTTTGCGGAGAAAAGGCCGAGGGGTTGTCGGCTCCGTTTGAACACAATTAGGGTGAGCTGGCGCCCAGTTTGTGCCGACGAAACGGGCGGCAGTTGACGGGAGACTCTGGATCATTGGCCCAAAACATTTATCTCGAGCTCTGTGATAGCTGCGTCTCGTTAGACGGCTCGCTCTTTTCCCTCCTGCTCCCAGATTTCTTCTTCCAAAACTCGAACCCTCGAGAAGTCGCACGAGAAGGGAACTAGAAAAATATTGGAAGCAGAAGAAGACGCGGGAGAAAAAGGAGGAGAGAAGGGGCCGAATCTCGGAAAAACAATCTGAAAGTGTTCTAGATCCTACGAGGGGTTGTTTCATTGTCTTTTAGTGATCGGTTTGCCTTTGTAGGAGAGTGCGTGCTTCGTAATTATCACTCAATTGTTTGCATTTTGTTGTGTGACGTCGAAAGGTCGCCGCACTAGTGATCAAATTGTGTACATGTCCGTGTTCTGATAAGTCTACCAAACGTCCGTCCGTCAGCATCCGGAAGAATAGATCAGAGAAAGGCCTTCTAAGACTCAGGTAAATCGTTTCTAATCTAGCTAGCTGATTCGCGTTTCTAACTGGACCTAGTTAGGTTGCTAATTTACTGCGATTAGATTGCAAATTCTTCTAACTAGACTGATATATTTTCTAATTAGATTGACAAAGCAAAATGTTCCTAATTAGATTGCAAAAACATTGATACTAGATAAAAAATTCATCTAATTCGATTAACCTTTCGGCCAAATCTAGCTAGATTCAGTTTAGATTCCATTTTCATCTAACTATATTCGGAACTCGGTTTAGATTACGAAACCTCCTAACTAGATTACAAGCGATTTAGCTGAGGAATTGAAAGAAGTGGACAAAAGTGCAAACAAGATACGAAAAAATTTTGTGTTCATTGACTGCATCATAGGCTCCGAGTGCAGTAGATTTCACGTGAATGCGTGTCAGTGTCCGCTCCGATGAGCCCGTGCACCTCGCCAACAACCCTTCGGCCGCCTGAAACTACTCGTCTACGCACCAACGCTTGTCATCGCTTATCAGAGAGTCGATGAGTTTATCAGGCTGCAAACCGATGCGTGCCTGATCGACCATTTTGTGTTGCTCACAATGGTCGTGGTAGTGCCGTGTTGCGCTGCCTCTTCTGCCACCTCACCTCCTAAATCTGTATTCCTCATCAACCTGGAAGATGAATCTCGACAGTTCATGATGTAAGTCAAATCCAGATGACGTTGAACTTCGGATCATCAGCTCTTTGCGGAGAGTTCCTGATATTTCCCTCGGCACATATCTTCTTCCCCCCATTTTCACCTTATTCTCTCGTAGCCTGATGTATGTCTAAAGATCAACACTTTGTCCGAGTACAACAATCCGTCTCCGAGTGATGATATCAACATCTTGCAAATCCGATAGGAGAACACACACCTTCAAAGATGATCGGGCCGTCCTTTCATTTCCGGTCTGATAGAATGATGAATGATGGTGTCAGCGTCCGCTCTCCATCCTTTCTCTTCAGCTGCAACAGCTTCCGCCGATCACAGACTTCGTTTCAATGCTTTAAAAACCCCTCAAACAAAGATCCATTGCCACGGCGACAGATAAAATGGCGATTAGCCGGGTGGTAATAAGCGAAAGGGTAGAGGTGGTCAACGGGAAAGAAACAGTGTCGTCGTAGTGTCATCTCGTGCGGCTATTCATTTCCGCCCACTTTTTTCGCCGTGTATCTTCGCTGATTCTGCTGCTGCAGGGCTGCTTCTTCTTCTTCACTTGGCGATGATAATCGACTGAATAGGCAAGAAGACCTCGCTCCAAACCTCGCCGACAGTCTTTGCTTCTGCAACCAATTTCGCCGCTTCTGACGCCGTTGACCGCATGAATGACCACGAGAGTGACTACGAAGACGAAGCGGTAGTTGATGTTGAGTTCGTTTTTCATGTGCTCTTTTCTTTTTATCCTATCATCCCCAAACTGCTTATACAACTTCAGGTGACCTTGTTCTCAAATCCAGGTTATTTCTTCCATCTTAAAAGTACCTCCTTACCCTTCCGACGGTCGCCGTGAAGTGCTTCGACTGCGTGTCTAATGTAAACCTTCACATGCATTTCATGCGAATGTATCTAGTTTCCATTTCGTTCTTGATATTCAACTGAAATCTCAGAGCTCTTCGAAGATGGAGAGTAGGGTGATTAGTGCTGACGCGCGAGTTTCCCGAAATCCTCTGCCGTCTAAAGCCGTCGTCGTGTGCCCGTATTAGTTGCTTCTTTCGTTGTTCTGCTTCCACCCTGTGCCATCTCGAGTCTCTTCCAATCTCTGCCCACTGCGCTCCTCGTTATCCGTTGTTTTCGGCGCCAGCCAAATCATCGTCGCGCGAGAGTCTCCAAGAGAGCGTTCATTTTCTCCCCATCCATGTCGACCACGCCTGGCTCTCCTGGACCACTCGCGTCGCCTGAAATGCAAAGACGACGCAGTCAACGGCACCCTTCAGACACCCCTTCTTGCTTCGGCTCTTTCAAAAGTCTTTTCCTACGTGCACGCTCTAATCGTCAGTGAGTTCATTGTCGAATCAATCGTTAGAAGTACATTCTTAGAGTTCAAAAAAAATCGTTACTAGTACAGTAAGCACCCGGGAGCCCCCTGACATCTCCTATCCCTTTTGGTCCGATTGATCTTCTCTAATCTGTGTGCTACGCGAATCCCTCGCGTGCTTCAGGCGTGCGGATTGCTCCGATGTCTGCTCCCGCCGGTTCGCGACCCCAGGTGTTGGTCGATCGAGGATGGTTGGATCCTCGCCCTGTGTGTATGCCCCGTGTGACGTAGTGGTGTGTACGTTTGCGTGCGTGTGCCTCATGTGTGCGTGCGTGTGTATACAGACAATTTCACGTACCGCGCCGCGCACAGGCGCTCGCGCCCTCCTCCCTCAACGATTCGCTGTACGCGCGCTCGCGCTAGTACTTTCGTGGCCGCGCCGAATAAAGGATGGATTGAGAGGGTAGAGGACGTCTGACGGGGTCGTCGGAGCACTGACATACACACTCACACATAAAGGAGACCCCCTCCGTTTCTTGCAATTCGATTGAGGGCAAACTAACAAACAAATATACCGGGGCCGCTTTCTTCTTTCTCTCCCTTCCTTCTTCTCTGATCCTCTCCGTCCCGGAGTCTCTAGATTCGAAGGGAGGCGCGGCGGGTCGTTGTCGTGTGTATTCGGACTGCTGATTTCACACCTCGGTTTCACACCTTCCCCAAAATTCTCACTACTTTATCATTCCTCGTCCAAAAGTTGGCCGCCCCTTCGGACAATCCTGCTGCCACGTCGTCCTCCTCCAGAAGGTCGTCAAGAAGGTTTGCGCCCTCTCCTGCTCTCCTCTGGCTTATTCAGCACCATTTTCTTCTAATTCTTCTCCTTTTTCTTCTCTAGCTCATTACAAAAAAACATCGCTCTCTCTCTCTCTCTCCCGTCGGTTTTATTGCCGTCTGGTAATGGGTTTCAGAAGCGCAGGTCATACGACCTTTTCGTTTTTGAAAAGAAGAAGAGGAGAAGAAGAAGAAGAAAGGAAGGATCACATGTGCCTTCGGAAAAGATTATGGCTAAACGCGTTTTGAAAGTGGTTCAACAAACCCCTCACAAAAAATTGGCTGGCTTTTCTGAAAGCCATCAGCAGCAGGCAGACTGCTCCATTCGCCCTTTCCCGTCAATCATCTCCGTGCTGTCATCTGCTCACCTTTCCGAAAAAACAATCTTTTGAACGTTTCGCCATCGCTGTTTTTTCTTTCGACTTCTACTTCAGTTGCTCCTGAAAGCAATGACAAACAGAAAGGGGCGGAGCCAGGCGACTGGGCGGGTAGTAGTCTACTGCTCCGCCGGCTGCCGCAGCCGAAGCGTTGTGTTGCTCGGCATTCCTGCTTCAGTTCGTCGTCTCCCTCTCTTCTGCCGAATAACCCATTTCAAACCTCCCACTCAAATAGTCTGTAGTCTCTTCCGACGATATGTCGATCTCGCTGAATAACAACAATAACCGGAGCGTCCGTCGAAAATTCGGCGAGTCCGGATTCACGTTTCGGTGAGCACACTGGCCTTTTGCACGTTGGTCCGATGTTTCTGTTGTGTGCGTAAAAGTTGCGGGTTCGTGGGGACGAGACGTCGTCGACAAAATGGATGGGGTGGATTAGAAGTCATATCTATTTACGAGTTGGCTCACCGGCCGACGTCTTTTCGTCCTCCATTCGTTTATGTTTTCGCTTCAAAGCATGGTTACACACATATAATTATAGGAAAAAACACCGAACCAAAAACGAAAGAGGCGGTGGTGGACTGAAAAAGAAAATGGAAAACTCTGCAAAATACGACCGAATGCCTTTTTTGCAGACACGGCGACGACCTAATCGTAACACCGTTTGCTCAACTGCTGGCCAGTCTCCGAAACGTCCGATCCAATCTGATTTCGATATCCAACATCCAGGTGAGCACAATTTGGAAGAGAAGGGGAAGCCGGGGGTCCGATCAAACACTTCTTCCTCTCACTACATCTTTTTCCTGTTGAGCCTCAATAACAAAACCCCTTTTCGTGGCCATAACCAACTCCCCGAGGACAGTATTTCATGTTATTCTGTGAGAGAGTCTCTTGTCCGACCAAAGACAACAAGTGGTGGCGAAAGAAGTAATACTTTGGTTTCCTCGCTTCGCTATTCCTTTCAACGACGCTCTCATCCCTACACAATGTTTCGGTAAAAGCAGAAAGGAAATCTCATCATCTGAAAAAAAGCGAAAATATTGTGCAGAAGAGACACAAGGATATCTTCCTAGAAGGCTGGCGACGATGCACAATTTTCAGAAAAAAAAAAGAGAGAGAGAGAGTTCCTTCGCTATCTTCTGTCGGCTCAGGGTTTTCGGGCACTGCAGCCGAGAGTCGCCGTGCATGTACATATGTAAATAGGAGCGGGACCCACGGAGACACTCTAGAACAATGGGAAAGCTCTTTGGGAGCAAGCACGTGGTGCTGAAGAGCCGAATGAAAACTCTCGGATTTCAGAACAGCGACGACAGTCGACACGCCAACCGAAGTGCGAAGCGGCCGCCGTTGCACAATACTCCGCTTCCAGACGATGTGGTGCAATGTGCACATGACACTCTCGGTAAGCCCATCATTCCATCATGCGGACGATCGGAGAGAGGTCGTAACTTTCGACAACGGCTGCAGCCGATCGACTGTTCCGTCCGGTCCCCACCGGAAACTGTTTATTGGCGCCACCGAGTTTACACGCATGACCTGCCGATAAACTGTACACTTCTGTGATACCGCTTGCGCGTTCTTCTCCTCTTCTCGTCCAGTTTTTCCCGCAATCTCGATCGTTTCAGAAGAACTCGATTGGTGTCTGGACCAGCTGGAGACAATTCAAACGCATCGATCAGTGTCCGAAATGGCGAGCAGCAAGGTGAGTGGCCCCTCGAGGCGTCACGCGCACTTCCTCCTTCTGCTCCCTTCTTTTTTTCTGCGGGACCTTGCTTGTCGCGGCACGCAGCTGTGCCCCCCACTTGTCCTCTTCCGTCATCCGCCCCTCATGTGCCCCCGAATTCAAATTCAATCCGAGCAAAGACATTGGCGGTTCGTGAGAGGCGGATAACTCAATCCCGAAGGCACTTGTCTTTTTTCTGAAGCAGAAAGAAGAAGGGAAGAGAGAGCTATCTTTTGAGAAGGGGGGAAAACAGGAGAGTTACGGTAACCGATATCACTTTCGATTTGATTGCCCCTCATAAAATACGTTGATGGAATGGAGAGAGAGAGAGAAATGGAAGAAACAGGGATGAATCCAGTCTGTCTCCACCACCGTAATCGATGTGTGGTCGAGAAAGTGCAGCTGGCAATGCGCCAAGATCTCTCGAGGCGGTTTCAAAACGAATCACGTCATTGGGCAAGAATCAGTTTGTTTCCGGTGAGGTATCCGACCGGAAACGAGGCCTGGGGAGTGAACGGGGGCGAAAATGAACATAGATACACTCCATTCACTTACTAGACAGTAATCAAACTTTGATAATGATATCAATTACATTTCAAACTAGACATTTAGATATATTTTCTTGTTATAACTTATGACACTGTTCTACTTTGCATTGAGACCTATCAAATGTAAACCACAAAAATGAGAGAGTAGAAATCATACTATAGTTCAGTTCAAATCGTTCATTTTGTACTTAATTTCCGGAAGGACACCTCCATATTCTCTACGAAACCCATCTAATTGTCCCCGTGCGCAAGGCCCGCGCACATCTTGTATGATAAGCGAGAAAAGGAAGTGCGTCGATCACGGAGGGCGCCAGACGGCGGAGTGCTTTGGCTTCTAGTAGCGGTTTGCAAGCGCGACTTCCGGTGATTGATGCTGTAGATTGATGGTGTCATTATTTGTTATATACTTTATGGTGATAGGGGGGCAAGAGACGCAGTGATAGTCGGAGCGGGGTGGAGAGAACAGGTTGCGGCGACGTCTTCGGCCCGGAGACGCAGAAGGAAAGCCCCTTCGTCTCCGTGTCTCTTGATTTTTTAGCCGTGGCCTCCACTGACTGTTTTTGGGCGGGATGGAGGAGGGGAGGGGACTTTCCAACTAATTAGCATCGCGCCACGCAAACATAATATGATAATCGTCGGTGCGTTGCAGTTCCGCAAAATGCTCAACAAGGAGTTGTCGCACTTTGCCGAGTCGTCGAAATCCGGCACGCAGGTCTCCAAATTTCTGATCACCACCTACATGGACAAGGAAGAGGACGAACCGTCGATCGAGATCGAAGTGCCCACCGAGGTGTGTTTGACGATAAAAACAACAAACTGACTGCATGTGTGGTAAGAACCTGTCGGGGGCGGGCTGCCCAAAAAAGATTGTTCTTCAAAAAATGGGCGAAGCAACACACAATGAGTACATCCGCCATTCGCTCACTTTTAGTACTACTTTTGATACGTTCAATCGTGCGAAAAAAACAATGTATTCTGAAGACGAAGAAGATCGAAACAACAATTCGATCGGTTCCGTGCACAAGGTACTGTAATCTAGCCGCTTATTGATCACGCAGTTTTGCACGTTTCAAAGGTTTCGAAAAGAAATTTAGATGAGAAAAAGTAATATCTGAACCGGCTTCTCGAATTGTCACGTCCCGGCCAGAACAGAGCGTCTCCTTCCTCCGACTGTGGTCACTTATCTTTCTCTTTTTGCGCATCGCTGACCACTCACTACACCTCTGTGAGACAATTTTCGAAGGCTGTTCTGGCCGGCAAAACACTTCTTTTCTCCAACTATGATTTCTATTCATTCTACATTCAACTGTTCAGATTTCCTCCGGAATGTCTTCAAAAACATGGTAAACACGTTGCGCTTCTATTTTCAAAGATCAGCCACATGCCAAATCTAGAACCCTTGCCCTGGCTGTCCATTCATCAATTATCCTTTTACAGGTGCAAGGACCTTCCACTTCTGGTCCGATGACATTGTCAATTCTGAAGAAGGCACAGACGGCTGCAATGAACAAAATCTCCGGAGTTCGGAAGCTCCGTGCTCCGTCGCATGACGGTCACGTGCCCGAGTACGGTGTCAACTGCGCCCGAGAGATCGCTGTGCACATGCAGCGGCTCAACGACTGGGGACCGGACGTCTTCAAAATCGACGAGCTCTCCAAGAACCACTCGCTCACCGTCATCACGTTCACTCTCCTTCGTCAACGGAACCTCTTCAAAACTTTCGAGATTCATCCATCAACTCTGGTTACCTACTTGCTCAATTTGGAACATCATTATCGGAGCAATCACTATCACAACTTCATTCATGCGGCCGACGTGGCACAGTCCATGCACGTGTTGCTCATGTCTCCGGTGCTCACGGTACTGCTCCCTTTCCCACTGTACCTGCTAATGCTGCTCTTTCAGGAAGTCTTCTCTGATCTTGAAGTGCTGGCAGCTATCTTCGCCGGTGCGATTCACGATGTCGATCACCCGGGATTCACGAATCAGTACTTGATCAACTCGAGTGAGTACTTCCCTATTTCCCCGCGTAACAGCCAAAAACACCTGACAGTGTCTTGAATGATCTGCAAAAGATCACAGCTAGTTGGGCCAATTTTCGATCTGATAGACTTTCGGCTGATTGAACGATTGCAGATAACGAGCTCGCAATCATGTACAACGACGAGAGCGTCCTCGAGCAGCACCATCTTGCGGTCGCATTCAAGTTGCTCCAAGACTCCAACTGCGATTTCCTCGCCAATCTGTCCAGAAAACAACGGCTGCAATTCCGCAAAATTGTCATTGATATGGTAAGTGGTGATAGTGGCTGTGGTGGCCCCGACCGGAAGTGTCACAATGAATTAGGAAAATGCGGACTTGCTGGCTGCGTGTGTTTGTTTGAAAAGTGACAACATACAAGGCCTCCGTTGCGATTAGTCATGAGTGGATCACGTGCGGGACGGAAACGACGGTCCGCGGGCGCCGTTTCGAACTGCAATTCGATTATCCGATTGTTACAGGTACTCGCGACGGACATGTCGAAGCACATGTCTCTGCTGGCCGATCTGAAGACGATGGTGGAGGCGAAGAAGGTGGCCGGAAACAATGTGATCGTGCTGGACAAGTACAATGACAAAATACAGGTTTGGAGGAAACTCTTTGAAGATCAAAACGCTAATGTTCGCATTCTGCAGGTGCTGCAGTCCATGATCCATCTGGCTGACTTGTCGAATCCGACGAAACCGATTGAGTTGTATCAGCAATGGAACCAGAGGATAATGGAAGAATACTGGAGGCAAGGAGACAAGGAGAAAGAGCTCGGACTCGAGATTTCGCCCATGTGCGACCGAGGAAATGTGACCATCGAGAAATCACAGGTAACACTCGTACTACGATTGGTTTCAGCCTTGAACGGAATGATTTCAGGTCGGATTCATCGACTACATTGTCCATCCACTATACGAGACATGGGCTGATTTGGTGTATCCAGATGCACAAAATATTCTCGATCAGCTGGAAGAAAACCGTGAATGGTACCAGTCAAGGATACCGGAAGAGCCGGAGACGGCTCGGACGGTGACGGAAGAAGACGAGCACAAGTAGCACGCGGGGAGGGCTCTCTTTCTGAATGACCAATGAACTGAATGCGTGTCTTTTCAAAGCTGTGCTAGGTGTTTAATTGTATACTGAATTCACACACTCACACAAACACAAATGGGAGCGGGTGCCACACTCAGCTTATAGTCTATCGTCATATTCGTGAATTCCTTCGATTGCTCCACATTCAACACTCTTCCCCGTCTAGTCCCCCTTCCGCTTCCCGTTTTACTGTAATGCCTCCCTACAAATGTCCCCCCACAATCATCTCAAAACCATCCGATTGCTTTATGAACTGAGACTGAAACTTGCCAAATCAACAACTTCTGTCGAAGGACCCCTGTTAGTTCTATTCAATTCCCTTCCCTGTCCCCGTCCTTCCTTCCTTTCTTTGCTTTTGTCTTTCCGTCGGGTTCCCACTCTTTTCAGACTTCTACTCGCACTTTCCGGTGCCTCGCTGTCCCGTCCTCTCCTAGTTTCCATAGTTTTCTACTTTCTTTTCCCCTCTTATTTAGCCTTCAAAAGCCTCTACTTCCAGCTTCTATCTGTATGTACACATTGCATGTTTCTCGCTTTAAATCAGATTTCTATTCAACACTTTGGATTCCGTCGAATGTGGTAATTTTGAGAATAAATAAGATTTACCTTTAAATGATCTGTTTTCACAATGTACACGCACAATCTTCGGTCTTCAGACCGGAAAACAACTTCGAATGAGATAAAATCAGCTTTCCCCTCTTCGTCTTCCTCTTTTTCTTCTTTGTCGCTTTGTATGTGCACGCACAATTTGTCACTCTTTGCGTGCCAATTCCCCAGTGGCTCAAAACTCGAAACGACGGCATCAAAACAGCCGAAAAGTTGGCGCACTGCCTCCTTTTTCCCTTGCCTCCCCCCGGCACACTAGTCATGAATGGAGGCAAGGTGTCCCCGTGGAGCATGAATTATTCATTGCGGTTAAATGAGTGAGTGGCCGGAACGCGTGTGGAGTCGCCCCGGAGCTCGCCGAGCATTTCCTCCAGTCAGCGTTTCGTCTAATGGCCGCGGACTCCCTCCCCCTCGGCCCGCTAACATTTATTTCGTCAACTCTCTTATTGGTCCCACATTCGCATTAGTGCGCTTTCCTTGGAACTCGGTCCCGACCTGACCGAGTGCATTTCCTTATGTCTTCCGCATTGCACGTAAAGCTTCTTCGTAGTTTCACGCAGTTGAAATAACAAGAAAAGATAGAGAGAATACTTTTGGTTACTTTTTTCCCGAAATGTAATACTCCGTTTCTCCCTATGCAGAACTGAAAATGTAAAGTTACGAGGAATCATATAACATGGAAAACCGTAACCCTTCTCGCCCTTTCTCTCTCGTAACAAACGTTATGACTCGTTTTGTTTTTTCGAGTCAATTCTCTGCCGATTATGCTAATATATGGAAGCGACCGGAAGCTCCGCCCACTCTTGCTTGTGACTCCTATTCAATGATTAAAGAGTTATATGTCAGGTGTAAAGGCTTTCGCTCCCCCCGTCCCTCCACGCTCATTTATTTTCGCGCACCCCCATCCGTAATATGCCATATGCTTTCCGCCGCGTGGAAGCTTATTTATGCGACATTTCGACGGCATTCATACATTCGATCAGCCATAAAATCGATTCCGGCGGCTAATTGTCGAGAGCGGAAGCCAGCAGACCGCCCCGTGTTTCTAACGTGGTCAAATATTTAAAAAGCGGCATTGTGCGGACATGTGTCCGCGCGGAGGAGTCAGGCTCTTTCCGCGGCCGGCTCCTCCGGACGGGTCACTCGCCGCTGGCTGACCCCCTCTCTCCGGTTTCCTCTCTTTCTTTTCATGTGATTAAATTACTCGGCCACCGCTTCGATTCGCAATAATCTCTTTCTCTATCTCTGTCTGCAAGCACTCGCCGACTCGCCAGACCGAGAAGATCGCGGCTGCGTGTGAAACACAATACAGTGCGTGGCGACGCAGAGTGACTGGCACAACATGTCAACTGATAGACAGTGAGCAGCGAGTGTGCAAGGAGCAGAGCCGCAGACTTCTCGGAACCTCTCTCGCTCCCTCTCTTTCTCTTCCTCTCCAAGTGCTCCGTAGTTCAGTTGACGGCTCTTCCTCATCCGTCCATCACTATGACGTGGCAACATCTCCTCCCCTTCAGGGAATTGGTCCTATTCGAGAAGAGTGCATACGTGTGGCAGGTTCCTGCGTGATTAGTCATCATCACTGGCGGCGCGTTTATGTGTGTGTGTGTGTGTGTCTCTTTCGAACTTGTACTCGTCGCCTTGTTTCACTTCAATCGCACCATCAATCGAAAACAAATCGCCCTCCCTTCTGTCCGTTTTCCCTCTGCGCTTCGTCTAATCCTTCGGCAATTCGACATATGTTTCCCATTGATATCAAATTTTCGAGTCGTTTCCTCGTTCATCCGTCCCTCCTTCTCTTCAATAAGTGTTGCCAAATCACTTGAAGCTTCCTTCCGTCCGGCCTTCCAGTATCCCCTCGTCTTCTTGTAAATTGACACCATCTGGCACGGACATAATTCGATTTTTATTTGCTTTGTTTCCCCTTGTAGCTTCGTCATGTATCCTTTCACTTATTTGGGTTGAAAAACTGAAGGAAAGAGAAGAATTTAGACGGAAAAACAGACATTTGAGTGTATTATTCATCGGCTTTTCGCTTGCGAATAACAATGAAATTGGCTCTCTTAGGCTCCATTTCCCCTCATTTTCTGTTTGCTCTCTGTAAGCATTTCGAGCTCAACGTGAGCCGTTTCCCCCATTGTTTTTACTTCACACTTGGCCCCCGTTTTCTCTTTTTCTTAACTTTTTGTCTCTTTTCGGAACGTTTTGACACTGCGTAAACACACTTCTTCTTCTTCTTCTTCTTCTTCTTTATTCCTTTTTTCTCTACCCTAAGTGACTCACTTTCTTCTCAATTTGATTCAGTTGAGATCCCCGTCCTCGCTGCCACTTTTTGTTGACGAAACGAGCCAGAAACGTGGCCTCGTCGGTTTCAGATCGAATTTCCGTTTCCTGAATATACATTTTCCCCCGCAATCACATGTCAGAGACTATTTTACACGGACGATTCACTTCAAGAAGCTACATTTTTTCCTGTTCATTTTCATTCTTCTCGCCCATTCTTTGTCGTTTTCGACCACACCTTCGCATTGAAATGCATCTAATTGATAAATACGAGGATGGCAGTAGTCGGTCTCCAAGGTCACTCGTTTCTAAGTATCTCCTGCGCTCTAATCATCTCTTGTGTTTCCCTCGATTCTTTCCGGGACAAGTCCTCTTCCGCCTCCCCTCCTCCTCCTCTAATTTCCGACGTCTTCATCCATAAACTTTTCACTTTTCCTCACTCCTCCATCCCGTTTATGTGCGAGTCTTCCTCATTTCCCTCCAAATGAGTCGCATTGTCTCTGGCTCCCTCGGCCCTCAATTTCCTGCTGTTTCTCGCGCATTTCGTATCCATGACCATGAGCCATTATGTGTCGGAGAGCAAGAAGCTGCACTTTTTATGGCTCCTCCCAAACCCGACTTCTTCCCGTTTTCAACCATCTCTTTCTCATTTTTCGTCCCCGCATCCACTAGGAAATGCATTCCCGCGCACTGCCTCCTCCCGATATGTACACAATTCAAACACGGCCGGCCACCCAATATGTTTGCATTTTACAAGTCCAATATGTTCGGTTACCGCTCCCTCACACCTACGCATTTCGCTCCCATCCCAGCTGTCGTTTTCGTGTCGCACAGGTGCCAAACTGAAACTTTTTCGAGAAACTCGTACAGCTGTGGCAATCCGTCCCTTTTTATTTTCATTCTCTTGTTTTTCCTCCTAACCATCACATGATCTTCGCGTGATCCGGCCGTAATTATACGCTTATTCTCTTTCACTTTTCTCCCACAATTCCCAACCTGAAACTTGTCAGAATGCCGTCAAACAGCCGAGAATCGGAGGCGTCGTGTCTTGAAATGCTTCGTTCGATCATCCGAACGACGGCTGATGACAACTCGAAGTGGGTCGAGATCTTTGTTGACTTCGAGAATGCGCAGCCGACGAACGAAGAACGGGAGATTTACGAGATGGCAGAAGAGGTGCTGCACGATTGTGATACGGTGCTTGCGGATGTATCCAGCTATGGAAACGGTAGAAACAACTTTTGAAGCCATTTGAGAAACGAGTGTGTTTCAGGATGTTATGCGGAAAGGTCTCAACTGAAAAACGACAGTGACATCAGCGCGCTGAAGTCTTTGATGGTCAAACTAGAGCCGTTCGTTGCTCGCACGTGCTCGTACTATGAGCACGTGACCAAGATCGAGAAGATCGTCCCGGTCATCCTGTGGGAACTATCTTCCGGGCCGTTGCCTCTCGAGGAACAGCTGGCCAATAAGCAATCGATTGCGAAGCAGTTCGCCCGCTTAATTGGATTCGTTCTCGACTTTGACGTTGTAAAAGTATGGCAGAGCGATTGGATTTCCAGTATAAACCGGTTATGCGTTGCAGATGAGAACCGCCCAAATCACGAACGATTATAGCTATTACCGAAGAGCGAAGCATATTGTTTATCAGGATTTCGAGTATGAAAATGAGAACAAATTCAAGATTTAAAAAACAAAAGCGCTTGCAGAGATCAAGGAGTCGCCGAACTGCCCCAAGTGCAAATGTTCCTGTGCGAAGGCAATCCGATGCTCAGAGCCCTTTGCAACGGTGTCGACGCCTACATGCGTGCCCATCAGACGCTCCCCATCCACAACACGACCGACGTCTTCGTCACCATCATCAAGTGAGCTCTTTTCGTCTACCGTACCCCCGTCCCTAAATGGCTCCATTCAGTGTCTGTCGTTTTATGCTGGCCAATGAAGAATGCCTCGCGAGGCTCACAGAGTCATCGCGGCATCTGTGCTGTCGTGTCATGACCGGACTCGTCATCCTTTTCGACCACGTCGATCAGAATGGCGCGTTCGTCGCCAACTCGTGCATTGATATGCGCGACGTCGTCAGGCTCATAAAGTCGAATACGACCGCCGAGCAGGTGGGTGCTGAAGGGGAACGGACGGAGAGAAATAGGGGCAGTTTCAGACGGACTGTCTGCTGGCGGGGCTCCGCTACACGACGAAGCACTACAACGACGCGAGCACTCCGAAGTCTTTGCGCCATTTGCTCGAAGTGAAATGACTGCTGCTGCTCCGTTCCGCCCGTCTAGTCCCTTGCCCTCGCTGCTCGCTTCTTTTCCATCTCTCTTCATTCACGGTGATTTCCTTCTCGTCAAACAGTACTTTTCAGAGTGATAATACTTTTTTCCCTCGATTAATTCGTTGCCTTCCGTTCCGGTTTCATACGCTTTGTACATTCTTGGATCTACATGAACAGTCGGTTTTATATCACACCTTTATTGTTTTGGATCGCAAATATATAACAACAATATGTAGAAAAGTTAAAATACAGAGTTGCTTAGAGAGAGGAGAGACACAAAACGGAGTGGAAAACAGTTAAAAATGATGGGAGGGTATGGGGCGATGTGTGAAGGCAGAAAAGCACAAAAAACAAACGGGTCGGCATTTTTGAGCAGCGAACGAAACAAGCGACTCGGGATGTGGCGGTTGTGCCATATATTGTGCTATATAACACCTATTGTAATAATTGGGGGAAAAGAATGAAGAGGAAGGCGCATTACGTATCGGGGTATCCGGACTATAAACACGTTTTGGGACAAAAAAGAAAACGACGAAGAAAATGTTAAGAGAGGAGAAAGTGGGTCATTTGAAAGGGTGATCTAGATAGTTAATTTGAATGAATTTGGAAATTTGCGCGAAATTTTCAAGGGAATCTTGAGAAGCAGGTGAGCTAGCATGACACATGCTTCCCGAGAATCTGCTGGAAATGTTCTGGAATCATGCTCTTCGAGATGCTACTGGATAATGAACGCGACAACGTTGAACGTACGTCGACGAGGCCTTCAAGACTTATCTTTTTTGGCATTTTCAGGGAAGTTGAGGGGGACATCGAGGCTAAGAAGATTTGGACATAGAACGGAACACACACTCACGAAAACAAGAGGAAAGAAAATAGAGACATGTTTAGAGAATGGTGCACTTCTTCTTCTTCTCCTGTTGTGGTGGATCCAGAGCGGCAAGAATTGCCTCGTCGAAGACGTTCTTTAGGCCTTTCTGCAGAAATTAACAATCATTATGCATTTTCAGACTTTATCTTATTCATTTTTTATCAGGAAGTGAGAAAGAACTGGTTCCCGCTTGTTTTCAATGAATGACTCACTTGCGTCAACGCGGAGCACTCGACGTATTTGACCGCCTTCAATTCCTTCGCCAGCTTCTCTCCGACGTCGGTCGACACTGGCTTCTGCTTGTTCTTCGCCAGCTTTTCGAGCATTCCTGGATCGTCTCGTAGATCAACCTGGGTTCCGACCAACAGGAACGGCGTCTTCGAGCAGTGATGGGAAATCTCCGGCACCCACTGTAACAATACGTGATTACAGAGAAGATATTCTAGTTTTGTACCTTTTCTCGGACGTTCTCGAAGGAAGCTGGGGCGACGACGGAGAAGCACACAAGGAATACGTCCGTCTGCGGGTACGAGAGCGGCCTTAATCGATCGTAATCTTCCTGTCCGGCGGTGTCGAACAATCCTAGAGTGTACGGCTCGCCGCCAATCATCACCGTCACCTGAAACACTTCTGGGTTTCTGATGCTTTGTTTCTTTCGAAAAACTCACGGCGTAATTGTCGAAAACGGTCGGCACGTACTCAGACGGAAACTTGTTTGTCGTGTAGCTGATCAGGAGGCACGTCTTACCGACGGCTCCATCTCCGACGACAACACATTTAATCGTCTGCATTTTGTCTGAAATGAGGAAATTTGAAAATGCGAGCATGACTTTTCAGAAATAAAGTGCAGCGCTGAGTCATATGATAGTGCCGGAGAGCAGCAGGAACAAGGGAGAGAGAACGAGAGACACCGGACGAATTGCGAAACATCGGCCCGGAAAATCGATTTCTTTCGAAACGAGTCTGTACGAAGCAGATGGAGACTAATCACGCATTGAAACATAGCTAAAAGAGCAGTGACGGAAAGGGGAAATACGGGAAAACAGTACTTTTGAGGCAGTATTTGGTGAGGGAGTGTATTGAGTAATCTTCTTGACGACAGGCAAGCCGAAAGTTCGGAGAGACTCCTTTTGGTGGTACTGTACTTAAAGGCGCAGAAGCATTTTTAAATATGGGTCCTCAAACGAACAGACTTTATTGCTTCTGTTGACGTTTATTGCAATTTTCAGGCAGGCATTTCATCTTTTTTAAAATACGTACTTTTAAACGCTTTTTTATTAATTTTTGAAATAAATTCAGCTCGAAATAGTTCACTTGTAAAATAGAAATCAACTTTTTGAGTACCGGAAAACACGTGTAATTGAGTGTAACTTACGCTACCAAATGACGAAAGAGTGATTTTATCGATTGACGACGCACCGAATGAGGCGCTAATCAATCAAAAATTAAACAAAGTTAGACACAAGCGTGCCAAAAAGCCGTGTCGAACACGAAAAAGCGAATAAGAAGATGGTGGACAGTTTGTCGGCGAGCCTAAAGACAACCGCGACGCGGCCGCTCGCATCCATAGACAACTATGCAACGGGAGACGCAGAAAAAGACGAGGGAGTGTAGAGAGAGTGGAGACAAGGCCACAACTAGCGAGGGTTGCCCGACCACCCGAATTATCGGATTCAAATTTAGGTACTTCTAGACTGCTTCATCCGTAGAACTGTTGATGATCCACGTGGAATAGACTCTCGTGATGTGTTTGCAACCTGTTCCCGGCCAATTACCAGGTTGTATAACTCGTAAGCCGAGCAAATAGGTCAACTGAATTCATTGTCGAAACCCTAAAAACCATCTTCCTTTCACATGACTTATTTTGGTTCTCTCCGAATCGGTCTAGAGATTCTACAGTAATTCTACTGTAATACCAGAAATTGCCACCTAGCGAGCGTGCATACATGCGGCCGATTTTTTCCTTCGTACACTTGGCACAGCTCCCTCCTTCGCTCCGCGTCTAGCACGAGAAAAGCTCATTCCGAATATCCTAAACGTCCGCAGTCGAACGTTCTTAACAATCCCATCCATCATCTGCCTCATCTTCCTATACCCTCGGCCCTTTCGCTTCCCCATTTCCATTCTTCAGTTTTGACTTCGGATCATATCTTGCGTCCTGAATACTTCAGCTTCAGTCCCTCTCCCACTAAAAAATGTTTCCTGTACTATCACAGTCACCCTGAACCATTCTGAACGTTCGTCTAGAAAGGGGCTGTACAATTTCTTTCCTGGTCTTCCGATCGATAGTCCGTGAATCCGGTTCCCTCTCCCGTCTCCCAGTTGTCATGTGCCGCTTCTTCTCCGTGGATGCCGTCGTCCGCTTCTTCAACTTTTTCTGAACCCATCATGGCCTCCGCCCGAGGCCGTCTCCCTCGGCCGTCCGCACACCTGTTCTTCCCTTTTCCTCTCGTTCCTCTGTTTGTTTTGTCGCTCGTGCGCCTACAGACAGACCGAGTTTCAAACGCTCTCGCATTCTTATATCATATAGATTAGGTGAGGAAAGATATTTATTCGTTTCAATAAGTGTATTCTGCCTTGAAATTCTTGGCCATTACTCCATGTGGATTGTTCGCCACACACGCGTAGACGCCTTGATCTCCCATTGTGGCTGGATCTGGAACCAAGAAACATTGGCACTCGTTCGCCACGGTTCTCCTCAAATGTTCCTTTTCTCCGCCAACAAGCTTGCAACTAACTCGTAAAAGATGTGCAAACACTCTCGAGTGCTACTTCCAGGGTTCTGTGCGTTCTAAAATCGCAACCTGGGGGAAATTCGTTATGGAAAAAGGAAAGCGTCGCTGACGAGTAAAAAAGTTGTATAAGCTCTATGAACATTTCGCCACTTACCAACTTCCAGTTTGCTCCACATGGTGTCATTTTCTATTGGTTTTTCGTAATACTAAAAATCGAAAAAAAAAATAATTTTGCGGTTATTGGGAACGAAACCTACATGGATGCTGGCTTTCGGTTGTATCTCGGCTCCTTCTTTGTACCACTTGATAGTCGGTCGAGGCTCCCCGCGAGCTTTGCAAATAATCAACAGTTTATAACCGAGACGGTACGTCTGACTGAAATGTGATCCAGTTATAATCTGAGCACTCTGAAAGAATAATTCATTTTCCCCCTTTTTCCCTCTTTGAATCTCTCACTCTATTATCCGAAAGAACCGTCTGAACAAGTGAGAACTCGGCAACCTGTGCGAATTGCAGGTTACTCTTTCCCTTTCCTTTTCCACCTCGACGGCCTCCTCTCGAATCAATGACTGCAGCCAAGAAGCAGAAGAAGAAGATGAAGCGGCCCCAGCACCGGAAACGCATGATCCGCGATCTGCCACCAAGTTTCGCTACACTGTTGCACCCGTCGCTTCGCGGGATTCTAATGAAGTAAGTGGGCTGAAACTGGAAAGATCGATGAAAAAACGTGATAAATGGGATATTGATCGGAAGAGATGTCTTCAGAGCATGTGTTCTTCCTTTTGCCAGTGTAATATTTCAACGGGCGAGAGAGAAAAAGAAATTGAAAGAGATAATGTGCCTCAATCCGTGGCATGATGGGAGCGGGAATCTCGGTTGGAAAATTGGCAGGGACCTTCTGATTTTCAGCCGTCAGAAGAGATGGAACAACGGAAGTCCGCCGCATCGAATCGCCGTCAACCTTGTCAGAAGGTACAAAAAGCAGCTGAAGCCGAGAGTGATGCCGTTCTTCTGCGACAAATGCAGACTATCAACTCGCACGCTTTCCCACATCTTGGGTCACGTTTGCGACAGAGAGGAAAAAAGGAAAGCGGACAGGAAAGAAGCGGCTCGGAAGTTTTCTCTGTACGATTGTGCAGCTGGTAAGAATTGGCACGGGAGAAACTGAAGATAAAGGCATTCATACAGAGATCAAAATGGCTTTGAATGCCGAGAAACAATGGAGATACAACGGAATGGCGGTAATGGAACAGACTCTGAAACCGGAAAAAGTGTGCCCGAAGCCAGTGCATATTGTGCAGGCCCCGAAGGAAACGCAATATTTGGATCACGAGCCGTCCCCGGAGTGAGTTTGAAATGGAACTAAAGTGGAGAGGCGCAAAGAGAAGGGCTGCTCGCAACTCGATTAGCACCGGCGACGTCTTCTTTTCTCAACGAGCACTCTCTCTTATTGACGCCTTCGTCTTTTCAGATTCTTCGCCGCCCAAGAGCAAGAATTCGACGATGAAACTCCGCATTATCCGTTGGAAGAAGTGCTCATTCCGTCGACTCAAATACGCCCGAAAACCACATTGAAACCGTCGAGATGCTTGGCACATCCCGAGCCTGGAGTCTTCTGCTTCCACTGCAAAGGATCGTTTGACAGCTACAATCAGTACCAACTTCATTTGCGCAAAGAATTCAGCGATGGAGTGTGCAGCCGCTCTTTGCCCAGCTATTATTACGTAGAGGTATTGCAAAAAAGAGATACCTTACTGAAATATGTGATTGCAGAGAGAAGACAGAACTGGAATGTTCAACAAGGAACACCGACACAGTGTTATGCACCATGTTCCGGTCGAACGGGATGTCTCCCATATCCGATGCACTCTTTGCAAAACGATGAACTTCGCCAGCACAGGGGATCTCTATTCGCATATGATCAAGTGTGCGAGCACAGTCACTCCCGGAAAGTGAGTGCTCTTCAATGTCTCGCCCGATCGCAACATTTCCATTTCAGAGGGTCCCCAATAGATTGTCCAACTGCGTTCGGCTATGGAATGCCGCCCTCCTTCAACGCTTGCCAATACGTTTTCCCCGATCCGGTCAGAGAGAAGGCTCCCCGTACTGAGAGCGTTTCTGCCGAATCCTCTTCGAGCAGCAACAAAACTAGCCTCTGAACTATTTTTAAGCACAACTCTTCTTGTACACTTTCCTTTTTATTTATTTCATGTCCAATGTAGCTTCTTCGCCGTCCACTTTTACCCAATTTCCCAGTCCTCTCCGCAAAGTTTCCCCCAAATCGCCCGGAGCGATCACAGCCATGCCCCGTTCTCCAAGACCCGCTTCCCTGTACTTTCGACGTGCTTCCTTTCACTTTGCCTTTCCGATTGCCTAGCTCGCTCCTCTCTGTTCATCGACTAGCGCGATCTCTCCCAATTCCTCATCCTCATTGTAAACTTATCACAATTTTATTCCCATCTATCACAAGTTAATGAATTATTATCGGAATGTACAGAAATGCTCGATTTTAGAAGTTGCCGCTTCAGGGAGAGTGCTTGTCGATCAATTGGAACTGCAGCGAAGCGGTCTTTACAATGACCTCATCGTGGTTTCCGGGCTTCTGGTATTCTGCATCGGCTCCGGCGATTTGGGAAGTCAGCTGGCCGCAAGAGTTTCGGAATCCAACTTTGTCGTCTCCGGGACCGTAGATCGAGAATATGTGTTTCCTTCGTAGCGCTGTCTGGAAAAACAAGAAACTGGATGTTAAGGTTTTTGAAATTATCCGATCGGACCCTAACAACTCTTATAAGAATAGAGTTTGTTCAGTGAATGAGAGAAATTAGGAAAATTTGAACGTGGATTGCTACCAATCCAACCGGACTCGGGATTTTTCTAATTAGGGACCGATCCGGTTTCAGATGATACCTCGAGTTGATATCATGAATAAATCTCGAGTTGCACGAAAGTCCGTTGTTCGCATTGCATGCTCCAGGGAACGGAAATGCACAAAGGAAAGATCCTCGGTTGGCTCCTGAGAACGTCTCATTTCTACCAGTCTCATTTCTCTTTTGTGGTGCTCACCTGCCACGGAAACGTACGTGTCAATGAGAGCAGTGAGCGGAGGTCCGAGGTTTTCTCCGGTGTCCACGCAGGCTCCGCCCAGAATTGCCTGAACTTTTACTCTTTCATTCCCTAAGCTGTCCGTTCAATTGACACCTTTCTAGAGATGGGCGACCCCAATGAGTATCCGATCACGTCGACTTTCCTTCGAGTGAAAGCGGCAACCACTTGAATCATAAATCTCACCTGCCACTCAGTTGTTGAATTCGCCGAGAAGAAGTACGCAAACCTGTTTGATATACTGACATTTCATGTCCACCAACGGCATCAACGTTTTTCCGCCGTCGCCGTACGTCGTCGCGTAGACATGAAAGGGAGAAGATCAGAGGAAGAACAAAAAGAAGGAAAAGAAGAGTGATATCACTTTTCGTTGATTACAAATTGCAATTCACAATATTCTCGTGAGGGACGACTGACCAACTCGTCGCTCCATCCAGCATTCAGAAGGTGGTTCCGGTGTCCGCTGAACGTGCCGGCCGTGTTGGTGATTCCGTGCACAAGGACCACCGCCTGTTTCCTGCAGAAAGGAACTGTGCTGCTTCCCCGCACCCCGGGCCTACAGTACCTCGTGCGAGTGCTGCCGTCGTGCGTGCCGCCTCCGTAGCTCCCGTGCGGTCCGATGTCCCTCCTCGCGAGCAGATCGTCAATGCTTTTGCCGTAATTGTCAGTCAGAAACTTGTTGAAACTGGCCGAAAAGTCGGCAGAAACAAAGGAAATAAGTAAGAAGAGGGGAGCGAAGCGTCGAAAAGTCATGATATCGAGGGGAATGAAGTCTTTCGATCTGTTTTACAATGTTCTCGATGTCCCGTTCTTGTCAATTTTGTTACAATCTCTGCGGTTGGCAAGTGGTTTCGTGATTCACTTTCGCAACAACAACTATACAATAGGGGAGGGCAGAATTCTAGTTTCAGTTTGCGACGCTTCTCTTTTCATTCATTCACAGACATTTATTCCACACCAATTTGAATTTTTTTTGTGAAACTCAGAGTGGAAACAGGCTCCTTGTAAGCTCTCCCATGTGATCAATAAAATATAAGTTAACTAGGGAGAAACGATTCGGTGGGTATGTGAATAATTTAAAAGAAACAATTAAAGAATAAATTTTGAGTACTGTCTAAGCAGCACTTCCTCCACGGCCACGTCCGCCGCGACCGCGTCCACGACCACGCAATTGCCCTGGTGTATAGACTCCACGAGTCGGACGTTGGAGAGCTGCATTCCGAGCGTTCGATGGTCGCTCTTCGTGGGTTTCATTGCTGGAAGATCTTTAATAATTAGCACGGTTCTCTCAAGGTCACAATTACCTGCTGGAGCACTGATCCTCTCGCTCTGCGTCGCGAAGCCCAGTCGGAAGACGAACTCTCTGGGCGTCCTGGGCAACTCTGGCGGAGCTTCCGATTCCAGCGGCACCAGTTGGATCGGCTGGAGCGCTCGGCTCGTCGATAGTTCCAAGCGGATCACGTCCTTCGTCCTCAGCCTCCTCGACCGCCGAAGCAGCTTCACGATCCTGATCGTCGAGCGAGGGTTGCGAATCTGAAACTCAATTTCAAAAGTCAGATCCAGAATGTGTAGTTTACCTTCTCCCCCGAGAACCTCCTCAAGATCATCGTTGTTCACATTCACGTCAATCTCCTCAATATCATCCTCCTCGTCGTCAACATCATCCAGACTCTCCGCATCATTATCGTTGTCGTCCTCTGGATTGTCATCTTCATCATCTGACAGTACAACAACATCGTCATCGTCCACGCCCGGAATTTTTCTATCCTCAAACTCGTCGTCGTTTCCGAAGCTATCGTCATCTTCTTCTTCTCCTTCCATCTCATCTTCCAGAACTTCCTCGTCGTTCTCCAAATCAATAATGTTGTCATCGCGTCGCTCTTGAATAGTGTTGTCGTTGGCGTCTTCGTCACTAACATCACGCTCCAGACCGAGAACACCGTCGTCGTCGTCGAGTTCCGGGATTTCAGCAACTGAAAAGAAGACGAGCATTATCTTCACTTGGTTATTCTGGCTTACGATTGTTTTGTTGACGTGTCTCACTGCTGGTAACGGCTTCGTTCGGGCTGTCCCTTTGACGCTTAGCTTCGCTCGTGTCGAAGTCGTTCGCCGCTCTCTTGCGACGTCCGTCGGAGCTAGAGACGCCGCCGATGTTCAGTCCATCTCGAGATTCCCCATCTACAACTTGAACCGAATCAAAATGAATCCGAAACGTGAAACCAATACCATTTGCGACGAGATCAGCATCGAGTGCCTTTTGCTGGTCGACACTTCCACTAACCAAACTGCTTTGTCCGGCAGCTCCTTCGACCACACTCTCTTCCGGAAGAGCCAGATTATCACCAGCAGGTGGAACATTAGCCAATCCGAAGAGTTGTTGTCCGGGAGCCAACGAAGAAGTGGCCTGTGAGACGGTTACATTGCTTCCTGGGGTTGTCGGAGCAGAGTCAATATTCGGGAGAACGTTCTTTTTTTCCGGAATCGGCTGAACCGTCGTAGTAGACGATGAAGTGAAAAGCGATTGCGTCGGAACACGAGCTGAAGCTTGGAACGTGTGCGGCACTGGCAGCATGGATCCGAAGGTGTTAGCAGGTGGAGTAGGATCTGGAACGACTGACACAAAAGTAGAAGTGGTTCATGAGCCGTGCCTACCCATGATGTTATCGGAAGGAACTGGTGGGATAATGTCCATCGGCTCATTTGGAATGGAAGGTGGAATCGGATTCTTCTGAGGCGAAGTCTTTGGTTGCATCAGATTAGTCGGAGCAGGAGCTGGAGGAATCAGAGAAGAGGAAGATGACTGCGATCCGAATTGCTTCCCAAAAACGGATTGCTTTGCACCGAACGGCAAGATGCCAGGAGGAGCCTGCAGTTTTTGTGCTCCCGTCTGATCAGGTTCAAGTGGTTGCTTGGAAACCGCAGGAACTCCAGCAGATGGATCAGACGCCAAGGATGGAGGTTGTCTGAGGATTGCTGGTGGTTTCGCGGTTGTAGGAGTAGATGTCTTAGACTCGACATCAGTAGCTGACACAGACTTTGACTGGGTAAGTTGCTGAAAAAGATTACAATGTGACTGCAAAATGTGCCAGCAAACTTACTCTGTTAATCTCCGAGAGCTTGTCATTTTGCTCTTTCAGCTCGGTGAACTGATCAGTAGTCTTCTTCAGGCGAGTCTCCAGCATGTTCATTCGCATGGTCTTCACATTCAAACTCTCAATTTCCGTTTTCAATCCGTCAATCTGAGCATTGAGGGCAATAACTTGATCCCTATGCGTTTTGGCGAGAGCAGCGATTCGTGGACCAGCTGGGTCATTTGTTCCCGAAGGTGCTTCCAACAGCTTTTTCAAATCGGCATTCTGAAAAATGGTCGTAAAAGGTGCGCACTATACTTTTTTAGCCAACTTTCTCCCCGCACAAGAACTACGCTACACATTCATGAGGATTCCTAAAAAAGCAGGGATCAAAACAGGTTTCCTTTCTCGAGATCTCGTAATCCCGACAATAGCCGCGAATGCAACCTGTCCGCCGCATGACCCAATTGCCCATGAACTAAAGAAGCAGCCAGCGTCCGAAGCGATATCAACAAGCAGCTATCATAAGCGTATTCTTAGGCGCCATTCCACCTCGCATCGCCTACGATTATGCGGATTTTGCTAATATTATCGTGCCTCGTATGTACGTTATCAGCACAAGACTCAGCTGGACAAATTCCATTTTACACGAGCGGCGATCCGATGATGTCGAAACTAGCACAGATTCAGTTTGCAGAAATGCCAAATCTGAAGGTGAGGAATGAACTATTTGCATACGTCTTCAGCAATCTATTCTAGGGCGACAAATATCCAGATGTTGATGCTCATAGAATTATAAACCCAATAATCAGTCCAATCATGGAAGTGTTTGATCAAATGCGGGAAAACCAGAGAGCAAGAGATCAGGCGGAGAAGATCAGAAAGGATAGGGACGATCACCCGTTGAGCACTTCCAGAAGTCTTTGGGAGATGTTTCAAAGGCTGAATAAGCCAACTACCACAACAACAGAATCCCCACCACTCCTTGAGCGTCTTTTCAAACCATACATTGAGCCGTGGCAGAAGCAGTTGGACGATTTCTCAAAGGACATGGCTGGAATAACACTCATTCCTACGACCACTACAACCCCCGCGCCTACGACTAGTACCACTCCAAATATTCTGGAGAAGTCCCTATCTATGTTCTTCCCATCTTTGCGTCGTAAACCACAGTCCGTGCCAACGTTGCCTCCGACCACCACTCCTACTCCTCGTCTATTTGATCCTGATATGTTCGACAGGCTCTTCTTCAAGAGAGACAAGAGACAGGCAACGTTGGCCCCCGCTCCGCCATTCGATTTGTTCACCGTTCCGCCTCCGCCGCCACTATTTCAAGAATGGGAGAAACCGATTCTTGGCGTGGCCAATCCATTCACATTGAATCCACTAATGAAGATGTTCACGACACCATCCCCACCATCAACACTGGCTCCACTTCCTAAGATTCCGGAGCCGAATCCGTACGAAATGAGAAAAGGACTCCCAGAACCACAGTTCAAACTACAAGACCCTTTCTACAATCCATTGTTCCCGAACAGAAAAAGCAAATTGTTTGATCTATTAGCAGGCGGAGAAGCAGGACGACTTCTTGGATAATTTGTAATTGCTGGCTTTAAAAGCGCATCTACTTCCTCATAATAATTTCGTAATAACTATTAAACGTATTGAATCTTGACTTACCTCATCACGATACTTGATAGCAAGTTGCCGTGTTTGAGTGAGCTTGGAAACAATTGCCTTCTGAGCCTCTCTGAAGAAAAAAAAATCATACTTTGTAGACAAGATTCGAACGTACTCAGCCTTCAACTTGGCACTCTGTGCAATTTTTGCATGTTCGGAAGCCGTGGCTGCTTCTTGACGAGCTGTTGTCAACTGTGTGGACAGCGTTTCCACTTGAGTCTTCAGAGCAGCGGCAGAACCTCGTGCATTGGCATCGGCCCGTTGTTTCAGCTGTTCAATCTCTCGCTTTCTTTGAATCAACTCTTGATTGGTTGACGAGATCTTGAGGTTTTGCTCGTTGTTCTTGGCGCTGAGAGCCGTAACCTGCTTCTCGATGTCAGACTTAGCCTTTTGGATTTGAGCCAGTTGAGATTGCAGTTTGTTTTTCTCCTCCGTCAGCTGCGAATTGAGATTCTGAACGCTGCTGAGAGCTTCCACCTTATCGATCAAACGAGCTCTGTCCACCAATGATGCCGCTGTCGCGATCTGTTCAGTTTCCAAATCCCGAATTCTCTGCTGCAGCGCGTTCTTTCCTCTTTCGAACTCAGCAGTTTCGGCACGCAGACGGCGCATTTCCACTTCTGCATTCATGGCTCTCGTCATCGCCTCATCTTTGCTTTGGCGCAAGAACTGAATCAAAGTTTGCATGCTATCAATGACGCCGGATGATGATTCGCCGATTGCAGACTCGTTCAGATCCATTGAAACATCTGGAGCGGAGTGCGTGGTTGATAGCTGAAACAAATGAATAAATAATAATGTCAAAATAACTTGTGTGTTCTCACCCATTCGTACTTCTGTGAAAGCTCAGAAAGTTTCTGATCGTACTCAGTCAGTTTCTGTTGACTGAGCAGCTCGAGTTGATCTCGTTCCTCGGTCTTCTTTTGCAGAAGTTTTCGAAATAATATCTCATCTGATCTGCCTCGTTCTTTGCAGTCATCTCAGCAAGCAGAGCAGCAGACTTGTTATTCAGCTCAGCTTGAAGCCGGAGCTTCTCGCTTTCGCCGTCGGAAATGCGTTGCTCCAACTGTTGAACAATGGAATGGTGTTGCTCGAGAACTCCGGCATTTCGAGTCTTCTCATTTTGCATGTTCAGCAAATTATTGTTGGCCATGTCAAGTTCCCTTTGGACGGCGTTCAAATTGAACGAGGACACATCGAGTTGTCGACGCAGCTCAGAGAGTTCGTTCTCCGATTTGAACGTCTGCTCCTCGAGATTAGTTTTGAGCTCGTTCAATTCCAACTGATTCTGAGCCAATTGCTTCGTCAACTTTTCGGCTGTCCTAAATAATATGAAACAGTTATCTGCGAGTAACTCCGCGATCTCTTACTCTTCGGAGCATTTCGCCTTTGCCTCCAATCTCTCTTTTTGCATCGATCCTATCTGTTCCGATTGCTTCAAGTTCTCTTCCAGTACGTCGTAATGAGTGGCAGAGCTGAAATAAACATCTTCGCGAGACTCTCGGAACATTTTCTCTACATTTCATACTCAGCATCCATTCGTTTCTGCGCGGCTTCCGCTTCGATCAACTTTCGCTTTGCTTCGTCGAGTTCACTTTCGAGGAACTGCGTGCGAGTCTTCAGCTGCATGTACTCCCTCTTCAGACGATTCAGAGGCATCGCGGTAGTGTCGGATGTTGAGAATGTAGATTGAACAGAACTGAGTTTCGATTGAAGATCATTCAGTTCCAATTCATATTTGGATATCTTCTGTTCTTTCTCAGCCAGTCGACTTCTCGCAACTTCCAGCTCACCCTCCAACCGCTTTTGCATCAACTTCGATTCGCTCTTAGAATGAGTCAGCTCGTCTCTGAATCGAGTTGCCGATGATTTCCAACAATCCCGGTCGGTTCGGAGCCCGTCCAACTGAGTACTCGCATGACTCTGTGCCTCGGCCTTTACTTCCTTGAGTAAGCTCGCCAACTCAGTCACTGACCCTCTCTGAAATCGGAAAAGATCACTTGAAATCAAGTCTTGACTGTCTGTCACTGGAATGCAATACTGACCATTTGTTCTTCCTTGGCCAAAGCTGTACACTGATAATCATAGTGCATCTCCAACACATGATGCCCAGCCTTTGCTAGTTGAATTTCGTCTTCCAATGCTCTGACGCGCACTCTGAAAAACGTTTGTTATGCCACCGTTTTATTGAAAATGGATACCTGAGACCGGCGGCCTCGTCAGTTGCGTTCATTGCGTGCCTTCCGAGGTCGACAAGCCTGTTGCCTTCTCTGAGTCAGCAGCAGCAATTTTTCGAAGTTCTTCCAACGCATTCTCTTTTTCTTTCACGGCTGCTTGGAATGCTTGCTCCATGGTGGCGGTGTTCGTCTTCTGAGCTTCAAACAGAGTGTTCAACTTGATGTTCGTTTCCGTCAGCGCACGGCTGTTCGATTCGGAGTTGGAAAGCCTCTGCGTGAACTCCTGCTCTCTGCGAATGTGATCCGCCTTGAACGTCTCGGCTTCAATGCGAAGTCGCTCGCAAATCGCTTCAGCCACAAGCTTCGCGGCAACTGCCTCCTCTGCCCTCAGCTTGGCTGCTCTCGCTTCAGTAGCAGTCACACTATCTTTAACCAATTCCTTGAGCTGCTCCGTTTTTTCTTTCAGCTGAAATGCATGTTTTAGCAAATTTAGACATCGGTTGGCTTACGCTATCGAAAGCTGCTTTCGTCTGCTCGACCTTCGTTTTAAGCGCAGATTCCGACTTTTTAGTGACAGCAAGATCTGCTCTCAGCTGAGCCATTTCCTCGCTTTGTGCGTTCATGGCAGCTTGCGCAGCACTCGTTTTCGCGTTTTCTATGTCTGATTCGAGCTCGACGTTACGTCTTTGCAGTTGAACAATGCTTTGGAAGAGCTGCTCGTCCGCCTGCTCAGACCAGTTTGGATCGTGCATTCTGCTTTGACGTTCTACAGTGTACATCAGTTCAGCGTTCTGAAATATGTTTTAAGCACGCTTAATTGTGAAATAGTCTACATACCCTCTTGCAAACGAAGTCGTAGTCTCTTTGATACTTCTCAACCTCAGCTCTCACGTAGGCGAGATCTCTCTGAGCAGCATCTTTTTGGCTCACCAGTTCTTTTCTCTCAGACTCCGCATCGTCCAGTTGCTTCTCGAGTTTGCTACTCCTGTCGAAGAGCTCGTCTGTCACCATCCTCTGAGACAATAACTGAGGTTTCTTTTGATCGATCGTCTCCAGAAGCTCCTCTAATGTCGTGCGCAAACTAGTGTTCTCCTCTACGGTCTCAGCCAACTTTCCACAAACACGAGCGTGTTCTAAAACTAGGCTGCTCAGAGATTGGCCTCCTCTCAAGAGACGGACAGTTTCAGCGGCTGCCGGAGCCAACTCCGCCAACTCCTCCTCGGAGACGTTCAACTTCACATCGCTCATGTTCTTTATCATTTCGTTAACCTTGAGCAGTTCGGCGCGAGTCTGTGCGAGTTCTTCATCTCGTTCTTTGAGAGCCTCAGCATGGGCGAGACTTTCACTGTCAATCTCTTCTTGTTGCTCCATCAACATTCTTCGAGCATCCTCTAGCACATTCCTCTGAATGTCTAACTGATCTTTGTAGTCGTCCGCTGCATTTTTCGATTCTTCCATCGAGTGCTTCAAGACTTCCTGGTACTCAGTTTTGCAACGGATCTCCGCCATCAAATTTTCGATTTCCGAGGCTTTGGTGCGTTCGGTCTAAAAGAAAAAAGTTAATTTTTCGCAGACTTCGTATTGCTCACATCTTCCATTTTCTTGAGAAGTTCAGTGTTGTTGAATTGCAGCATATCGATTTTGCCGTTGAGACCTTCAATTTGAGTAGTGAGTCGATTGATCTGCACATCCAAATGCATTTTTTCGTTTGCTCGTTCCATGTCCTTGTTGCTCAGCTCCAGACGCAAGCTCGACACTTTGTTGTCCCGTTCGGACACTTCCTGCATCAGCCACCGCTTTGCTTCAGCATGGAGACCGCGTTCCGTCGCGATCCTTTCACGCTCGTACTGAAATGAACAGCGTAAATATATTCCGAAACACAATGTTACCTCAATGGTTCGCCTTTCTTTTGCATGGATCGCCAACTCGTGTTGATTGGCAACCTTCTCTTCGATCAGCTTTTGGATTTGGTCTTTCAAAGCGAATGTCTCAACAATAGCAGCCTGGGCTTCTTTCGTAGCATTGGCAGCAGACGCTTCCCCCTCTTCTTTCTCCATTTTCAAACGCGAAACGGTGACCTCCAACTCCAAGGTTTTGTTGGTGAGCTCATTCCGCGCTGCCTCGAGAACTTTCTGATCATCGATGTATCCTTTCACCTGGTTGTTGTGGCGAGTGAGCTCATCGGCCATTTGAGCGTTTTTCCGAGACAGGTCATCCACACGGTCACGATAATCTATCAACTCCTGATTCAGATTGAACTGAACCCGTTCGTACTCGGCCTTTTCCATTTCCCAATTCGATTGCTCTTCCTCGGCAATAGGGGCGGGTTGTGCGGCCAAATCGGCCGGAGCATCCACGTCCATGGCTGTAAATGCAATAATCAATACTTTTTTACTAAAAACACGACGTTTTAAGAAACACGCTGCGGAAAGTCCGAAAAGTCGATAGTCTCGAAATACGCAGTTTTAGCAAGACACAATCAGAAGAGTGAGCGGAGACGTTTGAAAAAAAGTGGAACGAAATAGGCAAATGACCCAAACGATTGTTTGTTCGACAATTTTTTCTGGCATGTCGAGAGAGCTGTCGCGCGCGCGGCAAATTGCGAATTTGAACGCCAGATGTGTTTTGTTGCGTGACGGTGTTCGCGGACAGTTGCCGCATCTGACGACATATACGCCCTTCGCTCCACGCCTTTCCATACGCATTCCTTATCACTTTGCATCTGTTTTCCTGTGATAACTGTCTTATCAGGTGTCAGAAGTTGACAAACGCAAAGTCATAGGTTGTCAATAAACGCCGTATTTCACGTTAACATTTCTTTTTCGGAATTTTCATTCGTCTTTTTTTAGATGGTGAGCGTGGTATCCAAAATGTTCAAGGTGGGAGTTCCATCGGCTGCTGTTGCCGTTGGAGTTCTGCTGCTCGGCGATGACGAGAGAAGAGACTCGCTGTTCCGTCGAGCATCCGCCTTCACTACTAACAATCACGCCAAATCATTTGATGAGCATTTCCCGCGAGGAGAATGGAACAAAAACTGGGACTTGTGAGTGGCAGCCGATTGACCCATTCTAACCCATTTAAAATTGCAGCCGGGATCCGATGAGCTTGATTGACGTGCGGAAATGGGAAAGTGCGGATGAGGAAGGCCGTAAGAAGCTGATCGAGGCGAATAAGGCGACTGCTGTGAGGAACATTTTTTTGATCCGACACGGGCAGTACCATATGAATCGAGATGTAAAGAGTCTGACCCCGCTTGGTAATTAGACAACATCAAATCAAATAATCAAAGATAAACACAGGACGTGAGCAAGCGGAACTTCTCGGAAAGAGGCTGGCCACTGCGGACATCAAATTTACCAATCTGACAATGTCGACGATGGTGCGTGCCACGGAGACTGCTAACATCATTCTGGGTCACCTGCCGGCAGATTTGCCACGTTCTTCTTCGTCGCTAATCGAAGAAGGACCACCGTATCCACCAATTCCTGACCACAAAGGATGGAGGCCACAGCATCCGGTATGTTGTCCTTTCACATTTTCGAAAAGATCTCACTGCGGGGCTATAAATTCATCTTGAGGAGTTCTACACGGAAGCCGCTCGCATCGAGTCCGCATTCCGCAAAATCTTCCATCGTGCTCTTCCGTCGCAAAAAGAGGATTCGTATGAATTGATCGTCTGCCATGCCAACGTCATCCGCTACTTCATCTGCAGAGCGTTGCAGTTCCCACCAGAAGGCTGGCTCCGCATGTCGCTCGGAAACTGCTCACTTACTTGGATTGTGATTCGCCCGGGAGGAAGCGTGTCCGTTCGTTCGATCGGAGACATTGGGCACCTCTCGCCAAACAAAATCTCCTTCACTTGATTAGAATGCCAACATCCCCGATGACATACAATTTCATGACCGTTTTGCTCCCTTCCCTGTTTTAATTTATTATTGTCTGTGTTTCTTTATGTGCATTATTATTTCTGGTTTTCATGAGACCGTTCCGACGCCGCAATTCATCTCGCTGAATGCGCTTCGCGCACGACAACGCATGCATTAGGGCGGCCCAACCACATGGTAAAATGGATGAGCCCGTGAGCTGCCAGAGCTTAAAACAAACAAAATTAAGGGCTTCGGCGGGTAGTCGTCTTGACATGTGTGTAATGTGACACGCTTTTCACCGATTCGGCACCCTTCGCCCCAAAAATGGCCATTTGTGCTCTGTGAGCTCCGTCCTCCCCTATTCCCCACTTTCAAGTGTTTTTGTGCAAATCTCAGGAAATCTGCCGTCGGCAAGTGACATTTCCCCTCTCTTTCTGACCTATTTCATAAATGCTCCGCAGCACTTTCCGTTTTTTCTTTCATGTTTTGGTGTCCGAAATGCGTGGTAACTTTATCTCATTTTGGCTCGAATTTCTGAGCCTTTGACGGTCCGAATGGGTCGGATTCCTGGTAAGTACACTTGTTTTCAGATTGAATGCTCTTGTAGAGTAAATGAATAATATCTTCGTGGAAAAAGAAAGCAAAGCGGACGGATGAATGCTCCTTCATTTCGAAGGATCCCATCAGTCATGCGGCCTCCGAAACGCTTTCAAATCCAGATTTCCCGTCCGGAACGCATAATTAAACCGTCTTCACGATTGGAATCGGCCGTGCACCGGACACGAAAACACCTGTTCCTTCCCGTCCCAACTTGTTCTCTTCTCCATCTCTCTCTCTCCTTCCCATATCTCACCAATTTCCATTGCTCCAAATTTCCTGCTATTATTCATAGTATACGCCATTTTCGATTCGGCTGACTCTCGCCATGAACCCTCCTATTATTGACTCTCCCCGAATGGATGGAAGCCATCTGAAACGTGTCTTCGTGCGTGTTCCGCCTGTCTTCCACGATGTTTTATGAGGAGTCATCCGTCTTTTTTGTCTCTATAACGACCTTCTCTGCCCCGTTTTCATGCCATTTCAACCAGTGTCACTTTTCGTTTTATACCAGTTCCGAACAATAGAAATTTGAGTGGATATCCACGAGATTGTAATTTCCAGCGTACAGTCTCACAAGTTGACAGTAACAGTGTACGGTAATTCCATTTGAAAGTGACTTGGAAGTGTGAAAAGCGTGTTTAGTTGTTTGATGCTTGCGGTCTAAATGAGCTCATCACTTTGAAAAACGACTCTTTTCCGTCTCCTTCCATTCCTTTTTTCTTTTTCCCATTCACACCAACAGTTTCAGATGAGAATTCCAACGTGGTGACAATGCTTCCGTCCAATGGCTCAGAGATTCCGGTCCACAAAAAGGTGCGTCCTTCCGAAGAATATCCACTTCCTTCTCATTCATCGTGCGTAATAATAAATAGCCTTGTGCTCATTATTGCGCACTTTGATGTGTGCCCCCGTCACACTCGAAACCCATCTTCCATTTTAACACTCGTCCCGTTTTTAGGTATGCAGTATCCATCGGCATATCTATACGAGGAAGAAACGCGGAACGACGCGGCGGGCTGCTGCTCGTGCTGGCTCTGCAGACTGCTCTGCTGCTGTTCTTCAGTTGATCAGGTACTCGGTGGCTCATCTCCGCTCCTCCTTCTCCTTATTTTTTGCCCGTCACAGAAAAGTCGGAAACTCGATAGCCGTAGTTCTTGAGAAATTCAATTTCGGTCTAATCTTCTCGCATCAGCGCGCTCTCTCAAAATGAAAGAGAAGAACCACTTGGACCGAACATTCTCCACTTCTCTTTCTACTTATTCTCTCGCCGAGAGTGCTCTCGTATCCATAGAACCTGTTGCCACGTCATAAATCTTTATGAGTTGCCTTCTTGTGACTACCTTTTGAGCTCTTTCCACTTCAACTTATTCCCCTGCTCCTGGCAGTAGTCATGTTCCAGAACTGCTGGAAGAACCAGAACCAGAACCAGGTAGAGTCCCCGAGAGTGTGTGAAACATGTCGTAATCGTGGAAAAGAACATCTGTGAAGGCTATCAAATGGCACGTGTTCCCCCAATCAGAGAAAAGTGAACGAGAACTTTTAATGGACGAAATGTAGACACACACATGCATACCCTAATTGATATTCGTCTTCGGAAAGTAATCTGAATTAATTGCCAATGGATGCTTCTTCGTCTCTGGTAATCCCGCCGAAATATAATAATGAGAGGAGACGCAGAAGAAGAGTCCATGTCCTTTTGCGGTTGAGCTGAACTTGATTCAAAACCGGTGGGGGAGGGAGGGGTGGCCGTTTGAAGCGGCGACGACGGAGAGAGCACGTCTCCCAGAGAGACATCGCCACTACTACTATGGGAAAGGGGAGGCGAGGACGAAGAAGGAGGAGGAGGAGAAGAAGAAGAAGAAGCTAGTAGCCGTTGGTTCAACTTGCTCTGCTCTGCGCCCTCCTCTCCGCGCACTGCGTATCACGCATGTCTATGTCGTCTATCTGAACTGCGCAGTGGCGAGCAACGGCGACTTGTGTGTGTGTGTGTGTGTGCCCACTCGAAACTAAAAGGAAACGAGATCGATAGACGGATGGCGACGACGTTGTTGGTCGAGCAGGGCCACCGACGAAGCTCCGACGAAGAAGGAGAAGCCGTCGTCGCCATCACCAGCGTCTTCCTTCTCTTTCTCTTTTTGTGCCGCTGCTGCTGCTGCCTCAAGTTTTCGACTGCGCAAGCGAAAGGGCGTCGTCGTTTCGCATCTCATCTCTCCTCTTGCTCCCGCTTTCTTTTCGTTTCCTTCTTCTTCAAGTCCCCCGTGAGAACATGACCTCACTTCTGAACTCTTCGCCGGGACGTTCGTTTTTTGGTGCGGACTCGACTCAAAAGAATTATGAAATATTCAAGTATTTGCATTTCTGAAAGTGATACCAGCTTCGATTCAACGTGCGCGCTTGTTTGTTTTTGAAATTCTTCCTGACGCAAAACAAGACCCTTTTCATGTATTCATCCAAATTATTAGCTCACACTCTGTTCTTTCTTTCCTTTCTCACATTTTCATTTGCATCCCCACACAACGTTGATCAATTTCTCTATCGAAACCTATGTGATTGTGGAAGAAGTCACGCGAAAAGAGCCATTAATTTCTGTGCGCGTCGTCCGTCCATTCAGGGCATTCGTCGAGTCGCCCGTTGTGCTCCGTGAGCATGTGCGGGCTCCTCTCCTCCAGTGTTCCCTCCAATTGGTGCAAATTCGAGTGTGAAACGAGCAACCTTTCCGTCCATTTGCATACCTTCCGAAGTCCGGTCCCATCCAACGTCCATTATTTTTCAGAACGCAGGACGCGATCGCATGAATGCCAGTCAGCCGCCTCCTGGTGAGTATTTCCACCTCCTTTCTCTTTGATTCAGTGATTCAGGCGGCGGAGGTCGATTGCCGGATGAGGTGTACAGGAAGATCACGGCTGTCGATCAGGGCCAGAGCACGTTGACACAGTCCGGAGTGCAGGGACTCAGTGCTCGAATCCTCAGCGCGTGAGTCTTTTTTTCTCAAATCAATCTTCACTTTGCCAGGTTTTCAGCGAACCCCATGGCGATTTGGTCTTCCAATTGGTCGAAATCATCAAGAAACCAGGACAGTCTCTCGGATTATACCTGAGAGAAGGGAATGGAAAAGACAGGTCGGACGGAGTGTTCGTATCAAGATTCGGCGATAACTCCGAACTGGCAAGGCAAGTATTCACAATTATCTGAACTTCTAACGGTTTCATTGAAGGTATGGAGAGGTTATGCGACCTGGAGATGAGATTTTGACCATCAACAACGTGGAAGTGTCCATGATGAGCATTGACGACGTAGTTCTGATTCTGAGTATTCCGAGAAGACTTCTTCTCAGGATACGGTCAGTTGCCGGCTTAGATTTGCTCAACACTCCCTGTTTTCAGATTTTCAAAGTCAATGCGCCACGAGGTAGTGTCAAGTAGATTAAGTGAAAGGCCCGTTGTTGTGTTCCATAAGGTATTCAAAAGTGTAGAATACTTTCTCAATCTGTTTTTCAGTTTCCAAATGAGGAACGACGGGACAGTGAGTCGAATGCGAATGCTCCGATCCTTTCCCAGCCCACTTCAACCGCCAACACTTGGCTCGGAAAGAAGAGTCGCCAGCAAGTGGAGGTCAGTTATTCTTTTCCGAAACTTTCTCTCTCTCTTTTTCTCTTTCTCTTTCTCGTCAAAACATTCGAATTCTCTTCCAAACTTCGTCCAAGAGCATCCGCGCGTCTCCTCCCTCAGAAAATGATAAATGTGCGTCGAGACAAACCGCGGACTCCCTCTTTTCTCATTGTTGTTCTGCGTTTGGAAGTTGAGATGCGGGCGGGACGGAAGGGTCACTTGGGAAAGGACGGATGACACGAGAGACGGAAAACACAAAAAATCTGCAATTGGGTTCGGAATTGCTCTCCCGGATCTGCTTCAGTAATTCGAACCGCTGCCCTCAAAGGACGTCTGCCAGTCTGTGTGTCTCCCGATTGAAGACGATAAAATGACGGACTCAGTTTGAAGAACGACGCCGGAAACCAGTACTAATGAAGATTCCAGTCTCTATCCGAATGCTTTCCGATTCATGAATAATCTGTGCAGAAAGTGCATGAGAACCATCACATATTCAACCTCTTCTCGCTCGTCCCTTTTATTCGCCTTCTTTTCTGCTCTATCAGAGTGCCGAAAACGTCTTCTCCTCATCGGAAATTCAGGCCCGTGTGTGGGGCGTTTCGTCACGGCGGTTTCGGCCACGTCTTCTCCCTCTGCTTCTCCCTCTTCCCGCCCATTTCATTCAGTTTCTCGCACCCACCACATATCCCATTCGGCACCCCGATTTTATGACACACACACACACACAGCCAGCCGCACGAGGTGCCGAATAAATTGGATTCGTTTCTCCGCCATCTCTGTTCTGACTGCTTAGTTCAGATTGATTCCCATCAGAAGATGCTACAAAAAAAGAGAACAAGAGACGGCGTTGGAGTCAAGTATTGGGAGCCAAATTGCGATGTGGGAAAAGTGGCAGGAAAACAGGGACCCGAAGTCTTTTCCCGTCTCTCTCTCCCTCTCTCGCTCTTTCTCCGCCCCTTCTGTTCCTTCTTTTTTGTGCTCAAAACGTCGTCGTCGTGCCGCTTTTCGTCTATTGATCGTTCACTTATCTGCCCGTGACGGCTCCTTTCCCTCCCACCTTGATGCCTTTCCAATCTTTTCAAATCAATTCCTTCAGGAGATGCGCAACGCCTCGACGTCCTCCGGAATTCGAGTTCCGCCGGGCTCCTCCCCTCGATCCCAGTACAATCCGAGACATCTCAACGGACATTCTCATCCCATCGGCGCAGGAACCACTCCCTCCGTCTCGAACGAACATCATTATCAAAGGTTTTTCGCATTTCCCATTCTTCCCGCGCATCCTTTTCTTCTCTCTTTGATGGCAAAAAGCGAGACGGAAACGCTTTTCGGTTGAATTTGAGAAGCTTCTTCTGACGTTCAAGAGTATCGAATGGCTACTTTCAGATTCGCCTCAGAGCCATCCGATTCAGTTTCGCGGACCGCCCGTCTCCCTCCCCCACGACTGGCTTCCGCAACTGTTCGGCGAACGGAGAGCTTCAACTCGGCTCCGGGAGTCTCGACGGTTTATTTCTCGTGTTTGCATTTCAATCAATTTGTTTTCATTCCAGAAGACTCCAATGTACACTCTGCCGCGCTCGTCGACTGCCGTTCCTCCTCCGGATATGATGACTCCGCGAGCAATTCCACACTCGGCACGAGATCCTCTCATGCGCACCGATCTTCCCTACGATCCTCTGACTGGCCGTATGTCTTCTTCAGTGCCCACAGACCCGTTATTATCTCGCTCCTTGTGCTCCCCAATTATGCCACGAGCCCTGCGTCAGCCGAACGATAGTAACAAGAGCAACTCGCTGCCGAGACGAAGGCTGATGTCTGGTCAGTTTGCACTTTTCTCTATTCGTCATCATAGTGATATTAAAGGAGGCCGAAACGTGAAATGGCGGAACGACGTCGTCTCCACTTCCGATCTTTGCGGCGACGAGAGCGACGGTGCGATATCTGCTCCCGAGTACTCTTCTCCGCCATTCTCCCGACTAACCCAACGTAAGTAATCGTCCGTTTCCGCTGAGCTAATTAGCGCTGACAAGTTGTCACACCTCTCGCCAAACGGCGGCTATTCGCCATTCCTTGTTTTCCTCTTGTCAAATTATCGCATCGACGAGAGAGTCGTCCGCTCAGAAAGACGCAGACAAAGTGCATTAGAGGCACTGAAACAAGCGCGGAAAGAAAAGCACGCGCAGAGCTTCAAGCATAAGAATGTGACTACAATGGAACAAATGGAGCAGAAAATATTCCAAGATTCTTGAAAAGGGAGACTCCAACTCAATTGTTTTCAGAGCAGCAGTTTCGGTTGTCAAACGGAAGTCCCGGACGGACGGTAAACGACATCTTCTCGGCCGCAGAATACCGTAATTGGGCCGGGCCGTATGATCCGAGAGGTGTTTACGGTCCCCTTCCGCCAGGACAAAGAGCAACCCGATGGTCCCACACGTACGGGGAACAGAGAGCGCCGAGGACGGCGTCACTGCCCGAACGGACTATTCTTGCTCAGAGTCTCGTTGGCAGTCCCGTCTTGCCGCGCCACCCACCACCGATGGCACAGGAACGACCGTCTGCTGTATTCGACAGATACCACGTGTCTCCGTTGATGAACAGAAGGGCGCCACTCCGAGCAGCGGGACCTGGAATCAATGTGGATCGACTGAGCGTGAGCAGTTTGACTGGCATCCTCTACGTACAGATAATCGAGGGAAGAGGGCTCAAGATCCCGGATAAGCAGAAAGGATTGACGGAGGAGATGTACTGTGTGCTTGAGGTGAGGATGAGAGAATTGTGTTCAGAACTGATAAATGTACGGTTTCAGGTGGATGAGCAACATCGTGCACGCACGGGAGTGTCGACTGTCGATATGAAGTTCAGATGGAGAGAGACATTCCACATTGACGTCGTCAATGCCACCGTTGCCAACTTCTTCGTTTACTCTTGGCACCCTCAGTTTCGACATCGGTTCTGCCACAAAGGATCACTGGAACTGATGCACGCGTTTGTGGTTGACCAGCTCAATGGGGACAGGATGTTTGCATTGAATCTGGAGCCACGTGGACAGCTCATCGTGCGGATTGGATTTCATGATTTGCAAGCAATATTCAGAAGAACAGTCAATCCGAGACTCGACGGCGTATACGGAGTACCCTTGTCTCGAGTGATCCATCGGGAAAGAAGAGAAACTCCAATTGTGCTCACGAGACTAATCCAGGAAATCGAGAAGAGAGGAGTTGACTACAGCGGTCTCTATGTTTGTAAGTAACTGTTTCTCTTTCTCAGTTCAGCAATTATCATTTCCATTTTCAGTGTGCGGTTCTGTTGAAAGAAACAAGTGCTCCGCAATCAACTAGAGCAGAATCCGCTTGGCACTGAGCTCTCCATCGACACGATCCCGGATACGAATGTGCTCGCCTGTCTTGTTAAAGATTTCCTCCGCGAACTTCCGGAACCTCTGGTGTCTCCACAGATCCACGCAATGCTCATCGAAGCAGCCTCCGTTGCTCTGCCCAATGACATCCAAGCGAATCGGGCACTCGTTCTGAAGATCATCGACTGTCTGCAGTTGTCCGCGAAGAACTGTCTTCTGCTCGTGCTCGACCATCTCAGCTCGATCCTCTCTTCCTCTCCGCACAACGGACTGACGCCCTCCCGACTCTCTCTGGTCCGTTCTTTCTTCTCTTTCCCTCTCTCTCTCTCTCTCTCTCTTCCAACAACTCCCATCCTTTTTCAGATATTCGCTCCGCTCCTCTTCTGCTGTCTGGACACAATGTCCCCGTACGCAGTCTCCCCCACATCCAAACAGAGTGCCGTCCGGACTTTGGATGTAAATCAGGCTTCCTCAAGTCTCCAGATGATCCTCTCGATCTGGCCCTCAAGAGTTAGTGAGTTGGTCGAGTTCTTTCCTTTTCTATTTCACTTTCCTATGTCAGTGGCACTCAAGAGACACGTGTTTCCTTTCCTATCGCACGTTCATTCTGATTCTCCTGAAATGGTCTTTAGATCTTTAGATCTGCACGAGTAAAAAGCATGGAGCACACATGAACGATTGAGTCAACCACACTTGATAGCTAGCACATTAAATGGATCAAATTGTATCAAATCAGAGCAATTTCAGACAGCGAGAGCGGATCAGATAGTTCGGCCACGACATGTCAGAAAGGAGGCTTCATCTCCTATGTCTCGGAATCGCAGTGCTGACTTCATGCCCAGATAGGCTACCAGATTCTCAATTACCTTTTTCGTGTTGTTTTTTCTTTCAACCGAGTGTCTTTTTTTGTTTTCATGCTTACTCTCTCAACCTACGCCCTTTCTATTCCGATTTTGTCAATTTCGAATTCCTCAGTCTATTCACAACTTTCTCCTTTCTGTCTTTCTTCCCCGAGAAATATTGGCAGTTCTGTCTGCGCTCTCTCAATCCTCATGGGTAATGATCTCTCAAATGATACAAATGTGCTCACTGGCCATTTTATTAAACTTTAAAAACTCTATCAACTACTGTTAAAAATAGTTTCGACGAAACAATCGTTTTTCTCTCGGACAAACATTTACAGATTCTTATCCACTTCGTCGCCGCCGTCAGCAGGCAGAGGAATGCTGAAGAAACGTCTTCCGTCGGATAATAATGATAATTATGAACTTATCACTTTATCTGATAAATAAAATGATAAGACATGCGCAAATACTCAAATGAACTGGAATCGAGCTGATAAAAACAGATCTGCCATCATCGTAGTTCATCAGGTTTGTATTAGCTCTAAAGAAAGCATTAAAAGTTAGTCATCGTCCGAATGTTCATACGTGGGATTCATATCGAACAATAACTTGCAGATCTCTGCCGATTTCGGACGTTCTTCAAGCGTCTGTGCGTAGCACCCAAAGGGAACTGCTCACTTCTGCATCGAGCACCAGATTCGGACGGACTTTCTCCCTTTTTCACCACGTAAATTATTTCTGAAATTAAAACTTTCCAAGCCTTCTTCTGTGCGCCAAAACTTCAGATGCGTGCCGTCGGAAGGATACTGATTCTTTTTTTTTTAATTTTTTGGGGAACGTGTTTGTTATGATCGAAACTATCAAAGAGACACAAAAAGCGCACACGAAAGCTATTTTCGTAGTGACCTCAACAATTTTTTGCGAGTTTCTTGTTGCTCTTTGTTAGTTTTGATCACAATAAGCACATTCGCGAAAAGAGAAATAAGTCAGTATTTCTCCGGCGGTACGTATCTCCTCCGAAAAAAAAGTACAAGAAAGTACGTATTTATGTTTGTTTCAGTCAAGATTTACAAGTTTCTAATGAAATTGTCAGAATTATAGGATAAAGAATGCAATAATGACGGAGCACATAAAAGTTTTGGTGCCACCAGATGCAGAAAACCAGAATTCGTCGGAAAGAACAGAAAGAGGCGTCGTCGAGTCTTCTGAAGGGCCTTCCGTCGTATTGTACTCTACTCGAGGAGGTGACGACAGTTTAAGAGACGTGGATGGTTTTCTGGACTTGAAAGTGTGCTTTCGACATGCTTCTGAAGAATTTGTGTGATCATCGAACTGATGAGGCCTTTTACTTTTCTCTTGCACAACTGTGACGAGATCTCCGTTCTTCTCAAAATCAATGTTCCTTTCGCATTGGTCCCCAGTGGCTGCCATGAACAGTTTGCCGTCTTTGAAGTTGGTCACAAAACATTCTTTTTCGTTGTTTCCTCTGCTCGCATATATCACAAGACGGTCATCGTGTTTCCAGGAAGCTAAGCAAGTGTATGACCGTGCTGAAAACAGATTATGTGCCTCCGAGCGTACTTCATCGGGCTCACCATCGAAAATGACTCCATCGGCGCAATGGTACGCTGAGATGTTCATTCGGGACGGCTCGTCGCAGTCGAACACCACGTCATAGCAGTAGTCTTGATTTTGCGGACTGGGAGTGGAGAAGGTGCCGAAGATTCCGCACGGATAGGGGGAGGTGCTGAGGACGACTGACGAGAACCACGGCACATTATCCCATTCGGTGTTGTTTCTGTACAAATGAACGAGTGAGTGTCTACCCAGAAAAGTGTTGCTCACGTGCAAATGCTCGAATTCGATTTGTCTGTCGGTATACTCGTCTTGAATTCAATCAAATTCTGACTGCGTGCGTTGAAGAGTAAACAGTGATATCCGAGCGGCTCTCCGCTGAAAGTTTCTCAACTGAGACTGCTGATTTCTCTGTGCAACCTACCATTTGGTCTCCGAGAACACAAGAACTCGGTCTTCGAAAGTCTGGACGCAATGGGAAATGAGCGGGACTGCGCCAATGTGGTTCTGCAGGTACTGTAGTTCGTGGGAGGACACTTTCATCGAATCGAATTCGCCTTGCATCCAAGCAGGAAAAGCACACGGAGCGAATGGTTTTGCGATGATCCCCGAATGAAAGTAGTAGCTGTCGAAGGCAGTTTTGAGGGACAAGGAAGAGCACGAGGAGTCGTTGGCAAAGTACAGCTTCCGAACATTTGTCTCTTCGACCACGAGCTGCAATAGTCGTAATTGGAACATTGTTGGGTATTTAATTCTCAACTCCACAGCGATAATCTTCATTTTCCTCGTTTTGCACGATGAAGTACACCTGCTCTTTCTTGTCTTTCCAAGAACCGATGCATCGGAGAGTCATGTCTGGAATTGATTCAAGATTGGCAAACTGAAAAGTAAAGAAACTTGCCAAAGTCTGGAAATGAGCAGTTTTTGAATTGAATTTGAATTTTCGAAGAGGAAATGCAGTTGTTCGCCTGAAATCATGGCAAATTATGAGAATATGATGTGTCTTCTCACCGTAGTGCCTTCTCCGGATTCGCAACTCAAAGCGGCGTCGTTCATTCGGTAGGACACTTCGAAACGTCCGTCGATTGGACTGCAACTGGCAGCCTGTTCATCTGACGTTCCTGAAAGAATTAGATTAGAAGTAAGAATGTGGAAGAGTGCCCACGGAAGAGGAGAGCGCCGTCCGAAATGGTGACGAGAGTGGATTCGAAACACGTCATCTTGGCTTCTTTTTCACTCTCATAACAGTTCTCTTCTGAATTCACGCATTTCAAAACGGAAAGGCAGCAGAATGATTTACCGTATTGATGTGCTAGCTGAAGAACATTGGAAGAAAGAAGGATCGGAGTGACACATCGGAAACATATGGGACGGCCCATTCTTCTGAAAGTACAACTCAATCCTGGAGAACGTTAGTCTGAGATCTCACTTCAGTCCCATTATGAACGAAGATCCGTACTTGCTGTAGCAATCTCCATAGTTACTGATCGATGTGGCAGTGATTGTGACCTCTTCATAAATCGCATTCTGCCTTCCGACACCTTCCACTGACATGAAACTGTTCGATTGTTTTTTGTACATTCCATGAAATGAACTTTCGATTCGACATGAATAACAAACTGAAAACGAAGTCTACTGTTAACTTGAAAACAATTGCGGAAAACTGACAACTTTCGAGGATCGAGAGAATAACAATGATGACCCACATGTATTCGGAATGAAAGACACTTTGAGTTTGAGTTCTCATTTCGAGAAGTCGACCATGTTTGTATTTCGAGTACAAGCCCGCCCACTTCAAACCACTTCCTGCTCCGAGTATTGTGACGTGTCTGTTTGAAGAGTTCATTGCGAAGAGTCACCCGAAAGGTCTTCCCGTTCATTTATTAATGTGGACTTATTAGGTTGAAAGTTGAAATTAAAAGTAGGGGTAATTATTGTACACAGGATTATAAACAAACTGCCGCTTCCTTCTCGGCGGAGCTCTTCGCATAGTGACCACAGGCCGGTACTCTTCTTGAATGATATTGTAGAATGGAGGCTGCAATGGACGAATAGTTTCGAATTAAATGTACGGGTTCTTTACAGTGTTCATGATAGGCATCATGGCCATTTGGTACGGAAGTCCGAACATTTGGGGACCGCCCATCTGCATTTGCAGTGGATTCATTTCTGGTGTTTGACTGGGTGGCTCTCGAATACTTCTCGGCCAACGTCGTGGAATTGCAAGTGCCGGATCTCGATGCTTCTGATAGTCGAATAAACTGGTGAACGGGTCCACTGGAGACAGATTCTGACCGTAATGAACAGTCATATTGTCGTAACCTGAAAATGTAACCCAAAATGAAATGGTTTTGCATTGGCAACTGACTGTAGTACACGTTTCCAGAGAATGGGAATCTGTAGGCGATTCCTTTCGACATCGGAACTGCCACGTCGATATCTCCTTCCAATCCGTCCGATCCTCCAAATTCGTGTTCGATCTTAACTGTGGATCTTCAGCAACCGAATGATCAGAAGACAACTCACTCCCAGTGCAAAGTTCATGTGATACGGGTTGCAGAGGGGAGGTTTGCAGGCCATTGGCATGTACTGTTTTCCGAATTTCCCCATCGGAAGGGTTGGATGCGCCACTGCAAATGATCATTTCACACTTGAATCTGGGTTTCCACTCACTTCTGTTTGCTTGCATCGCTGGATCACTCATCAACTTCACAAAGTCCTCCTTCTCCAAATCGAGCATGTTGACCGGATGATTGAGGTATCCGAACTTGGTTGAAGTGTCTTGGACTCTGTTGTAGAAACGACCGTAGATGTCAAGCATTCCCCACGATGGTACGGCAAAGTTCATGTCTCCTCCGATGTGCTGAGAACAAGAAGTTTTACAAAAGGACTATGCAAGTACTTACTCTGGAAGTTGAGGGATCGAGATCGACACCTCCGGAGAACTGATTCTGGAATGGGAACACTGGCCAATAGTCTCCATCGTGCGATCGGCCGGGGAGCGGTTCTTGTGGACCTGAAAGACAGAATTCATTTGGAATCAGCTTCAAAACTCGCCTGGAATCTTGTAAATGCTTGCTTTCTTCTGCTTCTTCAGCCCGAGATCTTGGTTCATCCGACTCGCAAGGAACGAGTACACATCCTTCCCGTGGGGTCCGTCTTCCCCTTCCGCGTCCTCCTCTTCTTCTTCGACTTCTCCTTGATTCTGAAGGTTCAGCTTGGTGTTCGAATCCACGTACGCCAGAAAGATCGAGAATAGAAGCAAGCGGTGAATGAGGCGCATTTGGGGGAAAGTGAGAAGGTCTTTGTGGAGGGGAACCGAGAGTGTTTCAAAAACAAGACGGGCGGATAGGTGATAAGCAGGATTGTCGTGTGCGGATCAGAGAGTTCACATCTTTTTATTAGGGAACCGTTATTAATGACGACTTATTATTAAAAGTATACATAGTGATAGTTCGGGATTACTCTGTACTTTCTTCGTCTTTTGATCGGAGCCTGCACGAACTGGTACGGAATCATCGACGGATACAAATGTCTGTAGTCTTTGTAGTACGGTTGCTGCATCATTTGTGGTAAGAACTGAGTCTGAGCATTCGGATAAGGCATGAATCCCATTCCAGGTGGCATCATCATCATCATCTTTCTCTGCGTCACCGATCTTTGTTGCATCTCGACCGGTTCCCGTATGCTTCTCGTCCATCTTCTCGGGATTGCCAACGCAGGATCTCTGGTTTTTTGATAGTCGAACAAACTTGAAAAGGGCTCGATCGGGCCGAGATTCTGTCCGTAAGTGACAGTGACGTTGTCACGATCTGCAACGAATTCAAATCAGATGAAAACAAGAAAAGAAAACGAACTGTAGTAAACATTTCCGGAGAATGGCATTCTGTAGGCGATTCCTTTGGACACTGGCAACGGAACATCGATGTCTCCTTCCACACCGTCCGAACCTCCCCAATCGTGTTCGATCTGAAATGGATTCCGTCTGAAATCCTTCTAATTCCTCCACTCACTCCAAGCCCGAAGTTCATTTGATACGGGTTACACATCGGTGGTTTGCAGTTCAATGGAACGTATGTTTTTCCGAACTTTCCGAGCGGAAGTGTCGGATGAGCATCTGAAAAAGAGACGATATCTTATTTGTTGGCTACCAGAGTTCTCCTACGTCTGTTTGCGTGCATCGCGGGGTCACTCATCAATTCACAAAGTCCTCCTTCTCCAAATCGAGCATGTTGACTGGATGGTTGACATATCCGAACTTGCTGGTCGTGTCGTGAATTCTGTTGTAGAAGCGTCCGTAGATATCGAGGACTCCCCACGAGGGAACGGCAAGATTGAAGTCTCCTCCGATGTGACGGGAGATGGCAGGATCCAAGTCAAGACCTCCGGAATACTGATTCTGGAATGGGAACACTGGCCAGTAATCTCCCTGATGAGAACGTCCGGGAAGGGGTTCCTGAGGACCTGAGCACATTTAATGGTTAGAATTGTGAAAGGGGTCGTTACCAGGAATGGTGTAAATGTTCGGACTGAGTCTCTTCTTCGCCACCACTTCCTGATTCATACGTTTGTAGAGAAACTCGTACATTGACTTTGACTTCTTGTCCGTGAGCTGCTCGTCTTCCTCTTCTTCTTCTTCTTCTTCCTCAGAATCATCTTCTCCACGGTTTTGCAAATCGATTCGTTTCGCGAGAATACATGCCAGAAAGAAAAGGAGAAAAACAGAAGACCTCAGGATCATGAGGAACAAACGGGAATGAGACGAGACAAGGTAGTCGGGGGGATTGCATGATAAGACGAAGCAGAAGCCGGATCAACTCGTCGATAAGCTTTGATCTTTCAACAAGAAACACTTTTTCCCTGTCCCTTTCCCTCCAGAAGTTTCCTCCCTTTTAAAGTTTTGAAGGGCACTTGAGACTATTTTTGAGATTAATTCATGTTTATTAGGGCTATGCATTTGTGATGAATCAGACGAAAACTTATAAATTACTACAATCGAATAAGTGCCTACGAGAGAATGGAAACGCAGAGAAATAGGTGGCAGACAAGTTACCAGTAGAAAAGGAAGAAAAAGAGAGAGAGAGCGAGAGAGTTGGATAGAAAAGTGAGGGTAAATGGAGAGGATATTTAAATGCAGTGGTTATTAGGGATATGTATTTACAGTTGGAATCTATTAGTGAGACATGGGAGGGCTAGAGAACTAAAAGAGGTGGCAAAGACCAGAATAGACATTAGAGGGCTGGGTGAGACCGGAAATATAAAAAAGAAGGGATGAAGATACATTTAGACATCGGTTCCGTTCTCTGGATCCCCCTGAACTGAGTTCACTCTTGATGGTTTGCTGCTCCATTTGCGAACGGCGAAGATGACGGTGAGGGCGAGAACGATGAGAGCGAGGGCGGCAGCACATCCCATCAAAACTATGGGCCACGCGAACGGACGGGAGCCAAGGGAGCCGGTGTGCGCGAGAAGGGAGGACTCGGAAACCTGCAGAGAAAGAAAGGGGTTAATGACTGGAAGAAGGAGCACGCGGGGCAAGAGCAGAGCATGCAACAAAGGAAAAAGTACACCACCTTTCGACTGACCTCTGGCACACAATACTGCGCCTCCTTGATGTACCCGATAGCGCATTGCTCGCAGTGATCTCCAGTGTATCCGGTGGTGCAGGCGCACTCGTTCTCCTGTCAACATCATTCATTATTCATTCGAATCCGCGCGCGCGCTCTTTTACCTGAGTAACAGATCCGCCGTTCTCGCAAATGAGAGGAGCATCGCAGAAGGGACCGGTGTAGCCAACGTCGCAGAGACAGAATCCGTCGAGACCGCCCGTCGGGATTCCGTTGAAGCAGGTTCGCATGTTGCAGAAGAGTCCCGTCCATCTCTCGAAGCACTCGCACTTTCCTTCCACCAGTTTTCCTTTTCCTGGCTCACAGTATGTCACTTTTTCGCATCTGTCTCCCGATAATCCGTAAGGGCAATGGCAACGGACCTGAAAAGGGAATGAAGTGGTTTGCCACGTCATCAGGGACACTCTTACCACTCCTTTGGCGGAATGTCTGCGTCCTCCGTTCAAGCATCGTTCTCTTTCGCATTGAGTTCCTTCATATCTCAGAGTGCATTCACATTTTCCCTGAAATTATCGTGTTCAATTCAAAATATAAGCGTTCCAGGCGGTGGTTTCCCATAGAACGGTACCCCATGCGGCGCAACTCGACCCACTAATCCGTTTTTTTGAGTGGCTCCTTGTGCGCCGACGACATGACCGAGAAGAGCCCTTTGGCCACCCAATTGTGGCATGTTTCTTCGTCTTCTTCACGGCCATGTAATCCGGGCGGTCCGTCACACGGAATTAGCCTCCTCGGCTGCCCTCAAACGCCACCATGTGTGCATTAACAGGGCACAGCTAGTCATTTCAAAAAAAGTATTATGTCTTTTTAAATTAGTGTTTAGCAAAAATTAATAATTATTTTATAGGTTACGGTCCCTAGAGACTTTAAACTTCCTCATAACTGATTATCTACCCAGACTGCTTTATGACATTATTATTTCTTTGATGAGTACCGAAATGACGCATGAACTGTTTTTTCGAGTTAGGGTGGTCAGGTAAAATGGGTGACCCAAATGAAATGATGGCCGCCAACTTGTCATTTCCACTCACATTGACCAGCGATCCACCGTTTTTGCAAAAGTCGTCCGGAAGATTGGGGTTGATGAGCGAATTGGCAGCGACGGCGCCGAGCAGAAGAAGGAGGGCGGCGGCGGAACGGAAGAGCATCCTGCAAGAAGCCGCTGCTTTTAGCCGTGTGTTTACAAACAATGGACGGAAGCGAGAAGGATGTTCCGATGTGTTTATGTTTGTGTTTCACACAAGTGCTTAAGAAGTAGAAGATGAGAGGGGGGAGAAGCTTTTGGGAATACAACAAGAAAGTATTGCATAATTGAGGGCAGGACCGGACGGACGAGGACGCGGAAAGCTGCTTTGAAAGCTGATAGGTCACTTTCAATTAGAACGGACACGAGCGGAAAGCGAGACGGAGCGGCAGTACAAATTAGTCCGGTGGCACGAGAAGGAGAAGAAGAGGAAGAAGAAGCAGGAGACGAGCCGCCGCGCGGGAAATTCAATCTGTTTTTATGAATACTAGTAGCTTCTTGGCTTCAGAAAGAAGTCGGACGAGGTCAAAAAGAGAATGATGGCCGGAGGAGCTGAGCTTAATTACTGGGCACTAGAGGAAGCTTGCTCGAGTGGGTGCAAACAAATTTGGAGTCCACAGAGACAAGGGAAGTGGTACTGGACACAGGAAATTTCAATGAAGAAGACCGCCATGATTAGGTTCGTTGGAGGCCAGAAGACGGGGTGCGAACAGAGTCATAAGGACCGCCCAGGGTGCTAAAACGAAAAACAAGACTGATTGATTGTACAAATATTTGGAAGGGCTCGTCAGAGACACGTCTCCATGGGGGTGCTCCTTCTGACTCCGCCCACTTTATGACCCGCTGCCTATTCGGGAAGTGGTCGTAAACCCAGTGATAGATTTACAGCGATGAAGACGTTAAGGGTGTTTACAAGCCGTCGACACGACATACGGTGCAGAGAAGCACGGATTATGAAAATGATGGAGTCTCGCAAAATATGAATATAAATTAGGAGAAGCAGAAGGAGGTCTTCAGTGTGTTGTGGAAACAGAAAGGGAAGAAAGGAAATGTAGCAACAGGTGATGGAGCGGAAACACGGTTTACCTGTCGCCAATCGGAGCGAGCAGGCCACTCAGAAGCCAGTGACCCGTACGCAGATGATTGTGAATGACAGACCCGGCCGCTTGTTAATTGGCATGTCTCCACAGAAAGGGGCGGGCGATTCTGAGAAGCTCCCGGCGCGAGAAACGACGAAATCAAGATGATCGAGGACAGAAACGTTCCAATAATGGTGCGTGAGTGGGTCGAGACTGTCCGAGCGTGGTGCTGATTGCGATTGCACAATCCTAATTAGCAGATCGAGATGAGATAGTAATCTTAAGACGAGTTTCGCGCACCTACTACCAGTTCTGCTACCATCCTCTCTTACCCGGCAATTACAGTAATCCATGTAAACACACATCTGGACGCATGATGCACCATACGGAGAAACAACGAAAAAGGACTGAAATGCGAGGCGGACATTGAATAGGCGTCACCAATCTTGCACAATTTGTATGAATACACAGTAGTCACACCGGGTGGCAGGGTGTCTAATTAGTGAAAGGAAAGGCCGGTGATCGAATTTGAGGGACAATGGGCTCCGAATGACGGGAGACACGTGGCAACGCAATCAGCATCTCGGGCCCCGGAGAAGAATGAAACAGACCCTGTGTCTGGCTGCCTCGTCCCTCGGGTGCGCCTTTTGCCCCGCCCCCTTCCGAATAGTTCTCCCTCCCTCCCACTTCCCGCCAGCCGTCCGGATTGACCCGCAAGTACACGGTGTGATGATAATCAAAAAGCACATAAATTCTGTAAATTGGTAGTAGGATGTGCACGGACAGTGAACGCGAAGAGTACGGGAATGAGGAGACGAAGAGAAGTGATCGGGTTGTGATAATGAGAGGTGCGCGGCTGGCTCAAAAGAGAATTGGAAAGACTGGTTAGGTTAGAGATGGCTTTGGGGTCGAAAGAAAGTCGAAACAGACCTGTAACGGCCTAAGAATGATAAGAGGATCCAAAAAGCTAAAAAATATCGGTGTTTCAGACTGAATGCCCATTTCTGACTAGTCAGTACTTTACGTTTTTCGGTTATGCAAATGCGAAACGAAAGGTTTCATTTGTGCTTCGCTTCGAATCTGTTTCTGTTTAGCTCATCTGCTCTTCCGCTTCAAGAGCTTTCCCTTCAGGCGGCTCCTCCTCCTCCTCCTCCCTTCCCTCTCGCTCCTCTAAACATTCCACTCAACAGCTTCTGTACTTATGAGTCACAGCCCCCGAAAAGGTGCTGTGAGAATACACAAAACCTTTGACATCAAAGCGAACGCCGTCCATCAAAGTCAACATTTGGAGCAAAAGAAGAGAGATGGAGGTGTTGTATTATCAGAGAGTCGCTGCTCCCTCTAAGGTTCCCATATTGAATTGCAAATGTGGTGTACCTGAGTGCCTCCCTACCATTCAAAAGTGTACTCAACCCACAAAAAGAGAGAAATTCGAAAGTGACGAGGGAGAATAGGTCGACAATTGGTCGAGGAGGGCTTGCGCAACAAAAACGTACGCAGCTGCAACATTCACAACTACAAATTTCGATAACATCGCTCCGGCTGCATCTGGTGCCAGGTTGCGTAATCGATAGTCTGGGAATGTCCGAGTGAAATAATAATACCGGCGATCGGGCAGTACATAAATCAATTTGTCACCTCATTGCGGAGAAACGGTTTGTTTTGATAGGAAACGCAAGTGTTATGATAATAATTGGGAGGAGTAGAAGTAGGTGTGGAATGAGAAGATTTCGTGGGGGCAGCAGCATACTCGAGCTGTCAGCGGGAGGATTCTCCGATTAAAATGCAATCAATCGAAAGGCGATATGTGCATCCGTCTTGTACAACTTGTTTACGTGTACTTCTCGGACAACTCTCGCCTCTTCTGTGTAACAGAATCCATCAAAACGTCGGCTTTCGGCGGTCAGGTGTTCGAGAACGAGTCCTGCCGAGATAATGATGTACCAAAGGGTTATGCAACCGAGAAGGAGGCGGCAAAAAAGGGCAAAAGAAACAGAATAACGAGAAGCCATAACAAGAGGACCATATGGGGACTTCTCGTCGATAATGATGCGTTCTGAATAGACACAGCTGATCGGCATCCGAACACGACACACATAATACAGATGAGCACCGATTCTTCAAAAAATAATGAGCCGGATTCTCGCAGCGGGGCATCCGCCGTCTTGAGCAAATGTGACACATCTTGTTTAAATTTGAGAGGTTCATAGAGGGTGTGTGACGTGGCAATTAGAGGGAGAAGTGCTCGAAAAAACGGCCGATTGCGTGACATTCTTCCATTAATTGGAGTGAGTGTTTCGGATGGCATTGGGAAGACAAATAGCTGAAGAACTTAGCCGAAAGGCCCTAAACTCTGGCCGCCATGAATTACGCCGTGGCAGAACCGGTAATGGTTTACGGCTCCATGGGAATGACTTCCGTTGCACAATCACGGGCCGACAGATGGTTAGTCCCGGTATGACGTGGTCATAAACTATGACTCAATTCTCAAAAAGAGCGAGCAAATGAGGGCTTCAAAAGAGAGGCGCTGACATGTTCTAATTAATATGTGATGTCGAAATGTTCGTGCCCGCAGGTGTCGTTGTGTGTTGTCAACTCGCTACTTTTTTGGCCGTTCGGATCGGCGCGCCTTCTCTCCGAGAGGTCACACTTTTTGTCACTAATGGTCAAGGGTAATTGCAAGAGATTTCTTCTCGTGGAAATCGGAAACCCTCCTGTGGAATGCGCGAACCCCGAGCAAAAACAGCGGCGGTCTGTAATCATAACTGGATAAATATAGACTTGACGCCCGGGAAAGACAAAGGACCGCCCGGAATGGCTGCTCAATTACGGTGTCGGCATCTGAGAAAACAAAAAAAAGCGAACGAACGGTGCGTCGGATCGTAAACGACTACGGTAATGATGCCGGTAGGGGCCACAGAGGGGACGGCACATGCGGAAGAGCAGATGCATCCGGCAGGCCGCCCGTGTGTTGAATAATTTAGTGTTATGATAGGTGGTGGGTCAACGGCGGAAGTGTTGCTACCTGGACGGGGTGTAAACCGCACCAAGTGTTGCGCATTAAAGGCACAGAGGAAACGGGCAAACTGTCTTTGTGCGGCCGGGGAGAATGCTTTTCCGGAGCGCAATTAGGGTGTCAGGCGGTGATGGACAAGTTGGCAGAGAAGAGTCGGATCCAAAAATGAGGACGTTTCGCATGATCGCTTTTAGTCGTCAACGATGGGTTTCTGATCTTCTTGGAGATTTGAAGCGACCCCGGAAGCAGTGCGTTCTTCATAGATCCTCGGAGCTAGATCTAGATCACAGGCCAAACCTTCGCCGTAAAAGTATGAATCTCATGTTTTCACAAGCATGTCCACTGTTTTTAATCAAAGGTATTAGGACGTAAAAGTGCGACAAGGCGATAAATTTGAAAGAACTGGCGATCTGCCAATGAAATGCGTGAATACAATTAGACTGACAGTCAAACGAAGCGAATAGCATTTGAAGGACAGGCCCCCGATCCGACGAAGGAACCATGCGAATCGCTTTCCTTTTTTCATCGACTCCGGCGGCAAACTGAACAAGGGTCATGACGTGGCAGCCACGCGGAACAGTCTATTGTCTTCTGGAGAGGATTGGTTACCCCCTTTTGGATGAGCCCCCCTTCAGAGGGAGTGATTCAGGGCGGCGGGTGCTTTGATCACCTTTCCATGTATTGTTGAGCGACTCGACGCATAGCCCTATTATCGTATAATGGAACATAGTCCTTTGATTTATGTGTGAGTTAGTAACCAAGTTGAGAAACGAACGAGCGGGTTCCGTTCCATGCGACAGGTGCTTTCTCACGAGAGATTTATATGGGACAAGTCTTGGGTTTCACTTTCCGACAGAGGGCTCCCTTTCGTTTCTAGCAAATGTGTTGTTATTCAGAAGACCAATTCCTTCCTTCTTTCCTTCTTTATTCATGTCCTCATCCATTGCGACATGCTCAATTTGCACAAAGCAATAAGCGGATACATGGTAATAAAGCCGGCTTCTCGAATGCACTTCCCGAAAAGGACGCCGGGGACCCACTTCGATTATTAATTCTTCTTCGCGGCCACCCAGGCAGCTAATAATAATGCGACGTGCACTCCGAATAGTAATAATATTCATCTCGTACCCCCCAGAAGTGACACCCACTCCCGGTGAGAAGAAGAAGAAGAAGATGTCGGACGAAACGAAACAAATTGGGGGAAACGCAACAAATGGGTCCATCGGAAGAGATGATAGTTTCAGGGCGGGCTCGTTTACGATCCCGTCTCCGGAGGGAACACTTTTTGGCCAATTGCGCAACACTTGGGTCTCCGATGATGAAATGACCATAACGAGAGGCGGACGACGGATATAATGAGCGATGCGGACGATTCATTCGCCGAGAGGGGTGTACTTTTTAGGGGAGTGCCAAGCAGCAGAGACTAATTCAATTGGTGGTGTCATGGTGGCAAAACAAACATGAAATACTTGGTGACAGCTACCAGATGGGCCCCAACCTGACATTATCGCATCGTCATGCGCCCTTCTACATCCATAATTCCCATTATTGTGTTACTCGGACCAAGCACTAATTGGCTTTGACGTACGTGCATATGGTTCGGACCCCAATACACATAAACTGAAAATGGGTAAACTGATTGGAACGGAATGCGAGCGAAGAAAGCGGGAAGGGGTCGTTCCCAACATTCTTCACTCTGAGACAAGTCACCTTAATGGTTATCGAATTCATTTCGATGATGGACATCTTTAGAGTGACCCACATTATCATTCACTCTGGGAAAATGACTGTTTTGCTTCGGAAGGTGTGGTGATCAGAAAAGTGGTCATTGAAACGGCTAGAAGCCATTAGTGTTTTTACTTTATACGAAACCGAATCTTAACGCGTTCATAAAATATGCCCGATGAATGCAAAATGAATATGATTTTTAACGATCCAGAAGTTCAGCTTCAGAAGATTCTGGAATGAATGGACGGAATGGTCAGTGCCAACTGGAATCGGTTCGTCGGGACCGTTATCAAATTCATAACAGTGCCAGGGTAAGCCTGTCATTTCAGCACTCGTTATCAAAACAAGCAAGTCTAATTTGATTTAATGCCTTCTCTCCGTCTCTCCATTCCGCGCGCTCTCGGTCCCACTAACCTACGTCGTAAAATAAGTTTTCCTTGGTTTGTCTGTTTGTTCACCGTGTTGCTTTTTATCAGAACGACTCTTCTTCTTTCCTCCCATTCCATTCATTCTGCTCCTCTCTTCGAAGAAGACCTTCGCTGCGGATAATCGAATTAGTTTGATGAGCAATCAAATGCGCGAATATGACATAACAGACAGAAGGTCGCCGGAATCGAGAAGAGACTGAACAAAAACGAATACTTTATTCGCAAGGAATGCTTTCTACAGAATCGGGATGGAGCTGTTGACGCAAGTGCTGAAACGAGATCCACGTGGAAACAAGAACAAGAATGGGAACTCACTAAGTGACGGATGTGGTCTTCCATCCTCCACGGATGTTGAATGACTGTGTCGTGGCGGTTCCGTTCCATGGAATGTGGTTGTTGAACCATCCGGTCTCATCTCCCGTCTCGAATCCCGTCAGGTTCTGGTGCATTCTGAACAGGGAAAGTTTACCGAAAACACAGAAATAAAATGAGGATACTTGAACATGAGGGTCCATGGCTTCTTTGTCGGATTGGAAGCGGAAGGGTGGCCGGACGGAACGAGTCCCATTTGTTCTGCGAATTCAGTCATCTCACTGGAACAGTCTTCCAACCTACATCTCCTTGTAATCCGGAGCGAGAGAACGTGAGATTTGTGTCGTAAAAGTGTTCGAACTGAACAAGAGTTGGCTGACTGTTTCCTCCGACTTGAGCTTTGCCCACTGACAGATCCTTGAAAACGTCGAAGAAGATCCTAAAATAATAAACCATTAGCATACTTATTAGCCAGTTCACATACTGCTGAGCGTTCTCAAAAACTTCTCCTTTCACCGTGAAATAGTCGCCATCTTCCATCGCTTTCATGAAAAGAACGTTTACTTCGGCACTCGAATAGTCTCCCTCAATCGTTTCTCCGCACTGGACCGTCGGTGCACACAGATAACAGTCCGCGTGAGGTCCCTCCGGTGTCGTGGATCCTACAATCGTCGTCGAGTTGTCTCCCTCTACGGTAGATCCTGTAGAATTTGATGCATCTGTAACTGCAGAAGAGCTTGTCGAGGCTGTTGGATCTGCAGTCGAAACGGATGGAACTGCCGTAGAGGCCGATGGATCTGCCGTAGAGGCCGATGGATCTACCGTAGAGGCCGATGGATCCACCGTTGAGTCAGAAGAGTATGTCGTCGTAGCAGAAGAGCCACTTGTGACCGTGGATGTTGTAGCGTCGGAACTCTCTGAAACAGATCGACGAGTTTGTAATCGACACGAAAACTGAACATACGTGAAGCAGCCTGATCGACAACAAGTGCCGGAATAAGGAAAGCGAGCCAAAGTCGCATTTTCGGAAAGTTCTCGCCACGAGGAAGCGCGCTCCTCTTCTTATAGAGCATGTTCCTTGTTCCCAGTCATATCCATAAAAACGAACGAATTTCCGAAGGGTTATCGTCGAAAATGCACATCCGGGGTGAAGACTTAAAAGGGTCGGCGTGGGCAGGCAGACGAGTCACACGATGTTCCGTCGTCTTTTGCTTCTCGCCTCGTTACTCTGCGTGGCGTACTCTTGGTGCACGCCGTTCGTCGCTTGTAACCAGACTGTCGTAAGTGTATAAAGTCTTTTCTGGTAACGACGTCTACATTTTCAGTATGGAGACTTCAGCGATCCAGAGAGCGGAATGAAGATTGTCCTTCTGGGACGTCCATTCCAGAAGAACGACGAACTTCTTATCACGGGAGAGTTTTACAACAACGGCTCGGATGTGATGGATGATGCCACGTACGAGTCTTCTTGAGTTTTAACGAATCGTGTTGTTCAGATTCTCGGTCGGCTTGTCGAAGGGACTGATTATGCACCAACTAGGGGAGGATCCAAAACAGTATTTGTTAACAACCACACTGGGAGCCAATGCTACGGCTATGAACGTCACGGGACTCTTGAAATACACACTGTCTACATTTAACTACGGCGTCAAATCAATTCCGCAACCAGTATTATCTTGTGCAGAACCGTTTGTTTTCAAACTCAAGTACTGTTATAACAGTAGAGGAAATCAAAACATGTATGCACATTTAGAAGCGTTGATGGGTTCGGTTTTGCCTTTGGAAATGGAACAGTCTATGCAGGAAAAGTTCCGTCTCAGTATCCAAAGAACATCAGTTCACAATCAGTATTCTTCAACGGACAATTCAAAACGTCCAAAATGGAACTGTAAGTTCATAGAACATCCATCAAAATCAATTGAATCAAATGATTCTTTTTCCCTTTCTAGGAGGTGCATTGACTGACAGCCGCACGTTGCCTTTCTTCTCCTCGACGTAATAAATAAATGAAGTGTTTGGTTTTTGCTTTCGTGTCGTTTTATGAATTGGAAACTTGAACGTGTCGCTTGTGACACGGGCGGTCGGCCAGTCGACCGTCATAAATCTCCACCGTTATCAAGATCTCTCCGGCCAATGCCACGTCATGCCTACTGCCAGAAGCCGCATTTCAATTACACGCATCCAATCAGCAATTCTGCTACTTCCGTGATTCTTACTCGATCAGTCACTTTTTGTTTGTATTCTGTTCCCGAAATAGGCGGTTCACGAAGCCAGTTATGTAAATGAGAACCGACCGATTTGCAAAGGTCGTCGCTGGTGTCGTTCTCCGTTAAGTAGCCGTTGCTTCTCTCGTATTTCTGCCCAAAAAGGGGAGTAAACAATTAGAGGAGCCGTCGCAGTCATCCATCAACAACTCGGACTACAAATAATTTCTTCCGCCGCTTTCTCCTCTGGAATTCGCCCACTTTTCGGATTAGGTTCGTTCTCCTCCACAATGGTCTCTGGGAACAAAGTTTATGTCTGGAGGGTGTAATCGCTCCTTCTTTTCCATGAGAATACGACTGTAAGAAGCAGAGGCACACGTTCAGACAGACCATTATCAGGGGAGGGAAATCACTTCCTCCTCTCAGTTTCCCTTCTTCTCTCCCTTTCTGTCTACCATCTACCATCATCGAAACTTTGCCAGAACCTGCTTTCTTCCTCCTCTCCTTTCGATATCTTCGCTTCTGATCAGCTGCCATTCCTCATTCCGTTCGTGTTTCCCTCTTTTCGATTCGTCCTTTCTCCCTTCCTCAGGTTTTCCTTCCTTTTTCCCTCCAACCTTTGCTCCCGATTTCCAATTCCATTGTGACGAGGAAACAGGCTGCTCAATATTGCAACAGGAGCTCTTTTTTCGGCTCTCCGACCTAATCGAATATCCGCCGTCGGCTCCTTCTCTCGGTCACTTTTCCTCGAAGTCGTCCACCGTCGTCCGATAACTTTCGCAAATAACTTCCTCCCCGGTGCGTGTTTGCGCCTTCTCGCTGTCAGCTATAAATCGTAAAGCTGTCATCGCAGAACTTTTTCGACCAGATCGTTCTCCCCGCAGGTCGCGTGTTTGCCCTCTCGAATGAGCACCCGCGGGCTCCCAGATCACCCGTTACTGTTTATCATTCGATAATCCATTCGAACGAACGATGGCACCATCTCGTCGTATTGTTTTTTGCTGTTTCGCGAAATGACGTCGCACCCCAAAAACACTACATTGTATGCATTATTGTGTGTTTGTGTGCCTTGTAATCTATACAACAACAACATAATACGAGGTGTTTCACCACGTCTTCAGATTTCTTCTCCTTTCTCCTATTCTGAATGCTCTTCGCCTCCTCCTCCTCCTCTTCTGTTTTGCCATTCATTCCTTCTCTGGAAACATGCAATTTGCACGGAGCCCTTCTCTGAAATGCCCTTTTCAGTCAGCACATGCCCATCCACCTTCTCCTTTTGCGTGTCGATGTATACACTTTTGTGTGATGCCACGTCACCGCCCCTGCTTCTCCGTATGCATACACATTCGTCCACTTCTCGTCGCCCGTCCCCTCTCACAATTCGTACTGTTCCTTCTGATTGCCGTACTTATCCAGGAGGCCTTGAACGAACAGAACTACTTGATTCTCGATCTCAATTTTCGGATTAGATCTTTTTAAACGCAGAGTTTCCTGCAATTTCCATCCTTTTTGCATCAGAATAACGGAAGTAGAGAATGACGAACACTGTGTCCGGTAATCCTCTATTTCAGCGAGGATTATTTCTGTAAATAGAGCAGGTCTCTGGCGTTTTCCTTCCATTCTCTTCTCCTACGTCAATTGGCTCTATCGGAAACCAATCGAAAGTTTCCGTCGAAACCTATGGGCCGTCTCTTTCTGCGCCATAAATTTCTGGAGCCATTGACGTATAGTCTCTTCCATCATCCGAATCCTCGCTTAGTCCCTCAATCTACAGCTTAACCGATCCTGTGTTTATCCCCGGATATTCCGCTTTGCAGAATCCTTGTATCCTCTTTTTTTTTGAAATAATTCTCCTCTTTTTTACGACCGTGCTCTCCTGATTAACGTCAAGAAAGAAAGACTAATTGAGTGCGGTCTGAGTCAGTGGACGGCTTCTGCCGACGTCGTGTTTTTACCGCCATACAAGGGTTTCTTCTGACGACGAGTCCACTGAAACCTCTCCTCTCGCGCCCGTCCCATTGTCTGTTTGCACATTTTGCAGCCTGCACGTTGTCTTGTTCCAATAAGAAATGAGTATGTGTAAGATGTCCAATTGTTCAAAGTCCACGCTCTTCTCCCCAAAAAACAAATCATTTTTCGAAGATCGGCCTCGTCGAAAAAACGATTATTCACGCGCCAAAGTGTTTTTTCGCACGCCTTCAAGTCACTCGGAATTGGCGAGTTCTCACCGATGACTGCCCGTAAATCTTGTGAAAACGACGAGTCGCCGACGTGTTTCCATGGCTCCGAAATGGGAAAAGAGTGGGGGGAGGGGAGCGAAGCTATGTTTCGCCGTTCTGTTCTTCCTTCGTTTTGTGTCCCGCCAACACACTAATTTGATGATTTTCGGTGTTTTCACCGGACATTTTTGGGCGTCGCTCGCGTCCCTCTGATTCGATTACGAGTCGAGGCATTCAACTTCCAGAAGGGTGATGGCACCCTGACTCATTCTCTATTCTAGACGTCTTCTTCTGGCTCCTGTGCCTGCCACGTGCAATATTCCTTCCGGTCATTTTCAAAGTCTCCCATTACATTGTATGTACAACACATTGTGGAGGCCGAGGTGAAAGGTCGGCTCCTTTTTTGCTCCCGTTTCGTCTGACTATGTTCTCATTGCTTCTCGTATTTCGTCGTCGTCCGTGACGTTTCTTTCCTCGTCGGACCCTTCCTCTGTTCATTTTCCCCTCCACTCCTCCTCAATCAGCAGGTGTTCTCAACCTGAAACACACCCATCATTCCATCATTCTGTGACCCTGAATCGCCGCAGTTTACCTCACCCCATCACTATCTGTGCCTCGTGACCACGTCATTGTCTCTCTCCGATTCGTGTCTGCTTATCAGCCATTTTCAGTGTCGCCAGTTCCAAACCCCGAAATAATTTCGCTGACTTTCATTTGCTTTATCACTTACTTCTTTCTTGGTTTTTTCGTTTTCAACATCTGAGACCCAGATGATTTCGATCCTCATATTTTCTGTTTTCAGATGCATAACCCGCTTAAAAAACTATCTCGCTCGATTTCACACAAACTTCTCGGCAAACGGTGAGCCATTTTGTGTACTCGTGTTCAACGACTGACTCATGCATTTTAGAGCCAACGACTCATCGTCCGAAAGTTTTTCGTCCGCTTCGTCGACGACCTCTTCAACGGCCACTACACCTCAGCAGAATTCCATTGATGAGGATCCATACAGAGTGCGTCCGGAATCACTTGAACTCTGAAAGACTGCTTGTGTTTCAGGAAATCCTCCGTTCGTATGAAGACAACGTCTCCCATCTGGTATATCATGGATCATCGCTCCGTTCGATGACGTCGCTGGATCTTCGGAAAAGTCCGAAGAGGTCCATAGACGACCTGCCACAGTTGCTTCGAACCGGAACGTCACTTTCAGTTGAACTCTTTTCCGCGGATAACTTATTCCTTGTGCATACTCCCTACGGTTTTCTACATTTCTTCCTGTTGACAAGTTCCGGTTTGAAGGAATGACTGACCTGCCCCTTTTGGCATATGCACTTCTTCTTCTTCTTCTTTGACTTTTTCGGTTTACTGTGTATATTTGCAATCGAATAAATGTATTTGTTCTAGTCATCCGTACTCTATCAGTTCCACTTCCTTCCTTCTCTTTCTTCCCCAAAAGTGAGCCGCCTTCCGTCCTCTGCGTCTCTTCCGTTTGTGTCTTCTCTCGCCGTTAACTAGTTGGTTACCAATTATGCGCAACACGTAAACCACTCAATTGCCACTTACAAAAACCATCGAAACCATCTTGAATCAATTAGCTTTTCGGATGTCCACCTTCACGACAAAAACACAATACCAAAGCGGCCGATTGTCATTCCGATGAACCGACTTTGCCTGACGACGCTCTTTGTTTCCGCGTCTGTTCTTGCTCAAGGTAACCACTTTGTTCTTCGTTCCTTCAATTCTTAGTTTCCTTCAGATCCTCTTAGAAAAGTCAGCGGAGATGCAGCTCCGGACAAGGCACAAGAGCCGATTGACATTGGTTTGGAGCACTGAATTTCCCACTAATCTGTATAGTATCTCAGACGATTTTATCCCGACAATCGACTCTTCTGTTCGTTTTGATGCCTTGATTCCGGAGCCTCCAGCGCTGGTCGTCAGTCTTCCGATGCCTCCCGCGAGCCAAGACGTCCCCCAACCTCCGGCCAGCAATCCGGTGGCTCCACCTTCTTCTCAAGTCTCTCCGCCGTCTGTTAGGCCTGCGCACGGTTTGCCAACTACTTCCACACCTCTCCCAACTACATCAAATGACAATCAGACAACAATAACAACGATACCATATGATGGTTTTCAATTTCAGTAAGAACTGCAAAAAAAAACAATTAGCTTATGATTTTTTTAAATTAACTTTAAGGTCGATATCGACGATATTCTACCCGAACCAATTGACGACCTTGAAGAGTTTCAGAAGGCAGATCTTCTAGAAATAGAAAAGAAGGCCGAGGTGAAGGATCTCGTGAGGAAGACGACATTGAACAGAACGGATGACTACTACATCACGTCGCCAGCCAGTCCGTGCCTCTTTTGTTTTTCTGTTCACTCTGATTTTCAGCGACTGTGACGTCTGAACTACAGAGTGACACTGTCGGGGAAAGCGATGTTTCCGACTTTGACAAGCTACTCGACAAAAAAATGACAACAAAGGAGGAAAGTGCAACGACAGTGCAAGAGGAATTGACTACAGAATCCAGCACGGAGAGAAGTTTGTGTGGGAGAGTGTTCTCGCGTGAAGACGTACTTTGTAGGCACGACGACTCCATCGACCACATCTCCGACAACGACGACGTCTGTGTCCACGACTACGGAAATATTGAAGAAGACGTGCATAGACGTGAAAGAGCTGAAGAAGGTGGATGATTCAGTGAAGGGTACGAATTGATGTGTGATCGTACTGCGAGTTGGTTGTTACAGCTGGAACAAGGACAGGGACAATAGAAGTTTCCGTGGAAGTTGGCGAAGATTCAGAGGAAGATGACGATGCGTCGGAAGAGGAAGAGACAGCAGCGCCGGTGAGAAATGCGAGGGAAAACAAACAGAGTGTAGTTTGTAAGTAGCACATTCTCGTTATCTTGCTGCACTCGCTCATTAATTACAGGGAAGAAGTTCGAGATGAACTGCGACGAGGAGGAAGATGAGAAGGGCACTATTTGCAAGGCATCCTCCCGTTCCCTTCCACTGTGCATCACATTTCTCTTTTCAGCTGTGGGCAGCCGGTGGTCTCTGCGGAACACACAAGCCGACCATGTTCCTATTCTGCCGAAAGACGTGCCTGTGTGTGGGACCGAACTGAAAATGTGTTCTCCGTGGGAACGTGCTGTTATGTGTGTGCATTGAAAAGTTTATTTTTGACTTGAATCGAAAGAAATGAGATTTTGTATAAATGTTTTTATGATTGTTTGTCTGCCGAGCAAAGAGCGTTCGAAGCAAAATCGAGAGAGTTCTAAAGTAAAGAAGCAGAAGCGGAAGCGGTTAGAAAAAGAGTTTAGAGAATATAATGGAGGGCGCCGGCGAGCAAGTTGATGTCCGAACGCAGCGAATTGACGGCGAGCATGATGGAACGGGGGTTGTTGAGCACTTCGACGCTCTCGGTGTACGGGTTGTAGCGGACGATGAACGGGCGCTTCATGTTGTTGGTGAACATTCTAAAATGGGAATGAATGAACAATATGGTGAGGATATGGACGAACCTCAGTTTCTGCTGAGCTTCCTCAAAGTTGCGAGTGTAAAAGTAGGCAGATTGGAAAGTGGTAATGAGACATTCTTGCTCAACGACACGATCCGGGTCGAATCGGATGATGGTCGCAGAGCCCTCGACTGCGTGTTGCAACTCGCCCGCACTGCTCAGAAGCCCTGCTCCGTAAACTTTGAACTTTCCGTTGTTCGTCGAGTTTTCCTTCATCGGCGAGTCGGCCGCGTCATCCGAAGACAATCCGAACTCGATGGAGAAGAAATAGAGCTAAAAACAAGTGATCTTATTTGAAGTTCTCTGAAAAACAATCTACCGTAGCCAGCTTCTTCAAATCTTCTTCAGATGCTCCGAGCGAAGCCAATCCAATCTCTTGGGAGAACTGAGCAAAGTCGGGATCCGCGAAGAGAGCCATGTGGCCCATCAGCTCGTGAACAGTGTCCCTGAAACATTGCAGTCATTTCCTATTCACTGATCCTCGGGTACGGTTCCGGAGTGTAGAATGGATCGGCATGATGACGGACGTATTGAGTGCAGAAGAAAACGCGGAAGGCGAGTCCGGCAAGGAAGTCGCGAGCGGAAAGGTACCCGGCAACTGGACGGACGCGGAAACCTGTCTTGGCTGAAACTGATTATTTTCGACCATCTATTTCCACTCTCAGATGTGACCCTTGAGAAACTTGCAGATGTCCTCCAACTGCGGAATGTTGTCCTGAGAGTATCCGCAATGTCTCTCGAGAAGCTCGAAGTTGTCAAGGAATTGTTTACAAGCGTGCCTGCAATCAGCTCATTGTCTCACTCCGATTTCTGGCCTACTTCTTGTGCAGCTCGCGCAGCTTCTTGTAAATAACACCCCACGTCTTCCGCTCCGATTCGGAGTATTCGATTCTTGGAATCGACTCTCCGCTGAAAACATGTTATCTGAAAAACGAATTCCCATAGAAACAAGAACTGTTTATAATTGAGGGCCAGTTCGGCAAACATCATCCGGCGTTGACGGTATTCAGTGTCTTTGAATCCCTAAAACTGATAAGTACAACAACTGAAACAGTATTCAATTCCCAACAGGGTGATCGGCATCAAGTCCTGAGCCGTACATAATGACACGTTTCGCACAAATGTCCAAGTCATATATGCTCTTCGGGAACCATTCTGATCCGGTGATCGCATCTGAAACCTCTGGATTCTTTGTCTGCATCCCCTTCAATAATACCATCAGATCCGGGTTCAGTGAACTGTTCCTTGACGGCGTTCGGACGAATCGTAAATGAGACTTCGTGGACGTCGAGCCCATTCAGTCTCATGAGATCCATTGCCTCCTGCTTTCCCCAGTCATGAAGCTCAATCTCCAGAAGCACGTCCATCGTGGCAGAGCTTCCGTCCTGACTGTCACGTGTCTCCAAGTGCTTGACGCGAGTACGGCCCGGGAGGTTGGCGATCATCTTGGAGATGTCGTCCGAGACACGGCTCGACTTCACAATGATAGTGAGCACTTGCACTCCGTCCTCTTCGTCGCCCTCGCGGATCGAGGCTTCTTTACGGACCGAGCGAGTTGGAGTGAAGAACTATCAAAAGGATTACGAAAAGAGGGGAAGGGGAGTGCTGACCTGTTTGACGTCTTCTTCGGGGACGAATGGGATCCCAAGAGACCCCGAACGACGGAATCTTCTCTTGAACTCCTCCATCCTGGTGTCGTTCGACATCGACCTGCAACTCAACTTCTAGGTTAGGAAACAATGCTCTGTGTGGCTGACATGCTGCTAGTCATGCTACTCGACATAGTCTTCCCGGCAGCCTTCTTCGAATAGTACTGAAACTTCATTGCGGATGCCATCTGAAACAACGTGTCCATATGACGGAGAGAGCAATGCGACCTAAAACGAAAGAATCGTGAAATGAGATGGCCGGCGAGGCGTCGTCGGCTGATTGATTGTTCTATTATGCACACCGCAAACAGAAACCTCCTCCTTCTTGGCGGATATCGGATGGCCTTCTGGAAGAAAGGCACGTACTAGTCAATATCCGGAGGAAATAATAGAAGAAATGAAGGCGAAGGCGCCACTCCATTTCTTTCGGCTGTCATGGTTTCCGTGGGAAAATAAATGAGCCGAGAGTCTCTTGTGATGATGCGAAGTGGATTGAATGATGTCAGATTCGGAGGACGATTGAGGAAGAGAAATGGGACGACTGTCGAGGGAATATGATGAACCTGAAAGAATTTGGTAACAGGCCACAAGCACATCACGTCATTCCTCCCCGAATAGCTCCCGATCTTTCTGCCACCTCCGTCCTTCCCATGAATTATTCTTTGCCAATCTGTGATCCCATTAAGTCCGTCATTCCAGACGCTCTCCCTCTTAACCGCAAGAGGATCCGCAGATGTCGTCCCTGTTATCGAGTTCGCAGCTTCTTTCCTCTTCCCTCTCCTTGTCGCTATCATCTTCCGCACCTCATTCCGCGCGGTTCCCGGAGACTGACGCGCGATACTCATCTCCATCGTCTCTCTCTCTCTCGCTCTCCGTCTCTCTTTCGAGTTTCCGTGAATCCTTTTTCTCTTTTAACGACATCCGTCGTGTTCCAAAACTGATTACCCGTGCGTCCGCTGAGGGAGAAGGAGATAAGAGCGCGCCCGAAAAACTTGGTAACAACAGCTGGATTTCGATTTTTGCGTCCGTCGCGCGCCCGGATGCGCGTACATTCCATTCGGTGTCCAGCATGGAAACAAGAAGTAGAAGAAGAAGAGGAAGACAGCCGATTAATGCGAAATACTTTATTTTGGATACGAAAAAAAGACACCCGAAACGGGCGAAATTGATCATGACGTGGATGGCGATTAGTAGCCTGGCGGGGTTCGTGGCGCTGAAAATGATAACTGTGGTCAGAGGAGGGGGAAAAGGGCAACTCACGTGGGCAGTGTCCGCAGTCTCCCTTCTCTCCATTGTCTCCGGCTGGTCCAGCTGGTCCGTTCGGTCCTGGACGTCCTTCTGGTCCTGGAGTTCCTGAGTCTCCTGGTGGTCCTGGTGGTCCCTGGTACGACTGTCCGTCTGGTCCTGGGTTTCCTTTCGGTCCTGGTGGTCCGATTGGTCCTGGCTTTCCTGGTGCTCCCTGTGGTCCTGGCACCGGAATGAGGCGGCCAGCGGCTCCTGGCGCTCCCTTCATTCCGTCGCGTCCTGGTCTTCCAATTGGTCCCGGCTGTCCGGCCATTCCGTCGTCTCCGGCCTTTCCGTCCTGTGGTGGCTCTCCTGGCGATCCCTTTGGTCCTGGTGGTCCCTTTGGTCCCATGGCTCCGAGTGGTCCTGGTGGTCCAGTTGGGCAGATGATGCATGGCTCCGAGGCTGGAGCTGGCAGAACCTCGGCGTCTCTTCCGTTCTTTCCGTCGTTTCCGTTTCTTCCGTCCTTTCCGTCGTTTCCTGGTGGTCCTTCTGGTCCTGGTGGTCCAGCCGCTCCTTGGTTGCAAGTGCAGCACACGGCGGCCGGCTCCGCGTTCACAGCGGCTCCGTATCCTCCGTATCCGGCGGTGTTGGCTCCGCCACCGCCGCCTCCAGAAGCTCCGGATCCGTAGCTACCGCCTCCGTTTCCGCCTCCAGTAGCGTACTGAGAGCCACCTCCTCCGGCGGAGGTCTCTGGGATCCACTGGCCGAAGAGCCAGGCTCTCTTCATACGGTGTCCCATTCCCTTTCCGGCTTGCAGGGCAGTCATTTCGAGCCACATGTCACGAGAACGAGCCTGCAGAGAAGAGGAAAATGTAGAGATGGAGACAAGAGAAAAAAGGAAGCAGAAAAGAGAAAAGAAAGAAAAAGTTACTTTGCAGTAGTCGGTCTCAACCATGAGATGCGATTGGAAGGATTGCACGTAGTTGTAGAGCATCGGAAGAGTCACGACGGAGGCAATGACGGCGGCCGTCGAAACGACGACGGCGACGAAAGCGATGCGTCGCATCTGCCGTTGCTCTTCTGTCTCTTTGACGTCCATATCTGCTTGAGTGGCCGATCGGATCTTCTGCTCGTTCGCCCTCGACGCCTTTTGTAGGCGCCCGCCGAGAACTGGATAACTGCGTCGCCAAGTCCCGCCTCTGAAGGCGCGGGCCGCGGCGGCGATGGCCGACGGACACAGCGATAACCGATTCAACCTGCGGGCGACCGAGATCCGTGTTCACCTGCCATCAAATAGAGGGACCGTCCGCGAGCAGTCCGGAACAGTTTGCTCGTTTCGAACACATACGGTCTGGAAGTGGCCGAAGATAACCACACTTTTGTGTCCAGGATCTTTTCGCCGGGGATCTGGTTTCAGAAGAGCAGACTCATTCAGAGTCTTCTGAACAAGTACATTACTGATTCACTTGACTTCAGATGGACGGATAATCCTGAAACGTATACCTTTCTTCGATTTGTTTCATTTTCAATACCCTTACAGATTCTTCAATCTCTGGAATTCCAGAGCATTCCAGCCCTTCGACCGTTTCTCTGTGCCCTCCGCCTCCGACACACTCTCTCTTCCGATCCAGTCGTTGTCGTTCTTTTCTCATCCATCTAATTGGATAAGTATGTCACTTGATTAACTGGTAAGCTGTTGTCTTGTTATCATTTTTGGCGATGGCGTTCCTTTCCTGGATATAGTTGATAAAAACGAGTTTCGTCCGATAAACCCATTTTTCCCGTCGGTAACCGACTAACTATATCAATTTCTCTTTTTGACATGATCTATTAATTTCACACTTCATTTGTTTCGTAGGTGGTTTTGAAGAATGACAGGAGAAGGTGAAAGGGGGAAAACTTTTCATAAAAGCAGCGAAACCTGATTAGGACGAATTTCCGACTCACAGTGAGAGGGAATGAGACTATAGTACTACCCACAACAAAAACCAAAAATGCAATAAAATAAGAAGAAAACGGAAGGAAAAATGGGAAAGGGACACGAGAGGAACACTGGGAGAGAACATAAAAAAGGGAATTGCAAATTGTGCATAACTACAACGTTTTTATGTTTTTTAAAGATTTACAGAAGAAGTAAGAGATAAGTGGGGAGAAGAGAGAAGGGAAGAGAAGACCCCGTACATTATGATTTTTTGTGCGTTTTGGTTTTTAGAATGTTCACAACATTGACTATGACGTCACAGACGGAAGAATGAAGCGAATTGATCTTGGAAGGAAAATAACAACTACATAGAGGGCAGAGAGGAATGGGAAAAAGAGCGAGGACTAGTTTCGTGGGCACTATTATGCTGAGCACAGCTTGGAAAACAAGAAGAGTAAAACGGCCGGAGCGCCATATTCACTTCTTCTCGTTGCTCATCGCCTGCGCAAAGTCAGTCGGCAGCTTCGGAGCGTTCGGATCTTTCGCGATGCTCGAGATAGGAGCTTGATTGGCGGCACCGAGAGATGAGTTCGAAGAGGACGGAGAGCATGGAGGCAGATTGAGTCGCTGAGAGAATCAGTAATTTATCCATGCTGATGACGTGGAGCTTACCGGATGAAGTGGAGACATGGCAGTGGGAGTTTGTGAAACAGCGAGTGCGATGGTCGGCGGAGCAATCAGTCCCATCGCTCCGGTCAGAGAATTCGATCCGCTAAAAAAAACTTTCAGAACAAATTAGACATTTCTGGAATGCTTACTTGCTCGCGGAGCTATCCGGACGATTTGCGGATGTGATCGGAGGCAAACCGTTCACAGCTCCCATTGTGAGCGCGGAGAAGGTCCCATTACTTCCGGATAGCAGCGGAGAGCGAGAATGCGACTCGTTGATGTACTGTAGAAACTGGTCTTCTGAAAACAACAAAGTTTAATGAAATAGACCCGGTATTCTTACGAATACTATCGCTGCTGTTCGTCAGCTGTCCGAGCACATTCACAAACGATTGCGAGTCTTCTTCCAGCATTCGGAACGGAGTGATCCGAGGGGTCGTGATGGGAGAGGCGACGATGGAACTGCATCCGGAGATGGATACCATCTGCGGTTTGATCGGTACCGGAGCTATGAGCTTGACAGCAGAAGCAGGCAGTTTCGAGTTTATCAAATACGGAGACTGCTGCAGCGGAGTGCTGCAGTAACTCGTACTCGGCTGTTGTTGCTGTTGCTGGTTCTGCCGTTGGCCGTGCTTTTCTTCCACTTTTTGAAATATTTTACTGCAAGCAGAATGGGATAATGTGATAGGAGAGTTGTCAGTTACCTGAAGCTAGTTGTATCCCCTCTGGCAGTCGTGAACTTGGTCGGGCTGGAAGTGTATCCGCTGCTTTCTCTCAGATTGGCAACGACCGCATGCGGCGGAGACACATTGCTACTTGACGAGGCAGCTATACCTAGATCATAATGAGGGTTCGTTTCGTTCATTCAAATTGGCAACTACTTACTTTTGTATGCTTCAGTCATGTACTGGGCACTGAACAAGTCTAGCTGACTGCCTGCGTGTGGATGTCCCCGCTTCCGGCCGATCGGGCTTCCTCGCAGAATGGCAGGCGACGTCCGGAGGGAATTGAGTGCAGTAGCAAGGCTTTGTGCTGAATCGTTTGAATTCAGAGAGTTATTAGCACTGTTCAAGTAGGCCGCCAGCTTACCATTTAGCTGTGCCGCATCCTGATGACGTGCATCGACAACCACCACTCCGACGTCTCCGTGGTTTCCGGCATTCACCGTCATTCGACGTACTGGCTTTGCTGGACGGAACGAAATAGGTCTATCAATTCCGCCGTTTTGAAAATCGGTTGCCAATCGAACAGGCCTCGCTGATTCGCCGACGTTCTGATTGTTGTTTTGCATCCGTGCGTAGCTGCCTGTCGGAGTCCATATGGAACTCCGATGTTGTGCGCGGATCATGCTTTCTCCTGACTCAACGATACGACGAACTTCATCGTTTGTGCTGAAACTAGTACTAATTAAAAGCTGCTCAGTTTCAGATTAGATATCATCCGATTCTTATTCATACGACACTTTTCAGTAAAGATGAAAATATTTTACCTGGAATTAGGTGAGTCGTGCGACGAGAGATCTCTGCTCCGCTTTTCCAACGGTTCGTCGTTCGAATCATCCGATATTTCCAATGGCTGAGACCCCGATGTGCTCGCTTCCGGAAAGTCGACGATCGTGGTCAGGCAGCTCTGTGCAGGAGGCGGAGGAAGACGCAAAACGTGTGTTTTCTCGTCGAAGAAGTTGTTGTCGACGGCATCTTTGTTAACAAAGTACGTGTAGGCAGTGGATGCTGACTGTTGCAAGTAAGTGGCACGACCGCCGAAGTAGGTGTGGCAGGCTTGCATGGGGTCATATTCGAGGGTGACCGGAGTGTCCCACACTCGATTATGAGTGTCACTAGTGCCGAGAATCGCTTGAGGCGCCACAATGGGCTGTTCTATCGGCTCCTGCTTCACAACCACAGTCGGTTCGCCTTCTTCTACTCTATCGCCGTTATAGGCTAAAAGTATTTTCGTGTCTACGTCTTTCAAATAATTTGCCATGAAAATGTCAAGCGCGCGAACTCCGATCGACATGTGAAATGGATTGATACATAGGTTGGGCATCGAGCACGAATCAATCCGCTCGAGTCTCTCTCCGTCTGTGCTTTCCAGAGGTATGCCCTGAACACTTTTGTTAACTTTAACAATTCGGACAAAAATCTCACTTTGAACAAGATAATGGTGACTAAATCGAGTCTCCAGACCTTATCCGCTTGTCGCAAGCAATCGATTCGTCTCATTTTCCCTTTCTGGTCCGCCACTGACAGAATACAATCTCCCGGTCGAAGTCCGTTGATCTGGAATGGGAAACCATTTATTTCGTTTCTGAATGAACCGAGTTTACCGCGGAGACGAATGCGTCTTTGTGGTCGTGCTGTATGTCCTTCTTTATCTTTCCGAGCAGCCGCGACGCCCACTTCACTTTCATGTCGTCTCGATCGTTCTGAAATTGATTACTCTTTCGGTAATGGTACCATTCTCTTGCTCATTAGTCCCACCTGCAATTCGACAAGCTTCCTGCTTTCGTCTTTCGCACTCATTTTGCGATCGAATTCTTTGAAATATCTTCGTTTTGCTGCCTGAAAAACGCGCTCTTTTCATCTCTATACAATCCTTTTTTCTCCGTACCTGCAGATGGAACCAGTTGTACGCACTGGCTCTGACGTAGGGTAACAGCTGCTCCACAAACGGACCCATGTCTTCCTGTGAGTACGGACTGTAGCACTTGTTGCCATTTGCCTTTGGACTCACTGCATCTGGCGAACTGAACTGATTGTTCCAGTCGGAAGAAGGCGGCGGCATAGTTTGTGGCGGGTTTTCTCGCGCTTCCGTGTGCGCGGAAGACGTCCCATTTGTCGAAGAACTGCTTGCACCGACATCGATCTGAAACTTCACACGGATGTTTATCTGGAAGTTGTTTTCCGTCTGGCTTATTTTTTTATAGCAAAACAGACGGAGCAAGTTCTCTTTATATTCTTACTTGTTGGACACCAAGTACAGCCTGAATACTAAGCATTGCATTCAGCAAACCCATGAAACGATGAGGTGAAGACACAGAATAAATTGCGGGCGGAGCAGTAGTGTCTCACAGCACATTCAAATCAGCAGTTCACATAAACGTATATCACAGACTTAGAGAGACAAAGATAAAATAGCTCCAACTGAACAGAACCGCCCGCTTTCGGATACTCGACCGACCGATCAATACGGTGACGGGGAGAACGCCAGTTATTGCTTTCCGAGCTGAGCTTTTTTGACAATATTTTTGCAGAAATCTTACCTTGAGACGCGGCTCCATTTGCTGAAATGTTTCCTGTGAACAAGACAGCAATCGCAATTTCAGAGCTGCTGGCGATGGCTCTCCAGCTCACATAAATTGCATTCTGAAATAAATATTAAAAATCGATAACGGGCGGGCAGAGGAAGGGCGGGCATTTTGAAGAAAAAAGATCTCTGGTGATGAAATGAGCAATCAAAAGCTATCAAAACCAATTTCGGAAACGAATTCAGTTGACAATCTATCGATAACGAGTGCTCATCTGCACGAGCGAATGGACAATGCGAAGTTCGGAGCGGCTATTTTCGCACAGGGTATTTCAGACTTCCGCTTAAACTTTTTCATGATAACTCTAATGGATCCATCTGCTTATGGCCACTATTAAAAATACAGGTGGTCTCGGATGCGCTGCGAATCAAACTACGGTACAAAACCAATAGAGCAGCACTGCAGGTAGGGCCGCCGAATTATTAGTCCGGCGGCCGTTTGCGGGCGGCCACTCACTACATTCCCCGTCTTTCTCCCGCTGTGACCACTACATTCTCAACCAACACGATTGAAATTTTGTCAGAGATAATTTTGAAATGAGTTTATTTTACGGAAAAATGAAATTAAGTGCGTTAAAACTTCGAATTAAACAACTGAGTTTGCTAGCAGTTCATAATAACAAGCCATTTCACGCAAAGTGGTAAATAGAAAAGTGAGATTCATTCAAATTGCTGATTCTTCGTATTTTGGCAGTGAATTGAACTTCACTGATTGATTTGATTCCGAGTTCTGAACTGGCTTCTTGATCATTCTCCGCGGCGCCGGTGACGGTTCCGGCGTGTACTCTTCGACCTGCACTTCCTCCAAAATCGCCATTCTTTTCGGCTTCGGCGGTCGGTTCCGATAGGCGACTGGATAGGACGGCGAAGTTCCGCCGACATTCGAGATCTCGCTTTCGGTTCCGTCGAAGTTGGATTCCTGCGAAACGATTCACTGTCTAACTACTACTAGTGATTCTGTTTTGAGACGAGGAGACCGTTTTATGACACATTATGTACAGAATAGTTTATTTGCAATCGGAAGGGCATAATTATGGCTAATGGTTTTTTTATTTTGCTTAATGTGTTTGTTAGTTGTTTTGAAAGCACCGCTTCTCAATTGGAAGGCTCTCCCCGTCTCAAAAACGTTCAATTATCGACACAACCTTGACGGCCTGCTCAATCGATTCGTGCTGCATTTTGAGCACTTGAAAGTACGTCCTTCTGGCGACTACGAAAGCAAGCATTTTGAGGCTGATTATGAGCACGCAGAGGCTCGCTATTACTGCTCCGTATTTGATTGCTGAAATGGAGAAGCGGAAATGTCAGTTGAGTATTCTGTAGGGACTAATTAGGCTCACCTCGCGCCGTTTCCGGGTGCGTCTCATTTGGATTCGCATAATTGGCATCTTTGATATCGTGAGATGTCCGGACTCGGCTCGTTCTGAAAATAAAAAAAGTTGATGGGGACATTCGTTGTGGCCTACGAAGGTCCTCCGAGAGATTCCAGGGACCACATTACTCCACTGGCCACTGCATTTAATGCTGCGTACAACCAGATCAAAAGCCAAAACATTGTGACTAACTGCAAAATAACATGAATTAAAATATGAAGCATTCAAAGAGAATTTACCTGGTAAGAAAGCATTGGATACGCGTGAATTGCTGATTGTTTCGAAAGACAGAGATTGTAGGTGACGATTGAGAATATCACGAAGAAAAGAAATGCAAAGTTAACGAACACCGGATCTGAAATTGTGAAAGATGAAGTATGTGGCACTGGAGTTCCGGAGCTTACACCACGAAGGAGAATAAATGATCGAGCAGATCGATAGCACCAACATGAGTTTGCCAAGAATTGCCTCGAAAACCAGAAGCACTCTGGAAGCGATCTGTAAGTTCAGTCCCGTATTTCTCGCTTCCTGCGAACACTTTGGATCACCTTGAACTTGAGTCCAAATATCTTCGGTGCGTGAGCGTATGGGCTCACATGTCGAGGCACACTTTGAGTCATCGGACAGAAAAAGAGCAATAATAGGAGGGAAAGGCAACTGATACGCCGTCTCGATAACGTCTTTTATAGTGTGTGCAGCCATTGAGCAAATATGAAAACGAAAAGCGAACAAGGAAAAATGGATAAAGAAGTAATCGGATTGAGGTGAAGGATGTGGCAATAGGGCAGCAGTGAATGGGTTCTTTGTGACATTTGGAAGATATTCAAGTATAGTTTCTGAAACAGGTCCTTCGATTCGATGTTGCTCTTCAAAAACATGTGCCAACTAAAATGACGTAATCTGAAAGTTTCACATCTCACTTAATCTTCCGTTCTGCATCCGATATCAGCCACTCTCACATCGCCCACTTTCTTCCCTCCACTCCGTTTTCTCCTTCGCCACACACATTCGTCTCGCCCTTTTTTCCGTGGACTTTTTCCGCAACACTCGGTCCGTCCGCACCGTGTCCGACATCCGTATCAGTCTCGCGTCTCTCCATTTCCCGCATTCTCTCTCAATCAGGCCTTGACCCGTGTCGGTTGTCCGTTGGACGCCCGTCTCCGTGACCCATAAACCCAGTAATCTACTACCCGTCGGTACGTCCTCCCGCATTCTTATCTGCCCCTCTTCCTTCCATTGCCCTCCGCATCCCATCCCATCCCAGTTTCTCATCCCGATCTCTTCCAGCAACATGCTCCTTCTCTCCTCCGTTCTTTCTTGTCTTCTCATTTCTGCTCTGGCCAAGGAAGCCAATGTCCGCATGGGCTCGCAGTGTTCCAAGAATCAGGTCGTCCGCAAGTTGACTGTCTACGAGGATGGAGCTCTTGAGGCCGAGTGTGGACCGGTTCCATGCGGAGAAGTCGGAAGACGTTGCCTTGATGTAAGTCACATACTATGGGACAGCTGGAACAATAAATGAGTTTAGGACCAAACCTCTTGCCGCGCTGAAACCGATGTGTTCTCCGGAATGAGATGGGCTCCGAACGGGGAGAGCATTCTGCTCCGCTGCTGTACTATGCAGAGCAAGAACAAGATATACGTGGGAACTGACGTCGTTTCCGCCGGAAGCTTCTACGAGGGAGGAGAAGTTGCCGAGAAGGACCTCTACGGAGACAAGGGAGGCGCCGAGTACGACTTTGTCGCCAACGCCAGAACTGAACAGTCAGTGAAGAGCATTGAGGAGTTGGATGGTAATAGTTCAATTGCAGGGGAGGAGTCCGTGTCTGGGTGTACCGTATGATCTGTGCCAAGGGGGAAAAGCCAGTCGACTTCGAGCCAATCACCACCACTTCTGCGGCAGCTCCGAAGGTCGTCAGAACCACCACTCCAGCCCCAATCACCGAGGCAGTTGAGGAAGAGGAAGAGCAGACGGAAGGAGGAGATGAGCAGACTGATCAGGCTGAGACCAATGAGAGCGAGGCCGAGGTTGTGGAGAGCAACGACGGAGAGGAAGAGCTTGAAGAAGAAGAGGAAGAGGAGGAGGTTACGGTAAGAGATAGGGATACTGTAGACATGGTGGAAAAGTGACGTTGATTACAGACTACCCAGGAGCCACAGCCATTCAACCCACTCCGCTACCGACCACCACACCTTCCGAGACATTCGACCGGAATCCGCAGAGCCTAAACTCGTTGCCTCATTTATTTTCGTCTCCTTCTACCTTTCTCTTTCTTTTCCTTTCCTTTTCCTATCAATTTCGATGATCTTTCCGTCCACAATTCCCTCCATTCACTCACATTCCAATATGTGTCCCTATCAAAACGAGTTTGTACATTTAATAAATTACTTTTTATATTGAAACACTTTATTAAAAGTGAAGATCGACGTGTCAAAAGAGAATTATTAGTGATTTGGGTCAATTATTAGTTATTATACATCCGAGAGAGGAGATGACTAGTACTTGTGAGGCAGCAACACGTCGATGATGTTCAGGAAGAACTCGGAGGTCGCCGGAAGGTGGCCGGTCTCCTCCAGCGATCCGAGGAACGATCGGACCTTCTGTTGCATCGAAGTGGCGAAGTTGAGGAAAGTGTGAGTCAGGGTGTTTGTCTTGATGACGTTGTGGCAGGAAGCGTACACGTTGTCGACGATCAAGTCTCCGTTCTCGGTCATTGGGGCGTACACTCCGGTCTCGTAGAAAGTGGACTTGTCGGTGATAAGAGTCATGACGAGGTCTGGAATAAGAAGTCAACTTATTCGAACTGTTTTCTGCTCTGCTTACTCTCATCGTTCTCCTTGACCATCACACAATCTCCCTTGTGCATATCCTCGGCGTACACGAGAGTCATCTCCTCAGTCACGCAATCGGCCTTGTAGATGAAGTGCTGTGGAGTCATGGAAACGACGGCTCCCTGCTCAGTCGTGAGCTTGACGAAAGCGGCCTTCGTCTCTGGGAGTCTGTGCATCCAAGAGGAGACTCTCGTGTAGGTCATCTTTCCGAATTCGTATGTGAGAATCATATCTCCGATGTGCACGTCGCGCATGGCCTTTCTCCTTCTGGGGTCTGAACCTTGGCGTCTCCAGTGAAGCAAGCTGGGACTCCGGAAGCGACTGGATAATAGTATCCGGCAGAAGTGACTGGGACGACCTGCTCTCCGACCTGGACGAATTGCTCGACTGGGGTTTCAGAATCATCGGCCTGAGGAGCCACGTAGGAATCAGACGGTGGGGCGTCGGCAGATGGGGAAAGACGCTGATCGGCCTCGATTTCATTGGTTTGAACTCCGCTGGCGGCAGTCTCTCCGACCTTCTCGAGGATTCTTCCGATGTCCCTCTGAATGTCGAACGATACTTCGTTGCCTTCTTCGGATGGGTTTGGAAGACAGTTCATTCGGGTGACAGTGAGTTCGTAGGCGACACTGAAAAGAGCAGAAGATGTTGACAACCTGACTCTCACTGAACGCAAACTCACGTTCCGTCTCCAGCAGTGATCTTTCTGACGTTGGAAATGGCGTCGAATCCTGTCTGACGTCCGTCACGAAGCACTTCTCCTCCGGAATATACTTCTCCTGGATGAACAACTGGACGTCCGACCTCCTGTGAGAAACGGAGTCCTTCGTAGTGGCAGCATTGGAGAGAAAGGCTGAAACGCTTTGAGTTTTGGCGTAGGAACAGCTTTTCGATGCACTCACTCTCCATCCTCGCTGGCCTGGAATCCTCCGACCCAGGTCATTGGATTGACGCAGCTGGAGGAAGAGAACTCGCGAGGACAGTTGGCCATTTGAGCAGGAGCATCCGGATTGCGGACTCGGACACGTGCGATATCTCCCTCGCGGAAGAAGCCGTCGTCGCCTTCTGGACCGGCCTGCAAACGGAGAACCGGTTCGGGTAGCTTATCAGTTCAGGGGGAACCCGCACTTTATCGCAAATGTTAGCGGACAGGTTTGCGGAAGATTTATGATGGAGAAATTGAGCGGTGATGGGGTTTATGATCAAAATGAGAAAAGTGCAACCACTCATTACTCACCATGAAACTGGAATCGTGTCTCAGATCTCTTCCTCCATTTTCAGCTCCAAAGCAAGTTGGGGAACCGCATCCGAGCACTGGCTTTCCGGAAGGAAGAACCTCGAAACGGAATGGGATTCCAGAAGATCCGCAAGAAGCAGAAGAAGCAGTGCCGATGAGGGCGGCAAGAAGAGTTACGGCTAATGGGTTCATCACCGTCAGAAGTGGTCAATCAGTGACTGTGATAAGGTTCGAGACTGACCAAGGAGGGGCGTCGGATGAAGCCAGGTGAAAGTGATAGGAAAACGAGTTGTTGACCTGGATAGCGCCGGCGGCTTTTCCATCCTGAAACAATGGAAAGCGACGCACAAAAGAGGCTGGAGAAGAAAGAGAAATCGGATTCGGGAAGAAAGAGACAATGGACGAGAATGCGGACTGATTACCCGCAGATTATTGATGGCACATTTATTGAAAGAGGAATGAATATACCTGTGGTACAGCACATGAACATAAGAAAACATGAGTAAAGTATGAAATTAGATACAGACTGAAAGCGAAGCGTTGCTGTCCCGAGCACACTTCGAACAACTCTTCTGCATTCCGTCCTCGTCGTCCGGCACTCCGAACACTCGGCCGTTCAGTTTGTAGCCGTCTGGCAGTGACATCTTTTGGCAGATATCTGACAAATTAACTATCTGAAATAAGAGAGGTCAGCAATGAATTCAGATGCGCCTACAAATACCTTCTGGTTCTGGGAGGACAACGAAGAGAGTTGTGACATGTCATCTTCAGAAAGCTCGAAGTCGAATACATTCGTGTTTTCCGCTAACCGACAGCGATCCGTACTCTTCGGCACAGTGGGCACATTCTGCTGAACACTCCAGCGGAGACAGACTTGCGCAGGCGATTTGCCGTACTTCTGCGCAATCCGACAAAGGATCTCATCGTCCAAATACTTTCCCTTGGCCAACGGACAGTATCCCATCGTGAGGACTCCCACTTCGTCGCAGTACTTTTTGAGGTTGTCTTGGTGAAACCACGGATGGAATTCAACTTGGTTTGCATGTGGTGGCACACTTGCAAACTCGGAGAGTTCTTCAAGGTCCTCGATCGAGTAGTTGCTCACTCCGATTGAACGAACATGATCTGAAAATGAACCATTGAGGCGTTCAAACGAGAAAGAAACTAACCGTCTTCATAGAGCAGCTCCATCTGTCTCCACGTCTCCTCCCTCGTCTCTTTCTGATTCGTTATCCAATCAGGAAGTTGCGGCATGTGGATCATGTACATGTCCAGGTAGTCCGTTTGCAGTTTATCACAAGAAGTCTTGAAGGCGTTGAAGACTCCTTCTCCACAATCCACTGGCCACAGTTTCGTACAGATGAACATGTCCTCTCGAGGCACAGAACAATTCTTAACGGCTATTCCCAACTGCTTCTCAACTCCGTATCTCTTCGCAGTATCAATGAGACGGTAGCCGCATTTGTTAATGGAATGGAGGACGGCGTCGTGGTAATATCCACCAGAATGGGTGGTTCCTAGGCCTATGAGAGGCATCTCGACGTTATTCGGAAGCCTGGTTGTTGGAATCATTGTTCTAAAAGAAGATTAGGGATTAAAGAGAAGGAAAAGGAGGGATGGAGATTGGAACAAAAAGGAACAGGAGGAAAGTATACAATACCAGAGGGGCGAGGTTTGCGAGGGGCGAGGTTTGATTTGCAACGAATATCATCTTTTTCTATCGGACTTGCAAATCATGGCGCCGGAATTTCGGGGAGAAAAACGTCAAGTATTCACGTGGAATGCACGGGCGAAGGGGATAGCTAAGGGAAACGGAGGAGACTCAGAACTGAGCGGCGCGGAGAAAGATACATTCGCGAACATTCCATTGGAAGGGAAAAGAGACGCAGAGGAGAGAGCAGTGACTTTCGAAAGTCATCGTTGGTTTTCGGCGTCCTTTATGTGTCTGCGCATCTTGAATTAATGTACTCTCGTGAGGAAGTAGTAGTCGGTCACATGGGAGAAACGTAGGCGACTGATAAATGATAATGAGAGAGACAGAGTGGGAGGGACGGATCATATGGAAGACCAGTCGGGAAGGAAGTGGCAAACACACAATCCGGAGAACGAAAAACAAAGTAATAAGATACAAGGAACAAAACGTACAGCTGCTGCCATCTCAGAGCAGAATGAGAGCTCGCTGGAGCATCCCTTTAGTATAGAAAAAGTGGGCGGAGCATAAATAATATGAGAGATGCGAGAGCAGAAGGGATAAGTGACCAGTGGCACGTGAATCACACAAGCGACAGCTCGAATCTAGTTGCGAACATTCTCCTCTGACCCCATTATATACTTTCCCCTTGGTCTAGAAGCCAAAAACCATCGCCGCGTACTGTTTTCGTCAGTCGTTATCATGTGTCCATCAAACAGACATGACTATTTCACGGGTGCACCCCTAGCTGGAAGCCAAACGACTATCATTGATAGGTAGACACGTGGTTTGTACAAAAAAAGACGATCGTCACTTCAATTTGCATCATTATTTTCATCTTTGAAGCATCGGACTTTGACACGGAATTCCTGTGAACTTTTGCAGGCTGTCTGTGTTTTGCACAAATATTTCATTGTGGATCAGAGAGCACTTTGACCGGTTTCAGCGTCTTCCTCGGATCGAATGGCTCCCCCTGCAGATGAGCACGGGATCGTTCGACTTTGATCTCTGACGGTTTCTCTCTGCAACAATATGTAGAACAAGTCATGCGAATTCATCAATCGGCGGAATCACCTCGACTCGCACTGCGACTTCTGCTGTATCCCCTCCGTACCCATTCTGACTCTTTCCAGTTGCTGCTCCTGCATACAGATCAGCCTGAAATATTCTAAATCACCAAGATGTTAATGGATTGAAACTAACCATTTCGTTTCCAGGATCTCCTTCGTGAGCGTAGACGTGCTGATAGTCGACACCCTTTGGAAACTGTTGCGACAGAGCTTCCACTTCTGCCTTGACTTCCGGATATCTGAATAATATGCATTCTTTGTTATTCTCTCATACAACTTACGCAGTGAAACGTATTCCCTTCAACGCTTCAATCACATTCAGGCAGTCCGTTCGGATGATAACCTTCTGATCTCTGCAATTTTATTTAGCATGTCAGATTATGTCTCATCCTTACTTGTACTTATCATGTTTCAGGGCGTTCTGCAGTGCAGTTCGCACAGCGATAAACTCGGCAAAGTTGTTATCCTGAATGCTTCCGCGAATGCGATGCGATTTGTTCAGTTCGTGGTTCGGGCTCACATATATTCCAATGCCGGAAGTGCGCGAATGCTTGAGATACGATCCGTCTGTGTACATCTGAATTAGTGAATCACTCAAAAAGCTTCAAAAGTGAAGTACACATACGATCAGAGTTCCTTTCGGGAATGTCTCATTCCAAACGCCATTCGAAGTCTTTTGTCTCTCCTGCAGGAGCTTTTCGTGGTGAGCAGAGAGGCTGCGCGATACCGAATTGGCTCTCTGAAAGAGCATTTTCAATTTCAGAATGCAGGTGAAACATGTTACAAACATTCGTAGGGCTGAGCACATTTTTGAGTGGCTTGCACGCATCTCTCCTGCTCACATGCTGACGTCCGACTGAAATATGTATTCAGATGATACAATGCCTTTAAAAAGGAACATATTCTGACCGGATTTGGCGAGTTGCCTGGAAGTACTGCGACTCTCACTTCTGCTTCTGTTTCTGGACTCAGAGACACTTCTCGACTGTCTGCGGGAAATCTCTGAATTGTTCTTCCAGTCGTGCACTTTCCGCAGATTTCCTCACCCGAATTCACGTTTCCCCGTCTATTCATACTTCTTCCTCTCGATTTATCCGTCGAAACTGTGCTCGTCGAGTCAACTGAACTTTTCTGAGATTTCTTCGGAATACTTCTGATTTGTCTGCGGGAAGCGACGGAAACCGTGCGAGATTTCGATTTCTGACTAGCCCGGCGGGACTTGCTGATCGGTTTCGAGCCCAGAGATGAGGTGCTATTCGTTGAGTATTTCGAGCCTGTCAGTGAACAAAAATCGGCTTTTGAATTGTCTGAAAATTTTTACTTTTTGTGGATGTTCCACTGTTCTTCGAGTATTGGGAGGACGTGGTCGATCCCCGGGTGTCAGTTTTGCATGTCGAAGTGCTAGTAGTACTGTTCTTCCTGGAACGAGAAGCCGTGGACTTATCTGTAAACAGTTATTTTTTCCTCCTACTTATTTCAAGCGAAATGTTACTTTTTTTGGAACCCTTGTTTCTATTTCCCCGTGAGGTGCTTTTGGCGGACTTGGAATACGCTAAAAGTTGTTTTAAAGTACAATTTCGGAGTTGACTGGAACTCACTGGATCCTTTGCTGGCGGTGCTCCGATCGATCTTTCCTACTGACTTCTCGCCTCCACGACTACCTTTTCCTCCACCATTTCCTCGACCTCCTCCCCCTCCGTGACCCCCATGTCCGTGACCACCACCTCCGTGTCCGTGACCTCCTCCATGACCTCCTCCATGACCTCCTCCATGACCTCCTCCATGACCTCCACCTCCGCCGCCGCCGCCGCCGCCGCCTCCCTCTGAAACTGTCCGTGATTCTTCCTAAACTCTTTCCCTCTCACTTCCGCCCTCGCTTCTCCCTTCTTCCGATCCGTGTCCACCAACTCTGTCCGTAACTCCAGGTGTTCGTTGTGAGTTCAAATTCGAGTGTTCTGAACGTGCTCTCTTTGTTTTCAGTCAATGCGCATTCGAACTTATCTACCTGTCTTCGTAATACCTACTCCTCGAGGTTTCTTGAAGAGAGCGCCAAAATTGCGAAACCAGCGAAACATTTTTGCCGCTGTCGATTGTTCGAAATGGATTGAAAAGTGAACGTGACTCGCGATAATCTATGACAGTGTGGTTGCGTGAATCCTTTGTTGAAGTTCATATGTGCCTCGCATGGTTCAGATGATGTCTTACACCCCTTCATGTGACCTCTTTTTCGCAGTCATCTCGTGATGTCTCATCCTTTGGCTCCGCGTGCCTCGAATACCAATACCAGAATCAAACTGCGAAAATAGGTCGAAATGAATTCCTCGCGCCGCCCTCAACATGCTCATTTTGTGGTGCCGACAAACAAAAAGTTGGCTCGTCCTTGGCTCGTTGCCCATCCAATCATCCTCTTCCAGAAATCAAGAAGCGAGAAGCCGCCCGTGAAAATGTGGAGCCCGAAGCAGCAATCTTTGGTGAGTTGTCTCGCTTATTACTCATTCGCTCGGCTGTGTTTTCATCTCACTCCCCAATTACCGCCCACTACTTGTCTCCCTTTCAATTTTTATTATTTTTTTTGGTTTCTGTCTAGTATCATCCTACTGACAGTGCATTTCCATCCGTCTGGGCTCATTCGGAACGCTGTTTCAAGGAGGTCTTCTGGTGGGAAACGCATCCGAATTCAATTAGTTCGCTTAACAGAGGTCGGATTAGCGCGGAGCCGCCGAGCAATGAATGAGGTCCCCTGCGCCCCTTAAAGCTCCCCGCCGCTTGTACTTTTCCATGCCCTTCAGCGTTTGTCTTCACATGCTGATTATGAGTGACTAACAACCGAATTCTGCGTGTTTCCAGAAGAATTCGACGCACGACGACGACCCGAAGGATTTAAGAAAGAGGATTCACGTCCAGTTTCGCAGCTTCAAGTGAGTCATTCCATCCAAATATTCCCACAACTGATTGGCATTGCATCTTCCGAAGCATTCCCTTCCAGCCCTGTTCCCATCTGATAATCGACTGTTTCCTACCTTTGTTTTGGTGTCGGCTCCCTCGAGTATTTCCTTTTTTTTATATATTCCAATCTGTGCCCCGCCCGTCCCAACTGCCAATTATTTCCTCCTCTCGAGCCTTTCTTCCTTCAACATGCTCCTCCTCGCATTTTCAGAACATATTCAAATCGAATCAACCGTGTAACTCGCTTCATCGACTCCTTTGTTTTGAGGTCCCCTTTGGCAAGTAGTCCGTCCATTGCTTCTCGAAACCTTTTTGTTTCTTTTTGACATGGGACTGGCGGCACTGCTTTATTTTCCGTATTTAATATGTCTGCCAGTAATTGATGACTCTTTTTTCGCCCTTTTCCTGTCCAAATTAGTTTCATTCGCGTCCTTGCACCCTTGCAACCCCTGTTTTCTTTTTCTTATATGCCCCATTCCAGCCACCACAACCAGACGTAATCAAAATGAGCGGTTTGGCAGGGGAGTCAAGAGGGATCAAATTGTACTATTCTTGAGATTTCGAAGCATTTTCAACATTCTCAGCAAAAAGGACGCAATGTTTTCTAGTCTCTCGCGCCCTGCCCATCGAAGATAGTCATCTGTGCTCAGAGCTCTTTCGAGCCCATTGGCTATTCAATTCATTTCTTTTTATGACGTAGCAGCAAGAGAGGTAGCATTTAGAACGGATTATGAGTGCTTTTATAGCCACAGAAACATTGGCCAATGCGTCTAGTTCTTGAGAATGGGAGGCATGCTGGAATTTTTAATCAGAAAGAATGTGAGTTGGCCCCTTTTTCCCTCTAAATTCCTATAAACAAGTCACAGAATATCTATTCAGTTGTTTAGAAACTCACTGACTTCCTGTTCTCGGTCTTTGGTGAGCAACTGAAACTTTGCAAAGTCCATGCTCCAATCACTCTATTCAATTACCCCCTAATCTCTTAACCCCCTTCTTCTAATTGGTTTCCTCCGCTCGTTTCCCATTTTCGTCATAAACAGTCAATCGGGCGAGTAACCCGATCACAGGTACTTTTGGCCGCTTGAATTATTAATATCCTCCAGCATCCATCGTATCATTTTCTTCCTTCCCGCGCATCCCACACATCCTGTGGAGGTGTGAAACGGATGTGTTTTCAGCACTTTGCAGGGTATTTTTATCGCTTCCGATCAGTATAAAACACTCATCAGAATCCGGTGTGCTTGTCCTCTGAGTCCTTCCTTTCATTCGAATCGTTCCAGTTCCATTCGCAACATACTTCAGTCTCTGATTTACTGAACATTGGTATCCAATGCAAAACACGCTATCGTTTTAATTATTTACCACTTCAAAATCGTGTGCCGTCGGTCGGGGGACGAAATCCGAGGAGGAGCAGAGTACGGAGAGACGGGAAGAGAAGACGTCCCAACTTTTCCCCTCCAGTCACGTCATCGCACTCTGAAACTCATTGGGAGTCCAGAATAATTGAAGATTTGTCAGGAATATGTTACTTGAGTAGTCACCTACCTGCCGACGAGTTTTGTTTGGCCTCGGCCCGCAATACAGACAAACTTTTGGCCGCCATGCATTCGAAAGTGTCTGTCTTGCTCCTTCCATTCACCGAGCTCCGTACTCTTCTTTCTCTTCGAAAGATCATATTCTCGTTGTGCATTCTGTGCTCGCTTCGCCGGCTTCTTTTTTCCTGCTTCTGAATCACTCGCTCTCCAAACCCCTAGTTATCAGCGAGTCTATCATTAATCGTCGGTTTCTTTCTCTTCGAAAACCGCCCCTCGTCACTTTCTGAATAATTCAGAATCATCGCGAAATACCTGCTTTCCCTACCCTCCCAATTCATTCGTTTCGTTTACAGAATGGACGAGCTCTCGACTTCTCCCTACCAATTCCGTCGTACTCAATCGTGCCGCGTCACTAATAAAGGTAAGCTTTCAAACAGAAAAACGCATGGGAATCGAAAGGAGAAATGTTAGAAATCGGTGAGAAAACATTGGAAAGTTCATGGAACAGAAGAACAGAGACAAATCGAGTTGGAGGGGGGCTAGTTGAATATCCGTGAAAGAGAAATCGAGAATGATGCTTTGTGAGCCACTGCAAACATCTATCGAATCGAATAAGTCAAAAAGGCGGAAAATGTTCTATTACTTTGTCGCTCTTTCTTATATTAATAATATCCGAAGCCCCGAGAAACCTTTCACTTTTCGCCCGAGCCGACGATCCACTCAATCACTTTTCACTGTTATTTTGCGGTTGTTTTCACCATCCATATCAATTTTTCGTAAAAAAACGGTGGTGGAAAATTGCAAATTGCAAATACAAACACTACATAGTTGAGGGGACTGACTGTACAATGTCCGGGAGCTCAGTCAATTCAGTTAGACTACACAGAACTCACGGGAAGTGCACCGAATCTAGAATTACCCAAAGTTTCAATAAATGGATTTTCAAACGGATATCCGATGTCGTCAACTGAATTGAAATGAAACGTAACCCAGCTCAAACAGCTCAGTTCGGGTGGATCTTCGGCCCGTCCGTCGTATCCATTTCGCTCCGTTAGGTATAAAATCACACGGATTTGGAGTATCTAATCATCCCCCCCCCGTCCAATTGTCCGCGGTTTTCGTGAATTCCCCCATTTTGGCATGGCCTATATTTCGGTGCGCGTTTACATACTTTCGTCTGTTCTCCATTTTTCATTTTGTCGCATTAGATTTGCATGGCCTCCCGTTTCGAAGGCCCTCCTGTCCGAGTTCATTTGTCAGTCGACTGGCCCCGGCTCCCTTCTCTGAATTTCTAATGTTTGAACACTTTTGAGTTGAAATTCGAACTCGGCCCGACGCTCAATTACTCATTGAAGCGGTGGGCTCCCGAGACGAAACGGACCGCTCCTCGAATTTCAGAAACTAGTCCAGAGTCTGGACTCCAGACCGCGACTTTTCACGCCGATCAAGTTGCAAATCGTGGATTTCCGTCTTCTTTAAAGGCGGAAGGGTTTGCACGTCATCGGAAATGAACTCTTCTTCCGTTTCTTCTTCCCGTAAATAGGATTACAAGTAATTTGAATGATCATTCGAAGGCGCTTCAGTCGCACATTGTTCCATCTTTATAGTAGCATCTCAAAAATAATTCTGGTAATGTCGCTCTACCGCAATACCACGTGAAAACCGAGCCGCGGCCTTTCCTGAATTCCCGCGATTTCCAGCATTCTACATCTGCAATTCCTGTGAATGAGCCGTACTACGAGTAATTTTCCTATTATTACATTTCTCGTTACAACCCTGGACGGTTAAAGTTCATTGAGAATTCTCGAAGAGCTCGCTGCTCCATTGTCATGTTTCGTTATCCGTCGCCGTTCTTTCCCGGCTCCTTTTCTTCTCTTTCTCCTTCTTCATCTTCTTCGTCTTCATCACCTTTCTCAGCGGAGCGAATGAGTAATTAGTTTGCTTTTTGCGACCACTTTTTCGTGCTCCTTCCACCAAACCGTGCCTTTCTCTCTTCCGCTCACCCCGAAAAGTTGTTGCTCCTTTGATTAGGAACTTCATCGAAAACATATTCGAATGCATCTCCGTCGGGAATAATATCTGCTCCCTTTGAGTTGGAAACAAGACTGACTGAAACATGAGACGAATGGCCAAATATGACCGGTCCTATTCGATGCAAGACGGTAGGTGGTGGCTCAAAATGTTCTTTGAGTTGGTCGTTCCCCCCACAAATGTGCTCTTTTCAGGTCCAAATGGTCTGTCGCGTCGGGGCACTCAACGTGGCTGCAGTCGGTCCAAATCGACGAGAAGAGGTGAGCGGCGACACGTCATGAAACCTGCGAGAAGGACAAAGATTGTGGCCCCGCGCTTTCTCGCTCGCAAAAACGTCTTTACTGATTAATTAGCATGCGAAAACATGGGGACGGAAGGAAATGGACCGACTCCACCGCAGTTTCCGGCCCCTTTGTGGCGACGCTTCTTGATCAATCGGACTCATTCGGATACAGTTTGGCTCCTTCCTCTTCTACTTCTTCCTCATTTAAATCCGTTTTTTCGCTCACTTTCACAGGTGTTCCATTTCTCGCGAATGCTTCGCCGTCAACTTGTGCCACAAATGGAGAATGAGACTAATTTATTCGAGGCTCCTCCTTTCTACTTTTCTTCTTCTTCTTCTTCTTCTTTCATTGCTTTCCCGACTTCTTCGTGTCGTCTTCATTTGTCTTCTCGGATGAGAAGCAGTAAGAAAAACGAAGGGGACGAGGATGGAAAGGAAATAAATTTGTATAATGCGCATTTATTAAGTCATCGCATCCGTGCCACTCGGCCGATGTCCCATGTAACTCTAGAAGAACAGGAAGTTTCATTACAGTCCCACTTCCGAAAATAGCTCCTCCTTGAGTGCTCCGGGCACTTTTGCGGGATGCTATCCGATTAGTCCTTCTCCATCCGCCGGAAAATCCTACTTTTCCATCTTTGAGCACATCCGCTACCTGTCCGTTTTCCGTTTTTCTTTATTCAATTGTCTCCTCCTCCAGATGTAAACTCGATTTGTCCGTCCGTTTGGGACCATCCTCTCAATTCGATCATATTCGTCTTCCGAATCGAATTTCCCGTTCTTTTCGGCGCGCTCACTCTTCCGAGTGCCTTGTTTATCCAATGACCCTCTAGTGGCACATGCCCCATCCATCCTGCAAAACTTGAATTTTTTTTGGGTCTCACTCTAGTTTTCCCGTTTCCTTTGTCACGCGCATCCAACAATTCATTATTGTGGCGTTCGCTCGACAGGCACTGCCACGTCATTCATTCTGGCTCAGTTCGGAACCATGACTTCTTTATTGTCGTCGTCCCCTCGTTCTCCATTTGTACATCCAAACGTTTGCAGAATGTATTCTCGAAAATCCAGTGCTGGAAATATTCGATTAAATAGTTCATACGGTAATCTAGAGTGGTCCGCCGCGCTGAAATTCAAACCTAACTGCAGAATTCTAACATTCTATTTGTGATCCTTTCAGGAAATCTGGGCACTATCGCTTCACTCACATTCAGCCAGAAACAGGCGCTCACTCTATCGTGGCGTCTTCTGAAACCACAAGCGTCTGCCTGCTTCAGAAAGATCTTTCTGGAGCTGGAGATCGCTTCGCCGAAAGTGAAACAGATATTCTACAAGGCGGCTCTGGTTGACGCCTTCAATAAAGACGAAGAAAACAGTGCGACGATGGAGGTGCACATCAAACTGATCAGCAAGTAAGACCACCATCTTCTGACGATCATCAGCGTCTCCGGTTCCAGATTCTTCGATGAAATGCTCGCTACTCTTGACGATGAGAACGAATTCGTCAGAAAGATTCGGGAGATCGGTTCCGCTCACGCCATCCTCGCCAAAGGAAGCAACTTCTCGTCGGACATCTGGGAGCGACTTGGCGAAATTGCAATGGAACGCGTGTGCTCTCATGAAGTGATCACGGTAAGTCACGAATTAGATTAGATCGGCATGGATTCCAATTGACTGCCTCCCTCAGAAGACTCGCGAAGCTTCCCGTGCGTGGCGCACTCTCATCGCCATTATGATCGACGAGCTGCGCGGAGGATTCGAAGGCGAACTGCGGCAGCACAGGTGAGCTCGGAAGAAGAAACGGAAAATGAGGAAACGTTTAGAAGTCAGAGCCAGAAGCGAATGATGTTTAGCAGGAGGTTTACAGTAATTTCCATTTGTTCGTTGCACTTTGATTTGTGTGCACACATTTGACCGCTCACAGAGAAATTGGATATCTGAGCTAGAAATAGATGATGACTCGATTAAGTTGACAGAGAAAGAGAGAGGACGTAGCACTGTTCATCTGATTCATTCTGATTTTCTCTAACACTCTATTCCAACTTTAACTTGAAAAAACAAAACTAATTGCAGAAAAAGCTCGTCGACGGATCAAATCGAAGTGAACAAAGTGGAGGACGAGGAGGAGCTGCACGCGAAACTTCAACAGCTCCGAATGGACTACAACCAGACCCTTCCGTACTCTTAATCACGCCATCTTCCACTCTAATCCCCGATTGAATAGGTTGCAGTTGGCATCTCTTCTTCTTTCCTTTCTCCCTCTCTTCCTCTCTCTCTCTTTATCACTCGTTCTTCTCTCATTAGTTTCCGCCCAGTCTTCAATGTGATATTCCTGTAAATATCCGGGGGCACTTTCCACACTCACGCACACCGACGCATAGTTCCTCTTCCCCAGCCGCCACCGAAATGATTCTGAACCATCTTCTGGCCATATCCGTTTTCATGGTACAGTTCATGACATCAGATACTCGTTTTCCCTTGGAATAAACCCTTTTTCTGTGCATTTTCAAGCGGAGATCAGAAGATCATTGGGTAAAGAAGAGAGGAGACAGACCATTTGTTTTCAAATCAGCGGCTTGCGACTCCACAGTACTGTCGAGAGCACAAGGAAATTTGCGACGATTCACATGTTGCTGATATCAGATAGTTTGTGAAAAATGATCTCAGACGAATAACAATAACTAATTTCAGTTACTGTGAGACGATAATGTGCAAAGCCGCGGCTGGAAGACAGTAGGGCAAACAAGGATTCGTGTGAGGACCGAGTTGATACTGTGAGTCGCTTATTTTGAACTATTATTTCAGTGACTGCGACGAGAAGAAGTATCTGTGCACTAACTTGATTTCAAAAAATATGTAACAACTTTTCAGCACTTGCAAGAGGACATGCCCGGTGGACCCTCTGACTACGACTCCAGCATGTTGAGACCACAATTCCAACTGAAGAGAAATAGTAGGTTTCACGAAGCATATCATTCTGGCAAAAGGACATCTGGATTGTGTTGCTTGCCCTCTCTGAATATATCATTAATAAATTCATTCGCTCTTCACCGAATAGATTCCTAGAATACACCCAGAAACAATCTGAAAATATTCCGAGTAGTGTGAGACCGAAAACAAGTACCGAATGATCAAAAGTGACGGGCGGAAATGAGAGAAAGACAACGTATTTCCCTTATTTCCCTCGAAACCTTCTTGTTTACTCTCTCATTGCCTTTATTTGGCGCCCCTTCTCCAGATGAATCACAAGAAGAGAAGACAGCAACAACAACCCGTCACGTTCCCAGTTCAATCTTCTGATTTCCTAGTCCAATTTGGGGAGAGAGCCCTTGAAAAAGGAGGAGAGAGTGTTTGGTATGTGGAATTTGTTATGCACATAGTAAATGCTGAAAGTGCGCGTCCTCCGCAGACACTGACACCATTCCCGTCCTGCTAGATATTTCTCGAGGAGTCTGTCTGTTCGCAGCGGAAAACACGACTCTTCCCTTCTGTTCTTTTCTCAAGTGTAACTCTACATTGACTCATTCTAATCCCTTCTTTTCTTCTTTCGGAGAAGACGTCACGTCACTCAGTGATGGCGCTTTTTGTGCATTTCATTTCATTTCCGTTCCGCATAGTCATCAAGTATCTAGGCGAAATGAAGGCCATAAGCTGAGCTTCGCCCTTTCTTTCTTATCCTTTTTCGGAGAAGTAGGAGACGGAAGAGAAGCTCGTGGACCCGCAAACTATGTATTTACGACTCGCTCGCCCCTCCCCGGACTTCTCTCCCATTTTCACTTATTTCTTCTCGCCCCTCTTCCCGTTCGTATAAGTTCTTTTCGCCTTTCGATCCTTTCCGTCAATAATAACTTTTTCTCCGCGTCCTTCTCGCTCTCCCGCGCATCTAGTCATCAGTATCATTTCTGTTTTTAAAGGGAAGACGAATGTGGATTTGAATTATTAGTATTACTCTCCGCAAACTGATTTCCGTCTCAGAGCATTCAATGGTTGTCCGGGATCTCTGCTCCTGCCGCGTGGCGACGCATTCCCACGGAGGCTTCTCCCTTTTCCCTCCCTGCTTCTTTCGCTTCTTTTTCTTCTTTTTCTTTCTCTCTGTTTGGGCACTCAATCTGCTCGGTTACATCGTCTGTTTGTTCTTCTGTTTTGGCCATGCTCCGGCACTCTCCCTACGCTGTCTTCTTTTCCTTTCTGGGTTCGTTTTCATATGCTCCCGTTATTGTGAGCCATCTCCATTCCATCAACAATTTTCTAATAATCCGAGTGCTCCGTTTCTCTTTTCCCTCCCTTCCTCAGTTTTCAGTCCTCAGAACTCTCGTTTCCAATTCCCCATGTTCTGTTCCGATTCTAGTTGGTCAGTTGTCTCTACTTAGACATTTGCATAATCCCCTTTCCGTCGTTTTCTCTCTCCCTTCCCTCTGCCCTAACCCATTTCTTTTGCAGTCACCCACATGCCATCCGATGGCTTCGTCAAAACTGCCAAAAAGGTCTGTGTTTGTGTTGTCCCTAAATCTGTTGTCCGAGTTCAAAATAACACGAGACGGACAGGATTCAGACTGACTCAATTAGTGATCCCCGCACTTCCTCCCCGAAAGCTCAAATTTGAGAGCTCGGGAAGAGGAGTCTGGAGCCGTTTTCTGCTGAATTCAATCAATGTCGTTGCAGGCACTCATCTCGCACTCCGTTTCCATTCAGAACTACACCGAAGATGACTGTCAGATCGCCTTTCACGCCACAACGAACTCTTTTATGCAGGTGCCAACTCGATGGATACTCTACTTTTCATGCTTTCATTTTTTTCAGACTATCCGTCTCGTACACATCTTCTTCTGTACGATGGGAGCCATTTCCTCATCACTATTCATCTTCGTTCTTCTGAATTCCTCTTCAAAACACTTACACCGTAACCTCAGAATATCGCTGGCTTCTCTCGCATTCGCAGCACTCATTGCGTGTCTCCAACTGGATTTCATCGCTTTTTATCAGTTACTTTATAAAAAACAAAGAAATTTGTCAATAATTTACTTCATTTTCAGTCTCGCACTCACGCTGACTGCTGACAATGCGTGCGATTCGATGTACGAAGCCCAAAAGTGCGCTCTTCTCCGTTTTCCCGTCGTGCTCTCCATCTATTCCACTCTCTGCGGAATCATTGTTCTCGCCATCGAACGAACGATTGCCACGTTGAAATACAAAACTTATGAGGTCAGTTCATTTCAAACTATTCCATTCCATCATACTTTCAGGCCAATGGATCTCGGCTCGTTGGTCTCGTCCTAGTGACCGTGCAATGGATCATCTGCTTCACCGTCGCCATATTCTCGGTCCTTCTCCGCTCGGATCCCGGATACGTGCATTACTGTACTGCATATGTTTCCCATCCGAGAACAGCCGTCTTCTCGCTCTGCTTCATGTCTACACTCGAAATTGTCACTCTCATATATTTTGTTTGTGAGTGAAAGTTGCATGGGGCATTGAAAATGCAGCTCTTTCAGTACTGCTTCAATCAAATCAGAGGAGACAGGTCAACGAGTTTGTGAACAAGGCAATGCATTCGCTCTCTGAGAGGTACCAGCTACAGGTACCTTTTCGATGTTGGAACTAGCACAAAACGGTAAAATTTCAGGAAAATGTGCGGATAATGCGTATTCTGATTCCTTCAATCACCGTTCACGCAGTCCTCGGATTCATCGGCCTCGGTTCCATGTTAGCCTTTGCAATTATATACAGGCAAGTGCCACGTTCCCTCCCCGTTCATTTTAAACTTTCAGATCTGCCGATGAACGACTCATCGTCGGATTCGCGCCGTTTTCAGAAGTCGTCCTCTTGGTGATTCCTGTTTACGCGGTTGTGTTCCCAATTGTTGCAGTCTTTCGGAACAAACAACTTCGACTGGCAACAAAGTAATTCAATCGAATGAGTTCATAAGACTTCACTCAGTTTCAGACGAGCGCTGCCGTTCCTTTTCAACCCGGAATCGCCAGAGACAAGCGAGATGCTGCCGGACCCTCCGGCTTCCCATACAATAATCGCGAGTCGACCCAGTCGTCAGTTGGAGAAGGAGTCGGATACTCACTTCGATTTGCTCAATGAAATGTGGAAAAAATAAGGGACTAATTTTTTGTTATGGTCATCATTTTCCTGGTATGACGGGTGATAAATATATTAAATACAAGACTTCGAACTTTTTATTAATAAGAATGATGTGGAAAGGGAGCGAATATGAAAAGTATCATGGACTGGTGGTGTGGCAGAAGATGCAGTTTCCGTCGCTGTCCCGACGGTATCCCTTGTGAGCCGGGCACTGACAACGGGCGGGCTGGCAGACCCTCGGACACGGCTGCGGAGGTTTCCCGCACTCTTCTTCGCATGAAGAACACACCATCCACACTTCGTTCGTAGCACCTATGCACAATTGAATTCGGAATGAGTGCACTCTGAAGAGAAGTACTCACAAGGTTTCTCCTCTTCCGCTTCTTCGGTCTTTACTATCGATGAATCATCGTACATGTCAGTTTCACACAAAACATTCCAGACGCCAATCTGAAAAAACAGGATGTCGCAACGGCCGAAACAAAGGGAAACGAAATGCGCAATGTTTTGTAAACGATAATAACTGACCGTGAAAACAAGAGAAGCAATGAGAAGATGTTTCATGGTGGTAGCAGTCGGGGAGAAGGAAGTGGCGACCCGAATGTCGGAGGTCGGACCAGTCTCGGCCAACCTTAAATACACTGCCCCTCCCCTCTTGACCTGTCTCCTAACAACCCACTACTCGGGTTGTTCTTTTCGCTCTTTTCCCCGTCCAAATTACCCAGCTGACCTTATTCTCGAACCGAGACGAGGAACGAACCAAATTGGACTTATAAAGAGAGTTGTTTATTGGGAGGAACGGATAAATGGATCGGAAGAGCGCGTGTATCAATGACCAGAGAAAGGGAAAGTCGAAGTGATTCATGAGTTGTTAGCCGATGATCGAGTGGACGATGGCGGTGGCGATGTCGGCGACTGAAAACAATAACACACTTGTTTATTCTGTTAGTTGTTTGGTTTTCAGCCAAAGAACACACTTCAACTCCTCTGTTGTTGTGCATAGTACTCTTCAACGTCGTGCAAGAACGGGTTAGTGGGTGACAGGTGAATGGGATAAGTGGGCGGAGCTGGCTGCTCTTCTACAAGGATCTATTTGGCTGAGTGAAGGAAGTTCATGCACAAACCAAGAAACTGATTAGCCATGTTATTATACTGCACTTCATTCACCATCACCGGCTGGGGAGGTACCTCGTCTTGGAAAGAAATCAGGTCTTGCAAAGGTTGCTGATTGGAGGATTCCTGCTGAAGCATCCACGCCAATCGGGCATCCTCCCTCAACTGAGCTTCCTTATCCGTCTGTTCTGCAGTGTCCATTCTGTCCATCTCCTCTTGCAACTTTCTCGCATATTCCTCGTCAGTCATACATCTGAAATACGATTATTTCCCCTTCAACTTTTTCTTTTTCAGTTTCCCACCTCTCCGCCTGACCCATTCTCCTCAGCGCCGTCGAGTGTTCGTCCTCAGCCCTCTGTTCCTCCCTCGTCTTTTTCCGATCATTCACTATCGTTCCATTCACATTACGATTGTGATTGTAGTACCTGCCGAATTATCAAATCAAAAGTGAAACTTCTGCGGGCGCGAGAAGGGGGCGCCGATTCCGCCTACATTTCATATTCTCTCTCTTGTAGTCGGTGTGCCAAATCAAAGTCTTCGCCACTTTGAAGGCGTTGACGTACTGAAACAAGGTAAATTTGAAGAGAAGCTGGAATAATAACTCACTTTCCGAGAAACTTGGAACGCTTTGCTGCTGATCTTTAGACATTACCTGCAAGAGAGGTGTACCGATCAATTGAAAAGCAAATGAAACCGAAGCGAATGCGATGTGTCAACCGGATGAATCATATGAAAAAGAAGAGGGAAAGAGACGGAGAGAGGGAGGAAAAGCGGGCGAATCTAGGCCGGAATCGATGGAAGAACACCTGACAGAATGGAGGGAAACAAGTGGAGGAGCACGGAGAATGATAAGCGGAAAAGTACAGACAGAATGGAAGATATTAAATGGAAATTGAGTAAAATGGAATTATGATAAGGGGGAATGGGATTGGAGAGCAAATATTGAAAGGAAACGGAGAGAATGACTGGGCAGGCAGGCTTTCTGAAGGGATGGAAACTGGTGGTAAGAGCAAGAAAGGATGCACTTTTAGATTGAAGGAATTCAAGAATCCGCAACAGAAATAGATGTTCCAGGAGACATCACAGCACAGTTTATCAAAAAGTATCACAAATTCTTTCCCTCTGATCATTGTTTCTTTTTCAGACATTCTTGTTCCATTAGGCCACTTTACTTTCCTCCGTCGCCCTTGCCAAGTTCACTCGAAAGTGGTCTTTACAACAATATCGTTTTTATCAAATCAATCGGAGAGAAGCCGTCCTCATCACTCGCTCTGCCCGCTTCTTCTTTTTGACGCCTTCGCCAGACATTACTATGTATCCGATTTGATCTTTTCCCATCTCTTCGTTCTTTTTTTCTGTTTCCTCTCACTCGAAGTGTGTCTCTCTTTTCAAGGATCTCTCTCAATTTGCATAACCGGCCATCTGGATCTTTGAGGATCTGCTTATAAAGTTTCATTTGGCTGAAGTTCACGAACAACAAATGCGTGCGTCTTTTCTTTTTCTTTTTCTTTCTCTTCTTCTATCAGTGAACGGGATTAGCCTGCCGAAGATACCGAAAGTGAGTGGAACAATGATGCTGAACATGTCTCTGACTTTTACAGCTTTCTGACCTCATAAATCCCTTTCAACAGTATAAGTTACGTGATATATTGTCTTCGCTGACCGATCTCGATACTCCGGATATCGCTTCTGTAAGAAGAAGTCTTCTTTTTTTAACGCTCTTCATGTACAACTTCAGGACCAATTACAACCCCTTCCGGAGCATGAATACACAGACCGATTGAGCAGTATTTCAGACCTGAACAGATCCAAACGGTAGATTGGCTGATGGTTCCTAATCATGTCAATTCCTTCAGAGATTTACTTTTCCAAGGGGACATTCATCTCTCCTTCGAGCATCTTTCTAACATTGTTCGTGAGCAACTTGATCATCCGAGAAGCAAAAGAACTGCATTCCGGAATGGGCAGTACCCGAAAACCATTTGGAAACCTTACGTTCCATTCGAACTTCACTCCTCCCTTTGTAAGTGTTCAATGATTACTTCTCGTTATTTCGTGATTCCAGCTGCAAAGTCACGAGCTTCTCTCATCGCTGCGATGACATTTTGGGAGAAGAACACGTGTATTTCATTCAAGAAACGGACGAATGAAGAAGTTTATTTGCTGATGTCAGGAGCGGAGGACGGTTGCTGGAGTACTGTAGGAAGGGACGAGGCTCAGAAAGCGCAGATCCTGAACATCGGAGCCGGATGCGAAATGTTTGGAATCACTTCGCACGAACTGGCGCACGCTCTCGGTCTCTTCCACGAGCAGTCCAGATACGACAGGAATAGTTACGTGCAAATTGTGAAGTCGAGGATAGCGTCGAAGAACTTTTACGATTTCGCGGTAGTAGGAAAAAAGAATATGGACACGTACGAACAAAAGTACGACATCGGAAGTGTGATGCATTACAGACCTACCGAGTGAGAAATGACAATGGAGAAGCGGTGAATGGGGAATTGTTATAGGTTTTCGACGGACGGAGGGAACACGATCATTGCGAAAGATTCGAATATGCAGAACACAATGGGACAATTCCGAGGCCACTTTCCTCGATGTGGACAAGATCAACAGGCACTACGACTGCGGAAGTCTGTGCAAGAACTCTCTGGATTGTGCGAATGGCGGGTATCAGAACCCACGGAATTGCAACATTTGTGTGTAGGTCCTTCTGATCTCCTGAACAGATTGTAGTTGCGAATGCAGGTGCCCTCCTGGATACGGTGGAACGGATTGTACGGACGTTGAGCCATCGAATCCGGCCAAATGTAGCGGCATTCTGACGGCTGGAGAGACGCAGAGAAAGTTCACGATAAACATGAAACCGAAGAACGATGTGAACGGAGTCCGCAAGTGCAACTATCACATTCAAGTAGTCAAAGGTGGCACTCAACTCGGAAAGTCTCAGAAAATTTCAGGCTCCTCCTGGAAAAAGAATCGTGATAATCGTGGATTCGGTGATTGGAAATTGTGTTCAAGGATGTTATGAGGAAGGCGTCGAACTTAAATTGTACAATGACAAAACGGTCACCGGCGCGAGATTCTGCTGTAAACTGAAGCAGCCACAGACGGTTATTTCTCAAGGAAATGTGGTCCCTGTCATGTTGGTGGCTGGAAAAGCGCAGTCTTTTGTTCAATTGCGTTATTCGACTGGCAAGGCGAACGTTTCAAAACTGAACAAACTTGTGCTTTCAGTGGATCTTCCTCAAAACCGAAGTCCAACTGATGGGAACAGTGCTTTTGGAAGTGTCAATCCTCTTCTAATCGAGAACTATCAGGACAGTTCGATTGATAGTGAAGCTATCAGAAAGGAATATCTGGTACTTTTCACATCGTGCCAATTTTTCTGAAAGATTACTTTTCAGCTCAGAGCCGACGATGTCGACGAGGAAGACTTTGAAACTCTCGTACGAGGGGAATTCATGAACGATAAAGCCGAGGAGCTGTAGAATAACTATTATCGCATTCGTAATGATCTCTTTTTTTGTCTGCAAATGTATTCCATATAAACGTATTTACCCTCCTCCCCAAAATCTTCGCTCTCCTGATTGTTTTTCAAGTACTTCTTCCCCCTTTTCCTCGCTCATTCGGCTCAAGTACCAGCTCATCATTATCCAACGAAACTTTATGGAATTATGGAAAAACAGGGAGGGAAGGGGCTCTTGCTCGCGCTCTCGCCCCGCCCACGTTGTACATCTTCGTCGCTGAGCCCTCGCGAATAATTTCATAAACAAAAACTGCGAGGATGTCGCCGCATTCTTCCGTTCTGATTAAAAACGTCGCATGCAGGACAGGACAGGACACCAAACAAAGTAAATATTATGTTTTTCCCGCGCCTCTCCGGTTGTTCGCGTATCTGAAAGTGTCACGAACTCTTATGAATTCCACAATATTCCCATTCCTATAATCCTGTTCAAAATAAACGAACGACCAGAAAACAGCCGAACTTGATTCGTATTCTGAAAAGGAAATGTTCAAGTTTCAAATGCCAAACATCCTTTCCCACTGTGATTTTTTCCGGGGCGCAGTGGAGAGAGGAAGAAAGTTCGGCACTCTTCCCAATCCTTTTTCCGCGCACCAAAACTTCTGATGCGTGCTATTCGAAGAATCCTGACTGATTCATTTTTCCTAACTTTTTGGGAATAAGTTCATTATGATTGAAACTCGCAAGCAGCAACGAGAAACTCGCAGAAATGTCTAGGGGTCACTGCCAAAACAGCTTTTTTTTTAATGTGACTGCTCGTGCGTGCTTTTTGTGTCTCTTTGTTAGTTTACATCATAATGACCTCATTCCCAAAAAATGAAGTAAAATGAATCGGTATTCGTAGGACGGCACGCATCTGAAGTCTCAGAACAGCCAAGAAGGGCACGCCCTCCAAGCCTTCTTCTGTGCGCAAAACTTGAGATGCGTCTAGAAACCTCCGCGAGACTCCAAAGAGAAATCACCGTGTTTCCTTTTTCCAGTGATTTTCGCCACGACCAACAGAAATGTCACGTCGATTAGACGAGTAACTTGTCACAAAACTGCTCTTGAAATGCATGAGTGAGCAGCTGAATGAGAGCCTGCGTCTCTCTGATTGACACGCTCTCTCGATCGGTTCGTTTCCGTCCTCCAGGTGGTCATTCTTCATTTACTCGCTTTTTAGTTCTTCTTTCTGTTTTCTTTTCTTTCTTCCTTCCTTCCAACCTCATCCATTTTCCGTTTCTGTGTCATTCACTTTTGAATAGTAAGCGGCGGAAAACGGAGGGATTAGTGGGAGAGCAAAAGGCGCAAAACCATTGAGCCATATAATAATACTCAATGGTAAAAGTTGTGTGCGGGAGGGGACAAAAAAGCTTTTTGGAGCCGTCGTGGATTAGTGTCGAAATTGGGCCTCATTTTGACTTGTGCAATCCCTTCTCCGTTCAGGGATTACGGCCCTGAATCATAAGTTGCTCCAAAGGAATACGGTCGCTCATCCGCTCTCCTCGCGAATATCTGATCCCCTCAATTTATCCCCCATTCATCTCACGTAAACCCCTTCCGCGTGAACCTTTTTCATTCCAAAAATTGCGCTAGAATTCTTTCAATTCTCTGTTTGGAAAAAGGCAACGATGAGGTTGATAATCGTCCAAATTCTTCTGGTTTTCTTCGTTTCAGTGTGAGTCTGCCACATCCTTCGTCTCTGATTTCATCCGAATCTCAGCTTCTGTGATAAATATTGTGCAGTCACCGATTTCAATCCGCGACTCATTTTCGACACGAGCAGTGGAATGATGGGACCGCAGAATATCGAATATGTAGGTTTCCGTTGTTCTCTATCACTTAGAGATCTTTCGAATTTCCAGGTGAAACAAGTGGATCACGGTTTCTGTTACATCAGTTTCTATTCGGAAACACTGCCGTCCAACCTGGCCGTTGAAAGGATATCTGACTGCTCGCAGCACTTTTCCGGGCAAGTCAAAGCGGGTCCGTTCGACTATCAAATGCCGAAGGAACTGAACGGCCGTCCGTGTTTCTACCAGCACAATTGGATATTCTGCATCTGCTCCAACTCTTACTGCAACTCTCCTCAGCACTGGCCGGTTCGAAAACAGTCTTTTAAAGGCCTTACCCTTTATTTTTCAGTTAATCGTGGCTAGATTCATGCACAATTCAACAGCTTCCACGAGAAAAGAAAGTGATATTGATCTGGCACAGGACGTTAAATTTGTGAGTTTAGTAATGAGTTCACATTCCAAAACACGCTTATTTCAGAGTCTGAAACTGGAAAAGGTTAAGATTGGAGAGTATAAATCAGATCAACGGGAGAACCTGAGATGTCTTCACTGGTATGCGGATTCCCTGAACCAAGGTGAACCTTTCCTTTCCCTTTCTTTGCCAAAAGTACTTTTCAGAACAACCGAATCCTCCTTTTTACTTGTTCAACTACATCACAGTCAAACGAGATGCTCCCTCTCTCGAAGACGCTCTTCACAGTGACCCCCGACCGAGAGTGAAGAATCATTTGAAGGAGCCCAGGAAGCTTCCCTATGTGGACGAAGACTACGGTAGCAAGGACAAACGAAGTTCGGAAAGAACAGGAAGGAAAGGGACGGATGATGGGGACGGAGGCGGTTTCGGAGGAATGATCGCCGCGATCGTCGGAGGTCTTCTCTACGTCGCCTTTCTCGGAGCCACCGTCTATTTCCTGAACTTGTTGTGCCGCCGGTGAGCTTTTCCTTTTCCCTCTCCTCGTGCCCTAATTGAAGTTCGTGCCAGACTTCAAGATCACTCTGTTTTCCCTCGCGTCAATGACAAAGTTATTTCCAATCGGTACGATCGTCTCCACAATTCCGAAGAGATTCCGAAAGCATTCCTGAGAAAGAAAAAGAAAGGAAGTGTTGCAAATGAGAAGCACGAAAAGAAAAAGTCGACAAAGGCAGCTTCTCCGACTCCAGCTCCTGCAGAAGCTCCAGCTCCTGCAGAAGCTCCTGCTCCTGCAGGAGCTCCGGCTCAACCTGCAGCCAAAAAACCCAAAAAGTAGAAAGTGAGTATCTGAACGTTCTTTGATTGGACTAATCGTAATTCAATTTTCAGGCTGATCTGAAACACGGGGAAAAAATTAACTTGTTGTGTCTTTCTTTCATTTTCTGAGATAAAAGACCACTGGCACTTGGCACAAGCTCTAGCTTAGGAGGGAAGCCATGCATTGCACTTTCGGCCGGCAATAACACTTTGCCACGTCGTCATTTTGACACCCTCCGGCCACCAATCCAATTACCAGCGGCCGAGCGATGCAAAGTGAAGACGGCGCAAGTTTTTGAGGAGCATTTGAGTGCTGAAACATTGCATCCCCTTCCTCTCCTTCCCCATTTCCGCACTTTTTCGATAATCCAACACAAAAGACGGCTCGAGGAGGTCATTGAAAACAGATTAGAAGAGGGCGGACAGCGATTTTTGGGATGGAAAAGAAGTGCTTGAAGCCTTCGTTTGCGTCCTCCCTCCGTGCACACATCATCTCTCCTTCCGTACGTATTTCGCGTCGTCAAAAGGTATTCAAAAACGGCGGAGAAATTAACATTTGGAGTAGGAAGCGAGGTGAGGAAGAGACGGAAGTGTCGTTTCCCTTTTTAGAATTGTAAATGATGTGGCGGGCTCTGCGAGGGGAAGCCAGAGGAACCAGCAGATATGACTTTTCGAATTACCACCACCTCTGTGATCTAATCCAATCTCCTCACTACACAAATTGCTTCCCATTTGCACTTTGCAATTTGAGAGTGTTTCCGTCCGGGATGAACAAGAAGAAGAAGACGAAGAAGAAGAAGAAGAAGAAGATGTTACTCGTCTTCTTCCTCTTTTTCAATGAAATTTGATATCGGCGGTAGAACTCACCGGCGGAGGGATTTATTAGGTTTTGGGTGGAATAAAAAGCTCGCTGTTTTGACGAGACGGCAGGTCACTGCTACCGCGCCGATTCGCTTTCGTCTCGGCAAACATTTTTGAGTATTGAACATGACTGAACGATTTTCAGAACTCACGGCACTTAAAACGTGGCTCCCGAGTTCGTGTTTATCATATCAACCGCCGACGTCTTCGCCCTTTCCTCTTCCCTCGCTCTTCTTCTAATTTATTACTTTCCCGTTGCCCTCTTCATCTCCCGTTTCTTTTGCTCCAACTACTACTACCCATATCGATGCTCATCGGATGGCCTCACAAAGGTCATCCAATCTCATCAGCACATCTCTTCTCTACGCTTCTCATTCCTCTTCATTGCCTCAAGAAACCCAATTAGAAAGCGACGCGGCGTCGTGAGAAACTGTCCTCTTTTCCCTGCTTTTCCCCGTCATCCACATCATACTCTCAATGTATTGAATATCTGAAGTTCCATGGCTCCGCGCCCTCATTCCGTCCGAGAAATGAGAAATGCTGGATTAATGCGGAAGGGGACCGCGGAGCCAGAAACTCGTAAACTTTATGGTTATTGGGTATCCGACAAAGGGCGTTGGTCAAACTCTCCTTTTCCTTTTTTTTCCTTGTTCCTTTTTCTTTTTCTCTTATAAATCAACTGTCAAATTGACACTCCGACACTTGAAAACGCCCTGACAACGCTTTGTTTCCCTTTTTTCTCTTTCCACAAACTACTTTAATCCAATTCCCTCCGTAAATATAACTTCTCCGTGCATTTCCTCGTCCTTCCAATTTCGTTGATTTCTTCCAGAATCTTCCAGAATGCGCAAAAAACTGTCGCTCTTCCACATTTCCACGTGGCTTCTCATCTCCTCCTCGACAGCAGTACAGTATCCCTGGACGTTCGACAACGATCTGTTCGGCGGTGAGTTTTCCTTTTTTCACACTTTCCCCTAGAAAAATGGATACAAAAAACACAATTGAAGTCTTTTCCCCCTCCTCCTCTACTTTTTTGGCTCACAGAATTCGAATTTCCGTCTCGGCGGCGCGGCGAGAATTCACTTTGCGCACGTCTTTTCTGTTGCATTTTCCGCCCTTATAGTCTGTTTTGTGCCTCTTCAGACGGTGTTCGTCCCTTCCGAATGAGAAGTTTCTCTTGGTTTCTTCCGGAAGAAAGTCAAAAAGTCAACCAAGAGCGACTTTGTTGTTGAGCAGTTGCTAATGTTCGCTTGCAGTAGTCCTCCCTTCCTCCCATGGCTACCAGAAAGAGTTCTGAGAAGGTCGGCGAATGCTCGAATCTTTCTTCGCCACCCTCCCTCCGAATTCTTGATGGCCGGGCCGTCGACCTTTGAGAGGGACACTCACAGATTTCTTCGAACCTTTGAACTCTGCGTCTCTCGCCTTCGCCGGCTCTCTCCATTTGATGATCCTCGAAATCAGGAGAATTATTCATCAATTTGCTGCCCACAAGATTCCCACGATTTGTCCGTGGGCTCTCGCGAGCTCGTGCCTACTCGCACCTCTTTCGGAGAGTATCAAACGGCAACATTCCTTTCCTTGTCGATTCTTCGCCCCCATTCCCATGCATTTCTTGTGCAATGAGTGGGCAGTTTTCGTGTCGAAAAGCACTCCGAACTGCCACTTTTCCGAGAGTGCTTCGCCTAATAAAACGGCAGAATACCTGGCACAGGAATTGCTCACAGCAGGCACCTTCCTTTCCGTTTCTAATCGGAGTCGCGCGGCTGCGGAGGCACTGAATGTTTGGCCCAATCTAATTTCTAGTCAATTCGGCCCTCCCAGTCGTCTTCCGCGAGCCCGTTAGTCAGCAGTTTTGTTCGCAAAGAAGACACGTCGCTTTCCGTATTCAATACTCGGGTAATTGCCTTCATCAGTAGTGGAACCGAGCACAAAACGACCAATAATATTTTATTTTTGCGCCCCGCCCGTTATTCACTCCTCAGCTCTTTTCATAGTTTTCCTCAGAAGATTCTCTGAAATCTGTAATATCAATTCAGAGAGAGAGAGAGAGAGAGAGAGAGGGTCCTACAGAACCAAAACAACGTGTTGTCTCTCCTTCTCATTTAGACTCGAGATTTCCGTTCGACGTTTCATTTGGTCGCTCTTCCATCTTCATCCTCTTTTCGTCACCGATTCAAATATGCAAAACGTGCAATGCGCATCGCATACACATTTCCGGTCAGAACGGGACGAGAAGGTGTGCCCCGCGAGCCAAGCCAAACACCTTCTTGCCACGTCATCCAGAGTACATTCAATTTATCTCTCCCTTTTTCGCCTCTACTTTCAAATGTACATTTTGCCGTTTCCGACACCAATTAGCTGCCGAAACTCATAAATAATGTGGGAGTGAACAAGTACTGTGTCAGTCTCCGGAGCAACGTCTTCTTCTTCTTCTTCTTCTTCCTCTTCTTTTATTTCTCTATTCTCTTCTTCGCAACACCTTTGACGACTTTCAGAAAATTTCGGATATTATGATACCATGGCTTCTGACAGCCTGTATATATCCTTGTGTTATTGGTGAGTGTATGGGGAAATGATTGACGAGATATTGCCTTCAAACTGAAGAAAATGATAAATGTTGCAGGTCCGGACTTCTGGGGCCTTTTGCACGGAGACTGGCGGATGTGCACGGCCGGCCAAATGCAGTCTCCAGTCAACATAGACCCGGCCCAACTGCTTTATGACCCCCATCTGATGCCGATTAACATCGAAGGCAATATTGTGAGTTTCCGGATTCGCGCCCTTCCGGATAGTGATTTCGTTTTCAGGTGGAAGGAATATTCGAAAACACCGGCCAGTTGCCGATTGTCACAATCAAAGATCTTCCTAGCCGACCGACGATCAATATAACGGGCGGTCCCACAATGCCGTACCGCTACAAACTGCATCAAGTGAGTTCAGTGCTCCAGTGAGTACAAGTGACTCAATCGCTTTCAGGTCACTGTGCACTTTGGAAGCGCCAACGAAGGAGAAAAGGGCTCCGAGCACACGGTGGACCGGGTCAGATTCCCTGCGGAGATCCAGCTGCTCGCGTACAACAGTGATCTCTATCCCAACTTCACCGTTGCCATGACGTCGCCAAGAGGGCTTCTCGCCGTTTCTGTGATTGTTGATGTGAGTGACACCGAATAGACAGATACAGCAACAGCCCATTCAGATCGGAAAGACGACGTCAGTGGAGCTGCGGAGACTGACCGTCGCTTCGCAGAGCATAACCTATAAAGGTGCGCTTTCATTTTCAACTTTTCACATTCTCTTTATCTTTTCTAGGCCAAATCACGAATCTGACTGATTTCCAACCGGCGGCACTTCTTCCAAAGACGTCGCATTACGTGACTTACGAGGGATCTCTCACTTTCCCCGGATGCCACGAAACAGTCACCTGGGTGATTCTCAACAATCCCATTTACATTACCAATGACGATGTGAGCTATTTCTACCCCAAAACAGGCGAATTCTAGAAATTTCAGTTGCAAATCTGGAATGAGCTGCAGAAAACGGAGACGAAACAACCGGAGCCGTCGTTTATGACTCCCGCTTACCGCCCGTTGAAATCGCTGAACGGACGACTGCTCCGAACAAATATTAATGTTGGCACGAAGGTATTTTCAGAAAACTGACTGGAAATACAGTTTTCGCGTGTTCAGGAATCGGCCACGTCTTCCAGTTGTCCGTCGAATGTATACGTGGAAATGGGATATCGGGCAAACCCGGGCAGGAATAAAAGGAATGACTCGGTTAGTAATTCACGAGTTTATTTTATTATATTCAAAAGGTTTCAGGTTTCTAGAAGATACGTCCGTAGTTCGGAAGTATTCGAAATCGACAGTATTCGACCTGAAGAGGCTTCAGATCTGAACTCATTCTGATCATATTCTACCCTTCTTTCCTGTTCAATTTTAAGCACATTGCTGACTATTTGCTCATGTTTGCTCCCAAGGACTCACTTAATAACTGTATTTCTGTACCTAATTAGATTTTCGTATTACGGGTGAAAAAAAGTATTCCTCAAAAACATGGGACGTTTATCTAAATCGTTTTATACATAAAGTCTATCAAATGAGAAAGGAAGAGAGCCAAGTTACTTTTGGCAAGTGATTGCACGGAAATTGTTCAAAGGGAGGGAGGACTAAGGCCACAAAACAAAAGGTGAGAAATAACGAATACGTAAAGTAAAGTAAATACAAATGTTTACAATTCGGAACCGTCCGGAAGGGGATGCCCGTTGTCTATAAGGAAACGACGAGCGAAAAGAGTGAAGAAAACAACCGCACAGATGAAAATGAGTGGAATTGTGACGAGAAGAGAGTAATCGAATGACGAGGAATCCGTTGTGGTACGACGCTGCTGGAAGGCTGGGAATGGCGACGGATCAACGACTGTAACATTGTATTGCGGTGGAGTTGGGAAGGATTAGATTACTTTGAAGAGGCTCTTCCACTTCGGAACCTGGCACTTCCCCTTCGGGAGCTGTTTCCGTCTGAATGCTCAGCTCCTCGAGTTGAGGAGATGAGCCTTCTAGGAGCACATCGCTGCTCGCATTCGCATCTTCTTCTTTTTGGTCAGCGCTTTCAGCTGCAGCAGCGACTGCCTTCTTGACTTCCGATGCGTCCTGGAATTTCAGCTGAGCCGCCAGCTGCTTAGCCTCTTCGTTTGCTTTTCCTTGTCCGTCTTCTGTGATCGGCAAGAGAGCATTCTTCATGACGCATCCACATTCTTTGCATTTCCAGTCTCCACTCCTGCAAACATTTACAATGATGACAGGTTTGCGAAGAAAACAATTACAGCTTCGCGAGTCGCTTTCTCTCCTTCGGCGGATATTCTAGACTTCCGAGTGCTCCGCCGGCGGTGGTTGGAAGGAAGCCGATAAGTGCAAGGAGAGCAGTGCGAACTGAGAATGGGCTTTGAGTACGTTAGTGGAGACGATTAGAACTTACTGCTCCAAGATGGGAGCCAAGTCTCCGGATGGTACCCGGAGATCGAGAGGCAAATTTTTTTGTTCAGTTCGAAACGACCGTTGGGCTGCAAACACATATTTTTCGGAATGAAAATAAACGATTTCGAACCGTGAGCAAAATGAGATTTGGTGGTTTCATCGGATAATCTGCCGGGAATATGATTCTTCCGTGGTAAATACCGCCCTCAAAGTCAGAGCCAAGAGTTCCGCGGATAGTGAAATGCCACTCGAACAGATTGTCTTCCATCGGCTGAGCATGGTACATTTCGGTCGGCTCTCGCAGTTCCATCGCCTCTTTCATCAATCTGCGAACACCTGGAAAGCTTGAGAACCATAGACAGAACTGTGCACGTGAAAGTTCCTACTGCGAGGTTCATTTAGACCCGCCAAAAACAATCAAGCAGCATCAATAACAGTTCTGTTAAAATGAGCTCCTCAATAGGAAATCGGAACTTTTTCTAAGCATTAATTAGCTTGTTTTTCTTTAGGGTTTACTATTAGTTATTTCCTTCCTCTACTTTTACTTGAGCTCAGTCGTTACTGGTACAGTTGGCTCTCTTTTTGTCTTCCCACCGAAGAAGATGTTTTTGCACGCTTTTATTCAAAACTCGTTACTTACCGGCACTTTTCGTATTGTACGTCATTTCAGTCATCTTCTCTTCTCGGTCTTCTCGGCACGTATCCACGCGACAGTCGATTTATTGACGAGAAAAACGAGAAGCACAGCGAAATCCGAAAGCGACGTCAGCTGAAGCCTCTGTTCACTACACGTCAGAAATGCAGACTCCAGGCTGACACCGCCACGACAGATTGCGGACCAGCCATCATTCACAGTCCGCTCGGTTCTCTCGTTCCTTGTTGAACTTCCGCGTCTCGGTTGATAGTCTCACACGGTTTCCGTTTCGCATTTTGCATTCTTCTCAACGTTTTTCATCTTTTCTTCACGCTCTGAGTTTCTCAAACTCATTTATTGATTTCTGATTTCACGCAAAACCGGTGTTTTGTCCTGAATTTCGTGTAAAAAAGAATGAGTCACGTTTTCGCGTCATTTTCCTCGCGTGATTCCATATTTTTCTGTCATTTTTCAATAGAAAACTCTTTCAGACAGGATGGAGGAGGTCCCAGATATGGATGACCTTCTCGATGAGATGGAGTCCGACTTGATCCGGAAGGCACGCATCACCCAGCCACCGCCTCTCCTGCCCCCGACTTCGATTGGAATGCAGCCGAGAGGATTTCATAATATCCAACCAACAAAAAGCATCATCGCTGTGCCAAAGCTGCTCGTCGGCGAGGACATGAACCAGCACATGGTGGTGAGCTTTGTTTATAAAAAAAATTAGCAATGTTTATCGCATATTTATCTCTTCTCTCAGGGCCACATTGACATCGATACTTCCGAACTTCCCAACACGTTTCATACGCAGCCAATCATTGGACACGTGGCAGAATACAAAAACGAGAAAGAAGACGTTGTTATGGAGCAGAAGGAAGCAGAAAGTGCACATGTGCCCCCTCAAGTTAATGGAAATCATCTAACCTTTAACCGAACGCCTGAAACAGTCAATGATGTTTGCCGGAACTTAGAAAAAGGTCAGAAGCGAGAGCAAGAACCAGAACCTGAAGATTCATCCGAAGTAGAAGAGGTTTGCTGCAAAATGTACTTTTTTGTTCAAAAATAGTGATTTTTAAGGAAACACTGGTACCCGAAACGCAAATGATTTCCTTCCTGAATGCGACAGTCCGGGATAACATTGCAAACATGGACATTCCAAATGAAACCGTTCAGTTAGATACAGAAATTGAATCCATGCTCGAATATCTGAACGGATTCGACCTGAATAAAGAAACGTCCACTCTTCCCATTGCTAACGACGGAAGAAAGTCTGGGGGCCATGATTCAATCAGCGACGAGTCGGTTGTATCTCAATTCGCCGATAAGTTATCTGAAGAAGTCATGAAGGCGGCGTTGGAGCAACCGCGGAATTTGCATTACGATCCGGCAATGCGAGAATTCTACGAAACAAACGATTCTGCAACGGAGGTGTTCGCAATGAGCTTCGAATCTGGCAGAGTCAACATTGAACATGACAATGGAGATTATCTGTCCGAGCCGGAAAATGTTCCAAAAAGGCCGAGAATGCCATCAGTAGCAGAAGAAGAGCACGTTGAAAAAAGCGAGGAAGCAGGACGTCTTTTGGAGAAGACTTCAGAGGAGAATGAAAACGAAGCGGAAGTTGATCAACTTGCTGAGAAACAGAAACATGTTGAAGTGCATTTGGAGGAATCTGTGAATCAAGAAGTTATTGAGCCGGACGAAAAGGATAAAGTCATAGACGCTCCAAAGGAATCTGCGAGAGATAATCACGACGAATATAAACAGGTACACCACAAGTTCCGATTCCGAAACAGTTTAACAATAATATAATTTAGGCGTCAGATGAGGGTGAAGTCGTCGAAATCGGAGTTTTCGATGCACTGCCTTCTGTAGAACCTTCTCAACAAAAAGACGTTCGCATTGTCGTCGCAGTGGCGAACAGCGATAATGATGAGTCATCTGTAGATCTGGAAGAAGACGACACTGAGAACCGATCTAGATTCGACGTAAGAAAATATCGTTGAATCCCATTCTGTTCACTATTTTTTCAGTCCTCAATAGCCACAGTTCACGTTCTTCACGAATCGGATTCTGAAGATTCTCTGACTCCACGGAGAGAACGGAGACTGACCGAATCGGAACTGCAACTTGGAAAGACGTCTCCTTACTGGATACCTGATTCGGAGTGCCCTAATTGCATGCTCTGCAACGCCCGGTGAGTAACGGAGAACGGCGCTGTCTAACTTCAGCAATTGCCAGATTCACACTCATAACTCGTCGCCATCATTGTCGTGCTTGTGGACGAGTCCTTTGCGGCTCTTGCTGCAATGAAAAGGCACTGCTCGAGTATTTGCAAGAAGCGGGGAAGAAGCCGCAAGCAGTGAGAGTTTGCAAGCCGTGCTCTTCAATGCTTGCCCGCATTGAGGCCCACGAGGAAGGGGAGCGTAACCGTCGAGAATCGATCACTTCGGACGTGGACGGAAACACGGAAGAGTTGTCTGCTCTTCCAACAACGTCTTCTTTGCCACGTGGTGTTCTGAAAACAAGAGCTTCCACTCATGGGAACGAAGAGGAAGGAGCATCAACGAGCGTTCAAACGCTGTCTGCAAGTGTTGCTCCAGCTGATACTTCGAGAAGATCTGTCATGTTCCGTGACGGCGTCCGACCTGGTGCTCCGGCTGACGAAGAGAACCCAGGGGAAGAACGATCGACGGCACTGAAACCGAAAAAGGTGAGTGAACGCAATTTAGACTGAATAGGTCTGTTCAGAAATCAAGAAAGAGACACGCAGTTGTCAGAAGAATAGCAGAGCTGAGAATGGAGGATGAGTTGGCTTGTGCTCTTCCGAAAGAAGGACAAACAAAAATTCTGATTGTGAAGCCAGACTCTGATCAGCCGAGATTCGAGGACGCTTCAATCGTTCTCGAGACACTTTGCAACTTCTCTGTTGTCACCGTCGTTCTCAAAAAGAATCTCAACTGCACAGTTCAAATATTCAACAGTGAGTTTTTCGACTATCCTGCCAGCTAAACATTTCCTTTGTTAAGATCCCAATTTCGGTTTGATTTGGGCTGTTTCGACCCAAGGATTCGCTCAAATTGGTTTGGATGAACTGCTGTTCGCATGGACTATGAACAATCGAGAGAAACAGAAAGTTGATGCGGAAGAGCCGGAGCTCGATGAGCACGTTGCCCTTTCATTTCTCCCTCTCTCTGTTCTTCATCGCATTTCCATGGTTAGTACTATAAAAGTTACAGATAATGCAAAAAAAAAACAATTTCAGATTTACACTCATTCCACGGAACATGAGTTTGCCGGCGTCCGAAGAGTGGACTCTCGTCTTTCACGAATTCATTCGGTTCCCGTTCCCGCCCATCCGCTCCCCAAACACATCATGTTCTTCCGTCCCACAGTTCAAGTCGGTCTTGGCAATCTCCGCATCCCATCCAATCCATTCCTCATTGCCTGCTTCCTTCACGACGACGAATTGAACTGGGCAACAAGCCTTCCGAATAGACTCCTATACAAACTCGGACAGAAGTATAACGGTTAGAGAAAAATAGTATATTTCTATTAAAACGTTTGCTTCTTGCAGTTTATCCGACGCCATTCGTCAACGACATTGGTCGTCCGTCTCTGTATAGCACTGACATCTCCGGAACCGTTCTGAAAGTGTTCACGGACTTCCGATCATGGTCGTACCGAATGCGACACATTCCTGGATGCACGGTTTCTCTGACCAACGATAAAACTGTAATCCGTGTTCCAAAATCTGCTATAAATGACGTAAGATACTCTATCGTCGGCGAGAGTTCATAAAATGTTGTTTCAGCTGAAAGAAGTTCTCAGTTTCAGTCGATCGATGGTCGCATGGAGTTGTGACCTGAATCACGACGATGACAGTGTTCTGGTTATTAAAGACGGACATGCTTGAGTAGAACATGAGCTTTCAGATTTGTGAAGAAACAGACACTGGAATCTATTCGACGCAGGTATTTGCGAAATGCCACGGACAGAGAGAATCCACAAGTGCCTCATTCGTGATCCTTGACGGCGGCTCCAAAGTGAGTTCTCTGCAAGTGAACGTCGTCGAAGATGGCGTTGCAATCCGAGTGCAGAGTGACCGTCTCGAGACTATTCTGAATGCGATCAACGACGGTCACGACGTTGTCGAATCGTCGAAGGATATGGAATTCCGAGTTGAATTCGTTGAAGATGGAGACTGGATATCCATGGACAATGACTACTTCCCGAAGTCTCAGATAGACGGACTCTACCTCATGGTTAGGAAAAAATAGGCTGCTGTCCAACAGATTCCTTTTTTTCAGAACAAGTTCCAGTACGGACTGTCCCTTGAACGAGCACTCACTCAAGTGTTGCAAGTTCAAGGAATCAGCGATTACGGTGTCCGCATGTCTCACGTTTACAATCTCGGAGACGGAAGACTGCAGCCAGAGGAAGAGCCGAAGATCTACGGGTAACCCGGACGGATGTTGATCTCCTACTGACCGATTTTTTTCAGAATGGTCGAGATTGCTGCAAGAGAATGCGTTGCCATGTTGGAGCCGCACATGCAGTTCCTGATTCGAGCTGGAATTGGGTGAAGGAGTCACTGATGTGCTCATTCTTTTAATATCTACTTTCAGAAGTTTGTCAATCCGCCTCTTTGTCTCTCCTTATGAATTCGAGTACGATGTCTCTAGATGGCTCGGATTGGAAGAAGAAAACAATAAATATAAGCAAAGTCTCGATCAGGTACCGTAGCTCCAACTCCTATTTTCTGTCATCTTCCCATTTCAGCTCATCCCTATGCTGTACAACATGGTCGAATACGTTCCGAACGGATTCGAAGTCGAATTTGTGCTCTCTATTGTTTCGACGAGAGCCCTTCCCATTTAAATCATGCAGATTCGCCCGTTTTTAATTCACTTCATTGTGCAATTTCCTCATTTTCAACCTTTTCTGTGTAGTCGTTCCCTGCATTCGTCCCGTTTTACCATTCTAGTTGTCCATTTCGTGTCGTATTCCTGTGATACTTACCCCCCACTTTCCCCATGTAGTCCGATCATCCCCCAGTCAACACTTACATTTCACCACGTTCCCACCGGATAATTCAGAAATCAGTTGTGGGCCCTACTTGTACTCTCCCTCCTTTTCCCCCTTCCATTTTTGCACCCCCTCAGCACCGTTTTCAATGTAATGCATAATCGCGAAGAAGCGAAGAAGATACAGAGAAGAAACTCGTTTTTTGGCTCGAGTTCCACAAAAAGTGCGGATGAGTCGATTGAATTTCCCACGTCTTCTCCGCTTCTCACTTCGATGTTTCGGCCGATTGAATTTATCGGTGAAAGGCTTCAGGAAACGGCCAATTTCGCCGACCGATGTTCCACGTCATGTACGAATCGAGAAGAACTTTAGAATTCCATCGGTTTTCATTATGCTTGACGTCAAAGGGACCTCCGAATTGCTCACTTCTGGGCACTGCGTTGCATTACAAATTTATGGGACTCCTTCTTATCTTGGGCATTTGATGATGAGGGGCTCCACGAGCACTTCTCCGAGATCGTCTAGTGAGTGATTAGATTCGGCAAACGGAGAGCCCGGAGCAGGTGCTCTTTTCGAAGTGATTAGACGATGATGTGAGCGAGAGAAGGCTGGAATTATAAGAGAGAACACACAGAAAACAGACGACGGACGGAGGTGTAACGACGAAGAAAAAGGAAGTGAAACCGGCGGAGAGGAGGCTTGTTTTCGAGAACGGAACAGCCACGATCATCCTCCGCCCCGGACTTCCCCATCTTTTTATGACTCGCAGCACAAACAGTCATCCGCGGATTATCGGAAGCTCAAGTTTCGTTCGATCCGAAACGGAATACTTCAACATTCTATTCCCGCAATTCTCCGATCTTTGTCAGTTTCTCTTCTGAATTCTCGCTTCTTCTCTTCTCTCTCCGTGATTCGTGTCCTAATGCCCAACCGCTCCTCCGGTAATCCCCCCGTTTTCCGTTTCAAACATCTTTCCTCTTCCTTGTGCTCTGCCTCCAAAAGTTCATCCTTCCGTCCGAATTTCTCATTATTCGAGAGAAGCAAGAAAACAGAAAAAAGAATGAGGCTCATGCCGCATAAATTCATTGGTGGCCGGCAACAGCGAAAGAAAGAAGAGCAGTGCATTTTATGGGCTCGCCCCCACTCATTCAATGACAGAACGGCTTGAATTACAAAGTGAAAAGAAGGAAAGGATCTGCTGGCGCCGACTGAAAACACCTGTGAACCGGGAAGTGGTGGGGGGACTGTGCTTGCTCGCAGCAGCACGAAGCCCCGTCGTTCCTGTTATTTGCTTGTTTCCCAGATCGACCCACTGAAATCCAATTTCCGGAGGCCGTGAGCTTGCCATTTATTATAATCACTTGCTTTGCATGCGACATTTCGGGCTGTAAATATCTGTGAATATACAATTCTGCTCGCTCAGGTGAATAAATGAATTCCGCTCCTTCTTGAAGCTATGACATCCGAGCGTTTGATTTGTCCTCTGTTTGTTTTCTGATTGAGATCACGATTGTGAAAACGGAAATTAAAGGGTTGGTTGGAAGGAGAAGACGTGCTGAGCTGGCACCAGAGCTTCAGATGTGGTTCTCTGGCGGAGAGCTCTTCCTGTGTTTTGTTGATGCCGATCTGTGTGATTGACCAGAATGAGGCGAGCTTCGAAACTTCGGAAGTTTCCCATTTGATAACTAGCATCCGGCCGCCCCTCTCCCCATTTTTCATCCTAACCACTCGAAACATCTCCTCCACAAATCTAGTGTCCGTGTTCGGCTCCGGTTGCCACGTCGCCGCCTGCCTCTCCCTCTCTTCCGTCCACTTTGCTCCTAGGCCCCGCCCCTTTCGGTTGTCTCCCTTTCTTCTAGGTGCTAAGGCTCCGCGCATTCGAAATGCAGCGCGGCTATTCATCTCCCGCGCCGCTCTCCCTCTTCCACTGACAACACGTACAATTGGCGCCGCCGTTCGCTCCTTTATTCCATTTCATTTGCCCTGTTCATTTGTGCTCTCATCTCGTCTGCTTCCAGGTCTCGTCATGAAGCACTCAACACTCACTTCCAATCTAATCGCATTCGGTAAGTGATGTCCGATTGTTTTTATGCGCGGCGCCTATCGTATCGTATAATTAGTTATTTCCAAAAACTGCCGCCATAAATAGAGCCTCCGGGGGATGTGTGATCATCTGATTTCCTGCTCTGATTCCATCTATTCAAACGACTCGGACGGCTGACCGGATCCTTTCGGAGTCTCGCCCTCATTCTGATGGGCTCTCTTCTCAAAACAGAAATAGAAAAAAGGCATCTTGTTTGTACTTTATGGTTACAAAGAATCATGTTTTCCAACTTCTAAACTGACCGCCCGGAAGTGTAAATGGGGTAGCTGGAGCCAGAAGGAAGTCGTCAGGAGCGACCCGAGAGCGGGAGACAGCGAGAGCTCAGGCACTTTTGCTTTCTCAATTGGGTTAGACGCTGTCGGATTCGTCACAGGAACTCTCGTCCATAATTAGTCGGCGAAATTGAGTGGAAGAGGTCACTGCAGACGCCTCCACTCCTCTCGTTTTCGTTCTCTTTTCAGTCATCCCAGATTATCTAAATTCATTCAACTTGTTTTTGTGTGTGCGTGTGTTCCATCCGCCTCTCGCTTCCAGATATATTCGAATTCCTAATCTTCTCTCGTTTTCCCCTCTATTTTGTGCGTTGAGTGGATGGCGGGACTAAGCGGAAGGGGGAAATCCACGGAAATAGTTCAAATCCATCATCATCCGCCCATTTTCGATTCCCTCTCTCCGGCCGTCGACTTTTCATTCCAGCACAAAATAGATGAGAAGGCAAGAAGAATGAGGAGAAGCAAAAAGAGGAAGAAGATGAGGAATGGTGGTGGCGGGCCCTTCCAAATGAGGCCGATGCAATTGATGAGGCTAGGCGATTGATGTGGAGGGGAGATGCCACGTCACAAAAACAGAAGAGGGCTCTGCAAACATCCAATTATAGTGCACGTCATCTTTTCATCTGGAGTCTCTGAAGTTGAGCGGATTGCTGTTCGCTGCCGCATTCCGAGCAAGGCCAAAGGCTGCTCCGCTCCCCCTTTCCACCTGTTTCCAATCGCTTTCCATGGCAACAAGTACTTCGCCGCACTCTTTTTCATCACTTTGTGCGTTTCGAAACAAAACACGAAAACGTGTGTCACCCGGGGAAACATGAAGCTTCGTGAAGAAGTTTCGAAAAGAAAGCATAAAAGAAGAAGGGGGAGGGGAGGCATTTCTTCAATTATGGGGGGACGGGAAAGCAATGACACCAACGAGAAGGGGACGAATCGGAAATACTTGATTATTCTGGGAGGCGAGAGCACGTGGCTTGTACTTGATGGGAATGTTGGACACAATAAGAACGGTGGGAAAACAGAAGGAGCATGGAGCAATGAGCTCTCGGTCAGAGCAGAAGCAACATATTTGAGTCAACCCTCTCCAAACTTTTGCTTACCATTAGCGATCGAAACGGGAGACGTTTGGAGAATAAAAACAAAAAGGCATTGAAAGTGGAAAAGCACTCTGAAATACTCATAAAAAGGAGAGATTTTGCAGCCGCCGTGCCGTTTGTGCTCAATTTGGTCTCGCTCATTCCGATCTTCTACAGGCGCCAAAAACAAAAGGGGAAATTGTTCCGGTGAGCCAAGTGCGGGGCCCCTTTTCGACCAAAAAATACCCAATTTCATTTCACCTGAAATTTGATATTAGTATTTATGTATTAGCCGACACAAATCAATCTTCTATTTCTGTTGCCTCGCTCTTATGTTTTTGTGTACTTGTTGCTGTGCTCTGGGCTCCGCGCGACAGAACCAGCAGTTAGTGTGGACGAGGGAAGAATGGGTTTATGAAATGAGTCTGAGAGAAGAGAGCACAACAATTCATCTTGTTTTCGAGCCTCGGAAACCCATTTCAGCATGTCAATCTCTATATACATCCGTCGCCCCAATTGGTAACCCATCAATCTCGTGAATTTCCCGTCCGACTGGAAATCACCCGAAAACGGCCCATTTCCACCGTAATCTCTTGCAGGGACAACGCGAGTCTGCAGCCGCTCGTTTGGCTTCTCTTCGTCGACGTGCTTATGTCCGCCCATCTGGTCTTCCCCATCCACAACTTTCTGATGGAAAAGTGAGTCCGTAAGCCACTGGAGCTTAACTTTCGTCCCCTGCAGATTCCACCTATAACCACTCATTTTCTCTCTCCCTACAAAAAGTTGGTCCTTCTTTCGGCCTTTCAGTGGAATTATTCATAAGCCAAAGGGCGGCTTCATTTGGGACCGCAATGTAGCACGGGTACAACCGGAAGTAATTGAACTTGCCGGGAAGAAGACATGAGTATCGGGAGGTCGCCCAACGAGAGAAACAAAAAAGAAAAGAGTTAACTCTGTCTAGACGGCGACTATTTATCCGACAATTATGGGCGAAACATGATCATTATGACGGAGAGAAGCGGTGACGCAAGTCTTTTAATTTCAGGGGAACGTTCTCGCAATGGAGCTGTGTTGCCTACGGAGCCGCCGACATGACCCTCTCGCTCGTCGAAGTCCTCCTCGCCTGCGTGATCGCATTCGACCGGTACATTGTGACGGTCACTCCGAAGTGGGGCAAGTGGAGGTGCCATTCAAACTACTTCAAACTCATCTTCTTCGGAGCACTCACCGTCGGCTTCTGGAGCTTCGTTCCGGTCGCCGGATACGGAAAGTACAGCACCTTCCATCACAACATGTTCTGTTCGATCGACTGGAGACAGGGCAACATCGAGCCGGATTCGGATCTGTCCCGGCTCTCCGCGCACCGCTACATCGCCTTCCTGACTGCAACGTGCCTCGTCTTCTTCCTCATTCCCGTTTGCATCGCTTCTTCCCTCTACTACAGTATTATCGACCACGTGGATAGACAGAGTGCAACGGAAGTACAAGTCGAGAATGGCGTTGTTCGCACGGAAATATGCTCGTGGGCTCCAAAGAATCACGTGGCGAAGGTCGGACTCGGATGCCTGCTCGTCTCCGTTCTTCCGTTCTTCGCCTATTCGGTCGTCTGCCTGAACCCGATGAAGTCGGACTTTGATAAGATCCATTACATCGTTGTTCCGGTGATCATCAGCCGTGTCAGCACCCTCCTCAACCCGATCTTCTACGTTTGGCTCAATCCGGAAATCATTCCAATCAACGAGTTCATCGCGAAACGAGCAAAGCCCCGTCCACAACGGCCACTCTACCACACTATTAATCTGGTGAGATCTAGAAGACGATATTGGGAACTATTCATGCTTTCAGATCGCCGATGTTCCTGGAATGTCGTTCCCGATTCTGACCCCGACCATTCCACGTCGTCAACTTCCGAAGATCCCTCCCCATTTGGCGTCTCCTTCGAAACCCAGTCTCAACGATTTTCTGGACGAAGATTCGGACGGAGAACCGAGGGAATGCACCCCGATGCTCTAAATTATCTCCCTTAAACGTTTCTCGGGTTTTCATTGTAAACAATTCCTGGAAAAAAATGAATGAAATCATCAAATTATGCGGTCGGATTCTTTTTCGTAACTGCGCTCTCCTCGTTTTCATCTACGAATTCCAGCTCGTTGCTCTCCGCTTGCTGGTCTTCGGCGTCGTAGAATTTGTCAAGAAGAGTGGCGTTTTGGGAGAGGCATGGGCGGTTGTTGCACTGGTAGTAGATGGGATTAGTACTGAAAAACGACCCTGCACCGAAAGGAATTAGACACAAGAAGAGGAGAGATTTGCTCCGGGGGCTTCAAGAACTCACGGACACTCGCACACTTTGACTGGTTCTGGACACGCGTATTTCATGAGCATGAAGCCTCCGCCACAGGTGACGGTGCACTCGGAAAGTTGCTCCAAATCACATTCGACAGACTTCGCAGTTGCGGTTCTTTGAAGTGCAGCTCCGCCAGAAAAGGGAACGAGGAGGGAGAGTACGGTAGCCAGTTTCATGCTTTTTCGGAATAAAAAGAAACGGGCGGTTTGGTCGGTCATAATGATTTTATGATTCGTTTGGTTTGCAAACTCAAAGAGACGCTTTCAAGCGGCGAAATGAGAAGGAATGAAGGGAAGGGGAACTGGAAGGGAACGCATTGTCTCAGGGAAAACTGCTGAAGATTATGAGTGGGAAGCATTCAAGTATGGGAGAATTCGAGAGTGTCTGAAAGAACGGCACCAATCGAACTTGATCTAATTACAGTTTCTTCATTTCGTGACCCGCACCATCCCGCTCGACAGTTTTCAAATCTTTGGTGCGGTCGGTCACAAAATTTTGTGACCTAATTTTGTGCTCGATAGGAAAATGAGGAGGTTCAAAGAAACAGAAATGAGGCAATATTGATGGAGGGGTATAAAACGAGCAATCCTCGAGGAAGAGCAACTCGATTATTCCGAGATGTCGGTTGCTCACAGTCTTCTGGAATACAAAGATTCTAATGGAAAAGTGTACGAAGGAGAGCTCTACGTTCCTCGGTGAGTTTTCGTTCGTTTCCACCTCCGTGCCGTTCTGAAAATAGAACTGCAGAAAATCCAGCAGCTGTCTCTTTTATTCTCCTTCCTCATTCGGGTAATTTACTGTAGTCTATTTGTTCTGTGTTTGGTTTTTGATCGGTGTCGTTTCAATGAACTTTTGAGTGCCAAGGAGTAAACAATAAACAATTGCAGAACGACGGGAATGAGAAAACTGCCAGGAGTCGTTGTTTTTTCCGCTTTTCGAGGAATCACCGCGTTCGAGAAGGAAAAGGCGAAGGCGTTGGCGCAGGTAAACGAAAATAAGCTAGCATTCCACGAAGAGAGCATTTCCAGGAAGGGTACATTGCTCTGGCGGCCGATCCGTTCGGAAAGGGAATCCGTCCGACCGCAGCCAGCGACTGCTTCGCCATCGTTCGGCCTCTGGTCTCGGATAGAGTTCAGAACTTGAAACCTGTGATCGTCGCGGCTGTTGAGGCAATTAAGACTGTGCACGGGATTGATTCTCACAAATTGGGAGCCATTGGATTCTGCTTCGGTGGAGCGTGCGTCCTGGACCTTGCCAGGTATCACGTCGACCTCAAGGCCGTCGTCTCTTTCCACGGAACTCTTAAGCCACTGCCCGATGTTCAATTGGATCCAATAGTCGGAACAGTCATTCAAGCTCATCACGGAGACGCGGATTCGCATATTCCGAAGGAGCAAGTGGACGAGTTTCACGTGGAAATGAGGGCCCGGAAGGCAGACTTCGTGTTCGTGAGTCACGCCTTCGCGGAGCACGGATTCACGGAGCCAGGTCGGAGATCTAAAAGAACTGAAAAAAGGAATAAGATGCACTTTTTCAGATGCTGATTCGTTCGGACTTCCCGGCGTCAAATACAACGAGAAGGCGGCAAAACGGTCGTGGAGAGAGACTCTCGCACTTTTCAAAGAAGTCTTCTGATCTATATGTACTTAAATTTTAGATAAATCAACAATCTTATTCGTTTTTGTGACCGTCAATATTGTTATCATACTCAATGATTGCTCGTAGGGCAGAAGAGAGAACGAGAGAAAAGAAGAGAGTATTGTAGGAGGAGAGGTTCAGACGAATGAACAGCAAACATCATCATTCGGGTGTATTTATTGATCATCTCTGATCATTTTCACTTATTTCCATCTTTCTACTGCAACAAAATGGCGGTTCCAAGTCGTACTGTTGATTACTCCGATGAGAGTGGAACTGTTTTCGAGGGCGTTGTTTACATTCCAGAGTAAGTGTCGTATTTCCAAGTGATCTTTTTGATATTATTCCATTCTGAAGCGCGAAAAACTCGAAAGTTCCTGCTGTTCTTGTGTTCCCAGCATTCCGAGGAATCACAGAGTTTGAGAAGGACAAAGGGCATCAACTGGCACAGGTAACTGAACTTAACAAACACTGAAATAGAACATATCCGTTGCAGCTTGGTTACTTCGCGTTCGTCGCTGATGTCTATGGAAAAGGGGTCAGGCCGACGGAAAGAGCGGACGCCTTCGCCACAATGGGTCCTCTCGTCTCCAACCGCACCGAGAAACTGAAGCCACGTCTTCTGGCGTCCTTGAACAGTTTGAAGACGTTACCGAAGTGGACACATCCAAATTGGCGGCCATTGGATACTGCTTCGGAGGACTCTGCGTCCTCGATCTTGCCAGATACGACGTGGGTCTCAAAGCCGTCGTCTCGTTCCACGGAACTCTCAAACCAGTGCCCGATGTTCCGTTGGATCCAATCGTCGGAACGTCCATTCAAGTTCACCACGGAGACGCGGACTTCCACATTGCAAAGGACCAAGTGGATGGGTTCCACGAAGAAATGAGAACTCGGCAGGCAGACTTTGTTTTCTCTTCTCACGCGAAGGCAATGCACGCGTTCACCGAGCCAGAGGCCGACAGTTTCAATGCTCCGGGAATCGGGTACAACGAGAAAGCGGCCAAGAGATCGTGGAAGGCAGCCACTTCCCTTTTTGAGGAAGTTTTTGCTTTTTTTTTGAACACTGAGCGTACAAAGTGATTAAAAAATTTTCAGAGCAATGACAGAACAAATGTTTATTATCATGTAGTTCCGTGTAGTTCTGCCACTGTAATGATTCTGTTTGGATGCATTAAATGTTTTATTTTGTTTCGCAATGAGTAAGTGATATATTCGTGTCAAGTTTTAAGCGGATGATGTTCATCAATTATCTAATCAAGAGCACCGATTTTCCGACCAAAAGAGACCCGAGAAGAGTAGGAGAATACGCAAAGATAATAAAGATATGTGCCCTCTCGAATAATACTATTTCGAAAATAGAAAAAGATCAGAAGACGTGAAGGTTAACGGAGCGTGCAGAAATTGTTGATATTCTTGTGTTGCCGGATCCGCCACGTGTCTTCCGTTGGATGTATCGACTGATTGCTTGACGGTACGGAATGATACAGTAGGAAGTGATGAACGGATCGCAGAGGGCAGGAAATCCCGAGCAAAGCATCAGAAAGTGCTCAGTGAGGAGCATTTCTTCTCCCGTGAATTGCGAGTAGAGATAGAAGGATGCGATTGGGGTGTACGAGAGGAACGGAAGAATCGTTTGGAAGGCGAGTCCCTGAAATGAGATGATTAGGACAGAAAAGAGGGGAAGGGCACTCGTACTTTGACTAGCAGTTTCGCAATCATCTTCGTCCTCGCAGACATGCTCTTGTTCCTGTTGATAAGCGATGAAATCGAGAAGATAATGAAGAAGGAGCCGAGGGGAATTGCGTAGGCACCGATAGCGACTACCGAAGTTGCAGTGACGAAGGCCAAGGACTGGATGTTTGCGAAGCCGGGGAAAGGTTCGTAGAGGGAAAGGTCGTAGGACGGGTGCTCTTTGAGAGTGAGACTGCGGGCTTCCGAGAAGTCCCAGTGGTCAAGGAACGGAACAATCTGGAAGGAAAATGAATGAAAGGGAAGTGAAAGGAGTATAAAGTACAAACCGCAAGGAAAATAGATGGAATATGACAGGCAGCAATCATCATCAAGTAATGTGTTTTGTGAAATCCATGGAAACGAAGTAGAAGATACCGGAAAAGGACTGTGTTTGCGATGGAGAGAGCGACGCCCATGGAGACGGCTAGCGAAATGTGATATCCACTGAAGCACGCATTCGGACCGAAGAAACGGCAAGGCCCACGCGGCAGAACTGCGTAGGAGGTGGTATTCGGTAAACATCTGCAATACTCTCTCAACAATAAAGCATTTTTACAGATCAAAAGTACCTGGACTGCGTGAAGAAAGCCGTGAAGATGACGGAGAACTGCACAATCCACGTGTTCATCAGGAAATATCGGATGCTATCCAAACTTGGCGGGCTTACTCGTTTGATTAGCAGCAGAAGAACGCATTGTGCAATGACTCCGATCACAAAGTAAAAGTAATAGTAAATATCAAAGTATGGTACGTAGCGATTCGAGTCTGTCATGAGTGACGGAGGCGATTCGAGAAGTTTCGGACGGACGGCGGCTGATATTCTCACACCCTTTCACACTCGAATGAATTGTGTCGTTGGCGGGTTGGAAGCGTAATTGACGAGTCGAAATGGGCGCTGATTCGGAGGAATCCAAAATGGGCACTGGTCAGATGTAATGATCATTGAGACACAGACGTTATGAGGTGGGAGAAGCTCCCCCGGGGGCACATGTAACGACGGTTCATGTTTGGGATTAACTCTGAGATTCTGATTGAGCTACGTTAGGAGGATAGGCTAGTTGGAAGCATAAACACAGTATTACATTGGGCAATTAAAGCAAAGCGTTGAGGTTTTTTAAAACGTGCAATGCCACCTTGTTTTTCTGTAGCCATTGCTGTTCCGCCCACGCATTTCTACCCAATACTGCCCTGGTTCATCTTACGTGGTCTTCTTCGTTATGCTTCATCGGACCTACTCGGAAGTTCATTCATCCTCATCCACCTACATCTACAGGCATCTCAGCTGATATCTTCTACGTCTGCTGCCCTTTTTTCCGCCCTCTGCATCTATTTCAAGAAAATCAGTCTCCATGTTTTTAGACGTCTTGATACGTCCACTCTTTCCTCTGATTCATGCTCCAATGATTCCGACGGGCAAGCGAAGACGTTTCAATTGAAAGAGAAGGGGGGCTTCTCTCAGAAATCAAACAATTATTGGTGAGGGCAGAACAATTGAATGGAAGTCGTTGAACCTGCGTCTCCTGGTGTCTGACCGGTTACTGGAACACGGCACAAAACGACGAAAAGCACAATTGTAAACACGAAACACAACGCCCCTATTTTCTTATTTTACTAGTCTGTTTTCAGTCCTCTGCAATCCGCTGCACGGTAATTTCTCTTTGGGGTCTCGCGGAGGTTTCTAGACGCATCTGAAGTTTTGGCGCACAGAAGAAGGCTTGGAGAGCGCGCGCTCCTTGGCTGTTCTGAGACTTCAGATGCGTACTGTCGGACGAATACCGATTCATTTCACTTGATTTTTTGGGAATGAGTTCATTATGATGTAAACTAACAAAGAGACACAAAAATCACGCACGAGCAGTCGCATTTTGAAAAAAGCTGTTTTGGCAGTGACCCCTCGACATTTCCGCGAGTTTTTCGTTGCTGCTTGCGAGTTTCAATCATAATGAAATCATTCCCAGAAAATTAGGAAAAATGACTCAGTATTCTTCGAACAGCACGCATCAGAAGTTTTGGCGCGCGGAAAAAGGCGTGTGAAGCGTGCCGCGGGCCGGCGAAACAAGCAGACAGTACACGGGACGAGAGCCGAACTTTCTTCCTCTCTCCACTGCGCTCCAGAAAAAAATTTACCGTGCGCTGCACATCTTTTCGTTTCCATATCCGATAGTCTAGCCAACCACGTCACTTTGGGTGGCAAGGTTACGAAAGGATTGGGTGTACTGTGAGCTGGGCACTGTATTTTTGCGATTAGCGACGGAGAGAGTACATCACCGTTTTGTAACTTTACAAAATGGATTTGTTGTGTTCGGCAGTATCCGCGTCTCGGTCTCCCGCGCACTCTCTCGCCATTCGTCACAAATTACCACAATCCGCCGTCCGGCTGGATAATCGTTTCGATTCGCGCCCCACGGCGGTGACGCTCGAAATTTGTACATTTATCGACGCATTATTCGCACTGTTTGGTCGATTTGATCCGGAACCATGGGAGGTTTCCAGGTGAGTTGTCTTTATTTAACTGACCACTTTCATTATGCCATTACGTGAATCTGTCGAATGGATACTGTAGATGCGACTGTCATTGAGCTCGGTTTTTCTTCTTCTTTCCTATTCGTGACCACTCGGAGAAGAGCGTTCCGGTAGGGAACCACGAAGTAAAACGAGATGAACGGGTCAATGAGTGCTGGGAAACAGGTCAAATCATGAGCAGATGCTCGGAAGCGATGTTCTCCGTGTGGTTGAGCTGAGAGTAGGTGTAGACGGAGAAGATCGGAATGTAGCAGAGGAGAGGAATCAGTATCTGACATGCCAGTCCCTGAAATCATGCATCGAGGTCGAGAAAACATGAGAAGATTCCCACGAATTATTCAGTATTCGGTCTGTTTCTTTACAAAAGCCCCACACGCTCAGCTCGTTTCCCATTTTACTTTTCCCTTTTCAACTTACATGAACCAACGTCTTGCTTGTGTTTTGGTGCGTGTGCTCATGTTGCTGTGGGCCCGAATAAGTTTGAGAATGCTCCGAGTGAGCAAGAAGGATATCAGTGGGATACCGTAGGCGCCGATCGCTAGAATAGAAGTGGCAGATAGGAATTGAGCACTGCTTATGTTGGCGAATCCGGGAAAAGGGACATAATAGGAGAGGTCGTAGGTGGGATGCTCCGAGTAAGTCTGACTGACGGCCACCGGGAAGTCCCAGCTGTCTGTGAACGGGATGATCTGAATTGGGAAAGATTGGAGAGGCTGGTGTGAGCGGGGAGGTACAGTTGTGAATATTCCGGGCACGTTGGAAGCAATGATTATGTACATCAGATGTATTTTTGTGACGTTCCTTCTCCGCAGTATAAGAAATCGGTAGATGACCGTGTTCGAAATCGAAAGAGCCACGCATAAAGTAACTCCCTGAAAGTGTTCATTGTTCCAAGGAGGAACCAGTTTGTTGTTGTTCGTGTCTTTCTCGTTCCGATCCCACGCTTACCAAAAAAACATGATATCCGGCGAAGCAGACGGACGGTCCGAAGAGACGGCAGGGCCCGTTAGCTAGAACAGCGAACGTGGTAGTGTTTGGGAGAGATCTGAGAGGAGTCGGAATGGGAGAGAAGGCGAGAGAATTCGCACCTGTGTTGAGTAAAGTACCCGCAGAGAATCTCAAGTATCTGAATGCACGAAGTGTTGTAGAGAAAGTATTTGAGCTGAGCCAAACTGGCGGGTGACTTTGTCCGAATGAGGTAGAGAAGGATGAATTGGAACGTGAGGCCAACCAGCAGGAAGAACTGGAAGTAGGCGTTGACGTACGGAACGAAACGGTTGCAATAGTTGGAACGCTCGGCCATCTAGAATTCGGAGGAAACTGAATTTTGATGAAGTCGTCGGGGGAGTTCCCATGGCGGCTTTCTCACGCTCTTTTATAATTACCTCAAACTGGAGACGGGCTCAATGAGCTCCTGAACTCGTGCACGTATTTGAATTTTCCGGGAACAATGACGAAATTTCTCCTAATAGATTGAGGGGAGAGCGAATGAATTCGGAGGGCATCTCAACCGTGAATGAATGGGTGTGTTATGCTCCGTCCGCCCAGTGTGCTCTCTGATTTTTCGGTAATTAGAAGCCTTCGCGGTGTCTGTGGAAGCACAGTGTAGCCAGAGAACAAGAACACGAATATGCAGAGAGTATAAAGTTAGTACAGTACCTTGTGTATATAATTTGTCGCTTTGCACTTTAGTTTTTTCAACAAACCTAGCACGATTCCGATTCTAAAGCACTTTCCTCCTCGAGGAAATCTGAGAACCTTCGAAAAGCTCAAAGAACACGAATATCAACCGGAAAGGATAGTTTCCCACTGAAAAAGTCATCAGAAAGTGTTGTTACGTAGTCCGGACGTATGATAATTTCTTATGATCTATTTAGATCTACGCGCTAGTTTTGTATATTTAATTGTCATCATTTCGGGCCCGCCCTTCTCCAGAGAACAAACCCTCTTTCTTATTGTAATCTCTGATTTGGGTTAGTCACGCCGACTAAACCGTCCGGCCTCTGTGTCCCCCCACCTTGTAACTCTCTCCATGCGCTCTTTTCGGTCGTTTATCCCGATGGCTGCTGTCGTCGTAAAACTCAAACTCGATCGGCAAAACATGCGCCCATTTACCGCAGTCATGTACCCGAAAAACGGCCAGCAACTGGATATCGATGCGTGTTTTTGTGTGCTTTCCGTCAGTGCCGTACTCTCTAAAAAAACCAAGAGAGAATGGTTTTTTCCAGATTACATCCAGTTTTTTCTGGGGAGGGCTGATCCCATCGAACGAAAAAAAACAAATCGTTTGGTGCTTCACTCCGTTTTTCACCGTCGATAAAGTTCATTCGAGAACCGATCCGGGCGATCGGATGTTATTGAAAAGACCTCGTGTTCATTGTGCAAACTTTCCCATGATTAACATGAAAAAGGCGGGAAGACGGGCGGAATTGAGTCTGAATGGAGAGCGCCCAATCTCTCTTTTCTTGTCATTGTTCGTTCTGCCACAATTTCAGTCGTGATTCCAGTTTCATAACAACTTTTTTTCAGGATCTACGGCGAACAGTCATGTCGAATGCAAGGTTCGTTTTCTTTTCATTTCATTGACAGTAGCTGGGCATCTTTTGAAATGAAAAACTGAACTAACGTTCCTTCCTCTTGCACTTTCCCCCGAACACCCCAGAAGGTTTGTTTCCGTTTCCATATTTCCATCAGTTTCAACTACATTTTTATGAGGGGCATACTGCTGAAATATATGGACAGATCCCGTTTCTCGACTGCATTACAAGGGTATCCTTTGTGTACATCCTCCCTTTTGACAAGAGACGGATGGCAGCCAGTCGCAGTTTTTGATAAATTACCGTAGTGCGAAAGAGCGTGATGGTGGGCGAGACGCCGCTCCGCGCACGCCAATTATCAATTTTGAGTCGATTCGATGAGTTTTGAATTGCCACGTCATAAGGTTGGAGACGCAGAGGCGAGGTCACTTCTGTCCTCAATTCCCCCATTCTAGACTCTCACTTTGCACCTACATGACAACTGGTGAGTTCAACTAGGTCCCCCAATACATGTTAAACATTTAAAGCTTCGAAACATGTTTCTTTTTGCAGGCGCCGTTTCAGTACCGTGACGCAGATTAATACAGAAGGCCTTCAAGCTATGGGAAAAAGCGTAGGTACGTTCGTTTCACTGAAAACGGCTTCTTCATCGTCAAATGAAAGCTTTTAGGCCGAATGGAAACGGTTGGAGAGGATGGTATCCCGGCGGATTACAAAGGGAACAGAAAGTTCACGACGAGTCTCGGTCACTTGGCACTCTACAAGGAGGATGAAGGAATCGGGACGCAGGCCTCGTTCATCTCGGGCTACACCACGCCAGGACCCAAGGAAAGAGCCACTTCCGAGCACCAGAAAGTGAGTTCGAGCTACTGGAGCTTGCGATGAAAATCATGAGAGTTTAGGCGAACCTGGGTGTGATGCTCGGAGTCTATCTGCCTACGATTCAACACATTCTCGGGGTGACCATGTTTATTCGTCTGTTCTGGGTCGTCGGAATGGCTGGAGTTGCCTGGACGATGGCCCTTCTTGCCATTTGTTGTTTATCTGTGCGTGTGGTGCTCCTGATATTGACCTTCTTAACTTGTTTTACAGACTCTTTTGACATCAATCTCTTTATCCGCAGTTGCCACGAACGGAGTCGTTGAGTCCGGTGGAGCGTACTTTATCATCAGTCGAAATCTCGGAGCCGAGTTCGGTTCAGCCGTCGGAATCCTTTTCTACCTGGCAAACACTGTCGCAGCGTCTATGTACATTGTGGGTGGTGTCGAAGTTATCTTGGTGTGTCCTTACATAATTATCGTTTTCCAAATGTCTTCTTCCAGATGTACTTGTGGCCTGAGATGGCTATCGGAGGTTCGGAGGCTCTTCACGACACGGAAATGTTCGGAAGTCTGTACAATAATCTGCGTCTTTACGGAACCGTCTTCCTGCTCTTCCAAGCTCTGATCGTGGCGATGGGCGTGAAGTTTGTCCAACTGCTCGCTCCGGTCTCTCTGATGTGTGTCGTTTTGGCAGTCATGGCCTGCATTGGCGGTGGAATTGAGAAGCAGATAACGAACGAAGGAATGAAGTAAGTGAGCGTAGAGCAGGGAAGAAGAAAGTGACGAGTTCAGAGTCTGTGCAATCGACAATCATCTGCTGCAGTCTTCAATTATCACTCATCCGACACACAAGAATCAGACTAGTTGGTACAATGAAACTGTCGATTTCTGCAACCTGTGCGACAAATCCCTCTAGTAAGTTCATCCCTTCGTATTTTGCAAACATCGGTTTTCAGCCTGGAGAGCGTTTTCTGTGCAAACGTGAACAATGACGAAGCATCCGCTGAGGACGACGTCTTCTGCACGCACTACACCTCGAAAAAGATGACCTGTCAGCTGGCTTTCCCTGGATTCAATCTGAAGACTTTGAATGACAACATGTGGCCGGAATACATGGATAAAACGGAGGTCGTACCGGGAGTGAGAGGGAAAGAGACGGCAGAAGTGGTTCAAGACGAATCCTCGACGTTCTTCATGCTCATGGCGATTTACTTTCCCGCTGTGACAGGAATCTTCACGGGAACCAACATGAGTGGAGATCTGGCTGATCCGCAGAGAAGCATTCCGGTCGGAACCATCGCTGCCACGTTGACAACCTCTGCCATCTATTACGTTCTTGCGATTTTGTTCGGTGGCTCCATAAACCGAAGTGTTCTTCGTGACAAGTTCGGTCGTTCCATCGGCAATACGATGGTCGTCGCCGCTCTTTCGTGGCCTCATCCCGCAGTCGTCACCGTCGGAGCGTTCCTCTCCACGTTCGGAGCGGCTCTCCAATGCCTATGCAGTGAGTGTGATCCCTCTTCACTGTCCTATTATCCTCTCCGATATGTATCTAGTTTGATCCCCCCATTCAGGTGCGCCACGTCTCCTGCAGTCGATCGCCAAGGATGACGTCATCCCGATCCTTTCTCCGTTCGCCCGCGTCACAAAGAACAATGAACCGTTCCTCGGACTCGTGCTCACCGTCATCATTGCCGAGTGCGGAATCCTGCTCGGAGCCGTCGACAAAATCGCCGAAGTGCTCGATTTCTTCTTCCTCATGTGCTACGCGTTCGTCAACCTGATCGCCGTTCTTCACTCCGTTCTGAAGTCGCCCAACTGGAGACCGCGCTTCAAATACTTCCATTGGTAAGTGAAATCACCGTGAACTCAGAGAAGAACGGGGCACTTGCAGGTCGCTCTCCTTGCTCGGAGCCGCCCTCTGCTTCTTCATCATGTTTGCTTCGAGTGTTCCTCTCGCTTGCATCGCTTGTACTGCAACTGCCGTCATCTACAAATACGTGGAGTGGAAAGGGTGAGTCATTTTTGTGGGAATAGAATGCTTAGAGATGTTTCAGAGCGAAGAAAGAATGGGGAGACGGAATGAGAGGATTGGCCCTTTCGACTGCTCAGTACAGTCTGTTGAAAGTGGAGGACAAGGATCCGCATCCGAAGAACTGGAGACCGCAAGTTCTGATCCTTCTCACGACCCAGTGGTCCAAGGAAATGATCGACAGAAGAGCTGTTTCCATGCTCAACCTGGGTGCTCAGCTCAAGGCTGGTCGAGGATTGGCCATTGCGTGTGCTTTCCTGAAGGGAACCGTTGACTCGCAGAAAGATAAAAATAGGGCGAGAGATGTGAAAACCACCCTTGTTAAGGATATGAGCAGTGTTCGGCTGAGAGGATTCGCGAAGACAATGTTTTACAACAACCACCAAATCAACGGAACCATCTCCGGACTGTATCAATCGATTGGAATCGGAGGACTCAGACCGAACACGATTCTCGTGAACTGGCCGAATGATAAGAATGCGGACGAACTTGTGTTGTTTGCAGGTGAGAAGAGATTCCGAGAAAGTTCTTCATTCACATGTTCAATTTTCAGAAGAGATCATCCACGGAGCGGCGAATGATAACTGCTTGATTGTGACGAAAGGAATCACCGATTTCCCGGAGTACTCGGAGAGACTGACCGGCTTCATCGACATCTGGTGGATCGTGCAAGACGGAGGAATCCTCATGCTCATCGCCTACCTTCTCCGTCAGCACAAAGTTTGGAAGGGATGCACTCTGCGTATCTTCGCTGTTAGTGAGCAAGACTCGACAAAGTCCGAGGACATGAAGGCCGGCCTTCAGAAGTACATTTACATGCTGAGAATCGACGCAGAGCTCTTTGTAAATACCCCGTTTTTCGAATAGAAATCCTACCGTCTGTTGCAGATTGTGGACTTGTTGGACATGGAAGTTTCGGATGAAGTTGTTGAGAAGGCTGCGGAGGTCGAGAGGAAGCAGAAAGAGCGAGAAGAGATGAGGAGAAGCAAGAGCGGATATCTTAACGACGGATACTTGGAGGACAACGGAAAACCGCGGCCCGTCTCGATGAGAACCAGCGAATCATCGAGAAGCTTCACGCCTCAGCCGCCCGCCCACACTTCTATAAACCTCGATGAGAACGAGACCTCTTTCACTGAGTACGTCGTTCTGAACATCTTCTGTTTATGCGAATGTCTTTTTTCAGGAGTTTGTTCGACGACTTCTACCGCTCCGGCACTCCGAATGAAGAAATGGAAGGGGCGATGAAGCTGAACATCCACAAGATGAACACTTCCGTCCGTCTGAACCGTGTCATCCGTGAGAACTCTCCTGACTCCCAATTGATCCTTCTCAATCTTCCGTCTCCCCCACGGAACAGACTCGCTTTCAATAACTCTTATATGGTCGGTAACCCCTCTTTCCGATTCCAATACCGCTCTCCTTTTCAGACTTACCTCGACGTATTGACCGAAGACTTGCCCCGAGTGCTGTTCATCGGAGGAAGTGGCCGTGAAGTGATCACAATCGACTCTTGACCAATCATTTTTCTAATTGTTTTCTCCTCCTCGTTTCATTGTTATAGGAATCACGTATCTGACCCCCATGGCACCTGTTTTATCCACATGACGATGCGTTCTGATATTATCATGACTTTTTGAAATAAACTGAAACTTGGTATATTTTTACCTGCCGACCTACGTCACGGTAAGATTTCGTTCGAAAGAAAATAGAACTCGCGTATCAACAAGCTCCCACCGCACACTTTAGTGGAAAATATTGGGTGGGCGAGCATAGGAACAACAGGATCCGACGGATTCGTTTCAGTATTTTCAATTTTTTTTGCAGTCTGGGAAAAAGGACTCGTGACGATAACTACTTCCTTCCGTCTTTTGACTCATTTCGCGGAAGTCATTTGTGTGTCGTCACTCCTCTTCCGTTCCACGCCTTTTCGTGACTGTCCTCTGCTTTGTTCATTAAAAAGGAACTCGTGAATTCTGCATTTTCTGATCAGATTTGTGGTGTTATTTTTGGAAAAAGTGTGAAATTACATCACACGAGAAGCCGCACAAAACAAGGCGAAAGCACAGAAAACGGACGGAAGTTGGCTCATTTCTGTGTGCACCCTTGTTTGCGCCAACCATCACCGTCGAAAGTTTGAACTTGGCCCATGGGCGGTCGCTTTCGAGAAAGCCGAGAGTAGAAAGGATGTTTGTGATTCGAAATCAGTCGGCAACATTGGAGCATCTGCGTCAGTTGAGGGTCAGAAGCCGCGCTCACCTTCCTTCCATTCGAATGTCTCCAAATGGCGTCATTTCGTTTGTGAACTCTTTCTCCGAAGTCGTTCTTTTGCCTTTCCGCCGCTCATCTGCAATTAGCCAAATGACATTTCGGAGTGTAAAGACAGCCGGAAGTGGCAACGAACTCATCCATCATTTTGTAGTTTCGCTCTTTCGATTCACCTACTTGAATGGAAGGAGCTGCAGGTCCTATTCTATCTTTCTCTGAAGTTGCAAAGTTGCGATACAACATCTCCGTTTGGTTACGGTAGATGCTCCAACTCCGGATACAGTATGGCTTGAAGACGTACGTGACTCCAGTGAATCTGTGCCACATTCGTCACTCCACCAGACTCTCCTTTCCACAAATAGTTCGATCCAATTTCATGTCCTTCTAGAATATTCCTATTCCGGGTCCTCGTCTCTTTTTTTCCGCGTTTCGTTTCCACCCTAAACTTTGAGCTGTGCCACGCGGACCACCTACACGATTCTCATTTTTTGTGCCGCCTCCTCCAGATCATGAATCGAGTCGGAAATGAATAATTCGTCAGAATTTGCTACCCTCAATGAATCTTTGAAATTATTTGTTCTCCGCCGACTTTCGTGTTGGTGTGTGTAGGCGAATGGCGGCGAATAATGGAATCTTTTTTCGGCCCTCGGACCTCGATTCGGAGATGACATTCCGCCCATTCCGAGATGATGTCTGCCCACTCATTGACCTCATTTCCCCGCTCATTCGACGACGTGGCAACTGTTTATTCCCGAAGAATCCTTCCCAATTCAGATTGTTTTGGAGCATCTTCATGATTATTTACCATCTTTTTGCTCTCGATGAAATTTCGGGGGGAAATTCCAAAACATCTTCCTCTTTAGTCTTGCTGTTACCTCAGAATTGCTGAGTGGCCCCACACCGCCTCATCACTTGCTATCAGCTGATTCTGAGGAGAATCTCTGCGCAGGACTTTTCGGGCAGTTTCCGTTTTTCCTTAAAAAGTGCCCGTGAGCTCAGAATATTTTAACTCGCCGCGGTCTGGTGCATTCCGGAGTGAAGGCCGTCAAAAGAAGGGAAACATTTCGTAACGGGCTGACAATCTCAGGTCGTTTTGTTGTGTTTTGGCCCTCTTTTCGCTCGTGCAAACGTTCGAATTATTCATTCTAATAGTTTTTGTTTGTTTCTTCTTCTTCTTCTTGTCCTCTTTCCATTCTGACCGCCCATTCATCCCATTCAATTTTACCGTAATCCTTCTTTAATTTCCTCCTATTCTCCTTTCATTCAAAACTGATCTTCGTGCTCATATTTCCTCCAAAATCCCTCTTTTTTTGCAATCGGGGTCCATTTCATTTCCTGTCCGTTATGCATGTCATCATCATCATTCTCGTCGTCATTAAAAATAGAGTTGATTTGGGCGATCCAATTGCAGAATGTATCAAAAGAAAAGTGTTTTTCGGGACCGCACCACTAGCAGACATGTTTCTTCGTCATTGGAAAAGAGAAACGATAACTCGATTGCGGCACACGAGCAAGGAGCGAGATGATGTTCTCGAAATAGAAACACGTGCGCTATTTCGGGCGACAAAATGGCCCGTTTTGAGGGAGACGTCCGGATGGAAAGAAAAGAGGCAAAAGTTTGACACTTGGCGGAAATGGAGATGGAGCAGAAAAGTGTGAAGAGGAGTGTTCCGAATGCAAAGATCGACCTGTTTTCGTTTGCAAAATGAGTTTGCCTTTCCATCCGCGATTCCATCACTTCCGTTGTCGTCATCTGAATGCAACCCGTTGAGGCTGAAAATCATCGTATCCGTGCTCATGACCCCCTTCTTCCTCGTTTCTTCTTCTCCGGAATCTCACCTCCAACGACGTCACGCCAGTCCTTTTTTGTCTTTTTCTTCAACTTCTACAAGGTCACCACCGCTCAAAAACCGAAAGCGCCTCCCCTAATAGCCAATGATTACGTCAAAAACGCTTGTCTTCTGCCCGTGCTCCGCCGCCGGACAAAAGAACCCCGTCTCTTGTCTGCGTCTCTCCGACCGGCGGATCCTCTCCGACTTCGGAAATACAACGAAAAAGAAGCACACTCGCAAGGACTACGTAACATCCGGTTTCGTCTTGTTTTTTTTTAGGCCACGCAGAGTCACCGTCAGTTTGCTAGTGGGAGTAACCCGAGAATCCACGAAAACTTTAGATGGGGTATTCCATTTCTTCCATTCAAAGGATCCGTTCTTGGCTGCGAGCCAAGACACAGAGGCAGGACTAATGGGAACGCGTCACGCACGAATAATGCGTGCTGATCCGCACAGTCTAATCTACTTCCCCCGTGTCCTTCCTCATCCCCTCCTATTTCTGACTACCGTAGTCTATGTGATGCTGGATGTGCCCTTCTAGGCTACAACGTCCATTAGGTCGCCCTCCGTGCCCCTCTCATCGGTGACGTTTCGTAACCGAAAGAATAACTTTGCAACACAGTCGACACCTTTCCGGTCGCATCTTCTCGTGCATTCTGGAATTCCCGGAATGCTTTACTATTCTCCGTTATTGCAGACCAATCACACTTATCAGTCGACGATCTCTTATCAAACCACGTTTCCCCCCTTCCCAAGTCAAACTTGATTGGCTTTCCGATATTCAATTTGGTGCCACCGGTTTCCCTCTGGCATGAGGTCGCGTTCTGCAATAATGTCTCCGAATCCAATTCCGATGTCACTGTTCGGAAGTTCACTTCTTCTTCTCTCTCTCTCTCTTTCCGTTTTCTTATCTCTTCGTGCACTCGATTCGCACGTTTCCTCTCTGCAATCACTGGCGACTGTCTTACCGTAATCCGTTCACTTCCGTCTTTCGCCTGCAATCTGTTGCTCCATTGCTCCGTGCTATGTGCTCCAGAATCCCCAGGGGTTGACGTCACCTTATTCTCGCTGCTCCATTTCTGTGGCTCCTCCTTCCCTCATCCGCGCCCTCCCATCATTCTTCTTATCTGTGTTGTCCTCCCTTCCTCCCTGACCTCAACCTCGTTTCAATTTCGTTTTTTCGACGGGTGGTACATTGAGCAAACGGAGCAATGAGAAACAGAATATGATGGATAGTTGACCTGCTTTACTCGGGTTTCGGGTCGCATGGATCCGGGTGCCGGAGACGCAGACATCGAAAACGAAGCTGCTGATACGTACTACTGACGGACACATGTACACGGGTCGCTTCGACACTTTTGACGTAGAATAGGGACCTCGGCGGTTCCTCGACACTTTATTGTTTTTTTTTTCTGTCGCCGCCGTTTTATTGCCATGCACACCTGCCCCAATTGGCGGAGCCGACGTCATCGCCGTCTGGATTCTGAATCACCCGTTGCCGCCCTTTAAAAGCAATCAGATCAGGCTCTTTCTGACCTCAATTCCGGGTCTCGTAGACCAATTTGCATGTGTGCTCTCACCTGGTGAGGTCGATAACACTGTTTTCAGCTGAACATCCGCAGCCTCCTCCTGATCATGCTTAACACGAATTTTGAACACAGTGGCACCGTAAACATCTCGGTTCTTGATCTCTGTTCCATCGTGCCTGCACCAATATCTATTCCTTGATCTTTTATCCTCAATTCTTGAACCTTCGTTTCAAGACGTGACGCGATTTCCGGAGAAGCTGGAACGAGACGACCTCGTCACCTTCCGACGCCTCCCGCAGGTGCCAAAGTTCATTCGATCCCACTCTACTCCTTCTGCTTTGACTTCTTCTTCTTCTTCTTCTTCTTCACCTTTCTCGTCTTCCACTTGGTCGCGCATTCCATCGCGAATCAAGTGAACATGGCGACTGGCTCGCCCACCACAACTGCCACCCTCTCTTCCTTTTTCTGAAGCGTGTTTTGACCCTTCGCTCCCTCCGACCATCTTCTTCTTTCTTCTTCTTCTGACGGCTTGTGGGTGGCGCGAGGGTGGAGGACTCCAGAAGAAGCGGCGGTAATTTGATTCTGATGCCGCAACTTTTTGCGCTCCAAAAAATGGGTCACAATTTGATCTATCTATCTGTTTTGCAACCCACCCTCTCCAAAAGACGGAACCACGTCACCGCGGGTGGGGGAGTGGCTCCCAAACTAGATTTGGAATGAGTCCAGTTCCGCCTTCCGGGGACTACTGTACCCACCGAAACACGACGGAAATGATGATGATGTGGGAGCTATCATTCGTGTCCATCAAGCTCCCGTTTCCTTCCTTCTCCTTCCTTCCAAAATCTCTCTCTCTCTCTCTCTCTCTCTCTCTCTCTTTTCCCCGCCCTTCTCCGCAATATTAACCTTTTCTTCTTTGAGCCGCTGACCTTTCGCGCTCCCGGCGAGACAAATAACATGAAACAATTCGTCCGTGCTCTTCCTGCCAATAATTGCTCTCCGCCATTCGCCCGGAATTCGGCTGTCTGCCATTCGAACTTGGCCCGTTCTTTACACACAATTCCATCGGCTGCAGTTTTTGTTTTTTCTCGTAGACTTCATCCAAAATCTGCAGCTTCAAAAATGACATCATGCCGAAGTCTGTCATTCATACAATCTCTCAAAAAGGAAATAGGCTGTGACCCCCTTCGAATCTGCAAGCTTATCCACGCACTTTCCACGCAAATACGAAAGAAGCTCAGCGGAAAACGCAGACGTACGTAATCCGAGTTATCTCGATTCTAGACGTTTCTGAAAGGCTTCAAACACAAGAAACCTTGAGTATTGATCAATTAATGAGAGTGTAATGATAATGGACTGTACACTAATTGACCTTTCTTTCCTTCTCTTTTTGTTCTCCTTCCTCGGCTGCCGATTCTTTAAAAGTCAAAGAACCAGTCGGAACTACAGTATGATTCATATTGGATCAAGGCTGCCGCCCTCCGGGATTAGCTGATCGTGAGCCTCCCCCCGATAAACAGAATTGCATTTGCTAAATTGCCACACCGGCTCTCGATTCTTGAGCCCTGCTCGGGTGTCTGTCTTTTGTGAGCGATCTGGTGACGTGGAAAGGAATTCCTCCGCCGATTACCTGAAAAGTGAACCTTCTCTTCTTTTTGTCCTGATTCAAAGCTGTCGGATGTCGGAATAGAGCCGGAAACTTGCCGGTTCGGCTCATGTCCACAATGTCACTCTGTTCTGACTTGCTTTTTGTCCGCATTCCACTTCCAGTCGTGTACGGATGTCCTCGGAATCGTGGGTCAAAGTATCAAGAGGACGTTAGTTTCCAGTTGAATGCTCCGTCGATTCCCCCACTATTTCGAAAGGTTTGCCCATTAGACAGACGGAATAACATCCGGATACCTAATACCGGGCCGAAATTCTGGTTCCCTCTTCTCCAGAATGCTCGACTCCTTGCACTTTCAATCATTCCCTAACCTTCTTCCCGAGAAGGTTTGTGTAAAAATGACAGACACCTAGCTTGCTTTCAGTCTGAAGAAACAAGCGGATTTCCAGTCTCAATATGGGTTGGTTAACCCGATTTGCATAGCTTTTCCCCATGTGCAATTCTGCAAAATCCTCGTGGCTCCATCTCCAACTCGTGTATCCGCTGGTCTTCTTCTCGCCGCCCGCTTCTGTGTCACCGTTTCCCAGATCATCCCGTTTTTGTCTATCTTTGGTCTAGACTTTTTAATGTCCTTCGGACGGGCAACCTCGTTACCGTATATCTTGGCAAGACATAATAATGGTCGTCATAAAACCAATAAAGATTGAGAGAAACCAGATTTCGATGTCTATTTTTAGTCCGTCGGCCCTATTCTTCTTCTCCTTCTACCTGCCTCTTCTCTCCGTCTTCTCCGTCCCCATTTCTTCTTGCCGTTTCTGGTCCTCTCGACATATCGTCATATCCAGAAACACAATGATGGTCCCCTCCGGATACTCCCACGTCCCCGTACGAAATACTCCAAAACTTGCGTCATTACCCCGTGGCACTTTTCTCCATCGTGGGGTCATTGAAAAGGCTTCTGAATGGGAGGCGAATGGCAGCAGCTGAGAATTGAGAAGACGTGAGGGGGAGGCGGCTGATGATAAAATTAGAACGCACTCGCCGCAACATGCACTAATATCCTTTGTTTTTTACGCCGCCGAATGCTTTAAGATGCATCGAACATGCTCTTTCAGCGGGAACATCCATGAGTCTACTCTCCCAATCCTTCCGTTTCTTCTAACTTCCAATCTTATCTTTTTTATTCTTGAACCTTCAGCCCGCTTTCTGACCAATCTCAATCAGATCAACGCCCGTTCTCTAAATAGACCTAACCACGCCCTTAGTTTTATTTTCTGCCGCTCCCATCTCTTTTTTCTTTTCCCTTCTACTCTGTGTCTAATCATCTGATAATACAAAGGAGAGAAGACTATCGAATAACACTGAAACTAAGTAGAAACCGGAAACGTGGCGCCGAGACGCATGGGACGTCTTCTTCACCGACTGACCACACACGTCACTGAACTTTCAAAGTGACACCGCCCGTTGTTTCCCTCCCCAATCCATTCGTTATTGTCTTTGGTTAATTTTCTGAAAAGGCGGAGGGTGGCTTCTAAATATAATCGGCGGCAGTCTCTGAAAATCGGGCTTTCCCCGCGATCCGCCCAACTTAGTGGGATCATCTCGATTAACGGACATTCTCCACCTCGACACTGACGTTTCCATTTTGCTCCTCAGCAGCATAATCTGCTTGATTTCGGCCATTGTGCTCTTATTCTCGACACGTTGGCTCCTTCCTTCCCTTCGTTATTTTTGTGCAGGGTCTCTCACCTCTCCTTTCATTTGGCCCTCCTTGTGGTTTTGACGCCTTCTTTTCTTTTTTTTTCGAAATGAATCAGGATGTTCTGACACTCGTTCTTGTTTTCCTTCAAGCCATTTATTTCCGTTCTTTTGTTTATCAGCTCAAAATGTTACTTCATCAGAGATGCATTCCGAACGTCCCCCCAAATCCGACCTCATCAGATAACAGGTTAAGCGTCGTCATACGTATTCCGGACTTAACGGGAAGGCTGGAACTGAAAGTTCAAGCCTCTTTTTTTCCTTCGTCACTACAGTACTACGCAGCTGTTTTTCGTTGCTCGGATCCCATCAAAGAGCAGCCCTCGCCGCCTGCTCTTGCCTCTAATTTTCCGCGACCTACATGCTCTCTCTCTCTCCCTTCCGTCTGATCTATTGGCAGATCCGAAAACATGGTTCTAATCTATCCCAAATCTGTGGCATTCTGACGTTGTGATCTATGCTTCCCCCTTTTCGCTTATCCGAAGAGCTCCGTGGTCCCGTTCCGAGTTGAACTCCTCTTCATTGTCGGCCCAATGTTTTCATTCCGACTAATCCCTCGTCTCGCTTCTCACCCACAAACACGTTTCTTTGTGACTGCTCTCGCCATCGCATTATTCGTATTATTACTGCAACAACCTCAATCTGTTTTTGTTTTAAGATATCCTCCTGCGTCCGGCTCGCGCACTCCCAGTGTCCTCCACAACATTCCGACCGCCGACGTGTACTGCGAGCCCTTGCGACACGACGACGACCACGAACACGACGAAGACGGCGACACGACGTCGTTGGACAACAGATGCTCTTGCAAAGGATAGGCATAGAACATTTGCGGATATGGATTCTACTGCTTCTCATCTCACTCGTACCCGCAGCACTCATCAGGGATCGCAGGCGAACGTCAGGTACGGTCCGAGTTATAACGAAGTGAAGAATCCGAATGTACCGGGCGAAATGACGCAATTTGTTGCGTAGACGGCGACCTGGCTCGCTCATCCTTCCCGCGGCTTGTATGATCAGACCCATAATCACTCCTAAACACTTCCAAAATGTTGTCGATCTTTGTGCTTTCATGAACCTTTCGATCTCGACGTTTTCAGACGATTTCTCCTTATTCTCCTACGACTACGATGACAAAGCAGATGCACACGACGCCGAGTCCACGTTTCGGAAGTTCGAAGCATTGTGCGCAGCTAGGTACTCTCCCCACTCCAATTTCCTTTCTCACAATCAATTATTGCAGGTCAAACCAGCCGAGCACCTCAAAGCCTTCGCTCATCGACGCCTTATGCACATCAGCATTGAAGAAAGAATAGGGTTTTCTCTCAGTTTTGTCCCCCTCATACTATGTATTCTGTTTCCTTCCTACAAATCTCCTTCCTTTGATCCTTGTTACAAGAACAACTTTTGATATCTCGAGCCACGTGTCTTCTTCCCCCTTCTCCGCCCAGCAGCCACCCAACAGTAGCCTGAATGAACGTTGATTGTCCCGTTGATCTCGTACCTATCCGCCCGTCCTCATCGCCAGTAGATCTCGTCCGGACGCCCCCCGCACAAATCACTTGTTTGTACATAGTTCCCATTTGTTCTCCTTCTTCGGGATACCGACAACCTCCCCCATTGTCACCCACAGATAATGGATTGTGTGGGCTCTCTTCTTTTTTCTAGTTTCTTTTATTGAATAAAATTCAGTTTGATTCTACCATAGATGGGTTTAAATTGGAAAGATGCCGCACGCTGACAATGTTCGGAAGCAGAGACTTTCGCACTGGGAAACAGTTGGAAATCGCGAGACGATAGGGCACGATAAAGTAGAACGAGATGAACGGATCGAGGAACGAGGGAAGGCAGATCAGAATGGCCAGCAGGTGCTCTAAAAGTGACTCAAATGAGGGTTGCTCATTCGATCTGACCCACCCGTCAACAAAATCTCGACGTTGAATACCTGGCTAATGATGTATGATGTGGGCATAGGGACGTAGCAAACAACAGGAAGGAAGGTTTGGAAGGCGAGCCCCTGGAAATGATCTGTTGCGGTCATCCTCTTTAAACCCCGATTCCCCACGTAAGCCAATGTTTTTGACTGGTCCTTGGTCTTCGGAGACATGTTCCTGTTCGTGTTGATCAGATGAACTACTCTTCTCGTGAGCAGTCCCGAAATGGACGGAATGGCGTATGCACCGAAAACGAGCAGAGCGGTGGCGGCGAGAAATTGGAACGAGGCGACATTGGAGAATCCGACAAAAGGTTCGTAGATCGAGAGATCGTAGGAGGGATGCTCGAAGTAAGTGAGAGCACGCACTTCTGGAAAGTTCCACGGGGCTGTGAAGGGAAGAATCTGTAATCGATTGGATTGATGGAAGGGCAAGTGCATCACCAGGGCTCACAATGATGACAAGTGAAGGGATGTACGTCAGCGATATCATCACGACCACGCTCCTCCGAGTTGATTTCGCCTGTCTAAGCGCACGATGTCGGAATAGCACCGTGTTGGAAATACCGAGACCGACAGCCAGAGCAACGCCCTGAGAGCACATTTAGAAGGAGAGAACATTGGCGCAGCTGAATTACCAGAAAAAAATGATAAGCAGTGAAACAGAAATCCGGTCCGAACTCCCGGCAAGGTCCATACGGAAGAACTGCGAGAGACACAGAGTTTGGTAGGTTTCTGAACACGTTCGAAATTATGAAACTGTGTGAAAGAGGTTACCTGTGTTGAGTGAAGAATGCAATCGAAATAAGGAAGATATGCAGAATGCACGTGTTGAACAGGAAGAACCTGAGGTTGGCGAGACTCGCTGGCGACTTTTTCAGTATGAGAAATAACAAAAAGCACTGGAATGTGAGCCCTCCGATCAGATAAATTTTGAAGTAAACGCTGACGAAAGGAACGAAACGATTGGAATCTGCAGTTGGCATGTTGTTCTGGACGAATACTGAAAGTCCGATGTTTTTGTTATTCGCGAAAAAGAATCAGAAAGTGAATAGTGTGTTTTCGCTTGGATAAGATGTAATTATCGCTACGAAAAGTTCGGCTGAAAAAGACAAAATTTGGGACAGACGTATGTTTCTGAAAACTGAGAAATTGAACCGTAGCATTTATCGGATGGACAATCCTTGGAAACCAAGTTGACTCTTGGACTCGCTCTCTCTCTTTTCAGGTCGCTTGCCAGCGGAATCTGAGGGTAAACATATTTAGAATCATTCGATTACCTTGAAACGTGTTCGGGGAAAGGAAGAAAACGAAGGGAAGGCGAGTGGTAATCAGATTGTTTGCAACATTGAATCCTGTTCTCCAGTACAATATCACTTCTCGCATACGACTGGTCAGCTGATCCGAGACGGGAAGAATCGTTTTTGATGTTTTGAGGGCTTCGAGAGGCTTGTACTCTGTTAATTCTAAACAAAATGACGAGGATTTGGACTTCCTCGATAAACAGATTCAAGTGGAATGGCAGGTGAACGAGGCCCTCTGATAGAGAGCACATGTTTTTCTTAAAACTCTTATTTGTTTCCCTAATTCCGTTTCAGAAACGTCTCCGTATTCGAAATGAATTCCGAATCGTTTCCCGGAGAACCAGACGTTAAGAAGGCCTCCTCCGCCATTTTCCATTCAATTTTGTTCATCCCAGTCGATTGCATAATAATTTTCAAACCGCCGCCGCCTCACGAAACGAGATCTTTTTCCCTATCAAGTGGCGTCTTGTTACGCGATGATGTGACCATCTGATTCCGCGCCTCGCCGCCTTCCGACTTCCTCGGCAGCTTCAAAGTAAACCAACAATCTGTGATGACTGTAGTCTCTCTCTCTCTCTCTCTCTCACTCAGAATATGCCACTTTCTGCCCAAGACGCGTCTCATTCTCTCTTCATCAGTAGAGTTGCGCAATCGCAATTACAAACCACCGAACGAGGTCTTCTTTTCGTCCGATCCGCGACAATTCGGATGATAACAGGTGTGCGTGGGGGCTGCCATCTTCCGCCTTGTGGGAAGAACTCGCAAAAAACGATGATCGCCTAGGATCAGAGGGAGACGGATTTATTATCGCGTCGGGCTTGCATTATTTGTGTGTCCTGCAGCAGAACGACGCAATTTGCTTCAGTGAACTCTGCGATTAAATTAGGAGCTCGAAATAGAAACTTGCAAAGACAAAGTGCTCCATTTCTGCTCCACCGTTCGTACTTTCGTTCTTACCTCCTCGATTCTGTTCCATTTTCTCTCATTCCCTTTTCTGATCATCAGACTGTTTCCTCCCCTGAACCCTTTTTCAAGTGCACCTCTTCTTCTTCTTCTTCTTCGTTCTTCCGCTTCCCTTCTCCGTTATCTACTGTACAAACTGGTAGTTGTAATGTTTCGGAAGAGACTCCTTCTTCTGCTCTCTCTCTCTCTCTCCCTCTCTTCCTCCTCTTCCGACTGTTTCTCTGTGGCGCACGCCTGAAAAGGTGAAAGCGTGCGTCGATTTCACTTTCCGGTTTCGATGGCAGCCTCCGATTGCGCAACGCGCATCGACTCGAATCGGCAAGGATTTCCACAAAAAAAAGCCCATCTGAAGGTCACGATTCGATTCATGATTGTTCTCCGAAACAAACAAGGCGTGAGGAAGTGAGAAGAAGAAGCTTTGAAGGAGTCTGATTCGAGAACCTGCTTACTGATTACCACATCGTCATGATGTAATTGGTGCCGTTCAGAACCTGTCCGCCGTCAGGTTGCCCTTGAACTTCTCCTTCTTCTTCGTCTTCTCGTGACCCTCGGCTTCTCCTCTTCCGTCTCCCACCGTTTCGTTTCCGCGCGGCCTTCTAATCGGGCCGTCGGCATCTGACGGTGCCATCAGCAACCCTTTAAAGGACCGGTTGGATAGTGTAGTTCAAACAAGCTTACTCTCACTTGTGACAGTCGGACACGCAGACACGCAGACGACGGGTGCTAAAATCGCGATATTACACAACAGCGATGCCATCCGTCGAGGAGAAGGAGAAGGCGAAGGAGGCCCACTACTACTACTTCTACTTCTTACTCGGCGCCCGTGAATACCATGCGCCGCCGTCGCCGCCGGCGTTTACTTCTATATCTCACTGGTTACCAAGCGCTTGCCTCTTTGTTATGACGTGGCATCCAAGTGTACATACAGTCCCAGACTAGCTAGATGGTCAGTTCTAGAGTAGGCCCACTCGACTCCCGATTGCCGGTGGCATACTGTCACTGCCAATCACATCATCCCAGTTCCCCACTAATCTAATCAGTTGCCATCGCCTGCAGAACAGTTTGCTTCCGCAGTTTTCAGTTCACTCTTGAATACCGTCTCATTTCCTCGCTCATCTGTTCTTCGTTTTGCCCCGTTTATCCAGTTTTCCCCTTCCATGTTCAAAAATATTCCCCTTCGTATCCATTTTTTGGCGCCTCTCTTTCTTTTTCTCTGTTCTTGCGCAATCATCATCCGCCGACCGTATCCATTTTGTTTCTCTGCGACTCTCGAAAGAGAGAGAGAGAGAGAAGCCATCCGAAATGTAAATACAATGTGCATAAGTTCACACATTTCTAAAGAACGAAACACGAAGAAATATTGAGAACAGGGCGGGGTTACGGTAGGAGCGGCAGAAAAAGAGACAGTCCTGGTGTGCCGTTCTCTCCAAGTCAGAAGCCTTCCTCAGCCCCTCTTGCTCTTTGCCCTCTTTTTCAGCACTTGCCCTTCCTTCCTCGGCTCCTCTCCCATTTCGTCCATTCTCTTGACCATTGCCATTGATACCTGCTGCTCGTCCACTTCGCAGAGAGCATCAGCGCAAACACAAATAGTTGTTTTTGTTGGTATCCGGTTGCCTTCGCCCCCGTCTCACTTCTTCAATCTGTTGACATTTCCACTTTGGTCATTCGCACTCGAAACATGCGCAGAGTCGCCCATTCGCACCTCTCAGTTTCAGTTCTTCTCCATGCTTTTGCCATGGATCCTCACTTTAGCAGCTGCCATACCCGCCACGTTAGGCAATAGGAATCGGATCGGGAACGACGAGGTTCTCGTGATTTCGGACAGCACGGATGCACTCAGTCCGGCGGATTTCGAGACGGCGGATAAGTTGACACGAGGTTTGTGAATGATTGGAACGGAATGAAGTGGATTAAATCTTTCGAACTTCAGAAGAACTTTTCGGTAAACACATTCCGGTGGAGGTTGTGAACGACTACAAATCCGACATTAGGTTACCCAGGAGGCACAAAGTGAGCTAATTAATCTGTTTATCTTTTCCACTTTCAAAGATTTCCAGAGGAACGGAGTGTCTCGAGCAGCCAAACTGTGGCCGAATGCTAGAATTCCGTACGCCATTTCTCCGCATTACTCTCCGCACGAAAGAGCGCTTTTGGCGAAAGCAGTCAAACAAGTGAGCACATCTGAATCAAAAACTCAACGAGAAAGTGTAATTGCAGTACCACGAGAAGACGTGCATTCGATTCGTGCCGAGACAAGCCGGTGAGCCAGACTACCTATTCATCGGAAAAGTTGATGGGTGAGAGTTAACCTCAGAACGGTGTGTTCCAATTTCATTTCAGATGTTTTTCGGAAGTCGGCAGGACATCCGGAGTTCAAGTGTTATCCTTGGACAATGGGTGCATGGAGTATGCGACTATTATCCACGAAATGATGCACGTGGTCGGATTCTACCACGAACACGGTAAGATTCTATTCTTGTGAACACTATGATAACTCCAGTTATGTTAAGAGCGTTGGGATCGTGATAATTTCATTGATATCATCTGGCAGAATATTGACCGCGGAGCCCTGGATCAGTTCGGAAAAGTGGATCTGTCGAAGACGTCGTACTACGGGCAACCGTACGACTACAAGTCCATCCTGCACTACGACAGTCTCGCCTTCTCCAAGAACGGTTTTCCGACTATGCTCCCAAAAGTTAAATGTGTGTAGATTTGCATCCATTTTGCTGTAAATCAGTGCACATTTTGCAGCTGCAACCATCGGAAATGCTCGTGACTTCTCGGATGTGGACGTTTCCAAAATTAACCGAATGTACAATTGTCCGGTCGAAAAGAGTGTGACTGCTCCGTTCGCCAGAGCCAGGGTTTGAAGCTTTCCAGTCTCTAAGCCATTCCTCCATCAATCTTCCAGCACGTCCCCATCTATTCGCCGCAGTACCATAAGTACGAGGACCGTCCGAAGATCCCGCTCCGATCGTTCGACACTCAACCGTCTCCGATCTTGCCTCCGATGGCTCAGCTGCCTTCGCAGAACCTCGTGGTTTCCAGCAGTTCAGGCCATGTCAGCTACAACACCAACAAACCTTCTCGTAAGTTTTCAGTGTTTGTGAACCGGAATAAGTCGGCTTTCAGAGTGCGAGGACCGTATCACAGTGTGCTGGTGGACGGCGGACAGATGTCGTTCCCCGGCCATCTACCAGGTCATGTCCTCCCTCTGCCCGAAGACGTGCAAGTTCTGTTAGTGTACCGCTTCTAGCCGCTCCCCTTTCCCTCTTCAGTTCGACCTTTGACCGGTGATCTCTTTGATTCAAGGTATCCTCATTTCTCTCCCGTTTCTCTTTCCAACTTCTCTCTGTTTTCACCTTTTTCGTTTCGATTCTTACGGGTTTCACTGATGCTTTCGAAATAAATTAGAACAATTTTGAAATTTTTACTCATTTTTCTATTACTCGTCTTGAAAATAATTTGGCAAAGCATTATCCGGTCAGGTCATAAACTTCAGTACAAAATTGGTATCGGAGAGGCGGAAGCGGAAGTCTCCCTTCAGAATATCATCGTCTTCTTGCTGTCGAGTCGGAAAGTTGAACTGTGAAGAGATGCGAATTATCGAAGCGAGCAGATGCGTTTCTTTGATCAGATTCCAGTTGCAATTGTCGAAAAGGAGATGAATGGCTGAAGCTTCTTCTTCGTCCTGAAACAGAAATTGAGTACTAGAAAGAGCAGAAAAGAAAGATACCTCAGAGAGCAATGGTTTTTCGGTGGGCTCCGTAAGCATCGGAACGTTGGCCAGTCTTCTCAGCCCTTCTATCATCCTGTCCATGCTCATAGGAACGTCCGTCTTGAACAGCTCGATTCTTTGAATCCTTCTCGATCTCCTTTGATTCTCCAGTAGTTGCTTGAAAGCATTTTCATCGAAAACAAGACCGCTCGAGCTATCGCTTCCATTGAATGAGTAGATTCTCAGGTATCTCAGTTCGGGAAGACTTCTGAAGATCTCGGCGCAGGAGATGTGCTCTTCTGAGAAATGGGAAAGGGAAAGACGGACGAGTTGAGGGAACTTTTCCAAGTGAGAAAGGATCTTTGACACTTTCAGATCACAGCTGTGCGTCGCAATCTCTAGCTGAACAGAATCGAGTAGTTGCGTGGAAAATTATTATAAACTCATCCGACCTCCTTGACTTCTCGGCACCATTCTTCGCCAATTCCAGCCATCATCCTCTCAAATGTCTCTTCATCTGAATCGCGCTGCACTAAGATGTTGAGGGTTTGTGGAGAAGCCACGTGACAAAGAGCCCTCCTGATGCTTGCGGGACTCGTAAGCGGATTTTCGAAGGTCTCTCTTCTGCTCTGAAATCAATAGGTCTGGAAAGGAGTGTGAGCACTGGAATGCTTACTTTAGCGGCAACGGAAAGCCTGAACTGAGTGCCGTCCAACTCCATTATCAGGCAAGAAGGCGTAAACTTTCTGAGTGATCTCAAACTCAGGAATCTCAACTGAATACAGACCTACCTGGTGTACTTGTTCAATCTGAGAATCTCCTCATTCCAAGAGAAGCTCACTCTTCGGCACTTTTGCAGAGTGGCCGCATCGACTGAACGGAACACTTCACGAAGTGCCACGTCATCGATTCTTCTGCAGGCGCTCATCTTCAACGGGAGAAATAATGAAATGGAGACGGAACGAACGGCAGGCGCGCACAATGCGGAATTACAATTTCAGGAGGCAGGGAGAGAGACAGAGAGAGAGTACGAACAAAAGCTTGGAGGAGAGTACAAGCGGGTGTTCGGACAGATAAGAAAGACAAGAATAAGTGGGCGAGCGGGTCGGCAGTGCGTTGAAGTTGATAATATGCAAATGAACAGGCGAAAAGGGAAAGCCATACGTTCGTAAACGACGACGGGAAAGCAGCGGAAGAAGAGGAAGGAGGGCGAGTTTCGGTGGGAAGAGTCGGAAGGATCGGCGGTGGCTTTCTACTGCATTATCTCGTTTTGTGACAATCATATTTGATAAGTTGGCAAACAAGCGGAAGAGATAGAGAGAGAGAGAGAGAGGGAACGGACTGGATCAACAGGAAGGGCGGCTCGAAGTGTCGGCCCGAAATCCCTTCAAATCACCGCCCACGTAAAAGTTTCTTCAAAATAACGCGTTCTGCCTCTCCTCCAAAAACACGACGTAGTCTATCAGTGCTGAAATAACCTCGTAATAATCAGTCATAATCAGTTTATCATTGTTGTTGTCATTTCCCAACTTTCTTCGTCCCATTTCATATTTTCGTTTCTATTTTCTTTTGTATCACACATAAAAGCAGCGCTCAGCGAACCCTAGGTATTATAAGATTTTTGTAGAAGCGAAAAGCTGGAAAAGAGCAGAGTGACGGTTTGTGAAATATGTGCCACGTCAAAGGCAAAGAATTCGTAGGCGGAAGAAAGAGAAAGAGAAACAAAACGAAAAAAAGTGGGAAGAGATGAGGGAGAACGAGCACGTTTCTTTATATATAATTGTGAACAAACAATGGATCGCGAAACAAAACAGAAACTGAATGATTCATCTGGAATTTACTCGTTTCTCCTCTTCTTCTTCTTCTTCTTCTCGCGTGAGGATCAAGCGAACTGCCGCCCACTCGAAACGATCAGCTGTGCTCTTGCTCCGTGAGCCCGCACGTTACACTCTTTCGCGGGAAGCGAGAAGTTCGGGCGAATGAGTTCCGCGCGCGCGAGATCTCATCTGTCCGGATCCGATAGAAATCGACCCACAAACTGTGTGATTGAGGTTGCAGTCGAGATTATATCCGCAAGAATTCGACCGAGTATTCTAGTGTAAAGTGAGCCAAAATTGTCCTTTTATCAGCTAGTTTTGTTTATGAAAATTCATTCCTGTGTTTGCATCCTAAAGTCGTAAATGACAACGCTTTATTGAGAATGTTCGAGATGAACTTAGATATCACTCACAAGAATCCCAAACTCTACATAATTCAAAAAGTGGCACGATCGAGAATTACTACATGGATTCAGTAGAGAGGGACTAGTTGAGTGAGACTAATGAACAGGACGGGGTTATCGTCGAAGTGAAACCGTACGGTCGACGACCTTCGTGGAGAGAGAGAGGGAGAGCATTGCACGAAAAAGTGCTGGCAACAAAAATGGACGATGTGGTTGGAAAAGAGAATTGGACACGAGCGAGGAGGAGACAAGATTAAAAAAGAAACGCCGGAGAACGAAACATCGTGACTCACAAAATATTGAAGCTGGCTGAGAGGAGGGGAAACCGCTGAGATTCTTGGAAGCTTGTAAGATGCATTAACGGACAGTAAATTCGGGGATAGTAGAGGAAATGTTTGGAACATTGGGATGGATTGATACGGTTAATTAACATGACATGGTATGCAGTGAACTGCCTGTGATATGGTTCTACAAAAAAGGCGGGGGGAATGGCACTGTCGTCAGAGATTCGTCTCCGTCATTCTGGCTCGTTTGCTGGAAGGTTCCACTGAAAAGTGCTTCTTGACCGACTGATTTAACAGTTTATGACTCACAATTGCCATCTCGACCGTAAAGCGATGATCCGTTGTTCCGATCATTGCACATGAACCCCATTATTTCTGAGATCAGGTTAGGACTGTTCCGTGCCAGATTTGCGAATCCTTCTGACTGAAACCAACAAAAATAGCATTTCAAAAAACGAAGAAACCTTAAACTCACGTTTATGACTTGCGTTGCATTCAGACAAATGAACCTTATCGCCTCTTTTTTGAACTCGAGCATGTGAAAAAGGTCAGCATGCGCGAGGTGTTTGCATACTGTATCCGGAGCCAAATTACTTCTCATTGCCTGTAAAACTAACAATTAGAAGATAACTGAGATTGAAATGGTTCACTTACCACTTCCGCCAGATTTTTGAGGCCCGGCAGAGCAAATCTATCAGCAGCGGCGAGTACATCAAGGGCATGATGACCCATATTCGGACAGCTTCCAGTGTAAATGTAGTGTAGAAGCGATTGGATCACATTGTAATCCATGTCCTCCAGGACAACCCGCGAGTTCTGCGATTCGGCTGTGTGCGGCTCCATCATGGCAGCGAAGACTGGAGAACGGGCGGAAAGAATCGCTCTGTGAGCTTTCAGTTCCCTCCCGTCGACGATAAGGGTGAAATCGGCGTGTTTCCCACTCCGAAATAAATTTTCCAAATCCTTCGACACTTCGATTGGCTGCGGCAACTCTGGTGGGATCGTCCTGACGTTCTGCGATGCTCTGAAACGGAACATTGGTTTATTGGGAACAACTTCATCGATTGATTCGTTTATTCATTTGACATTGAAAGGTAAGGTGTCAGGACAATAGAAGAGAACAGAACAAAGTACATAAGAGAGAATCAAATAATTTAAGATGAACAAGCATGAATTCCAGTGTTCAAATGTGTTGAAATATGGTTGAAAGCGACTCACTTGGTCAATGTGTCGAACGTGACAGTGATACTAAGCGAGAGATGGAGATCATCGTTCGGCTGAACGTGCGAGATGAGAACTTCCCTGCGAATGTACTCGAAGTATCCGTGCAACTGAAACCGCCCGTTTTTATTTAATCTCGGTCAGAAGAAAACTCACTTGCTGCGTCCCCGAATAAACTGTAGTTGGCGTTTCTTCTCCTCGATGATTTATGACGGTGAACTTGAACTTCGCCTTGTACGTCGATGCAGGAGTCGTAGAACTCTGGTTAGTGAAACACTGTAAGGATTGCTCCTTTCACAAAAATTCTTACATTGGATACCTGGAAGAACGTAAAGTCCTTGTTGGACTCTTTGTTTCCCTGCGGATGCAGCCTAATTCGGAATGTGATATCTGGCAAATCTGGCAGTGCTCCCGAACTCGCGGGCTGGCTGGTCTGCGGTCCCTGCAACCGATCACTGTTCTGGAAAGGCCAAATTTAACGTCACGATGTGGGAACGAATTTATAATGATCAGACTACAGTCGGGGCACGGCTGATCCATAAGCACAAAAAGCAGGAGAACGGTGGGTCTGCCAGCTGAATAAACTCACAATCATGTCCTTGATCTTGGCGCTAGTCTCCAAATATCTGCATTCTAGCTGTGAAAACCCTCGGACCGTCCACACGTGCCTGGAAGGAATACTTAAATCGATCGATTATACATTAGATGCAACTCACGTATGAACGAGTGATCGGACTTCCGACATCGACCAACTATCGGCCGAATGCCGCAGCTGCATCATCGTGCTGTCCATATTCTGAAAGGAAACACACTGTTTAAGAGAAAGGGAGGGAGCAAAACGAATCGGCGATAAGTCGGTGATAAGAAAAACGGCAATGGAGGCGAGTGAGTCAGCACAAGAACGGGGCGGCGTTATAAATAATCGAACGAACTCTGACGACAAAGATCGTGCTGATGGTGACTAAGAAACGTGTCTCTTTGCTTCGATTTTTCGAAACATTCTGCAATCCTCGGTCTATTTTATTGAGAAAGAGTGCGCAACAGAGCGCAATTGCATTGCAAAATGGGGCCAGACAGACAGAGATCTCCGTGGTGTGTGTGTGGTGTGTCGCACGATTGCGAAACTACATCGTAGTTTACGATGGGCGCACAGATATAAAACTCAGAATTAAAAAAAAGAATGAACACAAGCAAATATTGCTTCTGCCTGTTATTCATTCAGTTTTATGGATGAAAAACAAACTAGTTGAAAAGGAAATCTACATAGTCACGAGAACTGGTGAGAAACATGTATTTATGTTTAGCCTAGGAGGCGAAAGCGAAGAGACGAGGACGGGGGGAACACACGTGACAAATTGAAGCCCGATCTGCCAGGCCGGTGGATTTTATTGCCCGAATGGAGAGGAACAACGCGGTCGTTTTCCAAAGAGCACGTTTGCAGAGCGCGCTCACTTTAGGATCAATGATGACGATTCGCGAGAAATGGACACATTCGAACCCCGTATAGCAGTATTTGGGATGATCACACGGCTCACTTGCCTCGTCTCGTGATCGCATGCTTTCTCCTTCCTCTCACCACTCACTTAATCTACTGGATTAATCGAGCATACGTGCCGAACAAACTAGGGAAGAAACTTGCAGAGCGCGCACTCTGCCGATTGTCCGATTCTAGGACGAGAAACATCGCATCGGGCACCGGCGAAAGGGAACAGAGTCGCAGACGCAAGGGGAATGGGGGATGCACACCGCACCGCCCCTGTCTCTCCTCCGCCGACGGCCTTCGATTTCTTCCATGTTTGCGCTCCAACCCAGATACGATATTTTTGACAATACGCATTTTATTGGTGGGAAAGGGTGAAAACAGAAAACTGAGAGGAGAAAAAGCAGCTATTTGTGACGGGATTAGACAGGGTCGACAAGGCAGGCGCGGACGGAAGTTCTGGCCGTCTGCCTAGAACGGAACGTCGATTTAGATCAAAACACGCGCTTCCTGCGTCCTCGGCACTCAAGGAAATTTTCGCAGTGTCGTAAATTTTTGATGGTCAACAGTTCATGACCAAAAGTCGTGATCACTAAGCGAAACCAGCGACCGAAAGACCACTGAAACCCAGGAGATCAAATATGATGCAAGACTGACTGCTTGATCTGGTTGGAACCGATGTCAGATCCACAACGTACAAATCATAGATCAACTCTCACGCGGGTCAAAAGTCGCGAAGGGGAACCCGTAGCATAACGCGCTGCGTGTTGACTTTCAAATCGATGCGACAGCCCGACCATGGCACTACCTGCGAAAAGCCGGCCGCCTGCGCTGCTCACGGTCGAGCTGGGAAGGTGCGAACAAGACCCGCTTATGTTTTGCGCTCCTTCTTGCTATCTCACTTCTCCTCCTTCTGCATTCGAACAAATATTTTTTGTTTTCATCGACTGACTGCCGTATTTTCCGCAGTCTTTTTCTCCCACTGTGTCCCACTCTTAGGAAAAACGGACAGCCGGGCACGAAAGAAACCCGAAAAACATTTTCTGTCAAACCAAAGTCATTCGCTGAGAGAATGTTCAGAGCGAGTTGCGCAGACGCGTTCGATGCCAAAAAAATATTTTTTCCTCGTATTCTGTGTTCATCAAAACAATACGGTGTGCGCGAACGCGGGACGCATAAAAACATTTCCAGAACGAATTTCAGTCAGTCACGGCAAAACAATCAGCAATAGCGCGGTGCTTGTGAAGAGACGGGATGCACTTTACGGGGTGTGTGACAGACGAAAGTGAATAGGAGGAGGCGACGGCAGGAAAGAGAACCTAAAGTGCAGCGATTCCTTTCTACCATCATCTACTACATAGATGCCATTTGAATTGCGTCTTTGGAAACTAATCTTGTGGCTCAGTGAGAAAGATTTGAAAATTTGTTCTGCATAACAAGACAAGATCACGAACGCATTATTCAACGAAGCAGCAATAACATTTTCAGACTCTAACCGATTGAAATACTTAGAATAAAAGTTTCGAAACTGGAAAACAACTATCTACATTTCAATTGTCATCAATGAGCAGACACATGAGTCGTATGACTAGAGCCTAGCTGGTCGAACTGAGCCGCGTTTGAGCCGTGAATAAAAAGAGCACGAGGGAAAAAGAAAGAGAATGAAAAGATGGAAGGTATGATAGGAGTATAAAAGTCGGGTGTAAAAGGTTTTTGAAACCCATTGACAGATGAAAAAATCGGAATGTAAAAGGAAGAGGCGAGAGATAGGAAGTGAGAACGAAATTGAAAACCGGCTGGCGATCATCGAACTGTTGATAGGCAGGCGGGTGATAAGCGGGCACCGGCCACCCACCTTTCTTCCTTCATTGCTCTTCCTTTTCAGGACAAGAGATCGAAATGTGAACCTAGCGGGAGACCAGGCAAGTCCAGTCGGCCCACTCACGAAAGATTGCGAAATGGCGGGCACGCAGACGCATCGACATTCCGACTCAGCAACGACTGAAGACCGAAATATGTGAGGAGGAGAGAGGCGGCGGGCGACGTGAGAAAAGGACGCAACGCAGAAGCGACGTTTTTGATCTTTCGGCTCTATATTTGCCGGTCTACGTCTCTCGACCTTTAGGCGAGTTCACTCGCTCCAATATCGACCCAATTCCAGCCGATGAACGGTCAAACCGAAAATCGATCTCTCGTCTTTCCGCATTTTATCTTCAACCTTCTTATCAGGTTAATCAAAAACTATCGTGAAAATTTGAATTATGAACACTCAGGAATATGATTATGATTAATGATCAATAATTGAATGATTAAAAAAGATTAAATAAATATCATTCAATTAGTATGTAAATTCAATTAGAAAACAGAATACAGACAGACACGCCAATTTGTAGGACATGGAAGCAATAGAGGATAGAAAGAGGAAGTGGTAAAGAAAGAAAGACGGGAAGAGAGATTGGTCGGGATATGTGGTCTTGGAATGGAAACTCGGAGCACAATGGAAGAGACGTCAGGCATACGGGCTACGTGCAAAGAAAAATTTGTGACGTGGTGTCACTCAATGCACAATCCTTGGCACAGAGCTCTGAAAAGGGAAACTATTTAGAAGTGCCTGCATCCAAGCATGTTGAGAATGTCGGCAGTTTGGGACAAATAAGTTTGAGGCGGCATTGTGAGGAAAAGGGCGGGGCTCGCCGAAAACCTAAGTAAACTAGGCACATCTCATGTTTACACGAAATTGGTCGACTACGGTTGTGGTGGTGGACGATAGCAAAACATTCGGGCGCCGCCGGGCCCGATGAACACGAAGAAGACAACGAGTGGACGGGGAGGAGGAGGCGAAACAAGTTTGTGTTCGACGTCCCGAAAACAGCTTCGTTCCACGACCCACCACGAATTTATCGTGTCTCTGCGTGGCTGGTAGCCCAAGTGGTCAACAAAATGACTGATTTTTGTTGTTTTTGTCAGCGTTCTACATCATCAAAACATTATATTTTTGTGCCGACGTCTGCTCCAAGACTCCTGATTCGTAAAGCTTCGAAAGCCATGGTCGAGCAGAAAGACAGAAAGTGCAAATGTGCGGTGAAAAATTTTTTGAAACGGCAACCACCGGAGGATCGTAACCCGGACGGACTACTTCCGGATTGTTGGAACCAAAAATCGGATGGTGGAACACTAAAGACAAAAATACTTCGGTTTTCCCTCTTTCAGTCGGTTGACGGTGATGAAAAATATTTTTGTGCGCCAAAACATTCTCTTCGACAACTCGAATAATATAAATATTTTTGTTTTTCGACAAAAATGACCGCGTCGCGCCGCTCTCCGGGCCCGTGTTTTCACTTTTTCAGAATCGCTTCTTCTGGAAAACACATACGAGTATACTTGCTACACACACAAAACATTATTAGGAACACTGACCGGCCGACCGAACGACGATGTTAGTGTCGGCGGAACATTGCCTACGGGGAATTGAGAAAGAAAGCGGACTCAAACGACACGGTAAACAGGGCTTCCGAGTGGAACCACGTAAGAATAGAATAGATCTTTCACAGGAATTATAGAACCACAGATTTCGGTTGAAATGGGTGCAAGAGGGCTAATTTCGTAGCCTAGACGACCAAAATACGGAAACATCGGAACAGGTGATATTAGCAGTTGCAATGGCGTAGGACAACACCAAAATATCAGTTCCAAATGCGAATTCCGACTAGTGAAAGCTTATCAAAATGCTGCGAGTCACTTGTCTGCTTCATAATCCCTTTTTTTGAGCGGCAGAAGTGCGTCCGTCCTTGATGCTCCCTCGTCATTCTCTTTTCGTCTATCCAGAAAGCAATTTGCAACGAAATAGGCAATTCATGGATAATGAGGCCTGACGGATCGACTAGTTTTCTTTGCACAGAAGACGACTAGGGTCTCGGATAGGTGTCAAAACAAATTAGAGCCAAACAAAACATAGATCTATTGTTTTTTGAGATTAGAGTTTTCAGCACCGAATAAAACGAGAAAATTTGAGGGAAACCAAGTGGTTGAAAAACAACGTCTTGTTCCGAGGATGAGATAGAGCCGGGCAGGCTTCGCCCATAACATTATTTGGTACTATTTCGGATGAGACAGGGGCGGCAGAGCACTTGTTGACCAAGACACGATGGAATCGAAGAAGACGTTGAGAGTTCGAGGCCGTCTTGTTTTTCTCACAAAATAACGCAATCAGTTCTTAAAACGCTATAACTTGGAGGGAGATCATGCACGGCAACAGGAACGGAGGATCCGGGAATCGCGAGGAAAAGGACGAACAAACATGTCTGAGGAGGGGCTGACTGCCCGAAATCAAGCGTTGTTTTCGAGCAAAAATGATTCAGCGAAAGACGGATTGGGACCTGTTTGTCAGAAAAGGGAAGATGCCCAACTAGATACCGGAATTATGTGATTGAGTTTTCGAGAAAAACATGAAGGCTCCTGAGAAAACGGATCTCCAGCTACACCAGAGAACAAGAAAAGGGAAGGGTTCAGTGAGAGCGAAGGAAAGAAAGCGGAAAGCATGCATATCAAGGGTAAATGTGATAATTTCCACCGATCCGGTGGACCCAAAGTGTTTTTCGGTAGAAAACGTTTTCCTTAAGTTTCCGCAGCGGCCCCAGTTTTAGGAAGTCTTGTCTAAAATATTGGGCTAACCCGGTAGAGAAGTGGTGAGAATATGTCTCAAACTTACGAAATTAATCAACAGTTTCATTTTTTAGAATCCTAAATAATGGTGAACGTTTGAAACAACGTCGTGCTTGAGAACAGTTTTCAAAACGAAAGTTTGAAGCAACATTGTCGTAGGATCGAGTGTTTGTCCGCAATGTCCGTCGCGAGATTTGCGTATTCTGATGTGAGAACTTTCCGTTTTCCTTTCGTGACTTCAGTTCCGATTCCTGTTTTTAAGAACAAATCGACAAAGAATCTCATAAAAACAATAATAAGCAAGAGAGGCAAGCCTATTTCTCCCTTTCTTCTGTTCAAAACAACGGGCTTTTCTTATGTCTGTGTGCGCCGGCGCACTGCTGTTGAAAACAATCAAAATATGCGTTTTCTTCTGAAACCCGACAAAAAACAGATTGGTCGGGAAATGCACGGAGCTGTTGATGAGAGCGAAGCAGCGACGAGGGGTCACAACCACTGATTCTTAAGTTGTTTGAAGTAGGCGTCCGTCTCCAGAGCAGCCATTTCCACCGGTTTCTCCTTTTCCATGTCCGGGAAAGGGGACACTGGATTCATGATCCTCAACTGAAATCGGGTTCTATTTGAATTCTATCTTGCGCGCTCCGCTCACTCTCGTAAAGACCACTTTCAATTCGGCACGGAACTGTGGAACGAGGTAGTAGAAAAGGAAGAACACTAGGGTACCGTATCTGAGAACAGTGATATAGTTTCAATCTTTTCTTATGATAACTTACGTCAAAACACAAAAATTGAAAAACGTTGAGGCCATGTTTAGAATGACCGGCGAGAAATCAAAGTTGTCGAGTGCAGCCGAAATGGTAGAAAGTAGGTTGAAGATGGCGACGACGTTGATGATAGTCTTCATAAACTGAAAAAGCCGGATGTAAATACTCTCCAGACCAACAAATGGAACCTCGCAAACTCGAATGTTTTCCGAAATCTGAAATCGCTCCGCCAACGCGTACTCTCTTTTGCTTTTTCGAAGATTTGAACTCTCGTAGAGCCTCTTGTAGTTGTACTTTTCTATTATTGCAATTACAATAGAAGACGCGATGTTCATGGCGAGCATGAAGACGTGGTAAATCAAAGTGCTCTCGGCTGAAAACGGATTATCTAACTGGGAATTTCTTCAAAATGCTCACATTGATGGTAGAGCCAAGAGAGTATGGCTCCGCATACCGACATTGTGAACAGGAGCAGAATGCTTATGTAGTGACGATCTTTCTTTTCGTAATCCGACAGAAAGTACGAAGCACAGCAGCGTTCGACAACGAATCCAGGAAGGGTGAAGGATACTGATGAGAGGAGTTCATAGTGAGAACTTGAGTGACGGACTTACCGAAGAAATAGCAAGTACATCTGACTAAAGACGAATAGTAGAAGGCTGAAAATGGCTGAGCGGTCTTTAAGTCGGGAAGTATTCTCGTTCTCACCTAGTCCGTTCTCTTCTGAATTGAATATCAAAAATATCTGAACACTGCGCGAAGACAGCTGAATCAGATACTCCACAACGGCCGCTCTAACGCAATTTTGAAGGTTTGTATGAAATAATCGATGCTTGAAAAGTTGGAATCCCAGAAAAATAACCAGAGGATAACTGAAGATTCAGAATCAGAGTGTCTCGCCAGAACTGCCTGACCTCAAACATATGCAGGCAAACTCGAAATAAGTCAAAACACAGTAATAAATCCACGTTTCATCCAATTTGGATTGTGTTGAGTTGTAGTAGATCAAATAGTGCATGACCGTTATGTTCTGAATGAGGATGAATGAATTACTTTTGGAAATATTTCTGCTGTAAATATTCGGGTTTGGTGCAATCGAATTGAGGAACTCCAACGCTATAATTCAGTTTCAGTTACGGATGAACTCGGAACGAAATCACTCGGATAACTGACAATACCACAACGCTAATTCGGAAGAATTCCAGACAGGGCTCAGAAAACAGAATTTCAGGAGGTGTCTCCGGGGGGTTATTTTGATTGAAAAGGCGTTCAATCGGATCAAACGTAATGCGTATAGAAGAGGATCGGAATCAAAGAATCAATGAGGAACGAAGGGAAGAACAGGTGGAATGGAATTCGGAATGATCAGCCAAACATAGAAACACGTGTTGACGCGTCAGGGTGGGAACAGAAAAGAGCTCGACTGGCCAGTAATGCAATCGTCGGTTCTAGCAGGTATAATCAATCAGGCCGCCTGCTATTTCAGTCAGAAATGCTTACGCAGAGTAGTCAAGGTTCCTGGAGGTCACGAATGGAAGAGGATGAGGAGCCGGAGAGTTTGCATTGAAATATGAGATAGATTAGTTCGATGGGCATGGAATGAAAAGGTCAACTTTTGATTGCGATCCGAGAAAAACACTGCCAGAAAAACAAACAGCATTTCTGAGAGAAGACCAACAACAAGAACATCAGAAGAACTTCATGATGTTGAGAGACCGAATTCAGAATAACACTCACCTCGCCGTCAATAATCTTCATTCTCCAAACTGTGTTTCTGCTGAAATAAAATCATAATTGAAAGCGGAAACAAGCGAGGAAGAGGGATAAAGGAAGTGTTCCCCGAAAGGCTTTCTGTTTTGCTGAATCGGAACAGAAACGAAAAAAGAAAAGTGTCTCAAAGTCCATGCGAACAAGTGAAAATTCAATTTTGGAGCGGGCAAATATTGCGTAAAAAGATTGATGGATTGCTGAATGTTTCGACTGGAATCTCAGCTGTCGAATGTCCATTTCTATTGAGGAATCTTGATCACTTCAGAATCTCATCTCGTCAGTCATTGAGATCCGCATGATGCTCTTAAACGGATGTGGAGCAAACAAAACATCATCATCATCATCAGGGATAAACAATCTTTTTTGGGCGGCTTGTAACTGGAGCCATTCCCATAATAATCCGGCCGCCGATTTCTGGTTATTGGAGCCCCTGAAAACACGGATCAGTTCTTTTGCACAAGTTGGAAAAGAGAGCGTGATCGAGGTGATTCCCACGATGAAAGAAAGTGTGACCAAAGGGGAAGGAGAGTGGAGTCAGTGGAGCCGCCGCCGCGCAAGACGGGGGAGGAAATAGAATTGGAGCCAGCCTGGGACAAGTGTTTCCGAGGATGGATGGCGTCAACAAATCGGAAAGGTCAAACGATGGGAAGAGACTGATTCAAGAAGTTTCAAGGCGACTGAGAGTAAGGGAGAGCAAACTACGTTTCTTTCGGTGGGCGGAGCGCACCTTTGAAAGATTTTAAATGTTCGAAATGGCATGGGATAGGGAAACTTTATTAGAATAACTGAAACAACGTTGGGGACACGTTCATATATATTCACAGAAAAGGAAGTGAAATTAGAGTTCGACTCTCGGACGGAGCGGAATGACGCGCAGATTGTTGAGGACGTCTCCGGTACGGTTGTTCAGGAATCTCTGGATGATCACGAACGACGCTCTGGAAAAGCATTTGAAATCATTGAAATCAATCTGATCCTTACTTGAGGATTCTTTTGAAGATCAGTGTGTCGTTGACACGTTCTCCGGGTATGTGATCGTCGAAGATGTCGCTGATCGACAGAATGTTGAGGTTCGTCAGTCCGATGCTCTTCTTCTCGAACACTTCTCCGGTTGTGACCTCGAGGTAATCATCCTCCAGAGAAACCACATCGAGGTAGTAGTCAAGGAACAGGAAATAGAGGGTTCCGAGACTGATTGGCTTCTTCTCCGAATCAAGGCTCAACGAGCAGATCATACCTGAAAGGAAACATTTGATAAACGTCGAGTTGTGATGAGATCGTACCTTCAAGGGTCTCCAAATCGGCCGGAAGAAGTTTGTAATGCTTGAAGAAGTGGATGACCATCATTTTAAGGGACCGAAGTCTCGGAATGACCGACTTTGCCTTCCTCTCATCCTTCTTGTTAACCACTTTAGCTTTCAAATAGCTGTGGAAATAGTTGGCAATGGTGATGAATCGGTCGTCGAACCTGGAATTTGTTCGCTCAAAACTGTACTGTTATTCAAGTCAGACTAACTTTTTGTAATTGTCGACGACGTCCTTGGCCATAAATTGTGGACTACAGAACGGTTTGATCGATATCTTGATAATGACGCTGACGTCATTGACGTCGCACAGAACGTGGGGCACTTTGGCGTCCTTATTGTGTTCCACGTCAGTCACCTTTCGGTCCGAGAAGATCCGATCGATGTGGCTCTCGATGACCGTCAGGATCGCGTTGCTCCGCTGACGAGCCCTGAGTCTCCCCGGAACAGTCTTCGGGAATCCGAACGACACGACGACGGCCAGATCCCTCTTCTCCCAATCGGGAACTGGGAGGGCGCTGATGAACGGGAGCACCGCATTGCATTTCAAGTTGCGTAGGTGGAACTGAAATGGAGTCATTTGATAGTTTTGGTGATTTTGTATTTAGTTACCATCTTGTTCATCGCATCGCCTTTCAGGTAGTTCTCCAGGGTATCCATGAGTCCCAACTTGTCCTCAACATCATCTTCCTCTTCCTGAAACGTATAAACTTTCAATTCAAAGTCTCCAGAATCCTACGTACCTCCGTGTTCTCCTCAACTTTGCTCTTTTCGATTATTTCCGTCAACGGCGCCAAGTACTGGTCGCACAGTTTAACGGAGAGTTCGGCGCGCACTTTGGAAGTGTGCGGCTTCGAGAAATCGAATTGGATGATCTCATCGAGACGTTCTCCGATGTATAAGGCCATAACTGGAAACAATGAAAATGATGTATCAGGTAAAGGACGGAAGAATTTAAGAGTGAGCAATGGAGCGGTGGGAGAGAGAGAGAGCGGAGACCCCAGATAGTATGGCGTGTTTTTGCAGCCGCGGTTGTGCATGATAATCGGAATGAGGGGCAGAGCGGGACGACGGAGACAGAGATGAATAGGTGATGGGGAAGAAAGAAAGAGAGAGAGAGAGAGAGGTCCTCTCGGGGGTCAACCATCCCCTCGGTGCTTTCGGACGGACCCGTGGGCGGTGGGTGCGTAAATACGGGTGACCCAACTGCCAATCGATCGGTCCGACACTGTTCCGGTCGGTCAGCTGAGAAAAAGCGAGGCAGTAGGGCCCTGGTGGTGGGCCTTTGGCCAGTCCACAGATCCGGTCCCTTATGGATGATGATATTTTCAATTAGCAGAGATGGTTAAATGAAGCTGACGTTTGAATGCCAATATTCATTTTTATTGACAAGTTTCAAAGTAAAATACAACAAGAATATCATGAAACACATGAAAAGAATAGTTTTGCAAAAACACCGCATTAAATAAAGCAGACAGTACGTAACGGGAGACTCCCCAGAAGAGCGTGAATCGACTTCTATTCGTTTTCAGGGCTTGTACTCGACGACGCGCCATTTTTCTTTCTCTGAAGTCCACCCTTGAATCCGCCGCGTTGACCTTTCTGTTGCTGTTGTTGATCAGATCCTTCCGGTGACGAAGTTCCGTCATCCACGGGGCCCACTGGGTTCGCCTTCTTCTTTCTCTCTGCGGTACTCGGTCGGTTCTTCTTCTTCTTCTCTGTTTCGACGACATCCTTTCTTGCCATTTCCTCCTCCTGTTCCTGGTCATTCGACACGTTCGCCGTGATATTGTGGAGACGACAGTGCCGTTCGATCTTTTTGTAATCGATCTTGATGCAGTACAAACGGTCGCTAAGTCTCGCCGGATTTCCCGAGTTTTCAATCATTCCCTTGGCGGTTCTGGAATAAGATAACAGTTTGAGTGTACAATTCTTGTTCCAATTTCACTTGAGAAAGTCAATGAAGCCGTCGAGAAACTTGATTCGCCGTCCCGGGTTGAATTTATCGAAGACGTCGTAGATTAGCAGCTCATGCTTTCTGACGACGTCCCTGCAAAAAAGAACAAAGTTGATATTCGACGTGCATTCATTCACTCACTCCATCGACGAGTACGGTACGTACTCAGCTGACTCTACGAGCATAACCTCGTTTTTGAGGTCAACTTCAGTCGTCAGATAGTGCAGAAATCGGTAGAAAGTGAGTCCGACCTCTTCTTTCAAAAGGTGTTGCGAATCCCTTTGGAACCGTTCAAGATCTGCTGAAAAAGATTTGAAGCGGTGAGTTGACTTCCCCATTACCGTCGGTGATCGAGCAATCGCCACGAAGATCCGGGAACGTCGTATCGGTAGAAGGATAGAAGAAACGATCCTCGTAGATGGCGAAAAGGTTCGGAAGAAGCTTCTTCTGCTGCATGAACTGAGCCAGCATGAGAGTTACTGTGTATCTAAATGAGAAGTGACAATTCCGGTCAGGACAATTGACCTCACGAATTGGGAATGATCGCTTCGGCAGAGTTTTGTCTCACAATGTGATTGAACCATTCTTTGACGTAGAAGCACAACGGAACGAACTTTGGATTGTATCTGAATCGGCGTGTAATGAATGTTGCTGTCAATTGGGAAATTACAATCCGTAGGCTTGAATGGTCCTCGCCGCACACGTGTTCGGATGCTGTTCCTCTCCGATGTGCACGCTCACGTCGACGTCGTAACCGTAGATTATAGCCTTCACTATCGGCACCTGCCGCTTGTTTTCTTTGAACTTTTTGTTCGTTGTTCACTAACCTTGGCAGACGGAATTTGAATAGGCGCCTTCCAATTTTTACTAGACACTCCGAAACGAGTGCTCCGAAGGTTTTTAAGAAGAACACGAAGCGGATGATTTGGATCGCTGAATACTAGAGCATAATTGAAGTTTTAAGCGTGCAGCTCACAATTTCCATCCCTTCTTTCCTTCTTTCGGTCTCAGCCAAATGCACAGATCCAGATCGCCAGAACAAGAGGCGAGAGGAGTGGCCGAGCTGCCGAAAGCGAAGATTCCGATGACGTCGAGTCCGTAAGTGTCCATCTGAAACAACCAGTTAAATATTGAAAAAGTTGGGCGTTTGTTACCTTTCTTTTAAACTCTTTATCTTTTATATACTTCTCGAAGAGCTTTCTGATGTCTTCCTTGTCATCTTCGATGTGCTTCAGTTCTTTGCCATCATAATAGACATCCGCAATATCAGCAGACAGTATCTTCACCGTTTCGGGTGACACGTTGAAAGGCGAAGATTCTCCTTCGTCTAACTCATTTTCGCTCAACGCGAAAGATGTTCGCCGACTTCCGTTCTCCAATTCAATGCTCATCACGTCGAGCTTTTCGGAGAGTGAATCCGTCATTTTCTGAACCGAAACAATCTGGAAGCGAGCATTTCTGTGGAAACTGAAGCTAAAAGCAAACTGTGTAAACGCGCTCTACCGAGCAAAAGCGGTATTTTTTTCATAAATTGGTTTCAGAAATTTCCTGATATTAACTGGGCGATGACAGTTTTAAAAGAAAAGGAAGAAATCCAGTTATAAATTATCACTCGTTAGAAATTTTATTAAAGATAAGCCATGCTCAAGAAAGGTCATAGATAAAACTGAAAATTCAGAGTAATCAGGATTCAATGACGACGACACCAGAAAATGTATTGATTAAGTACTTAGCTAGTGATGGCACAAACGGAGAACGGTTACTTCTTAGAAGAATTGGCAGTGGCTTCTTTTCTCGCTTTGACTTCTGCCGCAAAAGTTTTCTTCCGGATATCCAGCAGGTCCTTCATCACACATCCGCCCGTGTTTCTCTCTAACAAGTGGTCGAGCATTGCTCTGAAATTACATTATTTGAAAAAATGCAATATTTCATTTTAAACTTTAGAACGTTGAGCCAAATCTTCATGTGTTTCAGTTTGCGGCTAGTCTTGTCCGTCTCTCGAATGAGCATCGACTCCATTATAACAGATTCCATTCTGAAGAGTACCTCACTGAGATTGTTGCTGATTTGTTGTAAAACTCACTCAATCTCGTTATCTGGCAGCCTGATTATGCCCTGGTCCAAGTTGATAATCACTTCACCGAGAGGGCATTGATGGACGTAGAATGTGAGCAGCATCGTGAACAGTCTTCCCACACTCACGTTCACGTACGGAGAGCACGCAAGTCGTTTTTGTGCCTCCAGAAAATCTGCAAATTACTTTTTTTCCAGAAACCACAATATTTATCACTAACATTCTGCCGTGAAGATCTCCGATCCGTTATTCCAGTCATTTATGTCTTCCCATGTGACATTCGCAGGGATGAATATGTCCGTTTCTCTCATGAACAACGGGAGAAGTTCGCAATTTTGAAGAAAGTAAATCACGAGCCAGGCCGTCTGATCACTAAAAACGTTTTCAGGTTCTCTGTAACCGCCCGTTCTCAGATTACATCGACAACCAGCTGAATTCTTCGTCCGCCGGTCCCTGCAGGCACTCTTCTCTTGTTCTTTCCGTCATTAATGCGTACCAAACCGTGACGAGCATATCGATATCCGGGCAGAATCTGATATAGAATCCCTGGAATATATTTCACTTTTGGATATTGTATCCTTACGGATAGCACGCTTTGCTGTAGATTCCTGCTCGCACGATATCCGGAACCTCTTCCTGATAACACGGTTTGATGCTCAACTGCGGCGACTTTTTCCATTTATCCACGTACTGTCCTGCCTGTATATGTTTCATTATGCGTGTATTCCATTTTTTTTCACTAACAACATCATTTGCGGTGAGTGCGTGATACCGATTTTGTTCGGCGAGAAATTTACTAATTGCAGTGTGGGCGTTCTTTTCCAATTGACTGCGGGGTTCCCTGGAAAAAAACACTTTCTTGGAAATCGATCTTAATCAAATTACTCTTTGTTCGAAACTTGTTCGCCATTGAGGGTATCCAAATGCACAAATACGCAGACCTCAGGCATTTTGCGGGTCTTGATAATACAACTGGAAAGGACCAATACGTCCAAGATTTTCAAACCGACGGGCTTCAGCTCAGCCAGAATTTTCGTAATTTCTGGTTTGTCGAGTGATACTTTTGTAAGAGCATAGAATTCCGCATCAAGGGCGTAATTGGCTTCCCTCTGAAACAAATGAAGAAACATGAGAACTGAGAAATTTCTTACCAATCGGATATCGTTGAACTTGTCGAAAATGTCGCTCATCAAGTCGTAGGTTACCACTTCAGAAACTCCACCCAAAAATATGCTGCCATCGTCTGGTTGTGGAATAAGCGAGAACCACGGAGCCCATCTTTCTCTGTTGTATTTGAAGCTCGCAGTCCTCAATTCCTCGAAAGTCATCATCTGAAATTGACTAAAAGATTTTTGAGAAAAGGCGTTCAAAAATAAGTTAATATCGGGTTTCGAAACCATTTGGAAAAACAGAATTTGGCAACATGTAAAGTGGGCTCTTTTGTATTAATACAAGCAAATAAAATAATGGACATGTGGGAAAGCACAATGATTTTGTCAAAATGAGTACAAATAAAACAGTAATGAAAACACACAGAGAATTGAAACATGTTATTTAGCAGGTGCTTCATCCACTTCAGGGTTCGATGTGATTTAGAGGATAGTACTCGAGGTCCGGGTGGATTTTTGCCGTTAGTTTCGCTAAGAACGATTTCTTCATATCCTCCAGCTGAAATCAGTTTATTGAAGAAAACATCAGGAGAAACTATCACTTACATGCTCGTTGAACTTGTCGATTCGCACAATTCCACTGGAAATATCCGGTTCGTACTCCACCGGCGGCTGTTTGTTCATGAACGGACTCTCGTCTAGCTTTATGCCAGAACTTTTCAAAACATTCAACAAATCGATTTTTCCGATTGCTTCGTTATTCGGCGCCATCACTCCCTCCGAGGTACTCAGACTGTTCGGTTGTTGCGATGAAATGGCAGTTGATTGAGTTGAACCAGAGGCTGCCTTTTGGGCATCAGCAGCTACTTTCTGTGCATACGCGGCTGCCTTTTGTGCATCTGCGGCTGCCTTAACAACCGAAGCAGCTTGAGACAAAAAGTTCTCAGCAGTTAAAGGTTGGGAAAGAATCGCTTCCACGGGATCAAAAGGTTGACCTGGCGGTATCGCTTGCACAGCGGAGCCGGCCTGGGCAGTTCCAGATTTCGGAACGAGCACATACCCGTCTTTGACAGGCTTCAGAATGCTATTAGCTCCAATGTTTACCGGAACTTTTCCTTTTTGGGGGGCGGCATTTCCGTTGGATGCCGAGTAAGGCGGGGCTTTCAGTTTAGCCAGCCTCTCGTACATTAGTGCCGTCTCCAATCGAGCCCATTCCGCATTCATATTCTCGTGAAGAAGCTTCGATTCTCGCCAAATTCTCTTCGCCCGTTCTTCTTCCTCAATTTCTTTCTGACATGCGTTCGATACAAGCATAGAGAAGAAAGGCCTGCTAGGAGTCTGCGGAGGTGGTAAGTCACTGAAGAACGGCTCGAGAAGAGCGTCATCAAGGGGCACAAATCGGAGAGAGGGGTTCTGCGGAGGACGGAAGATCACATTCAAAGTGCCTCGATTGTTGGGATTCGGCAGGACGATAGTCACGAACATCCGCGACGCCTTCTCGATCATGTAGTTTAGAGGAGCCGGCGGTGCATCTTTATTTATCACAATCTTCGGTTTCTGCCACAGTGAACCGAGACGATGCGCCTTGTCTGTGAACGGCGTTGAGGTCTTCAGCAACTTTTTTCCTTTTCCTGGGACGGAAGGATCCAACTTGTAGTGTTTGTTGGCTCCACATAGAAGAACTTCGAACTTATCAACTTTGGGCAGTTGCCTCTGATTGTTTACATTCTGCCAGTATTCTGGAATGTTCCGCAGTGCAATTTTCAGAGTCTTCGATCCGAATTCATCATTCCTCATTATCCGGTCCCTGACTGCATTGAATGCCTCGTCCACGTTCAAATTCATTAGTCTCTCCGTTACCGTACACGGATTGTGCGTGTCTTTAATCAAACTGAACGCATCCCGGAATAGGTACTGTAGACGGAAGGCGTCGACGACTTCTGCGCCATGATGGCGATCCGTGTCACAAATTGATAAGGCGATAACGCTGAAAGCAACAGATGAAATGTTGTCCCAATAAGAAGTAACTCACTTGGGCACCATCTTCGGACCTGTTTCTGAATTGAGCGCACTTAGCATCGTATTCGGCAAGTCGACGAGGTATCCGTAGTGGAAGAAGAACATCAAGAGAATTTCACCGACGCTCGGTTCACGGTTACGACGCTGTTTCTTGAATTCCGAAAACAATCGGTGCACTGAAATACAATGATTATTGTACGTCTGTTTGTTTAGAACACCTACGGCTCGGCTCATAGGCTGCCATTTTGTATTTGGCGACGTCGTCGAAGGCAAAGTGCTGAAGATTGCCTAAATTTGCGATTATGAGAAGAAGTAGCGAGACGAGAACGATCTTACTTCCATTGGTGCTTCCTTGGACAGACAGGAAGAAACGGGGTACAAGCTCGTACAGTTGAAGGAAGTAAATTATGAGCAAATTGATTGTGTGCCTGAAAAATCAATCATAATATCGTATACGCTGAGAAGATGAAGTACTAACGGCTCGGGGACCGCCAACTTTTCGGTTCCTTTCGCCAAAACTCGCACTTTCTTGAACCATTGTTGAATGTAGAAGACGAGCGGAGAGAAGTGATCGAGGAAACTGAAATTGTTGTATGACTTAGATGGAACGATAGTCGAAGTCCCACTCGTCGTATTGGTTCATGGCAGCTGTGAGACGAACCGCGAACGGAGGAATCTTGCAAATTGCCAATCGGACAGTCAGACGAAAATCTAGTCTTTCGTAGCAAATAATCTGAAAGAAGAGCTCCGATTCCATCGAGTTCGTTCATTTATCTCACCTTCTCCTTTTGCACGACTTCATCCCTTTTGTCGGCAATGAATTTGTTACAGAAGGCGCGAACGAAAATATTTAGGGCCTCTTCTGGCACGCTGAAAACATTCTGGATTAGGGGACTTGTTTCACAGATTCGCGCTCACGTGATTAGTTCGGAAGAATCGGATGTGACTCCGACGACCACGTCGACTGCACTTGTGTCCCTCCGAAGGGGCGTGTACGCACTTCCGATGACGTACGGATTCCCGAACTTGTATTTGTCTCCCACGCTTTTCGTGAACTCTTTACTCTCCAACCACTCGTAGAATGTCATGTATGTGTTATCACGGACGGCGAGTCCCGTAGTAGTCTGAACAATTTGCATTCTAAGTTTCCAAGTTGGTTTCCATGTACTCACCCCTTTGTGCTCTTCATAATTGTCAATAATTTGTTCTGTTAGGTCCACTAACACGTGGTGTTTGGCCATGAAGTACATTTCCGATGTTCTCGTCACGTAGTAGTTGGATTGGGCGACGCATGATTTGAAGAATCGACCAAGCATATCATTTTCCTTCTTTTTCGATTCGGCCATTTTGCCGGAAGAAGCACCTGCAAAGAAGGAAGGGTGAGAAAGAAAAATGAAGTTTTATTGATGTGAGAAAAAAAGAGAAACGATTCGGTTTGCAAATCAATCGAAAATGTGGCTTATTCGCTCTACCGCAACCTTCGTGGGCAAAATATTCTTTTAAAGAAAAAATAAGATGACGACTATACAATGTTGCACTACGTTTGGTATTTACGACGAGCGCAAATAATGCAAACAAAATTTCGGGTTGGCTGAAAACGTTGTGGGAACGTCTGATCACATCCTCATACGGCATATCGATTCAATTTTTACGAAAGTGGGAACATCGTCAAGAGAAGCGAAATATACTTTGACCGAAAACAAGGAGAATCGAGGCGACGCGGCAGCAGAAGAGTGCGTCTGTCCGTCCGTCATCTCGCCGTCTGCCCACTCTTTCTCTCGTTTCCAACGCTGAAGGAGCCAGGGCGGCCGGGAAACCGGGAGAGCCGCCGGATTTATTACTCGCAAAAACGGTGGATTGACAAGAAAATGAAGGGTACGGAGAAATTGGGTGATGGAAGTCTCGACGACCTTATCCAATGAATGAAGCTGGCAAGATAGCAGAGAAGACAGTATCATTTATCTTAAATGAATCAGTTAGAAATCCAAAAGAGAAAAAAGGAACAACAAAATGATTTGGAAAAGAAACGGGGAAACTTTTAAAAAACTGAAGCAGAAGTGAAGGGACCAAATTTGGGGAGACCATTGGGGCAAGAGGAGAATGACGCAGACGTCACTAACAGAGGCGTTCAGAGTGTATGTACAACTATTATCATGATTAGCGCAAAAAAGAAACGAGATAGCAATGTTACCCGAGAATAAGGGGAGTAACCCGAAAACTATTAAAGCTTATTTTCGTTGGCTTTGGTTTTGCATATGAGGGACAAAGACGGCATATTGGGGATTGCACACTTGTGGCGGAAGCGAATTCGGAGGCGAATACGGGAACCACGGCGAGCTCGAAATACTGGGCTGAGCCACGTTCATCGGACGGCTCCTGAAATGAAATGGGTGCAAATGGTAGTGAAATCAGCCGAAACGAACTGGAAATTGTACACATATTGGTGGGCTTCAAGCGGATACAAAACATTCTGTGAGTGTGGATAGTACCTGAAAGCAGATATTGGTTTGACAATCTGAAAATGTTCAACAAACATGTATGATTGTTGGAATAGCTGAGAACTTGATTGGGACGGGAAATACGTCTTCTCAGCTGTGATTCTTCGAATACTGTGAAGCATGTATCTATGCGGAGTGTTCAGGATTCGGCCGAGCTCTCTGAAATTAAACAGAGATGAGTATTATATTCTTACTCTCTATACTTCAAGGCCGCGGTGAATTCAAGAGTGCTCCGTGCACTTCTTGCCGGATTTCGGACGTCGTACGGACAGAGAATTTCGAACGAATGCTCTCTGGAACTGAAAAGTGATGAGAAAGGGACACGTTTGAGAAAACACTGACGATTTAGACCGCTGCTCGATTCTTCCGTTTTTCATGTTGAAGCGACATTCTCTGAATATGTGATCGTTCTGATAATGGCTACAAAACAGCCAGAGAAGCTGCACGACGGTGAGTTTGTCGGTCGGTCTTTTGCGGTGAAGAGCGATAGCTGAAAATGTGCAACTGCAAGGAATAGCACTGGCGAATACGAACTATTCTCGTCGAGAGGGTAGTAGAATTCGTTGTTGATCTCGACGTCGTTCCAATTTTTAAAATTCTCCACACTGAACATTTCCTTGTGCGTTTGGTGGATGTTCGGAAGAATATCGTACCATTGCAGAACGTGTACGAGCATGAGAATTAACGAATAGCTGAAAGTTCATTTAGCCCGAGTTATTCAGATATGCACTAACGAGTTGGGGAAATCTCTGAGGTGATCATCTGCACTGCCTTCGGACTTCATCCACGATTTTATGAAAGTGATCAGAAGAGGGACTCGTCTGTCTATCCTAAAACACAAAGCATTGTTTTCATTCCTTTCACAAATGAACCAACTGGCAGTAAGCGTTGATAAACTTGGCCGCAAGACTCGTTCGCGGCGGATTCCTTTCGAGGGTGGAGCTCAGATCAAATTGAATTCCGTCAATCTTGAAGCGAATGATCGGGACTTTGGCGGTCTGCACAAAGCAAATGTCGCGGATTGAGTGATTTTCGAAATACGCGCGAGCTGTCATTTTATACTTCATGTCACGGTAAATGGCTTGGAGGATTGAAACTGGTCTGAAAATAACATTCGGAGGCTTCCAAAGGAGTCTGCTCACAAGGCCATTCCGCTGACAGCCCGGCCGCAAACACACAGATCCATGTCGCTGTCTTTGTCGCGCACGGAGTGGGCCAGCTTCCGAATGCGGTGATTCCGGCTATTTCGATTCCTTCGAACTTCAGTTGACCGACGATTTCACTGGAACGAAGGTACGCAGTCAACATCATGATTAGCGACATGCGGAATTCGTTCGCCTGAGCCGTCTGAAAAAAAGTGCATTGTCAATTGAACGGCGTTGAACAAAACAAACCAGTTTGCTTTCTTCGTGGAACGTAGCTAAATTTGCTTCTAGTTCTGCGTGCTCTACTAAGTCACTCATCTATAAAAGTTTTACTTTTTGACTCCGTCCGAACACATCAGCTCACCTGATCTAAAACGTGTTTCAATTGATGCTTTGATGGTTTCATAAGTGACCTAGCCATCTGAAAATAACTTTTTCAATTTATGAAAATGTAATTAATATTGGAAAAATAACGTATTTGTTAGCGCCACATTCTGGCTGGGAATGACGCTGCACTGAAATTCCACGTAAAAAGACGACCGCGGCCGCGAGTTTTTTCAACTCCACGGTCCAATTACGCGTGCTCTCTGCGTCGCCGGCAGCATTCTCCTTGTCTCGCACTCTCTCGCTTGCCTACTGTCGCTCGAGAAGCGAAATGAGAGTTGGTGTGGCGCTCGGAACGCCGCCGGAAAAATACTGATCTATCTTTCCGTTTTTCTTCATGAACGTGTTTATCATGACAAAACTTGCAAAGAGCAACAAAAAATTCCCAAAAAAATGCCGGCGTCAGTACGAAATTCGCATTTTTCGTGTTGCGGTTGATTATGCGTGCTATAAGTGAGAGAACAAGTTGTAGAATAAAAACGTTTCCAGTTTTTGAGATCACCAGAATAACATTTATTTAACTGTTCTCTCTCGACGACTTTGACGGCACAGGGTGCCACGTTGCACTCCGAAACACGAGCGGCCATATAAACACGCAAACCACTGTATCATGATCGCAAAAACGAATCAGTCAAAAAATATTTTGAACCTGCGTGATAATCTTTATTGTTGGATTTTAGTCAAAATGGGGAGATCCCTCGGAAAACGGATTTACAGTATATATGTTAAAGACAGAGTTAGTATTTGAATGTTTACTGGAATGTTCTCTTCGACTGCAGATCCTTGAGCACTTCCTCGAGCTCCGATTCTTCGATTTTGTTTTCGAGCGACGGCACCAACGCTTTCGCCTCTTCGGCATTCTCCGGGCAAAGATTAGCTATCTGGGCCACTTCGAACTTGTGCAAATGCTTCTCCGAGAAAATTGCGCGGACGGCACGGATCGTCTCACGATTTTTGAAGCGGGACATGCGCCGAGCGTAATTGAGCGTCTTGATGAATACCTAAATGAGGCAATTAGGGAAATCGATTGGACGAAACAGATTGTTCTCACCTCGCTCATCTCTTCGATTTCATCTTTCGATTCGCTCGATTGACGACGATGCTCGAGGAGCAAATAGACTTCGGCAGTGAGAAGAGCATCGCAAGTGTTCGTTTCGAACTCTGAATACATTTAAGTTTTTCCTGCGTGTATTTGAAACAAATTACCTTTTGGAAACTTGCACTCAGCAGCGTCCTCTTCGACTTGTCCGTCAGACTTCTGATTTCCTCCGCCAGATGACATTTCTGTAAAATAAAAATAAATTTGCTAAGAATTGATAATTTAGTGATTATATTACGAAGCAAATGCTGGAAAACGGAAACGCATCGATAGGGAGAGGGGGAAAAGAGCGCAAAGAGCACAAACACACAAAAACAATCGTCCAAACGAAAAGAAGGCGTGGCTTGCGAAGTGTGCCGCACTTCGCATTTTTAGCTCCGCCCAGTTTTCCATGCCGCAGGGTTGCGTCAACTTTTTGTTTATCCGCACAATTTTTGAACAGAATTTTAACAATACTCTCAATTTTTGCTATTTTTTTCAGCTGAAGTACGTAAAAAAAAATGTTTAAACTTGTATTTCTGAAATTTTGTGCTTCAGCGCATCATGGCCGAAGGAGTTCAACAAGATACCTTCTTGGGACTTTCCCACGAAGATGTAAGCTTTTGTAGGGAACTAAGCTCTTGGAACTTGATTGTCTACAGGAGAAATTTGCGAAGAACTTGATTGCCAAGCTTGCCTTGAATTCTCTGTCGTTGCCTCTGACGGTCACCCGCACTCTCATTCAACTTGGCCACGAACCTTTCCCGCTGTCCACCGGAAAGACTCTTATCTGCGCTGGCAGAAATGCCTATTTCTTGCCGAATGTTTTCAGCTACAGTAAGGGAACATTACACTCCTCACTCTGATTACTGAATGTTCAGTCGGACAGCTGGGCAAGACTCGTGGGTACTCCACTCTCTGGACTGGACTCGACTCGGCCATAGTCTCGTTGACTGTTCAAGGAATTGCTTCGCATCGCACCGAGCAGGTGAGCGCTTTTCGGTTTTCAGAAAAACCGGTACACATGAAAACCGTGAAAAATTGGCTTACAGTACCTTGATGAGTACTACCAGGAAGTTGGAGGACCTCGCGTCAACTATGACAAAGAGGAGGACGCGTTGACTGATTCGGAGTCATTCCGCCGAGTTCTTCGCAAGGGAGTCCGCGACTCAATCATTCGCATCGTCGCCGTCACTGCGGCTCGTCCGTTTACTGGTAGGCGTCCTTATTAACGCATTTTCAAAAAATAGTAACGTACTTTCAGTGTGCTTCATCCGCCAGATCGCCCAGATCATCGGAAACGAGACCAAGTACACCACTTGTGCTCAGGCTCTGAGTGTCATCGGAAAGCAAGAAGGACCGGCTGGTCTTTTCAGTGGACTTGCTCCACAGATCGTTGGAGAACTCCTTGTCATCTGGGGAGTTCACGTCTTCACTTACGCAGTTCAGAGAGTGATTCTTCGTACTGAAATTGGAGATACAAAGCAGACGGACGAGTCGAAGGCCAAGGCCGCCAAGGATGTTCACAAATTCATTCATACCGCTGTTCCATTCCTGGTCAACTCTTTCGGATATCCGTACAGCGTTGTTTCCAGCGTTATGGCAGTTGCTGGATCTGGTAAGCAAAATTCAATGCCAACGTTTCAGTATTCCTTTTTCAGGACTTGCCGTCTCGTTCCTGCCTTATTCGCCATCGTTCGGCAACTGGCACAACGCCTGGGACTACCTCCACCCGGTGGGACTCAAGCGCGGTAACCGTCTGTTCCTCCGCGAACAGGTCGGTGCCGTCACCGTCGGAGCCGATCAGCAACTCTACGCCAGCAATTCCTACTTTGCATGAACGAATGATTAATTGCCGCTCTTCAACTCCTTATAATGTATTTACCGAGTGCTGCCGATTTGTCCTCATTTAATTTTCGTTTTTTTAGTTTTAAGTCTCATAGAATCACGATGACTTTCGATTTCGCCACTTTAACTTCTACTTTCGGCAATATTTTATTCTCCGTAATCTATTAGCTGTAGTGCTGTCCTAAAATGAATTGTAAATTACGAATCGATGCTTCATCGCGTGTCAGTGAAGGCTTTAAAAATGCTCTTTCTGACCCGTCTCTTCCTCGAATTCGAGTAATTTGTCTGCCATAGGGAGTTCGTTCTTTTCTCCTTTCCCTTCTCCATTACGACTCAGTAACGCTTTGAAAGTGAGGCAGCAGACGACGAGACGGAAATGAGCAGAGCCGTCACGTCTTCTCGAGAGAGGAGCTCCGCGCGATCCGAACGACTTCTCGGCCGTTTCTCTGCGTCTCTCCGTACTCTTTCGTTCTCTCTTCCCACGTGGATTCCATTATTCCCTTTCAGAATCCCCCTCAAGATTCCCTCGCTTTCTGATCATCTGTGGATGTGTGCCGGATTCATAATCCAACGGCGACCCGAGAGAATTCCAGAAGACGTCGCCGCCTTTCACGTCGTTCAGCATCTGAATGTACGAAGGGAGAATCGGACGGAAGAGCCGTTGTCGACCGGGGAAACGATAATAATGGTTCGCGAACGGACGCCGATCGAGATGGACCGATCGGAGGAAACACTGGTAAATGGGAAGAACGGAACGGAAAGGATCAGAGGGAAAGCGTTGCAGAGTCTTGCTTTGATGACGTCAGCGCACCCGATTACTGTAGTCCGAGCCCTGATGCAGTTCGGATACGAGCCGTTTCCGACGATTACGAGCAAGGAATTCGTGTGGTTCGGTGCCAATCAAGTCTTTCTCCCAAACATTCTCAGTTACAGTAAGACCCCGAAGCTCGAATTTTTCACCCGATCCACTTTATTTCTAGCCTATCAACTCGCCAAAAGTAGACATTTGTCAGCCTTATTCGAAGGCCTCGACTCTGCATTTTGCATCCATGTCGTGGGTGGTGCTGTGGAGAATATCGTGTGGGAAGTATATAAGGAAACACGTTATTGCCACGTCACAGTGTCTATTTTCAGTTCTTCGGAAGGTTCACGAGACATATAAAAGTGGATAATAGGCGGTTGCTCGGCAGACTGTTCACGTTCTCGTTGAGACTCACGCTGACGGATTTGGTGGTGAAGATCGTGACGAGACCTTTCAAAGGTATCATCGGTCTTCGAAGCGGCTATGAAGGGTTTGTCTTGCAGTTGTTATGCTCCGTCAGATAGCCTGCATCGTGGGGAACGAGCCCGGATTCTCGACGGTCCGAGGGCTGGAACTGGGTTTCCGGTCGGGATGGACGAATCTGTTCAGCGGATTGAGCACTGAACTCAGGAACGTTCTCCTCGGATCATTCCTCGCATTCTTAGGAAGATACGCAATCGACCGACTCGTAGAAGACAAGCCGGAACGAAGAGTTCGGAACAGAATCATAGACAGGGTCTATCAATCGGTACCCTCGAAAATAGTTGTCTTTTTTGAAACGCCTTCCGTTCAGGTGGTCACTGCCAAACAGAAGATCACGTTCCTCGCTCTGAGCGTACTTTTCCAATGCACAATCGGATGTCCTCTGGAGGTCACTTCGAAGATCAGAGCCATCATCGGAACGGGAATTCTGGCGGCCAACGGGCTCCCTTCGGAGTGCCACTCACACAACGGAGCGTGGCATTTCCTGACTCAGCAGAACGCGCTTCTTAACGGATCCAAATGGTTCTTTCGAGTGAAATCTTCTTTCGACTTTCTGTCAATTTGAATTTTAATTCTGAATGAAGCAGTTGGTCGATAACAAAAGTTTAATAATATTGAAGCTTGAAAGCTTTTCCGTGGACACAAAATAATCTAGTTTCAGTGCAAGGACGATGATTCGAAGATAAGTATGCTTGCCGCCACGTCGTGGTCGAAAAGTGATCGCACCAACAATCATTCGCACTCTGTTTTCGTCCTCCTCCGTTTTTGTCATCATCTGGCTTCTCGTCCGATTCGATGATAAACCGTGCGTCGGCCCGTCTGCGTCGCTCCCCCTCTGCCCTCTTTTCCTCGCCTTTTCATCGATTCCTCTGCGTCTCTGCCCTCTTTCTGATGTAATCGCACATGCGTATGGATCACACTTGCCCCCCGTTTCGGTATTATATAAACTGACGATCAAACTTATGGGGTTATTCAGGCTGTGAAAAAAATGATTGTTTTCCGTTTTTTTCGTTTTTTTACGTCAAAAAATCCAATTCAGCGATGTAAAAAAACGAAAAAAACGGAAAACAAACATACGCTGAATAGCCCCATTATTGCACCCACTTTTTCACTTTTCCCTTCTTTCATTGATTCTTCTCAATTTCAGTGCGCAATGGCCTATTTGGAGCGTGCTTATTTCGGTCTCCAATGCTTTTGGGGCGAGTCGGCGTGGGCAAAACTGAAAGGAGTCGTGGTGACGAGAGTCGGGTACGCCGGCGGAAAACAGCCGAATCCGACGTACAAGAACATCAAGGATCACACTGAGATCACTGAAATCACCTTCGACCCGAAGGTCGTCGAGTACCCGAAGCTCGTTAATTTCTTCTGGACCCATCACAATCCAGCGGAGAGAAGAAAGAAGGTGATGGTTTCATTCTGGAAAGATTCATTTACCAAACAGTTTCAGCAATATCAATCCGCCATTCTCTACGTGAACGATGCGCAGAAGAAAGTAGCGGAGGAGTCGCTTTCGTCCGCCAAAAATAAGCACGGAGACATCGAGACGTACGTGGAGCCGCTGGACAAGTTCTACCAGGCGGAGGACTACCACCAGAAGTACTGGTTCCGGCAGAAGAAGAACCTTTTCGACGAGCTCGGACTCTTGGACACTCAAGTCGCCGAGGGAGAACTGGCCACGAAGCTGAACGCCTACGCGGCTGGATTCCAAGACTTTCACGATTTGGAACGTCTTCAGAAGGAGTACCTGCTTCCGAAATCGTTCGTGGACGGAATCAAAGAGTACGCTCTTGCCGGAGGAGATCCAAGAAACTGCCACGCTTGATTTCATTTCTCTTGTTGTACAAAACTATTAAAATGAATAAAACATTTATCACAGACACATGTTTCCTTTTGAACATATCAAACGGCACTTTCAGATTGGTACTTAGACTCCAACTTAGTGCGGATGTTGTTGCAAATCATATTGAAAGGGTTTGAGACATTGTTGTCATCGTAAAGGACGTTGCTTAGAATTGCATAGGCTGAAACAAAGCGACAATGAAATGGAAACGAAAGAAGGAAACCTTTGTTATCATACAAGGCTTTGAGCCCAACTTCACTGTTCGCGAGTGTTCCGATGCACACCGCCGCCTTGTACCGTATCCGTCTACAGTAATCCGCGTGCACGGGATGCGTAAGCGAGAGAAACTCCAAAAGGACCGGAATCGCATTCTGTTCGACCATTTGGCGCTCGAGGTGACGGGAGGCGAGGCGGGAAAACGCAGTGACAATCTGCTCTTGCACGAAGATTGTGGCACAGTTTTCTCTGTTGTAAGCGCCTATCAGACGGCTGATAGCACCGTTTCTGAAGACGTTCATGAGCAGAATGAAAGGAGGGAACAACTCACTTGTACATAATATCCACTCCGCTCGGATTTTGAAGAGTTACATTGTTCAGAGCGGCAGTGGCAAGGAGGAGAGAGTCTCCGGATGAACATTGATCTACCAGATCTATAGGAGAAGTTTTATGATAACAAGAAGATGTTAGCTACCTAGGAGCCTAGTGATGATCGGCTGAATGTGATTGAGACGAATCAAAGCGGACTGCGGATTCGTGAGCTGAGTAAGGATTCCAGCAGCTTCCACCGAGCACATGGCCGAGGAAATGGAGAGAAGGCGATCAACCACGAGGTCCAGGCCCCCTTGCTGGAAGGAAAGAGTTGAAAAGATGGGTGAAAGACAATGAGAAACTTGCCGTGAGCAATGCGAGAGCCCCTTTAGAGACTCCACAGAGCACTGCCAAAGAACGGAGGAGAAAGCGGAGAGTGCGCTCCTGCGGCTGATCGTTTTTCATAATTCTGATGACTGAGGAGACACAGTTCTTCTGAATCGCTTCTATGCAGAGCTCATCGCCGAACAGGCAAATGTGAATGAGATGCTCGAGGCAGATGGGAGTCAGACGGTCTTTCCGTTGGTTTCGAACAGGTACTTGCTGATTATCTGAGGAATGGAATGAAACGAAAGGAATTGAGTGGAAGGACTCACTCTGACGAACAGAAGGAGAACCGATTCGATTGACTTTCTGAGGAGAATGGCAAAGAAGTTGGTCATGTTGTTCATGTCGATCTTCCCTTCTTCCCGATTTCTGCACAAACTGAGCTGTTTCATTCAAGTTTTGGTAGACTCACTTTTGCAGTTCCTGCACGTTCATTTTCAGTCGGGTCATTTCGGTCTTCGGCAGACAGTTCGCACAAGGAGACGACTCCAAAGTTGGATGAATACAGAAGACTGAAATCAGAAGACATTGCTAATAGATGCTAATAGAACGTATACTGACTTTGGCCAGAAGATCTCGGCAGATATTGGGCTCGAGTGTAGACGATAGGATGTTGTACAACGCGGAGGAGGTTCGCAGGACATGATCCATCGTGCCTGTTCATCAGAAAAGATCGCTCGTGCTCATTCGTCTTCCCAACTCACTGGCCATTCTCGCATAACTCGGCATGCTCGTCTCCTCGTCCTCTTTGCTCTCCTGCCGCACCGAACACAACGATCTGCGCTCAATCTGATCTCCCGAGCACTGGCCCGAATCGACGCTAGTGATGCTGTCCGAACGGGTGCTGTACGGCGAGCGGAGGATTGTGTTCGCACTGTCCGTGCTCATGTCTATTCTGAAAGCATCAGGTTGAAAGAAGGAATATGATCGTGAGGAAAGTTTTTCGAAACCTGTTAGTCGCCTGCTGGACGTGTACACCGTTTACTGTGATTGTGTTGGATCGAGAAGGCGTTGGAGTGGGCGGAAGAGGAGAGGGAATACTGTTACTCCTGCTGGGGGCACAACTTGCTACAAGTGAACCTCTTATTTATAGTTATCTCTTCGTTCTTTTGACCTACATTTCATAGAATTCCTCCTGAGAACTTGAAACTGTTCGTAAGAGGGAGGGGCCGTGGCCCGCGGAGTCGGTGTTCGGAACCCGGTGGGAGAACTGCTCTTCTGGCTAAGAACCCGCGAAATGTTCCCGCGGAAGCCGGGCAACTTGATCTGAAGCACACATGTGTTGCCAATCAAAGAGAAAGAGGCAATTAGGAGAAGATTTAGGGGGTGACGAGAGAGAGGCGAAACATAAAAAAAGAAGAAAAAAGTGAACTTACATTGCGAATGAGCGCCTCTTCGGTGTCAGTCGGGCAGGATTCTGGAAAGAAAGAATACCAAGACGCTGTGGCTGGGAAAATCTGACCTGCTTGGACGGAAGAGCACAGAGTGGTGCTGCTCTCGTTGTTGTTGTTCATCAGCTCCGACAGAGAACTCTTCTCCAGCAACTGAGGAAGGCTGGCTGAAACCAAAACAAGAATACTAACGTCTTCTGATCCTTTTCGTACCTGCACAATCGTTCGCACTGCTCCGCAGTCTGGCTATCCGCCTCTGCGGCTTCGGCGGTGCCGACAGATTGCCCAGTGACGTGGACAGCATGGACTTGCTGGAAAAGAAACGGATGAGGACTAGTTCTCGCGTCTCTTCGGAGCATTCTGGTTACCGGAGAGTCATGGAATTCCTAGTTGGGATACTATTAATACGATTGAAGTACCGCCCGATCAGATTGCTATCCTTTCCGCGCGGTAAACATTCATTCGCACCTTAGCCGAACCGACTACTGTTTGCGTTTTTGATTTGACTTGTGGGACGGAAGAAACGAAAGATTGCAACTAATTAGGTTTCAAAGAAGAAGAAGAAGAAGTTCGGTTGGGAATCGATGTAAAGTAACTTGGGAGCGGAAAAGAGACATGCTCAACAACTCGAAGAGTGCCATTAATTATAGAAGGATGGCGGCCGCCACCTGTTCCGATCGGATCCCTCCAGAGATCCGGACAATATAAAGAAAAACGTCTGTTATGACGAAAAAAATGGGAGGATACAGCATTCTAATAAAGTAAAAGGATCGTAATGGTGTGAAAAGAGTGACCGCTACCGTCCGGCCGGTAACCTGACTCCCTGCACAAACACTTTGTACCTGTAGCCGACCGATATCTTCTTGGCTCCGTAGAACTCATCTTCGTGGTAGTGGGGAATATAATCTGGAGGCAAAAGGGGCTTCGCGTACAGAATCGTCTGCAGTTCGTCGTCTCGAGCATGTGCCAGATTGTGAAGCCATTGCTGTTGAAACTTTGTGACTGTCGGCTGCAAAATGAGAAAGTTAACAGTTGGGAAGGATAAATGCAGATGTGAACCTTCGGCGGCTGAGGGACTATGTCAAAGAGATTATCGTTCTCTAGGGAATCCCAGAATCTGGCCAAACGGGCCATTCTTAGTAGAGCATTTAGCTGAAAAGGAAAGAAAATAGTTGTGAACTTTAGTTTTTGGCAAAAAGTGAACGAAAAGAACGAAAAAAAGGATGGGAACTAATTAGTGGTTTCCTATTTCCGTTTGGAAATGATGCTTCAAGCCGTAATTTCGGAAAGATAATGTCGCAAGTGTCGTCCGTGTCTCTTCTTGTCACTGCGCGATATTATCCAAGTGGGAGGCCCATCGGGGACCGCTCAGAGTGCACGCAAAGTGAAGAGACGCAGACAAGTGAAGGTGATAAATGATGAGTTTCTCAAAACAAACAGAGACTCCCGGCCATTCGGGATCATGCGCATAAGGCGAATTCGAGGCAGGCGAGACGCGAAATGTCAAAAAATTGGATGAGCAAATATGCCAACGCGAATCGAATGGGACGAGAAGGTTCCGGTTAAGAGGGCCGAAAACATGTTTTGAGGTTGGGAATGCAAATCAGCTGATGGGTTACAAAGCGGGGTCACACTACCTGAGCTCCGCTCGGCTCATTAGAACAATTGGCGGACGGACGGACGGAAGCGAGGCGGGGGCGAAAGGACCGACGGAAGAAGATATACTCTGGTAATCAGTGGAATGATGATGAATTGGGATCATGAAGACGAGTTGGGTAAGCTGCCAGAACGCACAATTACACAAAGAGCAATTGGTTTGGAGGAGGAGAACACTCAAAACTGAAGGTTATTTTTAATGGAATTTAGTTCTCCTGCAAAGATAATGCACTTTTTTATGATGAGGGCAGGACGGCTAACTAAATTTCCGTGTTTTCCTGCAACCGCTTCAGAATTCTTTTTCCTGTAACCGCTTCAGAATTCTTTTTCCTGTAACAGCTTCAGAATTCTTAAGAAGCAGAAGACGTAGATTTGGAATCTGAAAGGGCACACAGACACAAATCGAGAATAACACCCGACTCGAGGAGCTGATGGCTCATATAAATCAGCCAAAAACTCGCTGTGATGCTTCGCCACTTGATGATAAAAAAAGATAAATGAGTGTCTCTTTCCCCCTGGGCTCTGCATCAAAACGCCACAGAATAGTGGGGTTGATGAGTGACACATGACTGATTCGACGGGATCTTTTAAATCTTTGCGCCCTCATCCTTTGTTTTACGTCTGGAATCCATGATCCTGGCTGAAATGACTTTTTCGATGAGGCAGTGTGCAGGACGAAGAGAGTGCAGACGACAGAGACGAACGACGCTCCGAAATGACGGGTTGAGAGCGGTTTATCGTAAATCTACACTGAATTTGGCGTTCTTTGATCACTAGAACTTCATTTCAGAGGCTCATCTGAAGCTTGTTTTTCAAATTTTTTCAGTTGTTGTTCCAAGAGCGTTATAAAACTAAGCAAGCAACTGTGGAGTAGTTTAGCTGTTGGAAATGTCGAAAGATCGCCTGGTTTAGGCAGTACTAAAGTTTAGGACGCGGTAAAAATAACAGTTTCTTTCATATCGCTCTTTCAATCATTTTCTCATTTATTTGAACGTCCTGCACCGATGTAGATTTCAATCATTTCGAATTTTCATTCCCTTGCACTCAATGACTCATTCTATTTCGTAATCACAAAACCAAGCTCCGCCCTCTTTTTTATTATTTCTCATCAACCGTTTCAATTCCTTTTCTCACTTTTCAGACTCAATTTTCGGATTTTCAATTTTTGTTCTCTTCTGTTGATGCTGATCATTATTTATTTGGTTTCGCACTGAAAGTAAATACGCCAAATACCTGCTCACCGCTCCATTCCTTTCCACTTTTTGACCCGTTTCTTTCCAGATGCGAAGGTGGCTAAATGTGTGTCTCTACTTGTACATGCTGCTCGACGTGGCAGTCACCAACGTCTCGTTCGGCTTCTTTTCGCGCGGATGGACGTTCGATACCGACGCCTTCTACAGCACGATCACCTTCTCTCAGCCGTACCACTTCACGACATCACCGTATGAATTTGAAATCATGTCGTTCGTTCGACAGCTCTTCTGTGCAATCGCCATCCTTCTCATGATCTTCGACAAAAAGGAAAAGGCAAACTACCTGTTCCACGTCGTCACGTCCAACGCCGTCTTCACTTATTCCTTTTCCCTTATCAAATTTCTCGCGTTTTCGGAAGTCGAGGAGCAGCTGTATTATCCGGGAGTCTGGATGTCCGTTGCTTGGTCCATTCTGTCCGGATTCACACAAGTCATTGTCTGGTACTTTGTGTTCACTTCTACTCCGTTCGACTACCACCGTCTCATAAACACGACAGCCAACACGGAAGAGACTTCGGAAGCGGACACCACAGTTGAGACACAATCGGAGAACGCTTCGAGCAATGTGGAAAGCGGCACTCCGCCTGCCGTCCGACAGCCTCTCCACAAGTTCCTCTTCCGTTTGTTCGCGTACTGTGGACATCAGTGGCCGTGGTTTGCTTCCGGCTTCTTCTTCCTCACTGTCTACGCTCTAGGTGAGCTCATTTTCATAATCAATTTAAGACAGTGAGTCATTTTTCAGCTCGCGTCTTCATTCCCAAGTACACCGCCGAAGTAATTGCGGACATTGTGAACAAGCGAGGATTCAGTGCTCTTGTCCACTCGATCGTCGTCCTCAGCGGTCTCACAGCCACCAGTTCCTTCTTTGGCGGTCTCCGTGGCGGGTGCTTCGACTACGCAACTGCTCTCGTGACCCTCCGCATTCGTCTGGACCTGTTCACTTCCCTCGTCAACCAGGATATCTCCTTCTTCGACACCACAAAAACCGGAGAAACTATGTCTCGTCTGACCTCTGATTGCCAAACAATCTCGTCGACAGTCTCAACGAACGTGAATGTGTTCATGCGAAACGGAGTGATGCTCGTCGGTGCGCTTGCCTTCATGTTCGCAATGTCCTGGCGCCTCGCGATGGTCACATTCATAGCCGTTCCGTTCGTCGGTTTCATCACCAAAGTCTACAGTAAATTCTATGACGTAAGACAAAAATGGCTCACTTTCGTTTGTTTTAAAACAGATTCATTTCAGAAAATTTCGGAGAAGTTGCAACAAACTATCGCTGACGCCAATCAAATGGCCGAGGAAGTGCTGTCGACGATGAGAACGGTGCGAAGCTTCGCGTGCGAGAAAAAAGAACTGAAGAGGTTCGAAGGACTGCTCTCGAGCACTCTTACTGTCAATCGGAAGAGAGCTCTCGCCTACATGGGATACACGTGGAACAACGAGTTCTGTGATAATGCCATACTCGTGGCAGTTCTGTTCTACGGAGGACATCTTGTGATGGCTGACAAAATGAACAAAGAGCAGCTCATCACATTCCTTCTGTACCAGATGCAGCTGGGAGAAAATCTCTACGTTAGTTTGCAGCTTCTCTGAATGAATTATAGCTACGTTTCAGAACATATCGTATGTCATCTCGGTCTGATGGAGGCTGTTGGAGCATCCAGAAAAGTGTTCGAGTTGATGAGCCGCAAGCCGCAATTCGAGTTGGACGGAGTGCAGAAGCCGCAAGTGAACGGAAACATTCAATTCAACGAAGTCGGCTTCACTTATGCGTCTCGTCCGAACAATCCGGTTCTCAAAGATCTCACTCTCGATATCAAAGCAGGGGAAACTGTGGCCCTGGTCGGCCCGAGTGGAGGAGGAAAATCATCGATCGTGTCGCTCATCGAGCATTTCTACGAACCAAGCAACGGAGCGATCACTCTTGACGGGGTTCCGATCAAGGACATAGATCATGTGTACTACCATCAGAAGGTACGGCGTCTTTTCGAAGTAAATTAGCTAAGTGTCATGTTTCCAGATAGCTCTGGTTGCTCAAGAGCCCGTTCTCTACGATGGATCCGTGCGGCACAATATCCTGTACGGATGTGACTTTGCCACTGAAGATGACATGTTGAAGGCCTCCGAGATGGCAAACGTGCACGGCTTCGTGACGGAGCTCGAGAAAGGATACGATACGAATTGTGGAGAAAAGGGCGTGCAGATGAGCGGAGGACAGAAGCAGAGAATCGCCATCGCTCGCGCTCTCGTTCGGAATCCGGCTGTGCTCATTCTCGACGAGGCGACGAGTGCTCTCGACACAGAGTCGGAGGCGCTCGTCCAGCAAGCGTTGAGCCGATGTGCCCAGGAGAGGACGGTCATCATAATCGCGCATCGTCTCTCGACAATCGAGAAAGCGGACAAGATTGCCGTTATCATGAAAGGACGTCTCGTTCAGGTATTTATCGCCCCGTTTCATAGGTTCTCAAGAGTTCCTTTCATTTTCAGACTGGAACACACAGCCAACTGATGAATGACACCGACGGAATCTACTATTCGCTGGTTTCCCGTCAACTACTCAATGCGAAAGTCGGCGAGGAGTCTTGAGAGATGACCTAGATAGTTTCTGAAATGTTATTTATTGTCCTCTCACTTGTTTCTTCTCGATCTTGTCTCCCCGCTGTTTTACAAATCGGTGCATATTGTATTGACGTGTATTTCCCTTCTCTTGAATTGCTCATTTACTCGATTTTGTTCCTGTGCTAATATTTCATGTCAATTGTTGATTAATTCGCTTCCAAGAAAGCCATTTTGTCAGCTTTTCGTATAAATTTTTTTTTAATTTTCAAGAGTATGTTTCTTACGCTTTTACCATTACAGCCTTTTGACAGCTAAATTTTAGGGGAAGTTTTCTTGGAGCACGTTCAGAAAATGCATGCGGCGCTCTTGCAATTTGCGGCGCGGTCCAAGCCCCGCCCACTGCCACGACATCGGATTGCCCAGTCGCCAGTCCTATATTATTATTCAGCAGTGCTATCCGCACAAATTTGTGATCAATTCGTGGTCCGCTTTTTAGTAACTTCAAAATTCCAACCAGGTTCTGTTTAGCAGTGGGAATGACCTCTTTTCTCGAAGTTTCTAGAACATTCGGCGCTATCTCAGCATCCTCGTTCGTTCACATTTCTGCACTCAAACAAACAATTATTAACGTGACTATTACACGTGGCCTTAGAAAGCTCTCGAAGGACCGAGAAGCTACAAACGCATAACACACGTCATCGTTCCGCTAGTACACGTTGCATAGCCGGGCCAATAAAAGAGCGGGCGGCCGCCGTCCACCAGTCACTTCGATTTTCTCTTTCGCGCGTTCTGCGTTTCACTTCGCTCTTCTTTTCTCTTCTCTTCTCTTCACTCGAATAATTTCTGCTAACTTTCAGAAAAAACAAGTTCAAGACAAGTAAAACTTTCACCCGAACGCCCCACACGAAGAAAGTAAAGCCATGAGAGTTATCTCGTTCGTTTTGCTCGCCGCCCTCGTGGCATATTCATTCTGTGAAGAGGAAGCACCCGCCGACAAAGAGAAGCTGGGAACCATCATCGGAATCGATTTGGGAACCACCTACTCGTGCGTTGGAGTATTCAAGAACGGACGTGTTGAAATCATCGCCAACGATCAAGGTATGTTATCGATTTACACGATACAACGTAATTTTACTTTTTTCAGGAAACCGTATCACTCCGTCTTATGTGGCATTCTCTGGAGAACAAGGAGAGCGACTCATCGGAGACGCCGCCAAGAACCAGCTGACCATCAATCCGGAGAACACCATCTTCGATGCTAAACGTCTTATTGGACGGTTCTACAATGACAAGACCGTTCAGGCCGACATCAAGCACTGGCCATTCAAGGTATGCATTTGAAGAAAGCGTTCCGAATTCAACAGTATTCTTCAGATTCTCGACAAAGCCAACAAGCCACATGTCCAAGTCAAAGTTGGATCTGAGCAGAAGACTTTCACTCCAGAGGAGGTCTCCGCCATGGTTTTGACCAAGATGAAGCAAATCGCTGAGTCGTACCTTGGACACGAAGTGAAGAACGCCGTCGTCACTGTCCCGGCTTACTTCAACGACGCCCAGAGACAGGCCACAAAGGACGCTGGAACTATCGCCGGACTCAACGTTGTCAGAATCATCAATGAGCCTACGGCCGCGGCGATTGCCTACGGACTGGACAAGAAGGAGGGAGAGCGCAACATCCTCGTGTTCGATCTTGGAGGCGGTACCTTCGACGTTTCGCTTCTTACCATCGACAACGGAGTCTTCGAGGTTCTTGCTACCAACGGAGATACCCACTTGGGAGGAGAAGACTTCGATCAACGCGTTATGGAGTACTTCATCAAACTGTACAAGAAGAAATCTGGAAAGGATCTCCGCAAGGATAACCGTGCCGTCCAGAAGCTTCGTCGTGAAGTTGAGAAGGCCAAGAGAGCTCTGTCCACCCAGCACCAGACCAAGATCGAGGTAAAGCTTATAAGAATAGTTCATTTCCTATTTAATAATTTCAGATCGAATCTCTGTTCGACGGTGAGGACTTCTCCGAGACCCTAACGCGTGCCAAGTTCGAGGAGCTCAACATGGATCTCTTCCGTGCAACCTTGAAGCCAGTTCAGAAAGTTCTTGAAGACGCCGACATGAAAAAGACGGATGTTCACGAGATTGTTCTTGTCGGAGGATCTACCAGAATCCCGAAGGTTCAGCAACTCATCAAAGATTTCTTCGACGGAAAGGAACCATCTCGCGGAATCAATCCAGATGAGGCAGTTGCCTATGGAGCCGCCGTTCAAGGAGGAGTTATCGGAGGAGTTGAGAACACCGGAGACGTCGTTCTTCTCGATGTGAACCCGCTCACTATGGGTATCGAGACCGTCGGAGGAGTTATGACTAAGCTGATCACCAGAAACACCGTCATCCCAACTAAGAAGAGTCAGGTCTTCTCGACTGCTGCCGATAGCCAGAGTGCTGTCTCCATCGTTATCTACGAGGGAGAGCGGCCAATGGTGAAGGACAACCACAAGCTCGGAAACTTCGATTTGACTGGAATCCCACCAGCTCCACGTGGAGTCCCACAAATCGAAGTCACTTTCGAAATTGACGTCAACGGAATCCTGCACGTCAGTGCCGAGGACAAGGGAACCGGAAACAAGAACAAGATCACTATCACCAATGATCACAACCGTCTGAGCCCCGAAGACATCGAACGCATGATCAACGACGCCGACAAGTTTGCCGCTGATGACGCTGCTGTGAAGGAGAAGGTCGAGTCGAGAAACGAGCTCGAGTCGTACGCCTACCAGCTGAAGTCTCAAATCGGTGATAACGAGAAACTTGGAGGAAAGCTGTCTGATGACGACAAGACGACGATCGAGTCGGCCGTGGAGAGAGCTATCGAGTGGCTTGGAAACAACCAGGAAGCTACTACCGAAGAGAACAAGGAAGCTAAGAAGGTAAGAACTGACCGTAGTATTGATCGGAAATAATGATTTTATTTCAGGACCTCGAATCGGTTGTACAACCGATCATCTCGAAGCTCTACGGAAATCAAGGAGAGCAGGCCCCTGAAGAGCCAGCGGAGGACCACGACGAGCTGTAAGCAGTCCGAGTCACCACATCCAAACTTGTTTGATCCGGGTCCCTATCCTTTAGATGCTTTACCCCGCCACACTTTCCATCTGTCCATCCCTTCCCCACCCCAATCCCCTGTTACGAGTTGTAGCCTAATATATTTGGAGCCACCATGCTCTATTTTTTTATTGATTGCATTTCTTGTAATAAATAATTGTGATGAAAACTGTGTTTTATGTGTTCAATCTCGACGATATAGATGCTCGGGGAGAGGGCAAACTACACTCTCCGCGAAGATCTTTCTCTTCTTTTGTTTGTCAACTCTTACTTTAAAAGTGCAGAGCTGTTCGTTTCCTCGTTTCGCCATCTGTTGTCACACGAGACACGAGCCGAAGAGGACGAAAAATGTTTTATTGCCTACCGATTCGGACAGCATTCAAGGGGCGAATAAGTTAGAACGGAATCAGATCTATGACATGATATCACACTGTACACAGGAGAAATCACAGAAAGAAAATCAAATGATATGGAAGGTGGGGAAGGACTAGATTGGATTACGGTAGCCGAGACGGAAAGGGCTCATTCCATCGGACGGTGCACTTCGAACGCATCCGAGAACAGCTGATCGACCTCCATCACGTGCAGAACGTCCGAAAGTTCAATGTTATCGGAAGTGAGATACTTGAGATTCTGAAATGAAATAAAATTTGAGTACGATCGGAGAACGGATGCATACGGTGATCGAAGTGAAAATGAGAGCGATGTCTGCTAACCGGGAGGCGCTTTTGGCTTCCAACTGAGCGAACGGGGATACGGTAATCATAGACTGCGTGTAGTGATCTCTCGCGTTGTTCAGAACGTGCGTGCTCGCGTACGACATCTTCGGGGGAAGTGGGTCTGAAAAAAAAGAGATCGAGGGATTGGGAAAGAGAACGAAACGACTCACATTCATAAAATATGGCGAAAACACTTCCAACGAGAATTTCAGCGTCCGTGATGTTAATATTCGCAAGTGGTTTGGAGACTGTTTCCACGGACAGCTCGGTCGCTCCTCTGATAAGAAATTGAGATGAACAGGAGGGAAAAGGTAGAAGGAAGGCTTACTTGACGTCTGGGAAGGCCTGTTGAGCCTTGTCCACCGGATGATACGCTCCGTTCGCATAGCACACCCCCGGACACGAAATCTTCGCCGTCCAGCAACACGTTAACCACCAGTAGAAGAAGGAGAAACGACTCTTGGCGAACACCATCTGAAGAGAAGAGCACGTCAAAGTGAGAAAACGTTTTTGAATAAAAACACGTACTCTGTCATTCTCATCTAATCTCGAAAACTCTGGAATAACGGAGAGCACGTCTGTGTAGAGGACGAACACCCGTCGGAAGTCCTGGAGCACTTCTTGTAACGTGGCGATGCGTTCTCCTGTCGGCGTCAGTTTTGTTCGATTGCAAATGAGATGCGGATTGTAGAAGGCGTGATCAAAGCTGTACGTGTTTGGGAGCGGCTCCGGAGAGCCCTCATCGACACGCTCGAATATCCGCGAGAGGGTGGCCAGCAGATGATCGTACCTCTGCAAAGATGGGGTACTGTAGACAGAGGGAAGTGGCACGCCTACCTGCGTAACTGGATTGGGCGGCAAAATGGCAAGACAGTTTGAGTATACTGTAGAAACGGAGGAGCACGAGGAAACAGAGCAGATGGAAGAGGAGGAGGAACTTACGAAGGGCAGTTCGCAGCGGTTGGCCGGAGACGTGGGGATGCTCGACGACATCGTCGACATTTCGGTCTGACATTCCACTTCTCTGCAAACGGATCGTTGTGGGGACGGAAGCAGGGAAGAGGTGGATACTCGGACTTTGTGTAGGGATGCGATTCGACCGAGACAAGGTTGGGACTCGCGGAGCTCGTCGAAGCGGCGTCGATGTCTCCCTGGACAGCCCGCGGATTCATTCCCACTTTGAGACATGTCGTCAGTCGGCACGCACGACACGCGTTTCGCTGCTCTGAAATAAACTGCTTATGAGATACGGCAGTTGAGTTTGGCTCCCGGAAAGCGAGAAGACCGACAGAACACTCAAAGATCGAGCTCATTTCGGATAAAAGTTCCGCTCAAAGTACTCGTTGGTTGAGACCAAAAGAGCAGTGCCATCGCATTCGTAACTGTTCTATTGATTCTAGTTTGTTACTTCGATGCTATTCTTTTCGGACACTGGATCACAAGTACTGTGACCTTCTTGATCTTACAGTAACCCGTGAAATAATAGGTCAGGTCAACCCGATTCCCTCGATCTTTGTCTTCTTCAGACTGATCTTTGAGGTCTTCCCGAACATACCCTTGGCGACTCCGCATTTGCCTTGGTACCTACACGCGTACGTTCTGTTCTTCCAGATGCTTCTCCGGAAGAATCCTTTGCATCCGTTGCACGCGTTCACTCCGTAGTGCTTCCCGAGCGCCTGTAATCCTTCCTTTTCCGTCCGTACGTCCCCCGCTCAGTCGCTTACCGTATCTCCGCAAACTGCGCAAAATATACTCGCCTTGTGATTGGCCACAAGGCTTTGAGAGGGCAACTCCTTCGACACCAAGCGCATAGTTGTTCCTGTAAGAAGAGGAGAGGTTTTCAGCTACTCAAATGGGTTTGGTCGTTGATTTTTTGTGGATTAAATGGATGGAGCGGGCTGAGAGAGAAGTGAAACGAGTCGCACATACAAATCAGATATCAAGCACAGCTGGCTGCTAGACACGGCTCGCGGAGCTGATGACGATGGGAGGCGGCGACGGAAGGAAGAAGCGGTGATTCATGGGCACACGTCTGCGTCTCCGTCCGACACATTCTCCCCGCTTTCGCATATTTTTGAGGCCGTCCGTTGCCATGCGAAATGGAAGCGAAAACGGGCACGTTTTGTGTTCTTCGGATGACGTGGCTACTCGTTTAATGTTTGAGAATACGGTAGAGAATGATTGAGAGAAAGAAGAAGAAAAAGGAGAACAATAAGAGGTGGGAATGGACGAATACGTACTAGCAGAAGTTGAAACGGAGAGCGAAAGAGAAAGGTCTTTCGTTGATGACGTCCTCAGATCAAATTAGTTGATGTCATTCGAGGGTGCCGATGATCTAGTCAGAAATAGATCGGAACTCTCGCTCTCGTTATCCCAGATATTAGTTGCATCTAGTATGATTCCGGATAATACGGCAAGTGTCTCGTTCAAAACAATCCATTCAAACTCCTGACTGCATGCGGGCGGAGCCAAATGCTTCCGTTCGAACTGAGAGTAAGAGAAAGACGGAAGTTGTCCGTGTCAGATGACAAAAAATGAAGGGGTGGGCGCGAATACATTGCAAAGGGATTTGGAATGGATTTGAGATTGAGTCTCAGCAGACAGAGGAGTGCACTCATCACTCACCGGACGGATTCATCGTGGGAATAATCGGAAGGCGACGGAATGAGGTGAAGTATCCTCCTTCGGAGAGGCGGACGACGTGGCGCTGACCTTCCCCACGTGCGTACGCAAAAAGTGTTTACTTCCGATTGTTCGGTGCTCGTCTAGCCATGCTTTCCGAAATCGCGATGGGGAGGGCTACTGTACTTGGACAAACTACTCCGTCCTTTCCGTCGTTTCTTCCTCACACTTTGCAAAAGTTCGCGCCGAACTCGACCTTTCTTCTCTGCGGTTTACTATGCGGGGCGGGGACCAAACAGAGTTGTTTTGTTGGATTTCCAATGCGTTTCGGAAAGGTTATCTGACGAGGAAATGTCGGAGAAAAGGAAGAGCTATTGAATGGAAATGGAAAGTACTGTAAAGTTTGGTCTCTGATTTTAGTTCTAGAATCAAATGAATGAAACATGGGTTTGTTGATAAAAGCCAGCGACGACATTCTTGATAGATCAACGTTGCAGTTCAATTTGTTTCAAACTCTACCTCGCTAAGCGTCTGCCCCGTCCAGATGAAGGTAGTTTGTTCTTGTGAAGTCTGATCGCCCGGCAACTCGATGTTCATTTTGTTTGCCTACTTAGCCATCGTGACGTGGCAACATCCCTTACCATTTCCTTGTTTTCTCACACAAAATCTGCCAGCGTTTGAAGTAGTACACACGTGCAGTTTTACCGGCTCGCCGAGCAAAAGTCAGTTCAGCAAAGCACACGTTGCGACCACGATGCGGGTGGGCAGAGCGGCTCGAAGATCAAAAATGTGGCGAGCCCGTGAAAAAAAAACGGTATCTTGGTTGCAAAATGTGTTTGCCGACTGCTTCCCTCCACAATCACCCCGAGCGTCCCCGTCCGAAACGAACGGCTCTCCGACCTCCGATACAGTATGACTCATCGCCAAAACGGGCTCAAAGTGCAAAAAATCGCTGCGCACCACACGGGCTCCGAAGGGAAAACAGAGCAGAGTCTAGTGGGCAGCAGCATCGAAACTAAATGATTCTTCTCTTTTCTCGACGGACGCGCGAGCCACTGGACCGCCCGTTTTTCCACTGATTGGTGGTGTCGTCGCGCAAATAAAAAGGTGAGAAGGTGCAAATAGACGCCGGCCCAGGAGAGAGAGAGAGAGAGAATGTTTCATTGCGGCCTGCCTGAGGCCAGACTGTCCGGCCGGCCGGCCCTCCGCGCGGAAAAGTGCGGGTACAAAGTACAAAATGACCGCGCGGTAAGCATGTATGCATGCGGTCCTCTTTTGCCGTCAAGCTGGAGAGGACAGAAGAACGAGAGAGCAAATGGTGGGGTACGAAGTACACGCTGTCTCCCGAATCAAAAGAATAGTGTAGGAGGAGAGGAAAGACCGGAGGAAACGAAGAAGAGGAAAAGAGGAGGAGACTTCCCTTTGGCAGCATATATTCTAGTTCAGAAGGACTGTAGAAGCATCCACATCGAACTGTGCCTCCAATCCGATTGAGGGATGAGGGATCAGCCGACTTTCGAAAATCCATCAGATCCAAAAGAGAAGAGCCCCTCAGAATCTACAAATTACTACAAAAACCAACACCGCTTCATTGTTTGTAACAGTCCCAGTTGAGTCAACAGTCGAGCCTCCACTACGTTTCGTTACAAATCACACTTGGCCGATGAAAACCGTGAATCTCGTTATCAAGGAGGCGAATGATAGAATGAGAGAAGGAGAGGTTCAATGATCCGGTCGGCGGGGCATCTCTTATAGTCGTTTGGAGCGTAGAACGCACATCACTCTGGAGGCGGGACCGAAAGGTGTCACATGGGGTACGACTACGGTTTGTAAACGATATCCGCGCAGAGAATGATTAAAAAGATGCGCGGAAACGCGAGAGAACGTCCATTTTTCATCAGTGAAAAAGCACTTTGCAGGAATCAAGGTGAGATGGATCAAAAACTAATCGAGACTTGACTCGAGTTGAAGTCCATCTACAATAATATATTTACAAGTGGTACGGAAAGAGAATAACAGAGAGAACGATCAAGAAGGCGTCGTTCCGTTTGGACATTGACCAGACTGTTCTCGTCACGAATAAATGAGTGCATTCTCTGAATCATAATGTTCCACATAACCTCCAATGTATACCCACGTCATCAACAATTCCCAAATAGACTGCAGTCTGATCCAGTCCAACTGCCCAGGTGGCATCCAATGAACCGCAACAAAGTTCGTTTCTCACTCCTTGCAAATGATATTTTCGAAGAGCGGTCAGATGCTTTTCAAAGCGTTGATCGCGTCGGACCCTCGCGCAGAAACTACTACCAGATCTCTAATCATTCCTCTCGCCCTCTCTCTCTCTCACTGTCTTCTTCTCTTTATCGGTCGGTACACTTGTTTTGACTGTCGCGACACGTGGCTCTTATCAAGTACATTTAAATCCGTCCCGTCTTTTCCCCAATCGCTTCCAGATATTTATGCAAATAGACTCATTCATCTTCCAGTTTCATATCGCATTCAGCCGTCTCTCCGAAAACGTTCAAAAAATCACGTAGCCGGGTCAGAACGTAAATAATCTGGTAGGGCGCCCCGAAAACGGCAACAATGTGATTAGAATCGAAGATCGAAACTGGCTTCGGTCATTAATTTTAGAGAGCATTGAACATATTATTAGGCCGGAAAAGGATTAGAGTCACGTCAGACGGCAGGCGGATATTCGCACCAGGAATACAAGTCGAAATGAATGAATTGAATGCCAAACTCAGATAACATTTTGAACAAATAGAAAGGAAAACGAGTGGAGAGAGGGAGAGAGAGAGTGAACAGAAACTAGAAAAAGAATGTGACCAAAACTTTTCAATAGACTGCCAGTTGATTTTTGAAACCGAACAAGATGAAAGATGAACAACCTTTTGTAAAGTTCGTAAGATATTCCAGAAGATAAAGTCTGTTATTGAAAAGGACAGTGCAGCAAAAGGGAAGGGATAAAATGCAGAAGAAACGGGAAAAGTTCACGAAAGAGAAAGAGATCTTTGCGATAACGGGTCATTAGAGGGCTGTAAGAAACTCAGCGACACCCATCAAAAAGGGCGCACAAGTGTCTTATCGTTTCTTCGTTCCGAGCATAAACTACAGTCAACTTTGCTGCTTCCGAACCCCTCCGCCGAACTTTGTTCTTAATGTTTGCTCTCGCTCAATTACGAGATGGTTTCGCGCAGGCGGGAGCTCAAAAAACGGATGAAATAAACAGACGGGAACATTGAACATATCGTGCATCTTTGTTGATTCCTGGGTTTGCCTCTGGAACTCTCATTCCTTTTTCAATCTCTGAGAAAGCAAAATAACACGCGGGTAATTTGGTATTGACGTCGGTGAACGAGGAGATTTTCTACGAAAAAACAAAAGGAAAACGAACAGAGAATGTTCATGGACAGAAAGTTATCAACAGAGAAGTCGCTAATAGAAACGGCTGAGAATGCATGACATCATATTAAGAGATAAATGGAGAGGTCCGGAAGATGACCAGAAGGAAAAAAGAAGAAGAAGAGCAAGGATAGGGTTTCCCTGGGACAGCCCCACGCGCAAACAATTGTACTTTTGAGAAGAAGGCGTGAGTGGAAGCGAAAGGAGCAACGAAACAAGAGCTGCGCGGACAGCAAAAAAAGCGGACGCAAAGAGGTGTGAAAAACCGAAAGGGAGGGGGTAAAGGGAACAATAACAGATGATGAGCAATCGGGGTTTTAAAGGAGGAACAGAAAGAAGGTGGTTCAGTTCAGAAGATCACTAGAGTGGGTATAGCGTGGTCGAGATGTTTCAACGACGGCAAAGGGAAGATATTCACAAACAGAAGATAGGAAGGAAGCAATGAACGAATTGAACAAACCGAAATGACTTACTTGATCTGGGGCCCATGGCGGATGACGTGGATGCCTGAAGAAGAGGAAGATCACGGGAAAAGCACGAGAACAGAAAGAAAATCGAGGAGATAAAATAGAGAACAATGAATGATTCCATGTCTAAAAGTGAAAAGAAAGAGAGGTCAGAAACGAGATGTCTATTTATTTAGGTAGGGTACTTCGGATACGGTAACTGTTTAGACCTGAAGGCTTGTGAGAAAGTTGGCTAGTTGGCTAGACTGAAAATGTGTGAAAGCAGTAAATGGAATTATGATAAGGGCGGTATTCAGACAGTATACGCATCTGCCCCGGGGCCCTCCTTCTACAGCGTTTACGAGAACCGAAACGTGCAAAAATGTACACGGCGGAGGTGTGAGAAGCAGAGAAACGGAAGAGTGTTGCGTCGGAAGAGACGCAGACACGGAAGACAACTATCGAAACACGCGCTCGAAATGTTCTTTGCTCGCAGCGGGGCGGGTGGAAAAAACGGGGGCTGGAGACACAAATTGGAACATTATTTTATCAGCGACTACACTTTGCGACACACGGACACAGTCTCTCCCGGCAGGTCAGATGACTATTCCGACACGGTTAGGCGAGAAAAAAGTGATTGGCGAAGGGAGAGGATCGGAAGGAAATCGCAGGAAAGGAGCCGAAAGTTACACTGCTCGGAGCAGTTATCACTTGTTAACAATCACGTGGGCGAAACGCTTTTTCTGCACCAGAAACGTTCATTGGTCTATAATCAGACACCTTCATTTCATTTCATTTCAGTCGTTCTCTACTTCCAAACACATCTCTCTGTATTTCCAGCGCTGCGAGCAAAACAGGAGATTGGCTCTCACACACTGCTCCACTTCTCGTCGCCTCTTTTCAATTTTCTTTTTCTCCCTTTTTCTTGTTACTCATAACTGAGGAAGAAGGCCGGAAAACTGAAGAAAATTAGAAAAGAATAAGGAGTGAGAGGGTCGGAGGAAGGCGGAAAAACAATGTTTATTGCTCCGAAAACAAGAATCAATTATGTATGTATGGGCGGAAAAGAAGTAGAAGCTGAAGGTGATCGAAAGCGAGTAAGAAAAGCCTCTTTCACGGTGATTGTTCCTGGGGGTAGCGCGAAGGTTTCTAGTCCCTGGCATCGCCGTTCTACTTGTCCAAAACTGGCTTTTCGGATTTTTCTCAAAAACTGGAACGTACAATACTTAATCACAAACGTACTTTTGTTCTGAATTTTATAAGCTTTCTTTGAGAAAAGAAAACAGCAAAAAAAAGTTGGTCCCGACCGGTTTACTTTTATTAGCAAAAAAATGAAGTTTTGGTGCACAGAAGAAGGCTTGGAGAGCGCGCCCTTCTTGGCTGTTCTGAGACTTCAGATGCGTGCCGTTCTACGAATACCGATTCATTTCACTTCATTTTTTGGGAACGAGTTCATTATGATGTAAACTAACAAAGAGACACAAAAAACACGCACGAGCTGTCATGTTTCGAAAAAATTGTTTTGACAGTGACCCCTAGACATTTCTACGAGTTTCTTGTCGCTCTTTGTTAGTTTTGATCATACAATGAATAAGATGGATCAGTATTCCTCGAACAGCACGCATCAAAAGTTTTGGCGCGCGGAAAAAGGCTTGGGACCGTGCCGCCTGTAGGCGAAATAATCAGCCGACAGTTCACGGGACGAGCGCCGAACTTTCTTCCTCTCTCCACTGCGCCCCCGGAAAAAATCACCGTGTCTTTGGAAGTAACGGAGAACGAAGAAGGTTGAAGCTGATCAGCTGTAATAAATGGGATTTATATAGATAGCGGGGGAACATTTGTTAAGGAAAGGGAAAGCACAATATCTGAGCATGTTTAGAGTATTTGAAGCTTGCAGGGAGTGATCTAGACTTAAGTCGGTTTTTTTTACTAGGTTCGAAAAAGGATTGTTAAACAATTCTGGAACCCGAGAACCCTCATTTCTAACTGTTTTTTTGCACACCAATTTTCACTTGAGCAAATTCAGACTGTAGAAGTAGAACTCCAGATGCGATTTTATCAAGAAAGTCGCTTTGCAAGAATGAATGCGAGATCCTTCGAACATGTAGTTCCTGTCCCGGAAAACAGAACCATTCTGCAAACGGATTGATTGTCATGACTGACACAGTACTATTATCTATGCCGCATGGACTATGCCTCAATTTTGTGACTAATATGGTGAGTAACTTCTTCACAATGTTGTTGTGGGAAAATTCATGTAACATCAGAAAGTGGTTTTCTATTAGTTTCGATAAACTTTGATCAAATATTATGACGCCCATCCTAAAATCTTTCTCGGTCTCTATTTTCCAAGAGTTGCTGTTTGGCGTCTTTCCAGACAGTCTACCAATTACAATTCCTCCTGAGAAACAGATCCGATCGGTCTGAAACTTGGACCCAAAATACTTCAATCCAAGCTCAACACGCCTGTAAATCTTGAATCCGATGGAAAAAGCTGGGCCGGCTTTTTGCCCAGCCCTGGTCCGTTTATACAATTTTCCAGGTGAATTTTGCAGACGTATCAAGATCATCGCCAAGTTTTCATCAAACTGATTCGAAAATATGAGACTGCTATCTCACAAGAGGCTCGTGCAAGATTTCTGCGGATCGAGACGTTCCCGGACACGTACAGTCGTTTTTCCGTTTCCGTTGTTCACAGCGTCATCACGACAGTTACATAATCACAGGCGAATCGGCAGTTTCTTCCAGAACGACGTCTTCTTCTCCATTCATTCCCATCTCCTTCCGCACACTTTTTCCGCATCATCGTCCGCTTCGATAGCTATCTCAAAACGTATACACACACATCACAGATTCAATAAAAGCCGATGAATGGCCGTAGGTGATAATACACTATGTATAACTGACTCTGAATTACATAATATACATAATAAAGATGATGTGAGGAGGCGGAAGGGAAGGGCGCCCGAACGAACGGACGAACAAGTTTACGGGTACGGTCGGATGGAGAATGGCACGCCCTGGAAGAGGAGGCGGAAGCGGGCGAAGACCTCTGGAATCGTGATGATGCCATCCGAACATAATGTACTTTTGGCCAGGAGACGCACCGCTTCTCCCTCCTGTTACCATCCGATATCACAACTGTACAGCACTTGCAACTGTCACCGAGAATGATAACCAAAGAAAACACTGGCAAAAGATCATCTCCCTTAAGAAAACGGTTCACTGTTTATTCCGTCGGTTCGGTCGTGAACTGTGTCATCGAATAGGGTTCCGTGCCCGAATTGATTTACGGCTAGTTCCACTTTTCCCATTTTCACGCTAAAGATATGATTCTGATAAGTTGCTAGTCGGAGTAGACGATTTTCTCTCTCAATTTCACGGCCAAATGTGAAGCGTTCAATTTTCATTCTACTTTTTAGTTCAACCATTATAATTGAAAGTTAGCATCAAAAGTTTGAGCTCTGTCCAGTTTTTGAGTAACTTTATAAACCGAATTGTATCCGGGCGATCCTTCCCTTCTAGCCACCCTCTTTTTTTGCGATTCCAATCTGTTTCCAGCCCTCTCCTCATCATCATTCCCCCCGATATCACCTCTCCTGCAGCCCATATCATCGTTTCCCGCCTGTCGCCTCCTGTCCCATTCTTTGACTTATTTATTGATAGTCTCTCTCTCTCTCTCTCTCTGCCACATCCCATCCAAATCGGACCCCGCCGCTCTTGAAGAATATGTCGCTTCTCGAGTACATCAAAAAATTTGTGTGGCAGAACGCATCTTAGCAACATGGCCTATAAACGGCCGGCTCCTCCGCAGCTCTTTCTTCGCTCCCCGTTAGTACTCTAGCGCCCGCCGGAGTCGGAAGAAGAACTGCTCGGAGCACGAGCAGGTCGCCGTCCCGTTTTTTAGATGACCTCAGGGCACATTCCCATGCTCGGTCCCAATTTCTGTGCGCCCTCACTTCCCATCCTAAAGTGCAGTTTTATGGAGCAGATACCTAGTTGCAACACACTCGACTCGCTCGCAATTTTCCCACAGTTCACACCTGAGGTGGGCAATCACGAGACACCCCTCCGGAGCCTAACGCCCACCGACTCCGCCCCCCGCTCGTCATTTTCACTCCATGCGCCCGCAACTTGTGATCGGGATTACTGTAACACTCGCTCGTTCTTCAGAGATCACGTCACTCTCACTCTCATCCAGTTCTAGAAAGGATTACTGTAAGCCCATTATACCTGACGAAGATGATCGCCATCAGTTGGTTCTTTTCTTCGTAGGAAACATTCGTCTCTGTGTTTTTTTTCTGATTTCACTTACTAATCCACCCCGTTGGTCATATCGCCAGAACCACCGCGAGGGCCACAAAAAGGCTGACCGTTCCATTACACACTCTCTCTTTCTCTTCTTCTCTCTATCCGTCCATATCCGTCTATGTTCTACATCTGAAACGTCTGGAATTAGGTTTGTTTCGTGCCGCCACGACCATTACATCGTGTGACCAGTCGGAGTGTCTCTGGATCTCTTCCGCACTGTCGTCTCCCTCTGTCGCTATCATAATGGGATGTTCTAGTAAAAGCTTATAATATATATATACATACACATCTATAACAAAAGTGAACAAAATGGAAAAAGCGCACGCTATCAGCGCGCGGAAGGGCGGTCTCCAGGCGGAAGAGTGTGTGGGCCGCAGCGACGGAGACATCCGAATGTGTGGCATAAACTGGAGGCTATTACCTGATGCCGATGCTTATAGTTGACGACATCATCATCATCATTGTTACATTCCGCATTCCGCTTCCGTGTGTAATTCCAGGAAGACACCTCTGCCCTCTGCCTCTCTTTCTCTCTGTGTCCGGTTACCGTAGTCGTCATGAGCCAGACACTCTAATTATGCGTTCTGCTGTTCTCTTGGCCTTTGATTAGGTCAGCCACCACCCTTCGCCAGACTAATCGGGGGATATCCCCCTCCCTCCAAAGGTTCGCTGATTACGTATCGCCCCAACGTATTCGTTTCGTAACTTGCTCAACCTTTGCGCCTGCTACTCTTTCAAAAGCTCACACTTTCACCTGCCCTCATTTCATTTATCCTTGAAACTAACTCTGACCTCTACTACTTTCCCCTTCAATTCCCATCAAAATTGCCAAGATTGTTCCCATGTTATCATCACAAAGTGTCGAAGAATGTGGAACATTGGCCGACGGTGTCTCCGTTCTAGAATGCGTGTTATCAGGCGGTCCAGTCCCCCCCTCTCCCCTTCTTCGGCTTCTTCTCCCGCCCCGACGTTTCTTCCAAGTATCATTTGATATCAGGTCCGCCGAAATGCTTCCTCAAATGCACCAGCACACTAAATTTCCGGTGCCCGACGGATCCACGTCTTCTCCGCCGAATAACGTATCGTCGGCTTCCACCTTGCCTTCCTGCCGAACCCATTTTCAGACGCTTCCGCCGCCCATCATACCCTACTCGCTTCTCTCCGCATTCTACTCGCTCTCCGCCGCCAACATTTCGACGTCTCCGGAAATTAATGAAGGTACTCTGGCTCTTTCTATTTTTCTATTCTAAATATATTATTTCAACGCGATGGATTCAGGCGAAAAGGTGAAATCCGTGGGTCGTTCGTACAACCCGGGCAGGCCGTTGTGTCTCGAGGATCGGAAGAAGATCGTCCGTCTGTACGAGGAAGGATGTCGTGTCAGCCACATTGCCAGACTCATCGGAGTCACTCACAGTTGTGTGAGCAAGATAATGTCGAGGTGAGGAGGCATACTGTAGTTAAGACAATAAGAAGAAGTTTCGATAGTTATGTAAATGAAATGGGTACTCGACGAGCGCCCAAATTGCCATCGTGTGAACTTTAAATTAGTGCTCCAAGTTGCGATTAATGTCCAATAAATGTCGCGAAAGTCTTGAGCAAACAATGAGCTCTCAGTTTCTCTGCGGAATTCAATTGCGGGTCCCGATTTAAAGCCACTAATTTGGATGTCTACGTTGTGGCAACTTCCGCGGTGCCCACGCGCTTCCAGTCAATTACCAGTCTCTCCTTCGCTTCTTTCAATCATAATTGCGCATTTCCCTTTTGAATTCTCAAAATAGACATCTCACTTCTGACCGACAACCTTTGCAGATATCGTCGCACGGGAAGTGTGCAGCCACGTAGCTTCCGCGCCACTGAGAATCAGGAGAACGACACGGCGAGTGCCACGTGGCAGAAGCAGCAGCAACAGCAGAAGAAACAGAAGCCGTTGCCGCTGCCCTTCTCCATAGAAAGGTCGGAATAAGGAAGAGGAATGCCTCAAATGAGTTAGTTGCAGAATCTTGTCGCCAGACCTCAAAAAGGACCTTCCGTACCCGAAGGTCACCTCGATCCACCAGTGATTCCTCTCCCGATCTTCTTCTCGTATGCAATGATAATCCACTCGCAACGACCCATTTAACCCCCATGACATCAACCAATAAAGTCTCTGTGTAGTGCCAAAAGGACTCGCAAAAAGTTTTTGTGGCCGAAAAGCTTAATCGAGCAACGCAATTTGCGGCAACGATGTGCCCGCCGCGCCGTCCCGCGCACTCGTTTTCTCATTTCGCTTTCACGAACCACTTCATAAAACGACGTCTTCCGTACGTCCACCCCCGCCTCCTTCCGATCCGACATCTGCCTTCATCAGTCTCTAATTCGGAATCGTAATTGCTGTCGGCACCGGAGCAACATGTTGTCGCCAGCTCCCCAATTATATATCGCATTTACTCAGAGACAGATATTCTAGTGTCTTCCAGTGGACAACGATGTCCCTCTCTGATGACCATCATAAATTTGTAAGCAGAATGCATTTTTAATGCCGCCCAAATCTTTGGAATACTCTTACATGATCCCCCAGCTACGTTTTTTGGCTTAGGCCAGACATGCGATGATAACTCCAGAGATCTGTCAGAATGTTCTGCTCACCGGAGTGTGAATTACAAAGTATTGGTGTTGCAGAATTTTAACTCTATCCTTTGCAAGTTTTTGTGCGCGCTGACTGACTCAACAGAAAATGAGCCTTGAAGTTCAAACAAGTTATTCTCTACCGTATACCGTATCCCGAGCCTATAAAATCTGTACTCCGTCTGAATTAAACACCTCCTGACATATCGCCTTTCACCTGTCGAAAACCCGGACGTGAGAGTCGGAAAGGTCAGGATACAGCCGATTTCATCAGCCTCTCGTTTTTTGGGCGTGCGGACCCGACAAACTCCTGCAATCATGTATCGGATATCACATTTCCTTCAACGGCTTCAACAGCTTCTGCCCTAGTCGTCTCCGCACGTCTCCCTCTTCCGTCTGACGGGCTCTCCGCAGTTTCACATGCTCTTCCGCTCCGGCAGGCAGCTGCTCTTGCTCTGTCGCCAGTCGCCAAGCGTCTCGTCTCTCTCGGCCCTCCGCTGCTCTCTCTCCACATCCACCCATTTCAATAGCTTCTTCTTCTTCTCCTCCTCTTCTCCTTTTTCTTCTTTTTTACTCCTTCTTCTCCCCCCGCTCCTCGTTTTTTGCTCGTCTCCTGCTTCTCCAACCTACCCGTGTGATCTTCTTTCGTGCTCCATTGTTGTTGTTGTGGCGGAGTAGAAGAGGAGACGGCAAGCGTGGCGGATGATGTAAAACTATGACAAGTATCATATTTCGAGGCAGTAGGTAAAGGCAAAAACACACGATTGTGCCAATTTATCGGGCTCTGGCTCTACGCCGGCCTCTTCTTGTCCGGCTCCCCTCGCCATCTTCTCGCCGCGTCTTCTTCGCCTGCAAATCCCGACTAATTCGACTGCTGCCTTATATAGTAGCTCCGGCGTCCCATCGGGGGCATTACGCGGTTGCGCCCGCCTCTTCGTGGCCGCCAACGACGCCGAAACTCTGTTGCCACTGGTGACGCTGACGCTTCTCTTCCACTGAATTCTCATTTGACAGACATTTGACAGTTGGTCCCTGGCCCCAAGTGTTTTGGGTCAGACACGTCTTTTCCTCACTTGTCACGAAGAGAAACAGCACTTTTTGAGAGAAAGAAGGAGAGGAAAAAAAGAAGAGCCGTTATGAAATCCAAGCCATGAACTTATGTGCCCGAGGGCTTTCAAGCTTCGAATAAGTGAATTGAGCCAGAGATAGAGATGGACGGAGCCCACGTTGTCAACTCGAATCTTTTTTCGTCTTCTCTCTTTTTGTGGTCCTCATCTCACGTATTTCCTGTCGTCTTCCAGTCGAGAAGAGGCTGTAGAAGGAAGAGTTTACGACCTTCATCCACATGCGCAACTAGCCTAATTTCTAATTCCGCGTTTCCGTCAACTTTTTGCCTTCTCCATTCCGCCTTCTCCTCCCTCTTTTTTCTTTTGCTCTGCCGTGTTCTGTTCGCTTTCCGCCTTCTTGTTTTTTATCCATTTCTCATTGTTTTGCCGACTCACACCAACTCCGCCATCTGGCTCCTCTCATTACGTGATGATTCCTTCGTCTCTTCTTCAACGTTTCCTCCACTTTTTTGCACTTTTCACCTCGGGCGTCCGTCCGGACTGAAATCGGATCCGCGGCTCCTCCCGCTCCCCAGGGAGGGAGGCAAGATTATGAGCGCTTGGCCTGCATAACTCGTTGCCACGTTGGCCCATTGACCCACTGACGTCAACGATTTTTCGTCTTCTACTCGGAAGAGAATAAGAACCACGTCACTCTCGGCGCGCTTTCATCGCCGTGCTCTCGAAGAGCGCCGGCCCTCCTGCTCTCGTGTTTTTGGGACGCATCACGAGGTGAATGGGGAGTGGGCTTAGTAATCGTCCGGGAACTTGCCATTCTTTCCTACGAGCCATCTGAAATTTTCTTCTCCCTCCTGGACTTACTAATGAAGAAAGCTTTAGCAGAAGGATGAATTAAATCCGTATCACTAACGAGATCACATTCAGAACACATTCATTCGCCACCATCGGAGTGTGCCTAATCCCTCGCGAGCATTAAGATCTTCCTTGCAGACTCTCTCACCGGTTCTTATTGCTCTTCATCTTCTGCTCTCACTGCCCTTTTCTGCGCCGTCCCATCTACGTCGGCAATCTCCGGTTCACCCTCTCTTTGCGTGTTTTTTGCGGATGCCAATTAGTGCGGCGGCTCGTCGCCAGACAGGTCCGAGCCCTCTTGATATCAATGCGGCACGCGGAATGCACCCGCCGCAAACACATATCATCGCGGCGACAAGATCACTTTCCGCAGAAGAACACGAGTAGTGTGCCGCCTCCCCTCATCCTGTTTTGTGACTCCTCCGTTTTTGGTACTTGTGCCGTCGCGGCGCCGCTACAAATCCCCGTGCATTAGAGGCCCCGTCTCACTCGGTTTCTTGCGCAGCTTCTAAGTTTGTTCTGATATTTCTGGAGAGAAAAATGTGAGTTTTCTAGTTTGATCCGCGTGAAAGTTCCCCTCACACAGTAACCAGCAAACCAATTAACAGAAAGCCTGCCACGTAGTAACACTTCTCTCAGCTTTGTTTTTCTGACTCGAAGAGGAACATTCCTGATGAGGTGACCGATCACTGTTTCTTTCTTTCTTTTCTGCTTTCTGTCGTCGTTTCCTCGTTCTTCACCTCCGAGTGTACGTGAGAGCGTGAGAGGAAAACAACTAGGTACATGCTCAGCAATTAAGAAACCATCAGAAAGTAGCACATGTCGACGGGAGGCATCAGCGGAAGCTGCGAGACGGAGGAATCCGCGTGAGCAGCTTCACAACTGTCGCCCGAACATTCCGAAGGGACAACAGAGGCCACAGAGAGGATATGAGGGCAGAGAAACGGAGAAACGGAGTCGAGCATGAAATGAACACTTTCAATTTCTGAGTGACGTGTTTTGAATGGGGTCCAAGACCTCTAAGATCATGAAAGAATCAGAGATGGGTCACGAACAAAGGCCAGAAGACTCCCTTTCAGTCTTTATTGTTGCTTCTCTCCTACTCCACGAAAACACGCTGTATTTGCCAGTCGGCTTTCGTTCCCACACGAGTACAAATATTTTGAGCCATCATCCCATTCCAACTGTTTCCATCCATTGCCTCCGCGCAAAAAAGCGGTTTCCATGACAAAGTGGTCGGTCGTTCTATGTTTTTTTTCGTCGCTTCCTCCTCCACTTCCTAATTGAGTGCTTTCGATTCATTGCCCGACGCCTTCTTTCCCGCCCTTTCAACCCCCGAACACTTACTTTCATCACTCACCTGTCCACTTGCCCCTATCTTACAGGAGTTGCAATAATGAACGCGGAGCAAAGCAAGAGTCTGCTTTCTAGCGGACACCTCTCGGCGGACCCCTACATAAACAACTGCTACTCCGAGATGTGCATGTCAACGGCACAAGTTGGTGAGTTCATTCCTGCCGCCTGCCATGGGATCACTCGTTCTCATTCTAGCCCCACAGCCGGGCAAACACAAGATTGGATGGATGATCGCCGCGATGTTCATCGTGGCCGATATGGTCGGCGGAGGAGTCGTCGCCATGCCGGTCGCGTTAAACTCTCCGGACTGCCCATGGGTATCATCATCATGCTCACCGTCGCCGTCAGTTTCGAGTACACCGGCTATCTGCTCGGAAAGGTCTGGAACAAACTGATGGAGAGGAATCCGCACATCGGCGTCTGCCGGAAACCCTTTCCTGAAATGGCGAAACGAACGATGGGAACCGGAATGCAGTGAGTTCATTTCAGATTTATTTGGGAACAGAAGAAGTTTACAGACGGTTTACATCTGTGCTCGGAAATGTTACTCAGTTCGGAGTGTCTGTTGTTTATCTCCTTTTATCGGCAATATCATCCACTATTTCATCAGCCATGTTCTTCATATTGACAGTGTTTCTAATTGCATTGTAAGTTCATTCACAAAAGTCACAAAAGTCACCATGAAACCATCTGAAACCTCAGGTCATAGCCGCTCTCGCAGTTCTCATCTGGCCCTTTACATTATTGGCCAGCCCTGGCGAGTTCTGGTAAACACTTATGCTCATTGCCACGTCATAACTTGCCGTCGCATTGCAGGATTGTCATTGTGTTTGCCATGCTCACCACGGTCGTCGCCGTCGTCTCCATCCACACCGGAATCGCTCTCGACTCTTCCGCGTGCTTCTCCAATGTGGCATATCCACAGACCACGAGCACTTCCACTGTTCTCTCCTTCGGAATCTTCCTCTTTGCCTTCTCCGGACACTACGTTTTTCCGACGATCCAACATGATATGAAGAACCCGAGAGACTTCACCAAGTCCGTTCTCGCCGGTTTTCTCGGAGTCATCCTCCTCTATCTTCCTCTTTGCGTTTTCGCGTTCATTGTATACGGAGACTCCATGGCCGAATCGGTAATCTACAGTATACAGAGTCCGTCCCTTCAGGTAATCTCAACCTCTTATTGCCAGAAATAAAGAATGCCACTTTTCCAGTTGCTGGCCAATCTCATGATTGCTTTCCACTGCATCATGACTCTTGTCATCGTCATCAATCCTTTGAATCAGGAGGTTGAACACTACGCCAAGGTCTCTCACGCCTTCGGAGCTGGAAGAGTTATCACGAGAACAATTGTACTTGTCCTGGTTCTCTTTGTTGCCCTCACTGTTCCCGATTTCCAACCGGTCATGAATCTTGTCGGTCAGTACCTTTTAAACCTCTCTTTCACTCTGTCACGTGACAATACTTTCAGGTGCTTCTACCATTCCAATGGGTTGTGCTGTTCTTCCTTCCCTTTTCTACTTGTACGGAGAAGCGGCCACTGAAGAGGAGTGGAGAAAGGGAAAGATTCCGACGCTAAGACAGTTGGTTCCCAGAATCTCGAACCCTCCTCTCATTTTTCCCTTTCAGAGTCCTGGAACGAACCGACAAAACCAAGCTCATCATCAACCTCGTCATAATCTTCGGCGCCGTCCTCGGCGGACTTCTCGGCTCGTATCAAGGAGTTTTGAAGTTGGTCAAGGCCAAATTCACGGAGCCCTGCTACGTGCGTCTCTTCACAGAAACGACGTATAACTCAACATTCCAAGTCAAAAATGTGTAAGTTCTACTTCTTTTTCTTCTTCTTCTACTTCTTCCTTTCCACTTCATAGTGCACATCTTCTTCTTGTTTCAGCTGCTGCGGCGCCAACAGAGACATAAATGTGTTCAATGTGACCGACTTCTGCTGACCTCGTTCCCTGCTCATCCGTTCCGTTCACTTCCCTCCCTCCCATTCACTTTTCTCGCCCCTCCGCACAATTTTCTATGTATCAAGTCTTCGTTCTGCAGTCCAGACACCTCATGTACATTCTAGAGATAGATATATTTGCGCCCAGCTCCATTCTTATCTCATAAGCCCCCCAACTAGCCCGAAAACAAGAGGCGAGAATTGTTTGTGTAAACCGGGAAACCGTTCTCCTCCTCCGGTTGCCCCCAACCTCATAGTCTCATAACTATTTGATGTATATGTATAATATATTGTTGGTTTCTCTACAGGTAACCACTTTTAACCCCGTCGCCCTCTCGTCATACCCCAGTCTTTTCCTCTCAAATTTGGAGCAAATAAATAAATGTGGAATGAATGAAAATGTTTTGTGGTCAGTTGGCAGCAGAAGACGTCACAGATTTGTGAGAAAGATCGGAAAGGCCAATAGCCGCACCTCTTGATGTTTGGAAGTTCAGCAAATTGAAATCTGATAGCAATCTTATTAGCATTTTGCATTTGTCTTCGTCAAAATTAAGGGCAAGGTCATTTCTGCATAGGACCATTTGCATTGATCCGAGACCGATTGCAAAAACTTGGAAACGGAAGGCAGAGGCGTGCATGACGACGACAATTCTGAAGAGTCATATTTCGTTTCCATCTATGATTTAAAATTGAATATATCTGTGCTCTCAAACGTCGCTTACATCCACTCCGCGGCTCTTCCGGCTGTCCAGTCATCGTTTCACTGCCGTGCCTTTCTGATGCTTGACGTCTTCTTCGTCCTCGTCCAGTCATTCGGTTCCCACGTATGTCACCACCGCTTGCACGAGTTGCCAGTCCGTGGGAGCCTGCTCCGATTGATAAGGCTCACTTGCTGGTCGATTCCAGACGAACTTCCAGAAGCTCTCGAGTGTCTCTTCCTGTTTCGTATTCGCTCTCATCGTGAAGTGATGTTATGTGGCAGAAGGAGGCAGTCTGTTCTGATTCAACTTGTCAAGTGTGCGTCCAATTCCCTTCTGCACACTCCCAAATGTTTTTCGCTTCTGAAGAATCAACAAATTCCTCTGCAGAAAGGTCAAACGTCTTCTTTCCTCCTTCGCACCCAAAATCGTATAGTCCACCCACCCACCCCATTTCATTCGCTCTTCATCGCCCATTCGGACCCACGCAGATGGGCTCACCGTTCACTGCTCCGTCCGTTTCTCCGTCCACGTCATTCGTGAGTTTCCATTCTCCGAACAATGTCCTTATTCGGCTTGTTTTCATCCTTTCACCTCCGTCATAAAACGCTGATAAAGAAAGTCCAATTTGAGAATGAATCGAATCAAAGAAGAGAAAGAGGAAAGAACGAACAGATTAGATTGGATTGGATTGGCGTATTGTTGATCTGTAACTACTCGAGAATTAAAGATATAAAAGGGTACTGGGAGGTTAGTGTCTGGATGAGATTGCCCTCTGCTTCATTGTTCCCTTCCACCCTCTCCCCTTTCTCCGCGAGCACCTTTCTCTGCATAATTCATCTACCGTCTTGTGAACTGACTCACTCCTCGTACAGCTCAAAAATGACTGCTCAATTCCATCGAATGACGTTTCCTAGAACTTCACCAAACCACAAAACTGCCGTTCCGCTCCGTTTCCTCTGATTGCCACCCACCTCCACAAGTTACAGAACTTTCCTGAATCATTTTAGTCGGCGGAAAACAGACCGATTGCTGTGATCACATTAACTAATATGCGTGACTGCTAGTCGAGCCGCCAAAACAATACAACGCGGACTTTCGGTATAAAATCTGATTTGGCGCCTTGCCGCCGTCGCCCGCCCGCCCGCCACCTTCTACTCTTTTGCTCCGCGAACACGCCATCTTGATCAGCTCCAGAACTGTTCCGCATTATCTCCTCTTCCCAATCTGTTTGTTCTCTCCGAAAGGGCGCCGTCCTTCTTTGTTGACTGCTCCGAAGGGCTCCGAAGAGCTCCGGCTCTTTTTTTTCTATTTCCTCTCATCCGAAATTCAGATTCCGAACTCGGCGTCGCCTCTCGTGCCGCGGTGACTTGTTAATTAAGAACAGAGAACGGATTATGAGAAGGGCCGAAACGTCATTTGTTTTGAGGTGGTTTCGCATGAAAACAGTTGAGAATTGAAAGACCGTCCTTTGGTGGAAACACGAAAACGGAGAGGAGGATATGAAAGGAAGAGAAATTAGTGTTCATCAAAAACTACAGAAACGAGCGAAGGATCACACCTTCTCATCTTTCCCACCGATTCTTGCTCGCTTCTTCCCCTTCCAGCAGCTTTCCAGCACTTTCATCCCTTTCTTTGCTCCACAAAGATACTTGTTTTCTGCCCATTCCTCATCCATTCGTAACACATTCACTTTTATCCATCAGTTATATTTATCAGCTCTTGTTTTTTAGTGCTATGAAAGGAGTGTTAGGTCAAAAACGGGGATGGATCAGTTATTTCTCAAAGCGATTCTCTGAGGTCTGCTTCTGCTCGTCGAGCAGATTTCCGATAAGAATTGTGCAATGCAGGTCCGCAATTTGTGACTCATTCTTCTGGAAAATCTTTAAGAGATCTTTTAAGGATAGCAGAATTTCCAGCTTCTCTCCAAAACATCCAATCGGGCTTTCAAGACCTGAATTTGCAGTCCACTTGCTATCCTTTTTCCAACTATCCTCACTTTTTGAAGGGTTCCGCGAGATTTTGCAAGTACGCCACTTCGAGTATTTCCAGATGAGATAACCGGTTATATAACCCAACTTTTGAACCACTTGCAATATTCCGATAGAACCCACAACTTTACGAGATTCTTGGACTTGGATTCGGTTATGCTGAGACCGAGCGATTTAGAGCCGAAAAGGCAGAGGTTCAGTATATCGGCGAACCAGATGATCCGAACGGGCTCAGACTTGGACCCAACATAATTAAGTCCAAGCGCTCGAAGCCTGCAAAGTTAGGGTCCTATCGGAATATTGCGAGTGGTCCAAGGGTTGAAGCTCAGCCAACAAGCCCTCGGAAAGCCCGGGAGCCAAATCCCGAGCCCTGTGAAAATTTCAAGATTCATAATCGTGCAAAGTTAGAAAACATCGGAAACTTTTTGAAACCCAGCCGTGCGAACAGCCCTTTGACCCTTGCAATATGTCAATTACCCTCTCCATCCCTCACAATCACCTTTTCGTCCGTCCATTTCCCACCAATTCGCACTCTCCGCAGGTCGCTCGAAATGTCCGTGCTCCGTGCTCTTCTCGTGCTCGTTTTCGTGTTCGTCGCCGCTTCCTCAGCCCTCCCGACTCCCCTGGCCAGCCGCGAATCCCGTGCTCTGGCTCCGTCCGTCGAGTCGTGGTGCATCTTCTACCCGGAAAAGTACGTTCTTTCCCTTTCCCTTTCCCAATCTAATTTTCCCCATTTTCAGATGCCGCATGCTGAAATTCGCCGGAGTCCACAAGAGAGATTTCGTCGAAGATCTCGACTACTAAACGTATGCTCGAGTTCGGCTTCTCTACTAATCGGTCTGACAGTAACTAAAATGGGGAGAGATGGCGTTTTCTCTCTCGGCGGCGATGATGATGATAATGGTGATGATATCAATAAATTATTATATATATATATATATGAAAAGGATTCGTGATGAAAAAGATGGAAAGAAATGATGGGAGGACAGGGAAGTACAGCATTTTCTTGTCAATTAATTTATGAATCTACAAATAAAACTGCATGTTATGAGAGAAATAAAGGGAACGTGCGAGGAGGGAAGTGTCGTAAGAACTGTCGAAAATGGACAGAGTGTGCATGTGTGCGTACTTCTATGCTGCTAGATACACACTTTCTCCTATCAATAAATACTTAGCAGACAACAAAACACATCTGAAGGGAGAAAAGAGAGGAGGGGAAAAGGGACCCGTTTCAGTACTTTTAGATAAATGCTGTGTTTCCGGCTGGAATGGGAAACACAACTGATAGGACGGGGATTTGGGTGAAGGGAATATGAGCAGACTACGGTAACAAGTTCTTGGCGCCTAATCAGTAGTACTGCCCGGGCTGCGGGTCCGGCAAAGCTTGCATGTTTCGAGAAAGAACACTGCGAACGTCCGATGTGAATCGGAGAGCGTCGAGGAACGGAAGAAGATTCAGAAGACACGTGTCATTCGGGTCGGAGAACCACGATGGTATCGGAATGGCGTTGTCTGAAAAGCGAGTACATTGGAAATGTAGCAAGTGTACGGTGGACTTACGTGGGAACTTGCGGTACGCTCCAGGCGAATTATCGAGGATGAAGATGCTGGAGAGGTCGGGATGGATAGCTGACAGATCCTTCGTGTAACCGCCCACTTCCATCGTGCAGTGCTGACGGAAATACCTGGATGAAAAGTGGTGAGCATGATGATCAGCATGGTGATAATCACTCACCTTCTCTTGAGGATTCCGCGACCACGGTCTAATCTGTCGGCTACCGAAGATCCGTAGACTTCCATGCTGGCAGTGAACACGACCAACTCGTACCTGGAAAACGAACAGATATTGAGAAGCGTACACTTGAAAATGGCTAACCATTGACTGACTACGGATAGGAAATAGTCAACATGGGGACGTTCGTGGACTGAAAACTTGACCGGATGCCTGTCGATTACAACCTGAAAACGGAGAGAGTGAACGGAAGTTCAGGGCAAAATGGACCTGTACCCGTATCGTGAAATCCGCCGGAGTTCCTGGTTTGACCGTCTGCCGAAGGACGCCGTCGTGGTGAGAATGGATGAGCGTCTCATCGAGATCCAACACGAGAATTTTCCGTTTCACTGTCACTGAAAACAGAGAAATAAAAAGAATTGTCAAGAAAAGAAAGAAAGGGCAGATGAACTACAAGTGTAACTTACGCAGGCGATGGGTCGTGAGCGGAGACATCGGGATGTTGCTTTGATACTTGACAACTTGGTATTTACAGTACTGAAAAAAAACTGATAAACGAAACGAACACAACGAGTAGCCAACTTACCGCCCTGGTCGATTTTCGGAAGAAGTGCATGAAGAAATTGAAGAATCCGGCGAGGAAGATGAAAACGGACTGCGCGAGCGTCGTCATCGTTCGGAGCAACAAGGACGCCTGCTTCTGAAACTGTCCGGGATGAGTAGCGGTCTCGCTGAGAACAGGTGTGTTTCTGTCATTGCGATAGCGAAAGTTGAGGGTGGAGGGCGAGGAGGAGAGGCGCCCACCACTGTGGCTGATAAGACCACACGCGCCAAATGGACAGGACGCGCGAAAATGAAGTGACACCTCGGAAGAAAAAGAAGAACGGCCGACGACGACTCCGAAGCGGATTATTGATTGCGGTTATCTTGTGACATGTTTTTGCAGAAATTACTCTCCGAAAGTACGATTAATTGAAACGAGAGCAGGGGAGCGAGCATCTGCTGCCAATGTAAACAAAGCTCGAAACAATTTTTGTAGAAAACGAAAGTATTTTTGTTTGCTCTTTTTACCGGTAAATAAAACGAAGAAGAATGTTTCAGAGTTATGATGAATGGTTGCAAAATTGTGATCGGAGATCTCACGAGGAAAATTATTCCGTTTAATAAAATCCAATATATCGAGAGCACGAGGCTAATGAGCCGTTTTCTTTTTTTTTGGAGAAACGGAAATTGGGAATTGTGCACCGGAAGTGTGGCTATTTTTTGGATTCGTGATGTTGGAGGATTGCAGCTAATTTACGGGAGAAACGAAGATTTCCATTCAAAGCGATAGGAAGGTCCTATCAAATTAGTCAAAAAGATTTGTTTTTACCGGTAAACGAGCTAGCTGGATGGATCAATTGATCTTGACAGGTCTTTCCGAGTGGTAGACAAAGAAAACGACTCACTTTGAGTATCCAGAATACAATCTGCACAGCTTGGTCAATGCAGTCAACCAAGAACCCGATCGGCTGCTGTGCTCTGTCAGACATGTTACTCCAGTTGTCTGCGTCTCTAGTTTCGTCACAGTCTCTCGTCTATACCATGCAGAAGGACCACGACACCTTTCCTCTGACAATGTCTATCTTGTGAAACGAAAGAGTGCGATGAGACGCAGACGGGAAACGGGGAGACGTCTTCCTCAGAAATAATTCGCAGATTGCTCAACTCGAAGGAAAGGTGCACGACACATATGAGTGAGAAGAGCCGCGCGGGGGGCAGTCAGAAGCCTCACAGGCTCATTTCACAACACTCTTTTATAAATTATAGCGTTGGAGTGCGGTGGTAGCGAGAGGTGGCTCGACAATGAAATATTTTTGGGGTGTTGAGTCCCTCGAGAGAATTGAGAGCATCCAATCAACGAGTCATCTCTCACCATCAACAGCCAATTTAATGGGACCCGGGTAACAGATAAAAATCGATATTTTAAACAATTTCAAAAGTAGACGTACCTGTTCGCGTCTTCGGTGGATGTCCGAGTTGCTAGGCTGTCTATTCGGCGCGAGCATACTTGTGCATGATCTGGATGCTCGACGCTGCAAAAAATAAATGAACGGGAACAATAGTCGGGAGACAGAAAAAAGCGGATGAACCGAGTTGATAAGCTTCACGGTGTCAAAAAAGCCGCATCGGACAAATGTCGTAGTTCAAAGTGCGGTTTGTGTAAACACCGACCGCAGGCAAAGTCCGCAAATGCGCGGCCGATTAATGCATATATTTTTCCCTTTTCTCTCGGAATTAATTGCTTGATTCTCAGCAAAACGTAACGATTTCAGATATGGCGAACCTGCCGAGCAGCAGCGGAATGCTCTTCCGACTGTTATCCAACGTCTTCTCACCGTCAATCGTCTCGAAATGCAGCGCGTCAGGCAGATGGTGGCCGCAGCCAGCGTGAGTAAAAAATAGTCTTTGCATGGGAGAAATAGTCGTTTTTCCTGAGTCAGCTGCTAGGGAATTGTTACAACTGGGTCTTGTATTCAGAATAAATCTTAAATTTTGTTTGAAACGCTGTGAGACGGAGGTTGTAACAGTTCTCTTTGCAGTCGTCGCTTCTCCACGAAACCTGACGAGATATCGTCTCTCGAGCGCACTTCGAACGACAAGGACGTCATTGTGACGCCCGCACAAGGCATTAAGCTGTCGAAATCAGATGCGGCGCCCGTTTATTACAAGCCGAAGTCCACGGGACCCGGGTACGAGCTAGTCGAGCACAAGAAGGGAGAACTGATTGCAAACTACACGCTTTTCGAGGCGGCAGTCAACAAAGCAAAGGTTCCATGGGTGAATTACGACGGATTGACGAGCGAAGAGCGGAGTATCCACATGGCACACATGAGGGCGATCAACGACCGGAAACTGACCTATCTCGATCCGAAGACCGGCTACACAGTCTTCACGATATCACACCATTTGAAAAGAGGAAAATGCTGTGGGAGCGGCTGTCGGCACTGTGCGTATGAAATGATTAATGCCAAGGAAGAAGTGCGCTCGAAAAAAGTGTGGAACGGAGCCTTTTATGTTTGAAATTTTAGTAGTCGTTCTAGTTAGTTGTTGCTCAATAAATTGGTGTTTCTCCTATGCAAAGACGTGTTCGTGAACGAAACAGAGAATAAATAAGGATGCTACTCCGAATGAGAACTGTCCGAATCAGAACCTATCTGCAGGTGGTTCTTGTTACGAAAAGTCATGTTGTGACGGGTTCATATTCGGGGCATTTCTAGCTCGGCGTACTCTCTAAATAAGTAAATTGTACAGTTACGAGTTGTCGAAGCACCGATCTCGTGCTCCGAGCATGGGAATTCACCGAAGAACTCGTCTGGAAGTGGTCGACAACTCGGCGCTCGGAAAGGAAGCGAATACGACCGGAAAGCTTCCGTATTGTATTCACGTATACAAACAGGGAAGACGTGCCAAGCACATGCCACATGCCGAACTCGGAGACAAGGTTTACACGTATTCTGAGTCAATATCCCATTGAAGAACTTTACAGATTCTGGTGGCCATCCGTGGTCAGATGCGTAAAGCGTACGTCGTCGGCGCGAACACGCATGTACACTACCGAAAGCATGGAGTCCCAGTGACCGACAAAAACATGATCGTGCTTTTGGACGAAGAAGGAAACCCGCTCGGAAACAGAATCACTGCTCCGATCCCCACAAAGTTGCTTGCAAATCGCGGAAATGTGCAATTCGCGAAAGTTCTCGCACTGGCCAACAAGTTCATCTGAAGTGCATTCGACGTTTTTAGCTAGATGTGTTCTTTTTGTTATTTGTTATTTTAAATGAGCGATAACAACCAGTTTTTATATTTTTAAAAGTAAGCAAAAAGATGAAGGGAAAATAACAACAGCATCGGAAAAGGAATGGAAATCCGGTTGACACTTTGGGAAGTTCCAGCTCATTTCGAGACGCAAAACAACTGAAAGAAACAGTGTATGTGGCAGATGAGAACGTTTCGCGGTGTTAGAATAGAAATTGAACCAGTATTATGAGGTGTAATCAGAGTAAGAAGAAAATAAACTAATACGGAAAAACTAAGCATGTTACAAATTTGGGGAGGTACAGAATGCGGAGAAATGCCTAGAATTCGGAGATTATCAGGTTTTTTGCCGCTTTGCATCCGGTTCCGAAGATTCTGATTCGGCCGAAGCAGCAGAAGTCGACGGAGTGCCCTGAAAATAAATTTGAGCAAGTTGACAGATCCAGATGGCGATTACCTTCGGTTTTCCCATTTTCAGATTCGGTTTCGCCTTTGCGTATCTCGATTTGACCGCTACTACGACCTTCTTATCTTCCACGGCGTCAGCGGAGTTCGATGGAGTGGCAATTTCTGGTTCTGGTTTCTAAATTTGAAAATGGCTCATTTTTGACTTTGAAAAAATATTTTTTTACTAATTCAACAGTTTTAATAGGATCTCTCGAAGTTGCTTCTTTTGGAGCATCTACAGGCGCGGATTCGACAGTTTCGGATGAATTCGACGACGGAACTGCCTCTTCGCTCTTTTTAACTCCGGTAAGCTGGAAATGAACTCATAATTTGGGTCTTTTGAATGATTCACTCACACTGGCAAGCTTCTTCGCTCCAATAATCGGCTTCACCTTCGCATATCTGGATCTGATTCCGACCGATGGAGCAGCTCTCACTCCTACCACAGAAATTTCCGGATCGGCGCTCGGATTGGCAGATGAGTCCTGCTCCTCACTCTTCACGGCCGGCCTCATCGGAGTCGTTTCGTCGGCCGCTTCTTCTTTCAAATCAAATGCGCTTCGCAGAGACTCGAGACCCGATCCGCCGCCCGACTTCTGAAGATTCCGCACTCTCGTGATCTTCTCGCTCTTCGAAAGAGTTTCCGGAGTGACGATGGACGAAGAACTTCTCGAAACGACGGGAGTAACTGGCGCGGGAGTCGATTCGGTGGACACTCTCTTCGATCCACTGGCCATTGTCTCCAGGTCTTTGAGCATTTCGTAGTTCACTTTGTTCGACAGCTTCTTCTCTTGAATCACTTTCTCCATTGCGTTGAGCACAGAGGAGCATGCTCCGCCATTATCCGTTTTTCTGACTCCTTTTCTCTTCTTCTTGACGTCTCCGTTCTCTTCTCTTTCTCTTCTTCTCTCTTCGATCGCCTTCATCACTTCTCCGTTCGCTTTCATCCAGTAGTCCGTCTTGATTGCCACCTCGCTTTCCGTCAGAATGTACGAATCGATTTCAGAGTCCGAAATTTCTTCATCTAGGTCACCAGAAATGACTGGTTTTGGAGCAGTCACAGAAGACGTCGATGGTTCGCCAGACCGTTTAATCCCCAGTGATTCCAGAGATGGGCGGAACTGCTCGAACTTCTGCAGAGAATTTGACGAGCTGAAAAGAAAACAGAAGATGAATTCAGAAGGAAACTTCAAGTTCTAACCATGGTGAATCTTCTTCTACAGCAGAGAACACAGTCTTGAGAATTTCCTCGCGCACCATTTCGTCTGCTCCTTGCTCAAGTCCTGAATCTTTTACAACTGAGGGCGTTAGCAACTGTCCCCGGACCCACTCACCTAGATCTTCACTGACTAATTTCGCGTAAGGACTCTTTGAGAACTTCTCCTTCCTCTTCTTGTCGAGTGCCGCTTCCACGAACGCTTCCATCTCCCCCAGCTCGTCTTTCATCGATTCCGCCTGCTCCGCTTCGTTCTTCAGCTGATCTTCTCGGGCTCTCCGTCGTGCCTCCCGATACGCGGGCGGGTCTTCACTGTGCTCGAGGTCGACAGTCGAGAATTCGTCGATGGTGAGACTGCCGGACGGTGTCTGACTGAACTCGTCGAGTCGTTTCCTGATGACACTCTCACTGATGTGCACCACTCGAACGATGTCGCTGATCGTTCGGTTGAAGTTGAGCGATCGGGCAGCGATGAGAAGGGCGGCTCCGCAGATTCCAGTCGGCCTTCTTCCCGTCGACATCCAGTCCCTCTTCATTCTCTGCACCAGCCGCGTCGCCAGATTCACCACTTCCTTCTGTTTGTCTCCAAAGTCCAGAACACACGCGAATCGCATGATATAAAGGCACGGGTCGGTGGCAGGAAGGTTAATGCGGAGGGAGCGGGAAATGAAGTTCAGATTCCTTCCCAAATCGAACACGTTTATCTGGAAACTGGGAGATTCCACCGGCAAAGCAAGTGGTTTTCAGTTAAATACCTGGGTGACGTCACTGAAATCCAACAAAAGATGCGCCGTGTTCTCGAGCCGACACGTTATATAGAGGCAGACGGCGACGACGGAGGCGCGGTTCCTTCCGCGGGTCAGATTGCGGGAGACGCACATTTTGAAAAAGTTGTAGGCGGTGTTCATGCAGTGCTGGTTGATTCGCAGCTGACTGCCCAGCTCGTCGATCACTTTCTTTCCCTTCGCATACGTCACTTCCCTCGATTCCTGGGCTCCCATTCCGTTGAAATTGTTCGCTGCTGCTCGTTCGGCTGACACGAATTGACCTGGAAATGTTCGTAGAAGGCGAGTCGCAGTTGTTTGTCATGACTGACCGACTAAAGTGTGTCCGGAGCCGCCCGCACGTTCTTGGAACTGATTCTCGGTGACGACGATGGACTCTTCGATGACGGTTCCGCAGGCGGTGCACGTGGCATCTCCCCTCGCCGCGTCCTCGTCGATCTCGACACTTCCGCAATTCGGACAAGTTCTCACCATTCTGCCAACTTTTTTCTGAATAATTTAGTTCAGGAAATGAAGAAAAATACAGTAGGTAAGATAAATAGAATCGGTACTAGCAACCTATTGGAAAATGGAAATAAGGTCAGGTTTTCTTCGAAATCGTGTACTTAACAAAGGGAAAGAAGAAACCACAGGTGAACAATGAGGGAAAACCGAGAAAAATAGATAGCTAATAATCAACGGAACGTACATGATACGCAATGGGAAACAATGATAAGAAAACACCGTAAAACAAAATCGGAAGAAATCGGCGAATAGAAATTGGGACCGGAGATTTTTACAAGAGATTTTAAGTAGTGATCATGCCACGTATTTGTAGTTGGAGGCATCGTCGTTGTCACGGCTGAGGTAGTCTCTTTCGATGAGAGATTCGATACGAACCTTCACATCTGCTGCTTTCAGGGGGAATCTGAAATAAAGGTTATTATTTGAAGGTCTACCTGGAAAAACGAACTTGAGTTGAGCCATAACTTCGTTCATGAGCTCTTGGTGAGTCAGCTCCTTTCGCGCTTTCATAATTCGAACGACGGCCGCGTCGATCTGGTACTGTCTGTCCTGATTGACTTCCTTGTCTACATCTTTCTTCTCTTCGGCCACCGTCTTAATGTTCACTTGGGTTATTCTCACTCGGCAGCGTCTGTCTGTGAATCCAGTGTTCACTGTGAACGTTTCGGTCTTTACAGAATCCACAGTGCTCTCTTTCTGAAATCATTTCTTGTTTATTCAATTCACCTTCCGCTCAATCTTACCTTGTCTGTAGGGTTCTGGAGAACCTTTTGCAGAATTCTCGGTCTGTCTCTACCTCCCAAAAGCGCCAGCACATTTCTGACCACTTCGATCGGCTGAATTTTCGTGCACTCGACGATCTCGTCCACCGTCCACGTGTCGCACTTGTTGAACAACAGAATAATGACCGCCTGGTACAACGTCCCCATTAGCTCTTTCTTGCAATTCGGACGGAACTCGGCCGAAACCACTGCTGTTCCCAGTCCGTGGTGCCATTTCACATTGCGATTTCCGTGTTGTTGACGGTAGAATCTGAGTAATCAGTGAGAGTGTCTCTGATTTCCTTCGGAAGGTCGATTTCGTACGTTTCGTAAGTCGGCCAATATTCTGGAGTGATCACCCGCACCGAAAAGTTTGCCTTTTCCTTGTTCGAGTGCTCCAGATGTTGCTCGAAAAGGTCAGAGAGGTTTTCGGAGATATCCATATCTTTGAACATTCCTTCCAGTTTGTACGTGAATCCGGCGCCGCATTCTGTCTTCAGTTTGCACAAAACCATCTTCTCCGCGTCGACAGAAGCACTCCTCTCCATGAAAAGTCTCTTCGAAAGACCTCTTTTGTAGTACGCCTCGAAGACATCTTTTCCTCGCAGATACCTGAACAGTACGACGGACTCGTCGACCATCTGATCGAGAGTCAGCTCGTCTGTCACGTTCTTGTTTCCGCTGTGCAGAAGGACATGGAAGTGCTTTGCTGTAATGTTTTTATTGATGAAATTGACAACTTCAAGCTTCATACAGATGAGTTCGGCAGCTCGTTCAACGTTTTTGTTCACAAAATGCTCGAAGGCGTCCGCAAGACACTGTTTCATTTTCGTCTGATCAGAAGCGTCTTTGAAACTGTCTTTCACTGAAAATTAAAGATTTTCAAGAACCATTTATTGAACAGACCGATGATATCCATTTTCCTTTTGAAAGCGAGCAACTCCGAAACGAGATCATCGTTCGGACATGAGGCGACAAGTTTGTCTCCGCTCAGGCGCATGTACTTTGAGAACTGAGCACGGACTTGCTCCTCACCGCCAGGGCACTGATGGCACAAATGAAACATTCGGCGAACGTGCTCGACGTTTCCAGAATCGAGCAGTTTATCGAACTCATGAGTCAGAATCTCTGGGATAGCCTGCTGGATAAGACAGTTGAGAACAGTGTTTTGCACTGAAACGAGAGTGGATGGGTTCTCGAATGCCATCTTCACCATGTTCCCCAGTTGGTTCAATGTTTCTTCGGCGTATTCCATGTACTCGTTACACTGAAATTTAAAAAATAACTCGTAAAAAGAAGCCCTCGCACAAACCGTCATAACGGGCACATTGCTCAGTCTCTCCTTGTTGTACTGCTCACGAATTCTAGCCAGCATGAAATCGAGGAACTCGTCACCAGCGTGAATCGTCTGCAGCATTTCGACAATCGATCGAAGGGGCGTGTCGACGGTGTAACTCTGCATTTTTCTGTTCATGGCCATATAGATCGCACCGAACAGTTTGATAGACTTGAAATCATTGTTCAATTGCGGAAAGAACGTCTTCTGGTAAATCTGCATGGAAGATTCCCAAAGCGGAAGAAGGTCGGCATCTCCGGAGCTCAGAATCATTCTGTCCAGGTACAGGAAGATGTTTCTGATTAAATTCTACAAGAAAACATTGATAAACTCATTATACTTAGATTCAAAGCTCACGATTTTGACTGGAAACGTTTCCCAGAATTTTCCGAACTTGGCAAGATAATCTTCGCAGTTTTCCTCGGAAAGTGGCATTTGCTCCTCTTCGTCCATCGATTCTTTCAGACGTTTTGCATATTTTAGGATAATCGAAACGAGTCGGTTATAAAGAGATTTCGCTTGCTCTCTATCACACACGGCTCTCACTTTCTACAAAGAAAACGAGTAAATATTCTAAAGTTAGCAAAAAGCACAAACGTTGAATAGTGTCTCCATAGTGATGACGGTCTTTCTGTCCTCCAAAATGCCATGAACATTGTCCGACAGCACTGCCCAGTCTTTTCCTACTGCGCCATTCGTATCTTAACACAAGAATACTCATTTGGCACCGTTTACAATCAATAAACTCACCGTCAATGTTATTTTGGTCTATGTTTATTCCTTGATTGTTCCTCGCTGAAATTCTTAATTGCATAGAGCGAAGGAAAAATTATTATTTTACACTTGAAGTTTTTGATCGATAACTTCTTTTTCGTTCTCTCGTTTCCACCGTTCGACCGGGAAGGGTCGTTCTCGAGTCGGAAATTCTCCACGAGATTGTTCTCTGCGAGAGTTCTGCTGCTGCTCGATGCTTCTTCTTCCATCTCTTCGTCGTAATCCCCATAGTCACGTCGCATTTGCTTCGCCTGCTGTTCATGTTTTTTGGTTTCAAATTAACGTTTCGATCAGTTTCTTACTCGGAGTCCATCCATTTGGCTCGGTGGACGCTTTGAGGACTTACGAAGTTGATTACCTCGACTCTTTTCCGCTGAATTCGACTGATTCGCACCTGATGTCATCCAACTTTAACTGAAACTGAACTTCTGAAGAAATTGCGAAAGGAAAAGAGAGAAAAGAGAGCGAAATTAATTTAAAACGCTATCAAGAAAATTAGAGAACCATTAAATTATTTCTTTCGTGTCGAGACCCATACAGTACGCATACAGTTTTTAAAGGGACACGCTCACTTTTCCAAGGGTCCCCGTCTTTTTTCAATCGAACAAAATAAAAAAAAAGCCGGGATTCACAAAGCAAAAGACGGAATTTATCAGAAAAACGTTCAGATTGCGCTGTACACTTCGAAAAAAAAAGTTCTTAGATTCAGATATTACTATTTTTGCTTCAAGGCATTAATTTTCAGTTCAAAAATCTAAATTAGCGATGTTTTCCGGATGGAGCTCATCTGCCAAACCAGGCTGGACACTGCTGACTTCTTTCTCTTCGTTGGCGCACTTTCCGTGCGGTCAACACATGAATCAAAGAGGAAAAACGAGTACACTGGGTGGTAGACCACACAGAAAGTTGGAAAAGTGCGAATATTTTCATGTTCCAAAAGAGGGTTGAAGGCAAGCTTTTTAATAGGGTATGTCGAAGCAAATGCAAGCAAAAAGTAACAAAAATATTCAAAAATTTATTCAGTAGATAAAATGATAACGAAATTAAGCCAGAAACGAACCGAAATGTTGGAAACACAAAAACGCCAACGCCGAAACATTGACTACGAAAATCTCCTGCTATGAAAAGAAGGTTTGCGCTCCTCTATTTATCCGAAGTTTCGATGGTGTTTTATTATCCATCAAAGTTATCTCTATCAAAAAACAAATATGAAAGGACTGCTTATCGACAACGTGAAAGTGATCCACGGCGCGGCTTTTGCGACGTTCACCAAACGTTTGATCCTCAGTCTGTGCATTTTGACACGCCGGTGTTGCTCTGCGTACAGTGCATTTTATGTTACGCGCAAAGTTCATTTTTTTTAGTTTTTGATTAATTTTCTCCAAAAATTCATCGCTTTAAAGCATTTTTCTCCACTTTCTACCTTAATTAGACCTTTTTACAGATTCCAGATGAAGTAATACGCGAAAAGAAGTCGATGCGATGAAAAGAAACGCGTAAGTAAATGGAAGTAATGTTTTATTCAGAAAATATACGATTTCTCGAAAAACGTCTCTAGATCTTCTAATCTTTTGATTTAAAAAGTTCACTAACATGACTGTGAATGTCTTCGAATCAAAAAAAAGTAGAGTGACAGCTCGATTTCGCGTAAAAATTGGTTTTTTGCCGGAAAACAGTGACATTTCGTTGAAAAAAAATTTTTTCTCAAAAACCGTCTCTAGATTTGCTACTTTTTTTGTTTAAATAGTTCACTTACATGACTGTGAATGTTTTCGAACCAAAAAAAATTAGAGTGACAGTTCGTAGAAGCAAAAAAAAATTTTTTTCAACGAAATGTCACTGTTTTCCGGCAAAAAACCAATTTTTACGCGAAATCGAGCTGTCACTCTACTTTTTTTTGATTCGAAGACATTCACAGTCATGTTAGTGAACTTTTTAAATCAAAAGATTAGAAGATCTAGAGACGTTTTTCGAGAAATCGTATATTTTCTGAATAAAACATTACTTCCATTTACTTACGCGTTTCTTTTCATCGCATCGACTTCTTTTCGCGTATTACTTCATCTGGAATCTGTAAAAAGGTCTAATTAAGGTAGAAAGCAGAGAAAAACGCTTTAAAGAGATGAATATTTGGAGAAAATGCATCAACAACTAAAAAAAATGACTTTTGCGCGTAACATAAAATGCACTGTACGCAGAGCAACACCGGCGCGCAAAAATGCATACCATTTTGCTGCGTATGTTGCGAAAGCCGCGCCGTGGTGAGCTGAGCAACTGTGTGCAAATTTATTAAAGTGCCACGAACAAATACTGTCGTTTTTTTTTGGATATCTGGTATTTTGTTCCAAGTTTCGAGAAGCGGAATTGAACCGGTCACAGATGAAACGCGATGCATGCATTATGCAATTAATGTGGATCGCGCGTGCAACTTATTAGTATGGTAAAAGCATGAACAGCGAACGCACGTTTGTGGCACGTGGAAGCATTGTGGAGGCACGGCGGAGCTCACCTCCCTCCTCGCTCGCCTTCCGCTCCGCTCCCCTCCTCGCCCCGCTAGACTGATTAGAGAACAATTTCATGTAAAAACAACAAAAATACATCAAAACAAGAATGGAATAGGTTATGCGAAGAAACATTATCAGAACGACGGACTCAGACAAATCAATTCGAATTTAATTAGAAACTTTGCGAATCTAAAGAGGTTGCGTTAGAAACTAAAATCATCGAATTTGACGTGGTTTTAGCTAATTTTTTCTGATTAGATTCGAATTGATTTGTGTGAGGAAGCAGCAGAAGTGATCACCTCACTTGTCGGCGTTCCGCACGGTGCTCCAGTTGGCGCTTCGGTCGGCCTTCCTGTCGACGCTCCAGTTAGCGTTCCGTTCGGTTCTCCAGTTGTTTCTCCAGTCGGCGATCCGGACGATGTTCCGTTCCGTGTTCCAGTTGGCGCATCGCTCGTCGTTCATGTCGGCATTTCTCTCGCTATTCTCGAGTTTCCGTTCATTATCGGCGATTTCCTGAAATGCCCAATTGGACTGGCATTTTTCATTGAGTCGCTTTATGTTCTCGGGGTGCTACCCCGAATCAGAACTGCCCGAATAGGAACTGGTACGAATGAGAACTGCGCCCGCATCAGAACTGGTATGAATCAGAACCGCCCGAATCAGAACCGCCCGCATCAGAACTGGTACGAATCAGAACTGGTACGAATCAGAACTGGTACGAATCAGAACCGCCCGAATCAGAACTGGTACGAATCAGAACCGCCCGAATCAGAACTTTTCTTAATGTTTACCGCCCAAATCAGAAGAGCTCATTTTTTCACAATTTTGGTTGAAAGTAGCTTAGCGAGGAAACGCTGAAAACGTAAACTGTCACAGAAGTCTTCGACCGAAATTTGCAACGAGCGCATGATGAAGATATGAAAGGGAAGGAAAAGGACATAGGAAATGCGAATTTTCATATAGAAATACGTTTAATAGCAAAATAGATTTATACTTTCAAAGCGTGTGCGATACTCCACAAGTAGTTCAGGCCCGTAAGAGGGACATTGGGAGGCGTCGGAGAGTTCTTGATGGCCTTCTTTAGACGCTGATCTTTGGTTACGTGACCAGTTCTTCGGGACGCGTGCACCTGAGCAGACACATCGTTGACAACAATTTTTTTACTAAAACCAAAACCAGACCTGATAATTCTGATTCAATTTGAGCTCTCTCGCGTCACAACCAGTTGTCGCCTCTTCTTCTTTCATTTTATCGATCAAGTCTGTGAGTCGAATTTTGCGGAATCCGTTCGTCTCGGTGATCACAGGCTGAATAATAAGTATTATTTTAAACACGGTCCCGACCTTTCCGTTCGTCGTATTAACCTGACCTTTCCGTTCGTCGTATTAACACAGAAGCTTCCAGGGCACGCCAGTTGGCGGTATCTATCAATTAAGTAAATGGTTTCAATTAGTTAATGATTTTTTATACCTATAGATGCAGTGATATATGATTTCGTCGGTGATGCGAAGTGCTTTCTTCTTTTTCATTGGCCAACCATTGATTATCTCCGTGGGATTCGATTTTCCCCGCATCGCTTGGAAAATTTCTACAAGAAATGAACGTGACTGTATATTTCTGCAGAAACATCGTTAAAAAAGACCGCAATTAGAAAAAAAACGCATAAATCCTGCTTAAAAATGGCATATCAGCCATTGCTCAGCTTTAAGCGGCGTTGGAAATGCGCTCTAATGCGAATACACCGCGGGCCGTCTTTGCAGTTCAAACAATTCAAACAGAATATATATGAATATTGTACGGTAAAACATAGAAAACTCAATAAAAAAAATCAAAACAGATAAACCAACATCTTCTTAATCAGAAATGCAATTTGCTACAGTCCAGTAACTTGCAACAGTAATTGCAGTGTATTTTTAGTTACTCCAAACAAGTTATTTTGTGAAAGCTATGATCCGCCATCGCTCCCTTGATCTCAGTGTGCTTCATGATGGTCGTTCCGCGATGGTAGGCGAGTCGCATCGTCTGCTCGCGCGTGATTCCTCCGTCCGCGTACCTGCATCCCATCTCTCCGCTCGAGTGTCCGATGATTCCGTCGGGCGTGACTCCGAGTGCGAACAGTGTGTCGGTCAGAGCGATTTGGATGGCGGTGATCGCGAGCATGCAGTTGAGCGTGTTGCTGCTATACTGCTCCGGGTCCGGATTGCACAACATTCCGTACACGTTCAGTCCGTACTCATCCAAAGTTTTTGCTGGAGGGGCGAAGCGATTCGTCGAAAAGCGGAATCTTCATCAGTTTGAAGGCCATGCCCGGCCGCTGTGATCCCATTCCCGAGTAGATGAAATACCGTAAAAACTGTATTATAACGGCATGCCGTTATATTTTTCGAATGATGTCTGGGGGTGCCGTTATATTACAGGGTGCCGTTATATTTTTCGGAATAGAGTTCCACCTTTTTTACAGAAAATTATAACAACAAGAATAACTGCTTCTGAATTTTCCGCTTCTAAATAGATGTCTGGGGGTGCCGTTATAATACAGGTGCCGTTCTATTACAGGTGCCGTTATAATACAGTTTTTACGGTAGATTGGACGTGGCTCGGTGATCGGAATCTTTGAAACACTCTTCAACGTCTCCTGATTGTTCTCGCGGTTCAGCAGCATGTAGCCACGGAACGGAAGGTCCTTTGGCGGCAAATTCGTCTGAATCGCCTGCAGAGCTTGCAGGTACAAGTCGTTCTTTTTGAGCTTCAACGTTCGAAAGAATGCTCTCGATGGCTTCTTGGGTTCTTCCGTAACTGAAATGAAATACTATGAATTCGACTCAACAAGAAGTGCGAACTAACGTGACAATCTTGGTGAATGGTGGTGAAGTGATCTCCGGCGCCTCATGATCGGCCGCCTTCAGAATGACGTGAGTGTTGGATCCTCCGAATCCGAACGAGTTGACTTCGATGATGCCTCCCGGCAGTGGTGTCGGCTCCGTGACCACCTTCAACCGCCCGTCCACCAATCCGGGGATGTACTGGTTCGGAGTGCTGTAGTGCAAGTTTGGCGGGATTCTTTGTCTCTCAATTGACAAGAGGATCTTTGCAAGAGAGCAAACTCCGGACGCCGGCTCCGCGTATCCCATGTTCGACTTGACGGATCCGACGAGCAGGGGATCGGTTCTTTTGGAACTGAACACTTGGCAGATGGAGTTGGCCTCTTGCGGATCGCCGATCTTCGTTCCGGTTCCGTGCGTCTCCACGCAGTAGACCGAGTTCGGATCGACTCCGGCCTCCGAGTACACCTCCTGCAGCAGCTGAGCTTGTCTCTCGCCAGACGGGAACGTGATGCCCTGTTCCTTGTACCCATCGGTGTTCGACTTTGCATGAAGTACGGTCGCGTAGATACTCTGCGCCTTCGACTTGCGTTGGATGAAAATCGCGGCCACTCCTTCATTCAGCGGTCATATCTCAACTGCGAGTGGAGATAAGTAGTCAACAAAAAATGCTCATTAAAACATTTTGTACATTTCATCAGTTGACCACTTTTTGATATATCTATAGACAGTTGAGATACTCTGGACGGAGCGCACTGGGTTCATGCCAATTTTCAAAAAATGCCCTGTACGAAGGGGAAGCGGGTGGGAAAGGATAAAGCATCCGACGCGAAAGCACAAAGGATCCGGCGCATTTCAAGCATAATGCTTGCATATGGTATTCCTATGTTTTCCACGCGCGATCCGCGTTTAAAGCACATTCGACCCATATGCTTCCTCCGCATTTCACGTGTGTAATTCACTGGGCTTCTCAGTAATCGGACCCTGATTCCTCAGTTCTTAGCGTCCCTTCAGTGACGCTCACTGGCAGATTACTGGGTTTTGGCCAATCAGCGTCTACTCGGTGATCGCTCGGTAATTTCCGAGTGTTGCCGTTTTTTCTGTGCACGTTTTCGCTCGTCTCAAATTGCGTCTATCTTTTCGCTGTCTCCCATGTCTAACGGAAAAATCCAAAATTTTCGAAAAAACCCTTTTGCACCCTCCGGTAGATTTATGGGCCCGGAATGGAACAACTGGAACGTGAATACGTGACCACGTTGATAAGAAAAGTTCAAAGAGAAAAATGAGAGAAAGATTATTCCCGTCGAATAAAACTTGCAAGATGGCTCCGAAGAAAGATGCGAATCCGAACAAAGTTGTTATCAAAGACAGCGGACACGAGAAGAAGGCGACTCCTGCGGCGCCGACTCCGAAGGCCGAAGTGACTGCTCCGCCGCCAGCCGGAGGCTTCAAACTTATGGACGAAGTGAGTTTCATCCAACTGATCCCCTGATGTTTTCCGTCGGTTTCAGGTCGAAATGCTACGTGCCGGATTCAAAAACAAGCACGGAGAGGCTGTGAAAACTCAGGGACAGACGATGAATATTGAACTATAACAGCATTACAAACGCATTAATAAGTTTATTTTGTTTGAAATACTAAAACAGTGAAACCGAGATGCCTGAAATATGAAAGAAGTTAGGGGAACCCGAGTTAGGACGTCTTCTGCTTTAAATTAATTAAGAGCATTAAAAGTTGAAATTGAACGGATTCGAGTTGGCGTGAACTCGGCAGATTTCATTGGGAAGTCGATGGGAGAGCGGATTCGGCGCCGAGTAACGCGAGTCCGAGGAAGCGAGTGAAGTGAACGGTTGGTGGGGAATGAAAAGGTGATTGTGGGAGAGTCCGGCGACCCGGGAGGACGGCTGGAACGGACTGGACGGAGCGGAAGTCGGCACGATGAAGCGGAGTGGAAGGGCCGTCTGAAAAGAAGAGCATTTAAGAGGGAAGGGAAGGTGGGGGTTACTGAAGTGGTTCCGAAGGATCTCATGGAGAGCGCCTGCTTCAGAGCCTGCTCGTCAATGAGTTCGTTCTTCTCGAGAGCCTTTGAAATCAACTGCAGAATAATCGGATCGACGACAGTTTGAATGCTTGCAGAAGATGAAGAAGGAGAAGGAAAAGGACGAGTCCGTTCGATTACTGGACGAGATGTGGTTGCAGGAGGAAGGGTTTGCAATGAGATCTGACGGGGAGTAGTGGTTGTCGTGGGAGCAGCTGGAAGAGTAAATTATGAGAGAAGTGGACGTATATCCTCCTAACCTGTGGTGGTGGTACTTGTGCTCGTTGTCGTGGTACTTGTCGTCGTGATCGGGGGAACAATCTTCGTTGTGAAAACATTGAAAATCTCCTTCTTCTTCTCCGGCTTCTGTGATTTTCTCGGTTTCATCGTTGTGAACGTCGCCCGGTAGGGAGAGTCGATCTTTGTGATGTCAACGAGCGGAGCGGACGGCTGCTGGGGTGCCGGAGGAGGTTTGAACTGTGTGGCAGCCAGCAGGTCCATCATATCTTTGTCTGAAACTTTGATGTGTCGAGTGAGAGAGCGGAGAGCCGAAGAAAGGAAATCACCTTTCCCGAGCTCAATCAAATGCTGCCACGGACCTTCCATTGCAAACAGAGGGCTTTGACTGACGACGGGAAGGAAGCGGGAAGTGACCGTCGAATTGATGTTGAGCAATTTGTGGAGCATTTCACTGAAATCTCTCTGGGGACGGGTTCCTGGTCTGAAACTAGAAGAGACCATGAGAGAAGAAGAGGAAAATCGACTCACAGAGGGGTTTTGGAACTTCTTCTCACTCTCTTCTTCCTTGATTCCCCGTACATTCTTCTCATTTTCACCAGCTGAACCTTCTGCTTTTCAAAGTTTGTCAGCGCACGAATGAGGTGGTCTCCCACGTAAACGTGATTGTTCTAAAGCACAAGGATAAACTCAAAGGGAAGAGGGGGACTGACGACTGACCCGAACGATACAAGAGTCCAGAACCACTTCGATCGAATCATCGTATCCGCCACAGAACTTGGGAACCGAAGGGAAAGAGGCTTCGAAGGAGTCGAAAGAAGAGGAAGAACTGAAAAGAGACAAGTTCGAGAAGAGAACAGAGGGCTGACTGACTCTTTGAAGGTACTCAAATCATCCTGGTAGGCACTGAAGATGTGCAGTTCGTGGTCGTTCAGTTTTCTTTTCGAAACGCCGTGAAGGAAAAGAGTGCCGTCCTGAACAAGAGAATCATCTACAGTAATCCCAAGGGGAGATCTTACAAAGACAGCACAGGCGGGTCCGATATATCCATATCCGGGCTGATATTCGGGCGGCGAGTTGAGAAAGAGTGCATTCAGAAGGAGAGGAAAGAGGAGTAGAAAGTAAAGTAAGGTCATGGCAGCAGGCGTCCACAGAAGGCCCTATTTGATCGTGATGAGTTCGAGTTACGGAGCAAGAACAAAAGGGGAAAGGGAGAGGGACTGCGGGGACAAGGGGCGTCTCGGCACACACACCGCGGGTGTTGTTCCCACGCCGGAAGCTGCTTTACACGAACACCAGTGGCCACCTTATGCAATCAGAGACGGCCCCTCCTGTGTACGTACACAATACACGGCTCGTACGCTCGGCTGCAACCTTTTTCGATCGGCTTTGTTTTCCGAAATTAAATATACACAATCGGCGCCTGGAAAGGTCGCGACGACAAAGAGATTGACGGGCCGAAATGGCGAAACGAAACGGAGAGGAGGCGCGGTAATTCGAGACGGCGAACGGCGGCGAAAAAATACCAAATTTGTTGAGGATCTTCTTCTTGACTCGGACTGTTTGCTTTTGCATCGGATGCCCTCCACATTTTATTCGTAACGGTCACTCGATTCCGAAAAGTATCTGCACATACATATCCATTTCATTAGAATCAATGCGGTCAGGCTGAGAAAGCTCTGTGGAATAGACGGGAATATGAAAATGGGGCTTGAAACACTTACAGGCTCATACAAAATGCGTGAAAACTAATCAGCTCAATCGGCGAGAAAACCAGAAAGTCAAAATCTGACTATAGTCGCGCAAATTCGTTCCACAGAACAAAATATTTTATATTGTACAGTTCCATAATAATTAGCCTAATTATTTAATTTAACGGAATGTATCAACCAAATTTAGAATGTTCATTTCGAAAACTTTCTAATTCAAGTTTCGTGAGCTTTCTGATTAAAGGAACTCTCCCGTTTCAGGCGTGTGGGTCTTGTCGCGCGTTACAGATTACTGTAACTGCCTGACTGAAAATTGAAAATGTTTTGAATTTTGTTCCCAATTTTCAAATTTTTGTGAGTTTTCCGTAAGTTTGTTCAATTTTGGACATTTCGAGTATTTTTTTCGAACATTTTTCGGTGTTACTGTCTACGATTTTGTGCCTGCGTTTTTTATTGAGCGGTAAATGCATTTCTGGGAACTACATGCTAGGCCTACATTTTCAATTTTTCATTTCAGGGGTAGGCTTTGGGTTTGATGAGTCGACCAATCTTGATTGCGAACGATTACAACTCCGATCCGCTTGCTTCGCCCATTGAATCGTTGGGTAGAAGTATCGGTGCACAGCAAATCGTCGACAGTGTTTGCGGATCTCCAATTGTAAGTTTATTTGAGACAAGACTTTTGAAACCGGGGCCCGCTGCGTGGGCCGAGCTTGCTCTTTCTCATAACTGTGAAAGTTCACGTGTTCAATTCTTAATTTCTCCTCTACAAGTTTTCAGTTTTAAAAATGAAAAAGTTGCCAGACAAAAAAAGAAAGAAAAGAATAGACTCCGTTGGGACGGGTGTGGTCCCGTCGCGTGGTACCGAAGGAAGTGTTACATGAAACGGAGACGATTTATTTTTCGTGACTCATTGTACCCAGTGAAGCATTTCCCTCCGTTTCGTGGTTTCCTTCGCCCGCGTCCCAACTGGTTGGCTACCTGTTTATTATATAAGAATGATGATACTCAAACTAAGTAACCTCTTTTTATTTCAGAGATCCTTGCCAGCCCGGCATGTTCCTGTCAATCAAGTATCCGATAGACTTCCAGATACACCAGAGTTCCAAGTGAAATGTGCCTCACGAACTTTTCAAATTCTTATTTCTTGTAGTTTTCTTCCTTCATGCACCAAGGCGGAAAAGTGATCGGACAAAATACTTCTTACATGTTTGGCACTCCGCCGTCCTCTTGTACTTGCAATGCTCATAATGCTCACTCTACCGTAATGAACAGCAGCAGCAATTTGAATTTTTTGAGCACCAATAACAACTACTTGAGTGGACAATTGAGTGACAGTCTTCAGGCACTCCTTCAACATTCACAGCATGGTACACAATGTTCGCTTCTTGTTTGTTAAACATTTCTGACGTTAACATTCCAGATTCTCATTACTATGCCTCTCGAAACTTGCCCGAGGCTTTCGCTACCAATCTAAATTTTGTTCACCAAGTGCACTCGCCAATAGCGCGTGTCCCGGTCCAACCTTCCTCCAGTGGAATTTTCGCCAGCAATTTCAGGTTGTTTTTGTTGCTGTTTTTTCAATTATTTATCATTACTTTTCAGAGACCCTCTGAATTGCGATGATCTTCTCTCCAGATATCGTGCTAATCCAGGAACGATGAAGGGATTGAAGCTTTCCGACATTCGTGGATTCTTGCTCAAGTTCGCAAAGGATCAAGTCGGCTCAAGATTCATCCAACAGAAGCTCGAATTCTGCGATAAAAGCGAGAAGGACGCCATATTCGACGAAGTCATTGACAATGCCGCCGAGCTCGTTGATGATATTTTTGGCAATTACGTCGTGCAGAAGTTTTTCGAATACGGAGAACCGCAGCATTGGAGTCGCCTCGTCGACGCCATAATCGACAAAGTGCCGATTTACGCCTTCCAGATGTATGCGTGTCGTGTGCTTCAAAAGGCTTTGGAGAAAGTCGATGAGCCGCTTCAGATAAAGATCCTTGATCAAATCCGAGAAGTGATTCCTCGTTGCATGAAAGATCAGAATGGAAATCACGTTATCCAAAAGGCTATCGAAAAAGTTAGCCCCGGATACATCCAATTCATCGTCGACACTCTTATGGAGACGCCTACCACCATCTTCGACATGTCGGTTGATCCTTACGGCTGCCGTGTTGTTCAGCGCTGTCTGGAGCACTGCATCCCTCAACAAACTCGTCCGATCATCGATCGCATCCATGAGCGTTTTGACGACGTCGCCAATAACCAATACGGTAATTACGTGGTGCAGCATGTCATTCAACACGGTTCCGATGGCGATCGCATGATAATCGTGGAGCGTGTTTGCGATAGGCTTCTTGAGTTTGCTACTCACAAATACTCGTCGAATGTCATCGAAAAGTGTTTGGAGCAAGGAGCCATCTACCACAAAGGCATGATTGTCAGAGCAGCGTGTTTTTCGCATGATGGGTGAGTTAATAGTTTTATAAAACGATAGATTTCATTTTATTTCAGATCTCTTCCAATCGTCGTTCAAATGATGAAAGATCAATATGCGAACTACGTCGTTCAGAAAATGTTCGACCAAGTTACCCTAGATCAACGTCGAGAGCTGATTCTTGCCGTCAGACCGCACATACCTGTGTTGAGACAATACCCACATGGAAAACACATTCTCGGTGAGCCACTCATATTTTTCTGTTCACATTAACACGTGTTTCAGCGAAACTCGACAAGTACTTCCAGAAGCAGGTTATTATGAACTACCAGTATTCTGAACTGTCGGGTTGCCACTAGCCAGCTCAAAATTTGTACCATTTCCAAACAACCAGCAACTCATCACAAATGTACCTTTTGTTATCACACACATTCTTTGTAGTTCCTTTCTTTGTTCTCTTTTTGTTTCTCTTTTCTGTGCATTTTGTAGACAGTTTACCGTAATTATTCCTTAGTTTTGTGGTAGATATTCTCTACTCGACCGTTATTTTGGTTCTTAATTTTGTAATATTATTCTGATAAACTTTAAAATGTTGACCTTTGCTCTTCTCGTCCATGGTTTCACTCCTGTTATCTAATCACAGAAGTGTTTGGTGGAAACTAAGCGTGTGAACGCAAAGGGTCGAATGGCGGATGGTGACCGTCGGGACAACGTCTTTGTGAGTTTGCAGTTCTTTGGCTTTTTTCGAATGGAAAATTGTACAGAGTGACGATGACGCCGAGGACAGCTTCGATGAACCGGTCAAAATGACGAAGAGCACCGAATCGGACGAAGGAAACGAAGAAGAAGAGGAATTGTCGGATGAAGAATTCGAAGATGAAGAGATGAACGAATCTGAGGATGAAAAAGAAGACATCGTAGAAAGAACTGAGCTGGACCTGGAGCATGAAGACTTCGACCTCGTCACAATTGGTGAACAATCGCATCGTTTCGCGTTCATCTCCAGTTGTTTTCAGAGAAAATTCCGATGAAAGCCTTGACGACTCGAATCGGAAGAGTCGTTTCGGAAATACTTTACCGGGGCGAAGCGGCCGCGATCGCTCTCTTCGAGGTCGCCAACAACATCGTTTTCCAGTCGACAATGATTCGTAATGAACGGAATACGGTAATCGAGAAACTAATGCACGGATTCACTACTGTCATCACGGACAGTAGAGAAAGAGAAGAAAAGGCGGAAGCGGCCGAGCACATTCTGATGATTCTGCTCGCGAGAGTCGCCATCCGTAACAAGTCTATGAAAAGTGACGACCTCATTCTTCAACTCGTTCTTCTCGTTGATCGTCTTTATTTGCACGCTGACTCGTTCGTTCGCATCCGTGTGTGCCGCTTCATCGGCACTCTCGTGGATGAAACTAATCGATACGAAGAACGAGTTCGTGAGCAAGGCGACACAATGCACCTGTTCATGGACGAGACTATTGAAGAAGAGTCTGTCATACCGGATGGAGTCAGGAAGCGATGGATGGAGAAGCTGGCGAAGAGTCTATTGGACAAGTCCCCGCTGGTGAGAGCGGAAGTCGTCAGTGCTCTTTCCTATTGGGAACCGGAAACAGTAGTCAAAACCAGTAGTTGCGAAGAAATTACTCTGAACGAACGTGGGATTCTAGTCGTTTTGTTCGTTCAGAATGTTCCGATTTTCAGTGCTCTGGAAGAGTGTCTTCGACGTCGACGAGAATGTTCGTTCCACGGCTGCTTTCCGAGTGCACATTTCGGAGGAGAACATTGACAAGTGCATGGACTACGTGGAAACGAGCAGAGAGAACAAAATCAGGCACGAGATCGCAGTGCGACTTGCCACGAACGTCCATGTCAACGCGTTCACCAATGAACAGAGATTCAGATTCATCAATCTTCTGAGGAGTAGTGACAGCGGTAAGAAGAGTTTGCTTGGAATCTGTTTTTGAATAGCAGTTTCAGCCCGCGTCAGAGACATTTTCCAACAACGGCTCGTTGTAACATGGATGTCAAATTTGGCAGACGTCAAGTGGCCTTCAATGTTTCCCGCACCGCTGAATAACTCTGAAGTCTACGAGAAGTTTCCGAGTATCATTCTGGAGTGTCTGGATCCGCTGGTGGACCAAGACGCCGTTTATAATTTCGTTAGTTGGTTTCTCGGTAATCAGATAAACTTGATATCTTTCAGATAAAGTCTGCCGCTGTCCGTTTCATTTGTCGACAATCGACCACAATCGACGTAGAGGAGTTCATGCGCCTTTTGCTGGGAATGGGAGAATCGGTGAGTGAATCGCTCGGAGTGATGAGGCGTTCGACGTTCAGATTAATCGATCCGTGAGTGTAATCCTGACGATCGTCCCTCATGAATACGCGGTTTTCAGTAATTCAGAGAATGCGGACGCACTGAAACTATCCTTCTACCGTATAGTAATCACCCGCTCTCTACTCGACACCGTCTTCGAACTTTCGAAAGGTCGTCTGGATTCTATCCATCTCCGGAACCGCGCTGTACTGTTCTTCGTTCCGGATGTTACCACTTTCACTGAACAACTCGAGCAGTTTTGTTCGATTCATTTTACGAATAATCAAGATTCGGGTGATGGATGCGCGGAAGTGCTTCTGAACTACGTCTTCAATCTTCTGAATAAGGCTGTGCAGCAAAGTGATGGCCTCATGGATCGAGAGATTTACAAGAAAACTCTAGAACGTATTCTAGATTCTGCTCACCTCGAATTCCCCGCTGACATTCTTATGACCATGATTACAACGGTTCTCGATCTGTGCAAGAATGATGAGGAGAAGGAAGTAACATGCGAACGGATCTGCGAGAGTGCCAACAAACTGTTGCTCATTGGAGAAGACGGCGAGTTGTCAATGTGCTCGAGTTTGGAAGAAGCGATGAAGGGAGGCGCCGTCCAAGACACCATGCTATTCAGATGCGCCACGATGCTTCTAGCAGCATGTCAGCACGAAATGATCCTCGAGCCAACTCCAGGAATGTCTTCCCTCTTCAAAGCACTTATCCCGGCTCTTCTGGGAAATAAAAATGAACGTGTACAAGTGCTCGGGTTGGAACTCATCGGATTCGCCGCGACGATCGATTTTGAGAATTGTGCACCTTACCTGAAACTCACGAGATACTTGATCGAAAGAGACGATCCTCTTCTGAAGGTGACGTGCCTGCACACACTCATCCGAGTCATCAAGTCCCACACATTTCCGGATACGGCGGAAGCGATATTCCTGGAAAGCGACACCGGACCGAAAGAATGCCATGACACCCTTGCGAATCTCGTTGAAAGAACAGTGAGATCACTGGAAGGACGGACTCTCGCACAGGCGGTGCAAGACTGTTTCAGCATGCTTTCGCACGGAGATTACGCGTGGCAAAGACTTTTTTCTGCTCTATTGCTCACCGTTTTCCGAAAGGATAACATGCAATTGCAGCTAGAGAAGGTGTTCAAAGCGTACTGTAAGTCATCTGTTCGCAGTACGTTCAGCAAGTGAGTTAAAGAAAGGCGAACTCAGCGAAAAGAATTAATTTTCAGAATCAACATACTTCAAGGATTCACAAAAGCAGTCAGCGTCATTTCGAAAAGAAACGAAAGTGATTCGAACTGGAGACTGGCCGATATGACTGCCAATATTTGCGAACTTCTGAGCACAGTCCCAACAGTCGGAGAAGATTCGGAAGAGGAAAAGGAAATCGACGTGGAGATTGAGTTGGCGAAGCGGATGATCCGAAGGGCAGTCGCACATCCTTCTTCCTGGACAATCCGTCATATTTTCACTTCGTTGGCGACTTCTCTGAGCTTGGAGTGTGTTCCGATCGAGCAGTTGGTAGACGTGCACAACCTTCTGGCTGATTCTTTCAAGGTGATCACTAAGAGACATTAAAAATGTATTTTAACCAGTGCTTGCAGACTATCAAATCGAATTCTGGGAAAACAACGCATATCGCTGTCACTAGGTTTATCAATCACTGTCAGAAGGTCATCAACATTCAGCAGAGGAGGAGAGGACTCACGATTCCAGTAGATTTGAAGAAAGTGAAGCAGGAAGATCCTGAAGACGATCTCGCCGCCACGTGCTCTACGTCGTCTGGAAAGAAGCGAGGGGGACTGCGCAAAGTCCAATACGAAGAAGACATAGATTACATTCCAACTTCATCGACTTCAGTTTCGTTGGTTACTAAAAGGAGAGGAAGACCTCCCAAGGCGCCACGGCCCGAAAGTACAGCAGTCTCTCCGACTCCTTCTTCCTCTGGCAGAAAGAGAGGGCGTCCCCGTAAATCGGAAAGTTCCGTCTCAACAACCTCTTCTCCGACTAAAAGACAGAGAGGAAGACCTCGTAAGTCGCCTAGTTCCAACTCGTATTCATCGAATTCTCCAACTGGAAGGAAGAGAGGGAGACCACGCAAGTCTCCTCCGACAACTGAAGGCCTGGAAGTCATTAGCACGAGCCTTTCTGTGCCATCGTTAGCTGAGAAGAACCAGGATGTGTCTGTTGAAATGGACAATGAATGGGACAAGGATAGTTTCGATGACAGCTTCGAGGTTTGCGTTTCTGGGATCATTAGGTGCACTTGATGAGAGTTTCAGTACCCGGTGTCATCGCGAACCAGGAAACGACAGAACTCTCCGATCCAGTCGCTCCCGCCGAAAAAGAATAAAGAAGCGGAAAATGAAGATGCAAAAGTCGAAGAGCAAGACAGTTTCGACATGCATGATTCGTTCGACCGAATGTGATATTAAGCTCTCTAAAAATTGTTGTTTTTGTTTTTTTCTTCTGTCATGTTACATAAAGTCATGTTACATTCTTGCTTCCCAGATCCCTTTTTTGTGAGAAACTTCCTTTTTTGCTCTGTGCAATTCTTTGCAGTCCCCAGCTTTTTCCACGCTCATCTCTGTTATCTTCCTAATGCGCATTTCTGTGTCCATTCCATTTTCAGACCGAATTCCAACTTGATCTGACATCATTCACTCACCGTTTCAAACGTGTTTAATCCGGCGATTCGATCAGAAATCGTGGCGTCGCCGACGTAAGAGTGAAACTTCAGACAGGTCAAAAGACCAAAAAAACATTCTCTTCGAAGATCGTTTTTATTTTTATTCTGTGCGTTACTCACTCAAAACACGGGCGTTTGACGTCAATTGCCGATTAAAAAGCGCTTTGAAAATCGGAACAAAATTGCATTTGGAAAGTGATGAAGCCGAATTATCGTAAATTCGTGTCTTTTGCAAAAAAGGAAAACACGGTTCAACAAGTGAGAATGAGAATCAATTGGGAATCGGATGGAGGAAGCGGTCGAAGTAGAGTCCGTTTTCACGGGAATCGAGACGGAAGATGTTGGCGACGAGCGTCCGCGCGGATTCGTTCACTTCCAGCTCGGCGTTCGGGCCGCCCATGTCCGTGCGGACCCATCCGGGACAGAACGCGACGACGAGGATGCGGTACTTGGAGAGCTCCATGAAGGACTGCCGTGAGAACGAATTCAACGCCGACTTGCTCATTCGGTAGACAGTCTGAAAAAGAACGAAGCGGATGAAGAAAAGGGGATTCTGGCTCACCATTGGTCCCGTGAAACATCCGTCGTTCTTCTCGATCGAAGCCATGGTCGAGGAGATGTTGATGATTGCCGATCTTTGCACTGACACCTCCTCTCCGTGCACGCAAGCAGCGGCAATCTTCAGGAGCGGAAGGAATGTCTGCGTGACGATAGCCGGCGACACGGAGTTCGTTTCCAATTGTTTCAGCATCGTCTTCCGGCAGATCGGGCCGTCCACTTCATATGGGAGAAGGATTCCGACATTGTTCACCAGAAGGTTCAGTCCGTTTCCTCTGACGAGATCCTTCACTTCCTCGAATGCTCTTCCGATCGATTCATCGTCGTCCACATCCAATCCGATCACTTTCAGTCTTCCGTCCCTTCTCAGTCCATTCAGTTCATCCGCCGTCTCCGGATTCCGACACGTCGCAATGATCGTTTCAATGTCCTCGTACTCCAAAACTGTTTCACGAGTCCGTACCCGATGCCTCTGTTCGTTCCAGTTATCATCACAGTTTTCGGAATTCTTTGCGGACGTCGTTCGACTTCCGGATCCGGCTCGGATCGCATGTTCAGATCGCCTTTCAACTCGTAGTCGGGCATGTTGAAATCGTAGAAACAAGGAAGTAAAAAAGAAGCAAATGAGCAGGCGGAATAGGAGGAGGAAAAATGGGAAGATAACAACAATAGTTTTGTTTTAAATTTGAAAACGAATGATAACAAGGGTGTTTATGCACTGTTTGATTTCTGTCTTCAGAGAGTCCAAAGGTTCAAGGCTTTTTCAGGTCCAGTTTAGACCCGCTTGCAACTATCCGATCGGACCAAAACTTTGCAGACTTTTTTGACTTGGATTGAAGTATAATGGGCTCAAGTTACAGATCAATTGGACAATTTACTTTCGAGAGCCCGAAAGATCGCTGTTTTTTGAAAACTGCGGCCTTCTTCGCTTCCCGTCCACATATCTCGGGACCAGATTCAGTGCAAGTTTCAAAAGAATGGCGTCCGATTGCACCGCGTTAATTCTGAATCCTCCGATCGAATTCAGCATTTCAAGTTCAACTAGTTGTCAGCAGACCCGATCATCCAACCATAAATCAGAGGTTCTGAAGTGACGGGAGGTTCCTTCCGTACACGTAATCGGTTCCTAATCGAGTCATGATCTGTCTGCGGTTTTCGACCGCTCGCGAAGTCAGAAAGTCCGAGTTCCAATGCGCGCTGGTCACACGTGAAATTACTCTCGCGCATCATGTTGATTTTTGGGCGCGCGACCTTCCGAACCGTCTCCGAACCGTATTTTCTTTTGTATGTGCCTTTTGAGTCACCGCCAAAAGTGTGCAAATAAACAGAATAGTCATCGTGTCCACACTAATTCGATCGTCTTCGGACCCCACGTCACTTCTGTGCTGTCACAGAATCTCAACGTTCGCATGTTGAAATTATGTGGTTTCGGGCGGGAAAACATTCATCCGTGATCGAATCGGACGACCGACATTTGTGTCAAAGGGAAAGGGACCGCACGATCATCGTTCACTTTGGCAGCAGATATTTTCGAGTGAATTGTCTGAAAATAGCTGAAATCGATCTTCTCTGACGAATCGGTTGAACTGCAGAGACTGGAACCAAACTCCTGGAATACTGTGGCCTTTCGAGTCACTGATCACATTATGCTCTTTGCCACTCCGGAAATGTTTCCCTTTTCGATCAGACCACTCGATTCTAATCAGTCGATCCATGTAGCCCCTTCTCGGGAAAATGTGGTTACCAGGGGACAAAGTCTACCACATTTGTAGCCGTTTTAGAGGGAGACAAACGTCTGTTCGTTCCCCAATTAGTTGTTTTGTGATTTGAACGCTAGAGAAACCGAATCAGGACCAGAAACAGATGCGAATGATGATAAATGATAAAGGAAGTCACGTGGCAGATATCTTCTTTTCGGCCGCAAAACCTATTTAATGCTACCGTCTCGTCTCCTGTATTGCACTCGCTGATTGCGAAATCGAGCACCATTTTCTAGAGATATTTTCTGTTTGTTTTCTTGTTGTTTTGTGTACATTTAAGTTCCCAAATCATTGCTCCCTCGCCCTCTCCCTCTCTCTCTCTCTCTCTCTCTCTCTTTTTTCGCCGTCCATCAGACCCTGTCTTGCAATAAAGATCACCCATTGATAAATACAAAATGCAAACAAGGAGAGTGACGAAATAGTTCGTGTTCTTTCCGTGTGAAACGTCTCGAATAGTGACCGTCAGACCTGCTGCGTTTCCAATCTTTAGCGCACCCCATTAAATGTGGGACGGTATGACGTCTTCTCATTTGGCACCAATATTTCGCAAGCGTCCACCACACGCGGACTGCGGAATGTCACGATTTGTGAACATTCCGCGGTCCGGCAAGCAGTTTTATGACGGTTATCAACGGTTGGACACGTTGCATACCAGTAAATGCTAGAATTCCGATCCCGAAGTCTTCGGGTCTTGTCCCAGAGACAGAAACATCGTAAACATCCACTAGTGAAGGAGATCTTCGACCCTATAGTATTCAAGTGAATCAGAATGCGACACGCCGGAAACACGTTTCGAAAACAACACAATATTGAACGTTTGAAATGCAATTGCAAGAGTCTACCGGAAACAAAAGGTTAGCATCGAGTTCAAGTTCACTTTAATGCGTAGGAGGGCAGGAAGACCACTCCAGGACCAGTGTTTCCGTGCTCAGATCAGTGCCAATCCGAGTGTCCCGTGTTCTCTGTTAGCCCCTGCCCCACCCTTGCAAACCGTTTCTCATCTTTTGAAACAAACAACGTGCAAAAGGGCAAACGTTCGCATCCATTTTGATAACGGAAACAGGTTAGAAGATGTGTGGACTCTGGAAAACATCTTGGCTGAATATCATTCGGTTCGACGAAGAAAAGACCGATCCGAACACTTTTCGGAAGTTGTTTATCTTGTCATTTATGCGCAACAACTACTGAAATATGTCATTGGTAAATAAACAGATTCTCGCAAATGTTTACTGACAGTTCACCAGAACAAGAGTTTCCTGAAACGCCCCTAATTCTTCAAGAGAATTCCCCCGCCACTGCTCCAAAGAACGGACGTCTTCGTGCGAATTTAATTGCGTGCGCCTCCCCTCCCACCCGATTGCTGCACCGGAAGTGTCCGAGTCCGTGCACTCCGTAGACGGATATTCTTAGAATGCGCCCCTCCATCCACGTACTTTATCCAATTTGATGTGTCTCTCTTCGGACGAAGACTGCTCACTGATCAAACGTGCCGAAAAGTGAAATAGGTTCTCGATTTTTTGACCCTCTGCCATTTCGCCCGGAAATAGGAAGCTTCTGACAGACAGACAGACAGACGGGCCCGAGACAGACAAAAGTGACGTCGGGCAATGAGTCCGAAGATTGGATCAATTAGGAGGATTACACTGATAAATGATACTATTGGATTAGTGCCGCCGCCGCCGAATTGTTCGAATTAGTTCTTGTTGAATGGGAGAATGAGACAGCGGATGATCCAAGAACAGAATTGGAGTTGCTCATGGTGCATCTTCATCCTCGGACGGTCCCTCACTTCTTTCTTGTAATTTTTTTGTCTTTCTGCAGAGGGAGGCGATCTTTTGCGCGCAGGGAACGATTTTGCACATTGTTGCAGATGCACATCATTGAGCCAACAAACATTACTCACCGCCGCGAGAGAGAGCCCGGCGAGGCCGGAGACGCCGAATTGCGCAGTGCTCCCGCCGCGGGGCTGATGAACGAACGATGACGAGGTGAGAAGCGGAAAGCGCAAAGAATGCTCCGTGCGGACTGGAATCTGTAGACGTGGTGGAAGCAGAGATCACGGAAAGCGGGGCGGACTGGTTCACGGCGCCTGGGGTCCATGGTCTTGCCACGTCATTGTGCAAAAGTACGGTAGTGGATGAAGCTGAACGTTTTTTCTATTGGATCTTTGTAGAGAACGATCTTGGCGCGTCACAGATATCATAATGTGGCCGTGCATCGCTCTGGTGATCAGCAACAGTCGGGAATACTGTAGTTCCTACTTCTTTTTTCGATCTCTTTTGCACCCGATATAAAATTGGAAGCGCCGTCTACCCCGTTATCTCCTAATGTTGCCGTTTTCCCGTCGCGGGTGTCCCCCGCACTCCCTCTCCTCTCCTTTTCGCATTCTCTTTCAATTTCTTGAACCGTTCGAAAGGGCACGCCAATTTGATATGCTAACTATCTAGTAAACAACCGAATTAGTCTGGGCTGCCAGGGTCACCGAGAAGGGTTTGCAAAGTTTGAAAGACCCTCCATCGAGAACAGAATAGCATGATTCACGGTCCGAGGAACAATGATAGCTTGTGATCGCACGGCTGGATTAGGCGACGTAACATATTTTCGAAGATATTTGAGATGATTTCTGCAGTTCCGAGTGCATTCAAAAGGTGGCTACTGGAACATAGATGAAACATCTGTCGGGCAAACAGACGGATTGGCTTCGCATTTTCTTTTCTTTCTCAAACCCCTTTTTCCGTCACGGCATTGAATCACTTGTTATTTAGTAAACAGAGCAAGAGCGGTGCAAGGATTCCATCACATGCTCCGTCCAAATCCTCCATGAAATTATCCTTTGTCGCGTGTTGTGGCTTGTCATCGGGCAGATTTGGATTGTTTATTTTCCCCTAATCCAATCACTGGCCTGAAACTTTCCGCTTTGCTCGTCCCAAAGATTAATGCAGATGAGCTTTCGGAGCCACGAGTGAGAATTAGACCCGAGGCTCGGGATTAGAGTGTGTGTTCCGTTTTTCGACAACAAAAATCTTTCGGGTCTAGCGAAGTGATCCCAACAAAGTCACGGAGCCGTCTAGAGCTCTGCCAAAGTCAGGAACGATGTTATTTAGGTAAGGAAAGAGACATCAAGAAACAGAGGGTACTGTAGTGGATTAATTGACCAACAGTTCGCATTTCAACAGTTTCGAAATGGGCGGAGAAAGAGGTCTCGGCTGCTGAATGAAATCGACCGAGGAGCGTATAAAAAGAGAAACAAGCTAGACATTTACCATTGTGTTCCCCTTCTGAATCGTCTCGTTTCTGTATTCTGCACGTTCACAATGATTCACATTATCGTCTGGAAGATGGAAAAGCCGGAGGAATGCTATCGGAAGAAGCGTCCGGCAGCGACGACGCAGCCCGGTTGATTGTTGCTCATTCGGACGGATTCGCCCGGATTGGCAAGAAACACGGGCGGATGAATGAACACTATGATCTCATCTGATAAACATTTATTTGTGTCTCCCACTCTGTTTTTGTTGATGCTCAGTTGGCTTTCCGGCCATAAAACATTACTTCCGAGAATATGTCGAAGAAATCCATTCCGAGTGAACTGCTTTCTCAGAAGTTTCTCAAATCCATCATGTTGGGAAAGTTCTGCGGCTCGAGAAGTGCTCTCAAATGAGTAATCGTTCAAGGTACACTTTTGCAGACAAAAAAGAAAGCTGAATAATAATATAATCACGAGTCTCTGCTAGAAATGACCTGTTTTTCCCACGTGGGCGCCCGCTCCCACCCTGTTTGCTTCCGTCCTCTGCAACCTTTCATCTCTCTCCTTTCTCTCTCTCTCTC